TTGGTAGATCCAGTTCGCCATTTGGTCTTGAGAAAAATTTTGTTCGTGGTCGAACTTGGAATGGATTAACGCGTCGTGGCATGGATACGCTTCCACAGGACACGAAAACAATTGACGATTTTTCTATTTCAGGTCAGTTGTAGACGCTTGTAATTTCTTTCTTTTTTTTTGAAATTGATTTTAAGATTTTTCTCTTTTCTGTTTGATGAAACCAAGTAGTCTCAAAGTCGAACGCGAGACCACGCTAAGAAAATTGCAGAAGCATAGATTTTTGAGAGTCGAAAAAAGTTCAAAAATATGTTTTTTTTGAAAATTCTTCAAAACCGTTTCAAGTCGGGGCAATGGATAATCATGCTCCGAAGCTGTTTCAAACTTACAGAAGATATAAATCAGAGGAGTGGCGGAGCAAGCAAAGAAGCTGAAAAGCGAATAAACGCTTCGGACTTGTTCTTCGGTCATCGGAGTACCTTCCGCCAGGGTTTTACGATAGTTGTAGATGGTCATCAACTGAAAAATCCCCTCTTGGAATTATTCCATGGCTTGATATTTTTGCTGATTCCTGTTTTTATAATCGTTGAGAAAGAGTTTGAATCGTAGAAAGTAGTTAAAAGGGCCCCTAGAGTAGAAAATTCCGACTTCTGTGATGATCTTTGATAGTTTAGACCCTTTTCACTTCTTGTCGAAGCTAACATCAATCTCTTCACTAGAAGCCACTATAATGATTAAAATGAGACCACTTTAAAATGTCTATAATGTATGAAAAAGTATCTTTCAGATGATTGGGGCTGATTTTCGTGATAATCTTTCAAATCCGCTTTCCCAAAGAATCAAGAAGGTTTCCACTAAAAGGATCTTGAACCAATCATAGACAAGATGTGTAATAAATAATCATAAATCCCTACAGTAACCATTTCTCATCAAATTCCGAAAGTCAGAGTTCTCGATGAGTCCTCAACATTGTAAACAAGTTAATTAAGTACAAATGCACTTGATTAATTAGTTGTACAATGACTCAGTGTGTTAATTAACAAATGATGAATCATACGAGCTCAAAACAAGATGAACTAATCAACACATTACCGTAGTTTTCTATAAAAAGAAGCCTACCGTAGCCAGGAAAAGGGTGATGAGGGAGAGCAACATTCCCAGGAATAGGAATTGGTCGCTGACGCGCTGAAAAAACTCAATATTCTTTCAAAAATTGAAATCTGTTCTACCGGTTCATCAGGAGCCAGGAAAAACGGTTCGAAAAGATTATTATAAACCAGCATCGAGATCATCAAACCGGCGAACAGGGGGAACATTACACGTTTTCTGAAACATAAATTTCAGGTTCGAGCCCTGAATTTTAAAATTCTGAAATTTTTTCTGATTGAAGGTTTGATCCAAGCTCCAATTTTCTACGTCGAAAGATAATTCGCTATCATTATAAAATATTGCAAAAGTTTCTTTTCCTAAAAGCTAGTTTTGAAGTGGATAAATCTGTGATTTTTCCCTAGTTTATAAAATTTTAACCTCACCTTAAAAAAATAGTAATTTCAGTTTTCAATCGGAAAAGTCTTGAAAATGGGTCATGAAACTCCTTGAAAAAAAGGTCATTTCACTGAGTTTTCTGAAAACCAGCCAGAACACTTCTTGATGTACCAAAAAAAGAATCTGAAAGTTTCAACCTGCACAACTTTCTGGTTTTTTTTTAAAACAAGGCCTCGAATCCGAATAGCAAATTTTAACGGATTTTTGAGATTATCTTTGACTCTAACTTCCTAAAAACTAGAAAAATGTGTGGGTTTACACTTGGTACATCAAGGAGTGTTTTGGCCGATTTTCAGGAAAATCCCAGACGCCAAGTTGAATGACTTTCCTTGTGAGCTATCATATCAAACTCCTGATGTCTCAGTCTGCAAGAGCTCCTAACTTTTGAGAAGTGAAGACTTAACGTCGAAAAACGGATTGGACTATGTTTTTCGTCGTTCTAGGAAGTCTACGAAGTCATGCAGCTCTCAGGAACATCATTTGGTAATTTGAAGCGTTTTCTAGCAGATTTTCAGGAAATACTTAAACGCAGAGAGAGAGAAACTAGCTCCTTTGTCAGTATGACAATGAAGGAAAGGAAACTTAGACAAAGATTCGAATCTAATTTTCCTGAAAATGCTTTTTTTGCGGCTGTTCAAAAGCTTCCTGGAACTTACCGAGCCTGACAAAGGGTAAATTCTCGTTGCTCTCGGATGGACCGCATGAGACCTTCCATTGTGTAGGCGCCTCCCAGGACAAGGGTCATCAGAACGGAGTAAACCATTATCGATTCGAACGTTTTGAACCGGAGCTCCTGTCTGTAAATGCAAAAGTAATAGAAAAATCTACTGATTATCAGATCCATCATTTATTTCCTCTGTGTTAAATCTTACCGTCGGAACTTCGCTCTTCAAGTCTAAATTTTCGTGACAGTTTTAAAAGAAAGGGCTTTCAACTTACATCTCCGCATATTATATCAAAATTTCCTTCAGTTCTGATGGATTTGGACAGTATTTTAGCCACAAATCCTCCTTAAAATTGGTATGATCCCGAAGACATCATTAATTATTTTACACCCTGAAATGACTCAGGATATATTTGCGAGTCAACCAAGATTTAGCCGACTTGTTCCAGTTTGGAAATCGCTGTGGAATGGCTCACGTCGGCCGTGAATCATTGAAAATTTACCGGACCACAAAACGACTTGCGCGCGTTGCGCTTGGAGCTTTTGTCGTCGCGACGCTTGTTTTAAAACTTCAAACTTGTTTAAAACTAAATCGCAACGAGTTCAGTCATTCTTGATGCGACCAGAAGGTCTCAGGCGTGCTCAGTTAACTTTCTCCAACTTCAGTATTGGTACTAATTTAAAAATTAATCTGTTTCAGAGTTGCACAGGATGAAGGCATAGAAGAATGCTAAACAAGCCTTTGAAAACCTTCTCACTTCCTATTTCCTTGAAGAGAAACTCACATGGCCTCGAATTTCTGGTAGGTGAGGTTATGGCGGAGGGAATGAGCAAACTCGTCGTTGTGGGTGGCGGTCTGCACGATGAACGGATAGAGTCGTCCGGCGTAGGGGATGACGGCGGCGTTGACGACGGACGCCAGAGGATTCTGACGGTCCTGCGGGTGGGAGATGCGGGACAGAAGCAGCAGAAGACCGACATCGATCAACCCGCTCGAGAACGACGAGAACAGCATCTGGAATCCATTCTGAGTCTTCTCAAGATCAAGAGATTCGTTCTAGAAGGCGGTGACGAAGTTTGATCCAATGGAAACTGATATAAGATTCTTTCTGAGATTTTAAAGGAACATGGGAAATTGAATGAAGGAAGGTCTTGACACGAAGAGCCGTTTTTCGTGTTAATTTATTCATTCAAAAGATTTCCCTGCAACGATTTCTAAATAAAAAAAAACTGAACTCCATGAGAGAACTGTGAATTCAGAGTGACTAGTGAGATTTCTCAATGAGCCTTGGGCAGAAAAAAGAGAAAAAGAGAAAAAACTTAGTCAGGAAAACGCTCTCCCTTCTGAAAAAAAAAACTGGAAGAATGTTCGTAAGAGTCAGGAGATACTGATTAGAGCAGGGCGGGCACTAATTACGGAGGTGACTTTACATAAAAGTGTTACTTAGAAACGAACTTTTTTTTATCCTGATAGAGTCGCTATGGGAACGCCTTCAGACGTTATTTTCAAGTTGCTAGCACCTGCCCCTTCTGGGAAACAAATGAAATGGGAACAAACATCAACTCGGCAGATTTTAATGAGAAGTTCTAGAGACCAAAACATTAGGTTGCAGGATAATTTGAAATTTTTTGAAAGGAAAAGTCTTCTGCAAGAGAATTTTTCAGTTTACTTGCTACAGCCATTCCGTAGGGACCATCAAAACTTCGTATTTTTTTCCGAAAACTGCTGAATAGCTTTTTTTTCTGAGTTCTCAAAAAAGTAAAGTTTTCGCAAAAGTTGAAAATTTCAAATAGCAAAATGTAGATCACATATTTTTAAGTTCTTCTTGATATTGTTGAAAAGTACCATTTTTCAATTCAAAAAAAAGCTGAGAAGGTGATGATTTTAAATATTTATCAAGAGCCCTTTGTTTCCAAATTGCTGGCCACGCTTTTATTTTCATTTATCGGAGCTTTTTTTTTTTTCGAAAAAAGCGTTTTTATGTTTTGGCAAACCTTCTCGTAAGCAAGAAATAATTTGCCGTAAACTCAATAGTTTGATGAAATTTGTTGAGGGGATATTGAGTATAACTCAATTTTTTTCTTTAACTCAAAACTGATTTCCACTGAGCTTTTAACCTTTTGGGGCAGCAAGAATATAATAAAGTCAGAAAAATAATGAGTGAAGATGTAAGATGAAACAAATGGAGTTATCAGCGTCTCCCGGGGCAACCAAAGGAGTAGCCTAATTATCATCTTTCTATAAACTTTCTGAGAAAAAAAGACAAGGTAAATTGGAATTCTTTGACACGCAAACCACAATGAACTTATGAAACTATTCAAAAACATTTATTAAAACGAAGGAAGAAGATATGAAAAAGAAGAGGAAAGAAAGCCCGTATTCGGAATGTTGATAGGATAAAGTGGGACGGCTCAAAATATACAACAAGACGAGGATAAAGCTAGAACATGTTATTACGGTAGTCTATGAGCTAGAAATTCACAGATAACAAGGAAAACCGTGTGGAGAAGAAGCCAAAAGTCACACCTTGACAGCAAAACTTTGAGCTTCGGCTAGAAATGCGATTCCCGTAAGAAAAGCACACAAAACACCGGGATAAACGGAAAAATCGCTAACAGTATTCTACTAGGTAAAAAGATTTACAGGAAACCCTGAGAGCTTCGAAAAAAGGCTAGAAACTTTGATCAGAGGTAAGGAATGAAAATGGGAATGAAGGCTCAAGATGAGTCATTGGAAACGTTGAAAAATAACAGAGATCAATGTCCTAAATGGCCAATAGAGCAGAAGAAGTTGAGAGATTAGTTAGAATTGGCGTTTGAAACGGAGAGTGAATCGAGCGGTTCGGCCGTTGGGATGGTAGATGACGAAGATTTGGTTGCTCTCCGAGACCGTGTCCTCTTTGGGCCGGTAGCAGCAACTGCAGAAAATGATTGATACAATGAAAATGTACGTAAAAAGATTCATACGGCTTTTTGGAATAATTGTTTTCTGTTTGAAGTTTTCCAATTACCAGGATTGGGCTAGTTTGATATTTTCTATTTAGTACCTCTCCTGAAACAGTTTAGAATGTCTGTGGTCTCTTTTCCCTTGTCATCCTGGTTGAAACCATGAAAATAGCCAGAAGAGAAGAGCAATTCAGAGAAAGGAGAGCACAGACAAGTCAGAGTGTTCAAAGTCATGGCAGTTATGAATACAGTTTCCGAGTTATTTTTTATATGATAATACAAAAATGATTTTTTTAAATAGCTTGATTTCACTAATTTTTATATTTTTTTTCGAATCTTATTTCAGAGGAAAAACTGTCTGTAGAAAAACATTCAAGAGATTTAATTCCTGTCATTTTCGAAAGATTTTTCGTCTTACTTATCACAACGGCTAACTTCAAAGATTTTTTCCCCATCTACCACTTAAAAAAAAAGCAATATTCTGTGAAATTTCAATGCAAACCTTCGGAAACCAGTTAACCGGACGTCCAATTTATGCTTGATCTCGACGTAAGATTGACAGCCGTAAGAGCAAGGAAATTCTCCGTCGGACAATCGGAATCGGATTCGCGAGCCGTCGGGTACCTAGAAGCACAGAAACCATTCGAACTTCCTATTGATTTCAAAAATCTTGAAAAATTTTAAAATTTTTGAGAAAAAAACGACATTTTTTTGTAACGTTTCTAACCTTGATAAATGCAAATGCATTTTCAAAAAAAAATTTTTTTTTGCTCTTTCACAAATCAGCTTGAAGAATACATCTTGGAGGAAGAAGCCTAATTACGTACGAAAAAAATTCATACAAGGCCGAAATTTCTAGTGAAATCGCGCTCCATTGAAAATTAAACAAAAAAATAGAATTTTTAAATTTTTTTCACGACTTTTTTTGAAACTATAAAAGCTGAACTCCGTATAACCCTAACTTTTTTTCTCGAAACTCTCTGAAATTAATAAAATCAAACGAACAGAAATCCTCCAGTAGCAATGGGCGTCCTTGCCGGGAGGACTGTTGAGCGTCTGCCACTGGTCGGTCGCCCGGACTTCCCCGCCGCAGACTGAAAACGGTTTCGGTTGTGAGTCGGTTAGTCGGCGTGAGTGTATTGCCTGCTCGGGCCTTGGTGGCCCAAACGGCGCGGCGGCCTCGACGCAGCTTCCTCGGCGCTTGGGACCTCAGAGCTCGGGCTCGCGGAGTCTTCGGAAACGGCGCTGAAGCACCGACTGCACGTTTGGGCACTTTTCTTTTTGGCCCGAGCCGGACTTTTTTTTTTGTTGAGTGAGTTAGAGGTAAGTTAATGATTTTAGTCGGAAAAATTTTAAAGTCGTAAATATGTAAAAAAACAAAATTAAGTTTAATAAAAAATTGAAAATAGTTTTTTTGTAGCTAGAAAAAAACACTGGGTTTTTTTTCTAGGATTTTAATTCCCACAAAAAAACTCGATTTTCTGTGAAAAAAACTAGTGGACACTCAAGAGGTTCCTCAAGAACTACTTGAAGAGGACACTAAAGTGGCCACTAAGTAGTTTTAGTAGTTTCGTAGTAGCATTTGGGGAGCGTATTCAATCAATTAAATTAAATCAAACTGCGGTCTTTTAGATTTTACGAAGCTTGATTGATCTGTTCTACATAGATTTTGTTACAAAAAATTGAAGAGAAAGAGTTAATATTGCTTGAAAACAATAAAACTCACAGCTCGACTGCAAACGGCTGCAGTCGGCGCCTCCCAAGCCTTCAGGACACCTAAATATTGAAAATATAATAAAAGAGTATTATTTTTGAAGCAGAAACTGTTCAGAAACCGAAAAAAAAACCTGCAAATGGCGCAATTGTTGGGATCCGGGTAGCCGCCAGCCAAACAGTTCAAGTTGGATCTTCCTACGCAAGCGTCTGAAAATACTTTTCCTACCTGTTGGTTTAAAAAAGTTTCAGCTCCAAAAATGATAGGAAAAAAAGAAATAAAATTCAGAGAAAATTCAAAACATTTTTTCCCATAGTTTTATTTTATAAAGTTCTTGGACTTATAAAAAAAGCTTTTATTGAATATCGGTGATGAAAACTTGGTGAAATATCGGATGCGAAACAGAAAAATCGAAATTTCTCCAACTTGAATTTTTTTGGGTCCTTAAAAAAATTTCTAGTGACAAATTATGAAATAAATAACGATTTACACTATCAATTCACAATTGAACAACCAAGATTAATTCAAAACCTCTAGTCCATTTTACAGTTTATAGTGGTGAAAATTTAAATATCACCAAAGTTTAATACAGCACGTCAGATTGAAGGCTCAAAAAATTAGCACAGGAATGTTCCGAAAATTTTTCTTTTTTTCTTTCAGCTTCATAGAAATAATACATCACTGGAAAAAAAAAACCTTTGGAAGATCAAAAATTATATTTTTTCTGAAATATGAAACGATTTTTTTCTTCTACTCGAGTTCAGGAACTTTCTCAAAAGCTTTTCGGTTTTCTAGTTCGATGAGAAAGATTCTGCCGGTTTCCTACAAATTGATTTGTGAAAAATCGAAAAAGAAATAAAAAGTCGTATTTTCTTTTTTTGGAATATCCATTATATCTACTAATCTTCAGAAAGGTTTTGTAATTAATAAACATTGCTAAAATTTAAAAAAAAAACTATGAATGAATCAGCATTCTCCTTTTTTTGAAGCTCTTTTCGACTCTCTAGAATCTGCAAATCCTACTTTCCCAGTTCAAAAAATACCCACTGGGACAATAAATGTCGTTGATGACTTTGGCATCGAGAAACGCCATTTTTTCTGTTCCCATCGTCGTCACGTATTTCAATTCTTTAGGCACGATCGTGAAGTCGGAAACCTTGAAAAAATCTATTTTATTTTTTATTTTTCATCAGAATCCTGGAACCTTGACAGCGTGCGCTACGGCGTGGTAGTGCATCAAGCTTCCATAATCGTACGGTACTCTTCGTGGTGAGACCTGAAATTAATTTTCAAAAAGCAGCAAGATAGAAATAAAAAAAAATTATTTCTGACTCTCAAATAAAGAGAAAGGACCTAAAATTAACTACCGTCGTATCAAACATATTTACGCCTTTTTCAATCAATCTTGAAAAAAAAAATGAAAAAAAAAATGAAATGTGTCTCTATTGGTCATTCTGACGCTAGGCTTCATCTATCCTAATCAAAAACTTGATTTCAATTTTTTCAAAAATTATAAAACTCAGCCACGAATGAACCTCAACGATCACTTTGATTTTCTAAAAACAAAATATAATAAGATTGAATTTTTAATTGCTCTTTGTCCTTGTCTGCGTTTGGACATGCTGGAAAAGTCGATCTGTTCGGACGACTTTTTATGATGGCTATTTTCTCACTATTTCAAAATTTGAAAAGGTTTTCTGGCTTTATTAAAGTGTAAACCGCCTTAAAGCCTATTTTTCTTCATAATATGACCAGTTCCCAAGTTTGATTTTCAAAAATCTGGGCATTAAAGTCTCAAAAAACCCCTTTTTTCCGAACTTTTCCATTTTCTCTGAGAAACGGTCTCAAACCTCAATAAACTTCGCACAATTCCGTGTATTTTCTTCATTCCGTGTATTTTCTTCACTCTAAGTGGTAGCTCTCTCAGTCGGCCGAGGCTACCCTAGAGTGTACACGGTGTCCGTGCCCGAGCCCGAGCCCCACCATCCCCGCCGTGCCCGTACACGCGAAACTGAGGGATCTACTTGTGGAAGAGCGAGGAGAAGGACCGTAAGACCATGCTTTCAAATCATTCGACTACACGTTTTGACTTCTTTTTCGCCAAAGGCGGTGTTAGTGCCGCTCAAAAGAGCAATTTTTTCACCGCCTAGTCGATTCCATCTGACTAAGACAACCAATAAATATTGATGATGATGATGATAACGAACTTAGATTTCAGGCCAAATTCGAAAAGTTCGATTAAAAACTCATTTAAAAAAAACTCCTTTACTTAGCGGCCAATATTTCTAATTTTCAACCATAATCAAGTATTCTCTGCATTATGGCAAAGAAAAAATCTTGAATTAAAAAAAACTCTAAAAATTTCGAAACATCGCCATTAAAAATGATGACTGACCGACTTTTCCAGCATACCTATGTTTGAACAATTATTAAAAAATAAAAAATTACAATTATGAGTATCCACTGAAACGTTAATCCAATCTTAGCTTTGACATATATCTTGAATGGAGAAATATCCATTCGAGTAACCCAAAATCATGTATAAACATATCAAAGTGGCAGTCGTAGATGGACATTCCAAACTTTATGAGATATATCTGTACTTTTTACCATCTCGAAACCAGCTTTTTCTCATGCCAAAGTAATAAAAAATTTGACCAACGACGCACGGAAATTTTTTATGACATGATAATTTCTATCTGGACATTTTCTCTTGCCAAGAAGACTTGCCAAAACAAAAACGAAACAAAAAAAGACTAAAGTGAAGCTTCACTTCAGAAAAATGATAAATTTTTCGAGATTTATTTATTTCCCCTGATTTATTTTAAGTCATGCAAGGCTTCTACGACTTCAAAATCAGTTTTAAAGATTTCTCGGACCTCAGTAACAAAACCGGACGTGCTCTGGACGTTTCTGGGCAATTCTAGGGATCACTAAAGAGGGCTGACGCTACTGTGGTGAAAATATTCAATATTTAACTCAAGGTCCTTGTTTCACTGTCTCTATAAACTCTTCAAAAATTATAAAAGCTTAATCAGGCTTCGTCTTTGAACCCTAACTTTTGTTGTTAACCTTCAGCTTCTAACCGATCAAAAAGTGAAGACCTGGAGATTTTCAGTCATAGTTCATCAAAAACTTTAGACCAGATTCTCATTCTTATTCTGATTTAGAAACGTCCAATTTGACAAGTTTAGCAAGATTCAAAAAACAACAAAAGGAAGAAACCTGTCGAATCCCGAAAGCCTGAAGCATGCTCCGGAAGGGCATGAACGACGCCGTCGCCTCTTCCATCACGTTTTTCCAGTTGATCGAAATGTGTCGGTCTCTTAACGTTTCCTTTTCTCCTGATGTCGATATTCGTGTAATGTCTACTTTGCGCCAGTTTTCCGCAATTTTTTGCTAGCTACAAAACCTTTCCCTTCGATGCACGGGGTCTGTCTTTGTACATGCGCCTATAAAATAACGAAATTATCAGATAAAAGGCGCATACAACGAGATAGGACGTGCACATCGAAGGGAACCGTTCTTTAACTCGCAGGAAACAAAATCGTGACAGGCTGACGCGAAATGGCATGAATGATTCAAAAACGCCTTTGAAATTGGAAATTTCATTAAATTTGAATGATTGAAGCTTATCCTTGACATTTTTTCATGAATTTTTCTTATTATTTTTTTGAGGTGGTGAAAGTTGAAGCGCACTGTGTATATTCAAGTGAGTACCCAAAGTCTGTAAATTGAAAGGCAAAAAACTGAACAAAGTCCAAAAGACAAGTCTGAAATCACAAGAAGGAATCATTCAAAAAAGGGTTCAAACCGATCGGGACGTTGATGAGTGTGCCAGAATCCGAGGGCATGCCCGGTCTCATGAGCCACCACGTACTCCTGGAAATCCATAAAAATCCCTCAACTTTTAGGAGCTTTTTTTCTTATTAACGGATAAGCTCGAAAGTACCCGCACAACTAAACTTTTCCTGAGATTATTTTTTCAAAATCTGAAAATCGCATAGACATATCTTCTTAATAAAATACTTTTTTTTAATCAGTAAAGCCCGATTATTCAATAGATCAGCATAAAAGGTTTATAAAAATTCCACAGAGATTATCGCATAAAATGACGTTTTATCTTTTTTTGAGGAGATTTTAGGATTTTTTTCAAAAAAAAAAAATCAGACTCATTCATTTAAAACTGAAAATAAACTGATTCCGCAAAAAAATCAAAAATAACCGTCAGAGAAAGAAAAAAACGTAAACTTTGCAGAGATCTTTGACTTCTATGAAATAACTTTGAACACCACTTTGGCTCTTAGGTCAATTTGCTTTCTACATTTAAATGAAAATGAAAAAAACTTAATTATCAATAAATGATCAATTAGATGATTCTGAGTCACGTCCCTTCGAAGGCAACGTGAAGCAACTTAATAAACCGAAAAAGCAGAGTTTCGTGTGGAAACCAGTCGGTTTAGCTAACGCCAAGGCGGAAAGTCTGCCGCGTATTATATCCGATCGGCACAAAAATTCGAAAGCCCCGTGGTTTTTGGATTCGACGCTCAGTGGGCACGAGAACACATGCGGAAAGCTAACCAAGTTTCCAATGGCATAGAAAAAAAAAACGAGATTCTCTTGAATCTAACTTATAAATAATCCGAGGGATCGGAAAATAGAAAGAGTTATGAAACTTAAAATAATCTGTCTGAATAATCTGAATATTTTCTTCCAAAGTTATTTAGAAAGAAGAAATAGTTAAAAAATGAGCAATCTCGCCATAAAAAGAATGAGGAAAAACAGTAAAAGTTGCAGTTTTCAAATCCAATTGTTTTTTTCCAAATAATTTTGAATATATTTTTAAGAGAAGCTAATTTAAAAAAAAGCTTCTTTTCATAAAAAAAGAAAAAAATTGTTTAAAAAAAGGTTTAAAGACCACAATTTAATTCAAAATACCCCAGATAACTCATTTTGAGAAGGAAAAACCTCCGCGCACTCGCTGCCGATGATGATGTCCTGATGGCCGCCGTTTCTGCCGATGTATTCCGTGAAACAACTGTCGCCCTTCTCCAGCACATACCGGATCGCGTCTCTCGACTGAAAGAAGCTTATTTGGATTCCATTTTTTTTCTCGAACTCAAAAAAGCTCAATTTTGACGTGCGTGGCGTATTACATTCAAGGGTTTTCTATAGGGCTCTTAGGTATCTTTGAATGACTTTTTCAATCTATTTCACCGAGTTTCCTTCAAATTTCAACGTGCTGAACACGCCATAGTTGAAAAACTTGTTCAAAACAAAATTATTCACAGGTTTTCATCTTCAAAAATCCTACGAGGAAGGTTATTTTTATTGGAGCTTTTTCTGATCATGAGCCAAACAATCTTCAATTTAATAGGATCCTGTAGATCTCATAGAGCAGAGCTATTTAACTTTCTCGAACAAACGGATACAATTTCATCTTATTCAACCAAATAAACTAATCTAGTACATGTTGGGGCCTATTTTCATCAGAATCGACTTGAATTTCCGAGTAAAAATACCTTCTCTTGTAAGATATCTTTCGATCAAGTTTTTTTAATTATCTCTCAAGAAAAAAATAATAATCAAATTTTTGTTACCGTGGTCGAAAAAAATTTTTAAAAAAAGGATCTATGTACTTTCACTACAGATATTTCTGCTTGAACCAAAATGAAACCGGAAAAAATTTCAATTAAAAAAAAACTTAAATTTCTATAACCCTTGCAACTGAGAACATGTGAAAAATTGCAATTTTTCCTTTAAAAAAATATCACAAGTAAAACAAACCGCCATGTTTTCCCGAAAACGCAAACACGTCGATTCCTCCCACATTCTGATCCCTCTTCGGATCAATCCTTGGAAGTTGACTGAAATAAACAAAATGAGCTTTTTAAATGTATGAAAAATCGGCTTAAGGTCAAGGAATGATAACAGAAAACAAGCATTTTTTCCATTATTCAGACTTCAAAAAATTCTCTCTCAGCTTGATCGAATAATCTTCAATAAAAAAAAAATCAATGAAAATTGTAAAAATAGTTAAAAATAATTTAAACTTGTATTTTAGATGGATAATTTTTTATCCCCGAAAAAAATATTGAAACCAGAACTCGATGAACCGGAAACTTTGTCACGGTCGGCGTGAGAATAATTGTCGGTTGCCGAGGGCAATAAAAATATAGATATTTTTGGCGTAAAATGCCATTTTCGGAGAGTCACTAGGCGCTCAATCAACCTTTGATCGGGGGTGAGGACTTTCCAGAAAAAAAAATCCGAAAAAGTTGATTTTGTCCCGAAATTTAAAGGCGACATTGATCTTGTGTCAAAATTTGAAGGATCCATGAGTCTCCAAGAAAAAAGATGTTCCTGACACTATGAACAAAATAATGTAATAGTAAACTCACAAAGGAAAATCGTCGTTTTTTCCACAAAATAGACGAGTTTTTTAAGCTGTCATGTTTTGAAACAGATATTTCTGTTGGGAAAACTACTCAAAACCTCAAAATTTCAACTTTTCATGCTTTTGAAGAGGGTTATTTCACATATATCACGTTGATTATCACTGACAATAATGAAGGGCCGAAAAAAAGACAGAAAAAGTTGAAAATTCCACTGCAACGCTTTCCAAAAAAGCCTACGCTTCAAATATCATTTATAACTTCAAACTATTCCAATTCAATTATTCACAAATGACCAGATCGCGGAAAATCAATTTATTGCTTGCAAAAAAACCATCAAAATTATATTCACAAAACTTTTAAGAGAATTCAAGGAGCATGAGAAATTTTCATATAGGTCTAAGAAACTCTAGGGGCTAAAAATTAGTTTTCTGGAGTCCTAGCGGTACTACTAGGTCAGAACCACTGTAGTGGCCACTAAGTCGCGAAATAATGACGTCTATAGAGGTGGTTTAAGTGGCCACTGAAGTGCCCTCTTCAAGTAACCCTTGACGAACCTCTTAAGTGACCACTCGAGTTTTTCGCAGTACATCTTTACTTCAAACAGCCAGCAAGGATTTTTCGAACGGTTCTCTTCGATGAAAACCAATATTTCTCTAAGAAATCAAAATTAAGACTTTTTTATATTTTCACCTGTTCTGCTGTCCCTCTCTAACTCGGAATTCATACAGAACAGAAGAGACAGGGAACAGGAAACGCGTGTGGATGTTATGGTCGTTTGGAAACAGTAAAAATATCTGATCATTGCGCAACACGAAAGCGACAACTTCCATCGAAAACTTCGCGGTTTCATGTTTTTCCAGAAGATTGATCTGTTCGTGAATTTGTAATCTTTAACCGGGATTCTTTAACCTTGGAGGAAAAAAAAAATTAAAACAGATCAAAGTTCAGAAGAACTGAAGCCTTTTATTTTTGTTTAACTTTTTGGAAGAAATATAAAAATTCTTTATGCTACTTGTTTGACGAAAAAAATCTTAAAAAAATCACAATTTCATCAAATTGCTTCAAGCCATCCCCGTAAAGTGCGGCCAGTAATTCCACATTTTCCACACGAATTTCCTTGTTCTACGTGTTTTTCGTGAGTTATTTTCCGCTTTCAACAGTTTCAAAGCTGCTGGCTCAATTTCTTTATATTTTCTCTCGAAAAATGTTCTTCCAGTCAAAAATTCTAACAAAGGTCTGTTGGATTGTCGCAACAGAAGAGGTTTAAAGGACTTATTTTAGCCGAAAAAAATTGGTCGATCAAGTTGTACAAGGTCGCCGCCGCGAGAGTAAACACGTCGTTCTTTCGGCTGGAACGGAATCCGACGCTTTCTTTTTAAGCACCAAACATTCTCATTTTCTGTCTTCAGAGGGATTTCCCGCATTTTTGGAAAGGATGATAAGAAATAACTTGTTATCAGGAAATTAAAGCTAGAGGAATTTACCGGAGAAAAAGATCCTTGTCTATAAAAGAATTGCATAAAGCAAGTCTGAGAAAAAAAATGTGCTGCAGGCCTAATATCTTGGGCCTCATATAAAATATCAAAGCCGTAGCATCATGGTTCTTTTTGGAATGGATCAACGCGCAGCGGCGGCGAAGCGGGTACTCTTTGAATTGCGCCCGACTCGAAAAGGACTTGCGCGCAGAGACAGCCAAATATTTTCAAATAAATAGGCTCGATACGTGATTCAGTGCTTGAGTCACGGTGAGCCACTCCACGTGCGTTCAAGAAATTCACGTCCATGCAAAATATTTGAATAAAATTTACAGAATAAAATATTTTTCAAAAAAAATTAGACAAAACCCCGCATCAAAAAATTCGATCTTCGAACCAAATTCGAATAATACGTTGAGACAAAAAAAAAACCCGATTAAAACGTGAAATTGCGTTTCAGGAAGTTTTTTTTTCTGGATTTGAAATGGTTGGATTCGTTAAGAAGTTTGACATAACATCAACAACAACAAAGCAAACATTTCAAAAAAACTTTCTCGAAAAAATAATTTTTTGTTATGTAGTCGCAGTCTCCTGGAGGTTTGGAATTTTTGAATCTCGGTTTTTTTCTTCTTGAATTACTGCATTATTATTATTCATCGTTATTTCAAGCATTCGATAATTATTTGGAATTTAAACTTGGCTGCATGTTCTCGCAAAATTTCCCATCCTTCGCACGTCCTCCTCACATCAATCGCTTCTGATACCCATTTTCATCAATAGAAAATAAAACCTGTCTTAATTTACCACAGTTTTTTTGGATATGGGCAGAAGCAAAGGACGAAATATATGCGAGACTCAAGGGCTCTCCACTGTGGATCCAGTTCCTCCCATACAAAAACCGAAAGCCTCGTGTTCAGGTCCCCAAACTTGTTATTTTTGCGTTTTCCCATGCTTATTTCACGGACAATCGATATTGCCCTTTGTTTCGCTTGCGAAACTCGAAAAAACAATACAAAAAGGTCGATTAAATCTATGACTAAAACAACAAAAAGAAAGGATTATTCGCTTGGTTGTTTGAAATGATTACTCATTTCTAAAAGAGAGCTAGGAGAAGATTAAAAATCAAAGACTTGACAAAAATAAACATATGAAACTGTTTTAAAGAAAACTGTGGCGTCAGAAAATATACGAAAAATCTGATTTTCACAAGTTTTCTGTACGGAGGTTAATTTTTCTGGTACTTTCTGGAAGCTGAAATTTGAGCAGCATGGGAAAAAAATAAGATATCAAAACTTCAGAAAGTTTCGAAAAGACTGAGATTCATACAGTTGTGATCAAAATCAGTTTTTTTCATGTTTTTTCTAACTATCATCTTTGAATGATACTCATCACATTTACCATCACAATAATATAAAAAAGAAAAATCCAGCAATAACATAGTATAGACAGGAAGAAAAATGAAGAATTAAAAAAATAAAACCCACAATCGCCGCCCCATATTTGGTAAGGAATCTCGTTGGAATGCCAGTCGTAGATCGGCCCCGCTATAACTTCTCGACGATGCCGATGGACCTGAGCACATTTGTATTTATTTGAACAATTAAGAAGGTTTCTTCCTTCTTTTTTATTGTTTGGAATGGTCAGTTACATCTCTGATATAACAAAATAATTTATTGAGTTATTGATTGAAATATATGCTCAAAGACGAGGAAAAAAAATTATTGACCCAAAAGTTGAAAAAATCAGTTGAATTTGAATGTAAACCACAATTAGCGGAAAAACGTGAGCAACAAAACATTTTATGAGTTTTTCGAAACCGAAACATTGGTTCATTTTCTTAGAAATCTATTTCACTGACAAGCTCATTTTAATCCGAAAGGCATTGCAGAAAACTAATCGAATAGAAAAAGAAAGCGATTACGATTCTTACGATACAAATCCTACAAGAAAAAAAAAGTTGAAAAGAGCAAAAATTAATCAAGCGCTGAAATTTGCATTATCATTGGAGCACAAAAAGGCGCGAAAACGGAATTTTTCTTCATTTTCCGAAATTTTGACTGGAACGGCTACTTTTGGACAAATATTTGTTCAATGCGTCTGTCTGGAAAAACCTTGTTGATTTTTGGCCCATAAAGATTTTTGAGACTTTTTTCAAGAAAATTGAGAAAATCCCATAAATCTCACGAGTACTTTTAATTTTTGAAGCTTCAGGGTAACTTGGAATCCGTTAATTTGCATTGATATTTAATAAGTGTCGTCAATTGATCAGGAAAAGTATCTTTTCAGTGACGGCTGTCCTGAGGTCAGAAGAAAGTCCTTTGATTCGACCTGAAGCTTTTCCCTCCTTCAGTTGTCTCAAAGCCTAATCCAATGAAAAGGAAATCGCCCTGAGAACAATCGAATCCCAAATCAACCACATGACTTTGCCAATAGGGGAAATGAACGGATCAACAGGGCAGAAGAGAAAAAAAAAAGGAAAAGCGAAGAATTGGCGCGAATCGATCCCTTTGCCACCGCAATTGCGCCACTTCTTCGTCTTCCTTTCGTTTTTCGTCCAGCGGCTATTCTGCCGTTCTTTTCTTCCGCATGTAGGCTAATAAGTCACTGTGGCGGCGGTATATTCAATGTATATTCTGCGGTTATTTGGATGGTATTGAGGAGCGTAAACTTTACACAAAAGACTGAACAACAAAAGAAAAAAGAAAAAAAAGTGGCGTCAGATCTCGAGACTGATAAGGGTAGGTCCAAACTTCAGTTGGGCAAAGACAAACGAAAAAATAACAGCAAACTCAATTCAAGGGGTTCTAGAAGTTTATGAAATTTACTGGCGTCAAATTAGACTTCTTTTTCAAACGTCTATAAAATTCAAGTTTTCTATTTTTTTCAATCTGAAAGATACCGAAGCAAAATTTGTTTAGTTAAACTGCCAAAATCAATAAATTGATTGAAAATTCATTTACGTGCCGTAAATCTATGAAAAATGTTCTACTAGACTTCGAGAAAAAATCTCAAAAGTACAAAACCAAGAAAAATTTTTTAGATAAAGGAGCAGATCCCATGAAAACACGCAAAATTGAAGGACTTTTTTTCAATTGAAATCCTTGAGCCGAAAAGGATGAATAATTCAAAAACTTCAAGTTAGAAAAAAAATATTCAGAACTATTTTTCTTCCACTTCACTCTCTTTCAGAAAAGTTTCTAAATCGAAATTTTAAAAAAAGGGTGAAAATTATGAAAATTCTCACCTCTCACTGGTCTGTTAAGAAAAACCGCAAATTTCCAAAGGAAAATCAAAAAAAAAAAGACTTTTCTGATCATCACGTGTTAATCGCATTGAAAATGACCTATTCAAGTTTAGACCAAAAAATCTAACCAGAGAAACAAGGAAAAAAAAAGTACAAAGAAAAAAAGACAAACCTTTGTCCGACTGACAGTCTCGATGGTGGTAAAGTGCGGATACTTGTCCGACGCCATCACTTCGAGCCCCGGAATATCAAAGACAGTCTGATTGGGTGCAGGTCCGAAGGCGGCAAAGGTGCCGCCTAACGTGAGGAGCACAGGCAGCATCATCGCCTTCAGTTGTTCCTCTTGAGAGAAAGTGGCAGTTGCAAAGTTTGGCAGGAGGGGGCGGGGCGAGAATTGAACCGACAGAAGAGGAAGAAGAAAAAAAAGAAGGTGAGGCGGAACTCGGGGCGGCTAATTTTGCCCAAGTAAGAACATCAGTAAGTCTGTATTGAGGTGGGTTTTGGAGGAGGAGGCTGCGGCAGTAACACACACAGCTACACGCAGGATCCAACCAATACACTCGGCCATGGTCACGCCTCCTTCTCTGTGAGGCCCTCAGGGCATATACCGGTTCTGTCGCGCTCGTGGAGCGTCAGATGATGTCGCGAGCGGCCTCTGAGAGCTTCCAAACTTCTGCCAACTCGCCGACGATCTCTACAAGATTTCTCGGGTGAAGCTTAGAAATTTCTGAAAATTTGCTCAAAAAATTTCCAAAGATAGATTCCGCAAAGGCTTCCAATTTTTTTCTGAGATATGAGAAGTCTAAAAAATGGTGTTTTGAGGCTTAATTCTGTATCAAAAGCCAATTTTTAGATTTCGCACTTTATAAGCTAGAAGCTTGCGCAGGTAGCCAATAGCAGAAATCTAAACTATCGGAAAAAAAAGTTGGGCTTTTTAGAAAATTCCAAGATTCACCCTGAAATGACCTTCCACGTGGCTTGGTTCGAAAGAAGGCTCGATTTAGCCGTTCTAATATTTTCGAAGCTTGTCTTCAATACTTTGAGGAATTTTCCTTCTAGATCAGCCCAAGCAAAGTTTCAATAAATGAAGCTCAGAAACTTTTATCCAATTTAAAAAACTCTAAAACGAAGTAGAGAGGCATATACATTTGCCTATTTATTCAGTTTCCAGAGAAGATCCCCTGCTGAATCATAGAATAATAGAAGAGTTGTTTGTCGGTTCGCGAAACTGTCGTTGATCAAGAACTGCGAGTAGAGCATCTCGCCCTTCTTGAGAGAGTAGTAGACGAGTCTCGAGGTTTCCGACGTTCAGCTTCTTTTCCATGTGGGAACAGTACGGAGCCCAGCTTGCTCAGGGCGTCAGATTTAAAATTCAAGCAAGCGCAGAAAGGAATACCGACCTATCAGAAGGTAGAAATGAGATAATCTGACGCCCTGAACAAACTGGGCTCCGTACTGTTCCCACATGGAGAAGAAACTGAATAATAATGATGAGAGTGTATTGGATTGCACTTTCATCATTTTCGCTGCATGAAATGGTGAAACTTCCAACTCATCCGTTTCACCAATTACTCTTAATACTTGAAGCTTTGATCTTCTATTATTCTAGTGGTGCAGCTTCCAAACTATTAAACTTCAACATTCCACAATAAACGAAACAGATTTCGACTGAAAACTCAAGAAATTCACTACTCGGGCAAAGTCTGAATGGTGGATAATTGCCGCTAAAAGCGAGAGGTTCAAAAAAGGCCTCAAAAAGGCAGCAAAGAAACTCTTTATCGAGCCTTCCATTTTGTCTGGGACTTCAAAGGCTCAAGCAATGGTGGAGAAAGGAAGAGGCAGCAAAAATGGTGCATAAGTGCCGATAGCATAACGCAAAAAAGGAGTCTTCTTCACCCTAAAAGGAACATTTCCATGGAGCCTTCCAGCAGCTTTTATGGACTCTCGCAGGGTCCTTCCGACTTTGCCTATGTATTTTATGTTGTAAAACCTCTCAAGGCTTTCAAGATCTATACTAAATCTGCGAATCAGAAGTACTCTAAAGATCGTTTTTCTTTCGCTTATTTCGAAAATCGCCTTTCCGCGCCACTTTTTTTTTGAAGTCGACAATGTTTGAGAATCGCAAAAGTTGAACTAAAAAATCAAGGTACTTCAATTATTTTTGTCTGAAAAAAATTGCGTCCAAATATCTACTTGCCTATAACTTCTTGTTTTTGTTCAGTTTTGATTTTAGTGTTTTTAAAAAGCTATTACAGCTGGTCTTAGAAGAAAATTCGAGCCGCGTCCATTCGAATATACTGTGAACCGTTTTTTCCCCCTAAATAACTCTTCTTAAAAATGAAACTCTTCAACTCAAACCCCTCTCGAGTTTCTTCTTCTTGATAGTAAGAATTCCAGTTTTTCGTAAAAATAGCATCAAAATTGCAAAACTTCTCTAACAATACCAATACGACGACGACGACGAAAAACGAGCTCATCAAAAAGGAAAGAAAAGGAACGGCAAACCGAAAAAAAGTGTTGAGAACGATTCCTAAAAATACATTTTTCTTTCTTTTTCTTCATTTATTTCAAGTCGACACATGCAAGGTGTATCAAAGCTGAAGAGGTTTGAATATCACAGTTTGGAATGGAATCTTCATTGAAAAAAGCCTAGAATCTCTAAAAATTGAATTTTTAGTTCTTAAGAAGATTTATAGTTTATGAACGAGCTTTGAAAAACTGAATTCACTTGAATCTTACAGTTTGAAATCGACATTTTCATGGAAGAAAAAACACAGGATTTCTAAAAAGGTTATCTATACCTTAGAAGGATATTTATAAGTTTATGAGTGAGCAAAACTTACAAAATTTTCTTTCAAGAACTTCCAAAAACAGCTATTCCCATTCTCACACAGCAGATCACACTTTCTGGTGTGACTTTGAAAAGCGAGATCGGTCCCGTTGTAAGATTCTTTCTCGCCTTTCGGCAATGGTGATCAAGAGAAAAAAAAGTATCACGAGGAAAAGTTTGATAGATCCGTGAAGCTTGTGATCATTGCAACCAAGTTTTGACAGGAGTAGTAAACTCATAAGTGAGAAAACCACAAAAAAAAAGCCGCCTTTTAAAAATTTGACAAGAAAAGAGCACGAATAAGGAAGAAAGAGCCGTTTCATTTTTTCAAAACAAACAAACCTAAATAATGATTCTTGCACGTAAAAAAACACTTTTCCCTATATTGAAAATAACTTTTTCTGCATCAGACTATTTTCTAGAACTCTACCTGTGACTCAATATGAGATGGTAGTTATAAGATGAGCACAAAAATTGAAACCTTTCATTGAGCCATTACGCAGTTTCACAAATTGTCATCAAAAACCCTTTTTTTTCAAATTTATTTTATCAAAGTTTTCTCCGTACTCTTTTTGGTCTTATTTACTCTCCGAATAAACTACAGACTGCGTTCTCAAGGTCAGTTTTCTAATGATTTTTTCTTCAAAACAATTTCTACTTGGAACAAACTCACTTCCGAATTTCAATTCAGCCACCACTCCAAGCCTTTAAAAAATTTACTGGTCAATCTACCATTGCACGAGATCTTCTTGTTTATTCCTCCACGACTCAAAGGATGTATAACTGTATAATGTATTCTCTCAAATTCTAGATCCAAGTGAACTCGTTAGGGTTCACGCTGATCCACAATATCTTAAAGGAAAACCTGGTAAATGGCTCTCTGAGAGTGCTCGTTGTGGAGGAAAACCCCATTGAAAATCTCTGGAAAAAAATTTTGGATGATTTATTTATCCCTACTCGATGAACCTTTCTCGAATTGCCTTAAAGACGGCTTCAAGAGTGTAACTGTGATTACCGAAAGCCGACTTTTTTCGTAAAATCCTTCAATTTCGATTTCCTGCAACTGTACGACATAGGAATACCTAACCCGCTGAACATGTTCTTGTTTTGCAGATGATGTTACATTAGCGGGGGAGGAAGGGGAAACTCCGCTCGGTTCACGTTCTTCTTACTGCCGCAAGTTGTGGTCGCAGTAAGTGCTGGAGATACATGTTATTTGGCCCAAGGAGAAAGTGTGAAACAAAAAAGTGGACATTGCCACAGAGATACATACTGCCATTGCCTACGAGTTTCGAGGCAGAGACACTTTCCGATTGGGCGACGGCGAAGAAAGCAAAATCTGTCCAAGCCGATCAAGCATCAGCCTTTTGAGGGATGTCTCTTTCATAGAAAAAAAATCAAATTTTTCAGTAGTTTGTCAGAAAATTTGATAATCTGAAACTTGAGAGAAGCAAAGCTAAGAGCCTGAAGTTATAGTTCACGAGGTCGATGGATCGAGCCTCATTTAGTCGGCCAATCCTTCAATTTTTTGGAGCAACAAAAGTTAAAAGCGAAACCTTGAGAAAAAGCTCAAAAACTACTTTCAACATTCCAAAAAATCTAGATTCCCATGTTTTTCACGAGATTTATACAGCTAACATGGACGCGCTACAGTTCTGTCTGCTGTTGATCCCAATGAATTTATTTTGGTCCAGTAAGGAAATCTGTCTTCAGGAATTATTATATTCATACTTAAAAAAAAATCTTTCTGTTTCTTTAATATTCACTAAATTGGGAATCCAATTGTAAGGCCAGTCTAAAGATAAGTTTCAAGAAGAGAAATGAAGAAAAAAAGAAAAAAAAAGAAAAAGGAAGAAAAAAATCTATCTAGCAGAGAAAGGCGTCAGATTGTCTGCAGCTTCATCGATGCGACATCGCTATAGATCTTTCTTCTGGGATCATCAAAACGATTATTTGGAGCTGAAGGCCATCTCTTCAAAGTTCACAGGTACAGAAAATCATAATCGTAACTCAACTCAGAAAGCTTTTCAAAATTTTTTTAAGGACAAATTTCATGTATTCTTTAATTTTGGGTTAACTTCGAATCTTACATTTTAACAAATTTGCGCAAGATTTGGTGTACTATCGACAACTTCAAAGACTTGAAACAACCAAATTACAAGCCGTAAACTCTCATGAAGCTTCAGATTGCTTCCTTCTTTTTTGACAGACATAATCATCTTCCAATAATGCCGAAAAAAGTTGAATGTAGATTTTTTTTTTCTCGGCGTGAGGAGCGGTGGGTTCAAAGATCTAAAAATTAAAATTTATCAATGAACCGTAGATTTTTTTTAAATCTCTAGATGCTTCTCTCGGCAGACATACTCATCCTAAAATAACCCTCAAAAAGAAACAGAAACATTTTTTTGATCAGCTTGAATACCACTCAGAAATTTTACAGACCCAAAACTGTAAACTTATTAAAGAGCCGTAAATTCTCATAAAGCTTCTAGTTGCTTCATCCTTGTAGCCAGGCTTATAACATAATCATGCCTAAAAAGTTCGACTAAATGTAACTTTTCCCTCTCGGCTTGAGTACCAGTGAGAAACTTCGCAGATCCAAAAACGTAAAACCCATTTACAAGCCGTAAATTCTCATCGAACTTCCGCGACAGACATACTCACCCCGAGAGTGAACTGCCATTTGAGCGATGGGATTCGGGGCAGAAGAACCCGTTCCACGACGCTTCAAAAGGTCACCCACGTCAGCAGATCTCGGGTTGGCACGGAGGAGGCGAAAGCAAGAAAAAGCTTGCCGTTGCCAAGAAGAGACGCGAGAAATCTGAAAGGGAAACGCGACGAAACCGGATATCGAGACGGTTGGCAAATGGTGACGAGAAGTTCTCCAAGTGCTTCGAAATGAGATGCGGGACGACGGCACCGAAACCGAACCACGGCATGTGCGGTGCGGATAAAAGCGAAAGGGATCACGTCATCTCAATCAGACCAAAGGAATCACCGTTTCGAGTCTGTGAAATGAAATGAAAACGTCGTAAAAAATAGGTCTCATAGACCACGAATGCTTTCAAACCAAGCTTCAAAGGAATATATCTGAATTTTTTTTTCCAAAAGTCTTTACTGGGAAAGGTACAAAAGACTTGGACGATTGAAAATAACTCTGAAAACGGCAGTTGGTCTTTATTTCTACATTAAATTTGGCCATGCTTCTTTGAACATCCTCGCCAGATTTTTTTACAGACCATTTTCAAAAAAATATAAGTTTATGCTAATGTATTGTGTGGACCTCTTGCTCAGCACGCCTATTCGCTAATCGTGTCAAGACCCTTTACTTAAATGTCCTAGCGATTGATGGAGTAAAAAAAGAGCTTCATTTTTTTAGCTATCGGAAAGAACCTCTGCAAAAACTTTAAAAAGAAGTAAGCTTAAGAAAAAAAGAGAGTAAAAACTATGCGAAAAAAAAAATTAATTTTCTATTCATTTTTTTATACGACAGTTGCGGGTTCTTAGGCCTTTAGGGAGTTATCCTATTACTAGAAGAGAGCCCTCGAGCATTTCTTCGTAGAAGCGTTTTCGAATAAAGTTCTCCTTCAATAAATCACGTCTCTTCAAGAATAAGAACCTCGATTAAAACTTCTCGCCACAACTACCATTTACCGGGAGTCCGAAGAACACCAATTCCTAATCAAACCTGTACATTTACCCTTTTTCCCCTGACCTTCGCAAAAAATGATTGCATTCAAATGACAGCAACTAATCGCTGCCCGGTCGAAACCAACAGAACCAGTCCAACAAACTTGACCTCCAAGGTTGCGAGACAAAAAATGAGTGTAAAAAAACGATAGGTATCGCTCTTGAACTCTGAAGCTTTTGAGAAGTTCCAGTCAATTCGGAATGAACCGCGAAGAGTTTTCCGAAAGTTTATCGAATAAATCGGAAGTCAATAGATAAACTCTTTTCAAAAATTCAAGAACAACTTCTTTAGAAATTGGCAAAAAAAATCGCATTCTGGTTTTCGTAAAAAAAAACTGAACAGAAGCTGTTTCAACCATTTTACTCTCCCCTGAGTAAAAATCAAAAATAGACGGCGCAAAGAAAGCAAATCAATAGATTGATCATATGGATTGGAGAAACTGAAGTTAGAAAAGCGGGAAGGAGGAAGAAAATGTCGAGTTTTCAGGCCTTCCGGACCCGGTAAGTGTAGGCAACAGTTGCGACGAGCTTCCAAAAGAATATGGCAAAAAAAATGAAGCCAAAGTTGCGCCAGTAGTGATCCGGATGAAAAGAAGCATCAATAACAGCCTGAGGAAGGCAAATATATCAAGCTTTCAGAGGAGTTTACAATGGATTTCGATAGAAGACTCCAGAGCTATTTTAAAATCGGGCAAAAGACGTGATAGACAAGAATCAAAAAAAATCTCAATCTCCAAAACTTTCTACTTTTCGAGAAAAAAAGTTTCCCAGGTCAAATTCACGGTACCGTACCCAAAAAAGCGACTTGTAAAAGAGAATTATTTGCAGCTTGAGACTCCCATGAGCTCCTCTAGTCTATCCAGCCCAACTTTCAAAAAATTCCCAAGCTCCAACTAGAAAGATGTTCTTTACCTGTTCGCCAGTCGAACACGGGACATCAGGCAGGTCCGCCTGGCCCGTACAGCCTTCGATATGGCCGCGGTCCGCGAGTAATCCAATCAGGATGATTTCGAAGGCATAGCCATGCCAGGAAAGATATTTGAACGGATAGAAGTAAATGGGGATACGGTCGCGAGAAATATAGAAGCCCCCTGAAATCTTCAAGATTTCGATCGGGCCAAGTCAAAAGTAAAAAATAGGGCAGAGATAATTCAAATTATGAAAGTCTTAGAAATGATGTTTCAGAAATTCCTGAGAGGGTAGGGAACTTTTCGCGTCAGAAAAAAAATAGAAGGATGAAACAGCCTCCCCTAAGAACTTGTGCAGGAGTTTTCGTGCTCCATGGCAAATTTTTAAAATCAAAAGTGAGCGATGCACTATATGAAGACAAAAATATTCAGGGATAAAATTCGGCTGTAGCCGATGAAAAAAAATTCATCCCACCGATTTTTATTTTTTCTATCTACCTGTGAGAAGTGTCAAAAGTGTCTATTAAAAAAAGAATATAGCAAAATTTTGGATAAAGGTTCCCAAAAAAATCTATTAATACTTCAATTCTCGGTATAACACAGACGCCGCGTAGTCAGAGCCTTTTTCTGGCCTCTTTCAAAATTCAAAATGTTCTTTTCATCACATTTATATTTTTTTAAAAACCACTGAAAGTTGAGATCTACCAACCACAAGTCATCAGAGGAATGGTGAAAAGTGGAACGAGCGACATCGCCGTCGGCAAATCGCCAAAGCAAGATGCCGCCGCATGAGCTGAACATCAAAGTGTTCGCAAAATAAAAATGGAGCTTTTCGAACCGACTGAAGACGCCGTTGCACTCATCAAGATCACCACGACGACATAAGTCGTTATCGAGAAGAAATTCAACGGCAGACCTGAAGTTTGCGCTTTTATTTCAAGATATTCATAGCTACATTCAAACCGGCCATGAAATAGACGATGGTCGCGAAAATTGCCGGAAAACATAGATATTGGATAGTCTAAAGACGGAAATTTCTGAAGGAGAAAAAGTTGGAAACCAACGTCGACAAGGCTTTTGGCGGCAAAGTATGCACTCGGGCTGTACATGTTGGACTGATACTCTCGGACAACTATCGGAAAATCGCGCCAGAAGATCTGGGAGAAGATTTTGAACGTATTTAACAAACTCGGATGGATGTTCAACTTTGAGAGCTTCAGAAAATGTCAATCTTATCATACGACTCTGAATCTCTACTTGAAAACTGCCAAAAAGGCGAAAAAGTAATGATTTCTCAAAGTTGTACAAATCAGGCTTTTCGATTGAGCTGAACTTTGGATAAGTAATATGTAACTTTTTTCGGGTTTTTTTTGAGCTTACCTTCTGTCTAAAAAAGGTCACTTAAATTTGAAAAGTTTTCTTTTTCAGCATCGATAGGACATAAAATATCTCACAGGCCTTCTCTTAGGCAAAAATTCAGAACCATCATAAAAAATTGCCTTTGTTGTTTTCAGACGCCGGTGGCGCTTTGAGTTCAATTCATAACCTAGCTTCTCAGACTGTCCTTGAACACACTAGAAGATTCCAAAACCTAACCGTCATACTCGGAAAGAGGAAGAGCATGTGCATGAGTTGCACGGAAACGAAAGAAATGCCCTTATAACTGTCGAGATGGGCCTTGTCCAGCGGCATTTGCAGGAAGACGCAGCCCAGCATGATGGACATCAGCTGGAAAACCACTCAAGTTGTCCCTTCGTCTAAGAAAAGGACCGTTGTCTGGAAGATTTTGATGATGATGAGTTGCCGGTCGCGCATCAGCTGTTTCCAGGCCCGATCGAAAAGGTAAACAAACTGGGAGACCCAACTTCGGTGGAACCTTCAATAACACTCATCTGAACAGGGTTTGGAACGAATCGAAGACAAATATGAAGGGTAAATGGCCTCCAGACATGTTTTTTGAAGGAAGCGGGCTCAAGGACTACATAAGGTTTGCATGGAAGATGGCAAAGGGAGGATTTTGCGATGAACAAAAATCTTTCGAATCTTCTGATTTTTCAACCTTTGACCTATGGAGAAAAAGACGTAAAGATTAATACAGCATATTCCGAGCTACAAAATCGTTCCGTTTGAAGCGCGTGGCTTGTTTCTTCACATGAGCCTTTGAATAGGCATGAAAATTCCGTTATAAGAAAGGCGCATGAACATCGAAAAGAAAGATACTGTAGCTCACAGGAAAACGGAAATCGTGACAATCTGGTGCGGTATTAGCTATAATTACCCTTTCAATTAGCTGAGCCTTCAAAATGACTTCTCGAACAAACCATAATTTACTGCCATCCTCAGCTCCTTTCGACGAGTAGCAGGACGGCGTCTCCGGCTTGGACATTTCTTCATACTCGTGGTAGACTCTCTGAAAAAGATTTTTCAAAGGGGAATTTTCATTTCACATCGTTTGGAGAGTTCCCTGAATTCTAAATAAAAACTATTAGCAGACATTGTCAAGCTCAAAAAGTTGGAGGATTCCCAGAACTTCTGAAAATACAAAAACGTAAATGTAAAGGAGAATCAGATACGCTTAAAATTAAAAATTGTAAAATTGTAAAATAAAATATAAGGATATTTTTCGAAAATCAGTTCAAAATTTCAGTCTAATTGAGAAATTTTTGAAAAGGTATAATGAAACACCTATTCACTAAAAAAAAATTCAGACTTCCCTTCTCATTTTCATTTTTCATCTCATTCTAAACTCCTATCGAAACCTGGACACGATCTGTGAACTGAATCTCCGTTTCCGAGTTGCCCTGAGAAACGATCCGCATGAAATGGTCAGGCAGACTGATAAAATCTGGAAGTTTGTAACCGCATCTGAAATAATCTAGTCCTTATTGAGATTCTCTGGGAAAAAAAAATCTGGCGAAAAAAGATTCGACATTAGATGCTGCACCGTGATAAGCCACTTTTCCCTGGCACATCAGAATTAGTCTGGAAAAAAGAATATTTAAGAGAAAGAAAAAGCTAAAAAAAAAGCCTTCAAGAGAAAAGAGATCGCAGAGAAAGCAGGTTTTTGTGATGAACTGGTTGGTATATCACATCCCGTTTATTTTACTCATTTGCTTTTTTCTTCTTGTTTTTATGAAGCTTAGATCCCTCATGTAACTGATAATGAATGACATATACATCCTTATCGACTTTGTTTTCACATTCTGAGGAAAAAAACGAACGTATCGGCCATCTGATAGACGATAGTGCTCGGCTGATGGATCGTGCAAACTATCGTCTTATTTTCCTTCGAAAGTCTCACCAACGACTTGACTACCTGAATCTCGAGTCAAATTAAGCATATTTCCTCTTTTCCACCTGATGAGCCATATAAGAATCCAATCCTGACGTCGGTTCGTCGCAGAACAAGATTGGTGGGTCCGTGAGAACCTCAACAATTTTCGAATTTCTCGTAAAATATATAAATACACTTTAGAAAAAGTTCAAAATAAAGTTCTTACTGAATAATTTTTCTTTAGAATATAAAAAAAGAGCTCACAGTAACCATAATGAGAACGACTAGAGGCACTGGAACAGAATATAACCAAAAAACTCGAGGATTTTGAAGAAAAATAAAGTGCGAAATGACAAGGAATGATAAAAAATTGCTTCTAAGAAAAACCATTTTGGATTTTTATAGTAAACTCGACAAGCTTTATTTTTTCCATTCATTTTTTCGTTTCGCATTTTCTTTTAAAAAAAAATCAGAGTACTGAGCACCCTCAATGTATGTTTCTTTCAAAACCACAAACTTCACAAGCAAAAGCGAGTCTTTTCCGTTCTCCACGAGAAAGACTTTTCTCCAGACTCGAGCCGACCTTCGTATCTTTGCACTTTGAAAGGCTCATCTCAAAATGTTAACAATTTCAAACAAAGCAAAAATTCTGATAAGTACCATCGAAATGAGATCATCAACAATTTCATGCCTTTCATCTTCAGTCAGCTCTTTTGGAGATCGCAGCTTTGCCTGGAATCTTTTGAATATTATTTTAAAACGTTTTTGTAAATATTTTTCTATTCACTTTACTAAAAATCAATACTTTCAGGTTTTTCAGGCTTCAAAGTTCGACCTGTCAAAATTTCTTCATATATATTTGACTTTTTTGCAGCTTCTCGGACCTCGGTAACGCAAATCGGACTCGCTGCGGACGTTTTTGAGCAATTCTAAGGATCTCTTAAGAGTGCTGACGCTACTAAAGTGGTCACTAGAAATGGCCCAACACGTCCGATTCGCGTGATGTGAAAAAAGTGATGACATGGAGATGTTTTCAAGGTTTTGCTTCTCTTTTTCTGAGAAAAGGGAAAAGCTGACAGCGAAATGAAGGGTTTCGGAGACGGTGAGGAGTCCGATGAAGACGTCGTCCTGTTGCACGTAAGCACTGACTTTGTTCATATCTCCGGGGCGCATTTCTCGGCTGCCAATTATTTTATTTAGACAGTTTCAGACCACATGTAATGAAGCTGATTATACATTAAAGTGTTTGGATAATAATGCACTTTTTCGATTTGACTTTTTTGTTATTTCAAAAATCTAGTTAACATTAGGTAAAAATGAACATTTTGATAATCTAAAAATTTTTTTAAAAAATATTTTTTTCACAACCAAAAAAACTTCTTTTTTTCTCATCAAAACGAACTTATTGACGAAAACTTGTCCCTGCCGCTCAATTTTCTTCAAATTCCTTCCAGTCAGAATATTCAAAAGTGTCGTTTTTCCAGCACCACTGCAAAAAATCCATTTTTTTCCGCTTCGATATCACTTCAAACACCTGGATCCCATGATGAAGGTAACTTCGCCAGCTTTCGCGCACCCAGTTACTGAAATTCGAACATTTTCCTATTTTCTCGGTTTCAAGACCAGATTTGAGAATCGGCTTGAGATCTTGGTCGTCTTTTCTCACGGACGCTTCAATGTTCAACCAAGAAAGCTTTTTCTGAAAAAAACAAGGTTTCGAAAAAAATGGACGTTTTCACCGATACGACGCTTTGAGACACAGAACTGCTCATTTCTGACTTTTTCTCCTTAAAAAAATGTTTGATGGACAATCCAGAAAGTTATAATGACTTTGGAGGTTCTGCGAAATCGCTGACTAGCCAGCGCGATATCGCGTTCATCGTCCAGATCTTGTTGAGTCGGCGCCGTCGAAGGCTCTTCTTCTATTGTCACCGCCACATTTTCTTTCTAGATGTCGAAAAATTAGTTTTCCATAACTTCAAGGAAAATTCAATCATTAATTTCTGAAAACTTCCATGATGAGTGATGAAGCAGGTTTTATGTTATGTCTGATTAAATGTATTAGGCTGACTCGTAATAAATTAATTCTTCAAGCTTAATAACTTCTGATATATTCAACAAAGCGATCTTCAAAAATTTTCATTTTTCTTACCAATGAGTAGAATAAAACACCCGAAAAAATAAGAGCTCGACAGATGATTTCGATTTCTTCAAAGTGACAGTAAAAGAAACATTCGTTAAAACTTTTTAGTGGTGGGAATTTTTTGAGAATTCGAAAAGAATAATGAAATCGGTTAAAAAAAAACATGCAGGTTTTTTGAAAGAAATCGCTGCAACTTTATTTGAAAATGATTGAAAGTCGAACTTTTCTGAAGTTTCCTTCTAAAATTGATTGATCACCGTATTTTTACCCTGTTTTTTTCTTTCATAGGAGTAAAAAAAGCATCATCGAAAAAAATCCAAGCATTATCGCGATTTCCTCACCTTTAAAAGTGGCTCTTTCAATTTATCCAAGCCTTGTTTGTCGAGAACTTGTGTGGCCGACCTGTGGGTCAGAAGTGCTATAAAAAGCTTCAATTTTCAGCATCACAATGAGAAAAATTACAGCGCTTCTCTCCTGAACTCCCACGTGAAGATTTCTGTAGAAATTTTGATTTTCAAAGATTATTTCTTTTAAAACTTACATTATCGCGTTCGCTAGTTTGACGGGTGCTTCCTGAAACAAAATATTCAAGAATCAGAAAAATCTTCGATATAGTTCGATAACATCGAGTCATGAAAGCACAGCAGTAAAAAAAGGTACCGTACACTTTTTTTTTTAAAAAATCTGTAGAAAGGCAGCAAAAGACAAGAAGGTCTCGAAGAGAAGTTTGGTCCAATCGGGTATACCGTATTTTTTTGCAGAAAAAGGGACAGATTGGGGTATAATCCAAACTAGTTTTGAACATTTTCAAAATTGGTTCGAAAAACGACGTTTGAGAGCCAAGATAAAGATTAACCTCCAGATAACTTCATCGGAACTTTTCAAAATGACAAAACTATGATAACATCAAATACGCGGAAAACTCAGACTTATACGGATTTTTGTAGAGTTCATTGGACTGGTCATTTTTTACGAATTCCTTCTTTAATATTGACAAAAATTGGCGCATTCCATTCAAAAATAAGTAAATTTGCAAAACTTTCGAAACACATCGCGTATTGCATTTGAAAAACTAAAAACCTTTTTTTGATAAATAATCATCGGAAAATTAAACAACACTCTCCCGCGAGAAAACGTGAAAAAAAAAACTTGGAACCTTCATTTTTTCAAACAAAAGCTGATAAAATCGATAGAAACGGCTCATTTTTCATCTATAATACACGTAAGTAAAGCGAATGGCACAAAAATCGAGTGGAAATTCTAGAAAAAGCATAACAATAGAGTATTGGTACATACAAAAAAGCACAGATCAAGAAAATACCTAGAAGATTTGATACATGATGACCAGTTAGTTTCCTTTCTCTCTTTTCATAAGCTCGACTTTCTTCGGAGGCCAGCTCCTTTGAATCCGGTCACTTTGAAGGCGTTCACGGGCGTCGGTTCCACGTCTTCCGAGTTAGATGACGTCGAATGGATATCCAGGTCGCCCAGAAGCCTTTTCTTCAAGGATTCGAATGATTCTAAGAAAACATAAAAATTGGAGACACCTTCTCGGCGATCGGTTCCTTCTCGGTTGGAGTTTCGCTTTTCTTGAGAAAAACTGGTTTTCGAAAGGGATTTGAACAGTTCGGACTTCTGTAAACCGTTCATTTTTCATTAAGAAAGACAGGAATCCTCAAAAATGACGTTTTTCAAGCCTCATGATATCCATTTATACAGAACTCAAGCCAATACGGTTATAAAAAAGAATCGAGATTTTCGCGATTTTTTCTGAAGAAAAATAAATAATTGATGTAGGGAAGTTCGTAAAATTCTTTCACCATGAATACAGGCGTCTTAAATGAATAATTTAGATTGAAACTTTTTCAACTCGTGAAGGCTTTCTGAAGTTAAAGGAAGTATGAATAAATTTTTTTGGACTTTTTAGAAAAATCATCCGATTAAAAAAAGCTATCAAAATCCGAAAAATTATTTTCCTAAGTTTCAAAATCTCTCCTTTTTCCAATTTAAAAGCGCAATTTTCCTCTATTCAAACGAAAAAAAAATTCCCAATCCACCTGCCAAGGAAGTAAGAGCTCTGCTTCGAAGAAACAGGCGTGATTTTCGAGGAATTGCTCAAGTTTTCGCCCTCCTTTTTTTCAACAAAGGAGAGGAGAAATTCGAGGTAGACGGGGTCGAAACAAACTTTTTGACCTCCGGAGTAGGAATCACCTCCGAATTCTCGATATTCTCAACTATAAAATATTCATAAATGTTTCTTTTTTCGCTTTCATTACCTTCATCTTTCTCTTCTTTCAAATTCTCCTGATTCTCCGTCGAAAAATCTTCAACACTTGCTTTTTCTTCTGTGATCTCCACAATTTTCGTCTTGATCTCCGAAATTTTCACTTCCTCTTCTACAAAAAACAAAATCTTAACTCAAGTTTCAATATTTTGGAAGTAACCTATCTCGATATCGTCCAAAAAGGCGTTTTCGACCCTCGAAACGCTCTTTTTCTCCATTTTGGGTCGTTTTTTGGCGGTCGGTTGACTTGGTGAACCACTTTTCTTAACATTTGATTGGAAATATATCAGAGGGAGATTTTCGAGACATACAGCGCCATAACGAGCTATCATAGACTCTGCAGAATAGTCGCCACTCGCTTCATTTTTCAAGGATTTGTCGGGTTTTTTGTTGGCAGCCTCGTCGACGTCGTCCAAAAACCGAGCCACCATGCTGTTTTTCCCTTGATCCAAAAGCTTCCGTTTCTTGGGCCCTGCCGCTGATTCAGCTGGATTCGTCTTTGTTTTTCGGGTTGCCGCAGAATCCACCTGAGTTATAAAAGGTTCAATGAAGAACAAAAATGATTTTTTTTTAATTCTCAGTTTGTCCAAAAATCTTTTCTGCGGAATTAAAAAGAACAGGAAAACGTCAATTTTTTTCAGTATAACTAGCTAAACATTCTTTATAATAAAAACCATCTCTTTTTTCATTTGATTTTACCAAACTTTTATATGTCAAAAATAAAAGACGATAACGTCTCTCCAAAAATGTGTACCTTTTTGTCATTCTTTTAAACCAGCAAATACATTTATCCAGAAAAGATACAGATTTTGTCCATTCTAGGTAAAATTCGAAAAATATATTTTATAAGGCTTTGATTTTCTTCTTCAACCAAACAGTTACGATGAATATTATAGTGCGGTCTGTTTTTTTTTTTTTTCGAGGACGAAACTTTTCAGAATCTCTCTATGACGGCTTAAAAATTTCACTGAGGATAAGTGACTGAACTGGTTTTTGTTTTTCCATATCGATGTTTTTTTCTTCTTTCGAATAATCATTTCTCCATTCCAATATATATTTTTTTCATTTCTGCATGTTGAAATAAATCAAATTTCCCATACCTCCTCAGAACAGCTGTTTTGGCATCTTTTTCTAGGAAATTTGTATCTTTGTTATTAAAATCTAAGCTCCATTAACGCCAACTTATTCAACGTCGTGACATGGAATGGCTCAAAATTTAGCGAAGGAGTCTTTCAAATTGCTCAGAGCACAAGTTTCTCAATGTCGGGCCTGGCATTCATTTTTTTCAGACCCACCTCAAAAGCGCCACATTTCGTTTCCTTGATCCGTTGTTCCTCGGCCTTGAGTTCGCGGATACTTCCACGTGACACAAATCTATCAATCAATTATTCTTTTTCTTATCTATTGAAAATCATCTTCTCACTTCGAAGACCACACAGACCAGCTGTTCTCATCTTCAAGAAGGAAGAATTTGTCGTTGAGTGAAGGTTCGGTCGCCTAGAACACCAGAAGCTCAATATTCCATGCTATTTTGGAGATCTACCGTATTCCCGAGAGCGAGTCGAATGGCAGTTCGTTGGGGCACGACTTCTCCAGCATAGTGAAAGCTTTCAGAACTGATCGTACTGTTCAGAGAGGACGCTTCAGAATTTTGGGACATTTTCAACTCCGATAGTTCTTCATCGCACTGGATGACTTCTGGTGTTGGCGAACGCGAGTCCAGAAGCGAATAGAAAGATTCTGTCGATTCAGAACTGGTCTGAGAAGACGTGACGTTCTGCGAGGAATCTGGCGACGTCTTATAAGGCGTCAGAGGCTTCTGACACCTTTCTCGAGGGTCGAAAACGACCTAAATGAGGGAAAAAGTTTCAAAACTTGATAAATGATAAAATAGGTGAAAAGAAAAAAGATCTAAAGTGTTCGTTGGCCACTTTAGCGTTCTTTCCAAGTAGTCCTTGAGGGATCTTTTAAGTGGCCCCTAGAGTTTTCCCAGTTGCTAAAAATTTTGATCCAGATTTGTGAAATAATTGAAACTTTTTGTTCCTCGCTTTTAAAATTTTTTTCGAAATTTATCAGTTCTTGACCTACCTAATGAGCAAAAAAAGCTCACCTGATGCATGAAAGTGTTCTCAGCACGGATGAAATCTTCAACAAACTGAGGCGTGATTTTCCCCCTCAGTTTGGGCATATTCAAGTACAACGGCACTTTGGGCAGAATCTAGAAAAAAATTATTTCTCCAATAATAAAAATACACCGACTCTTTTTAGATCGGAACTAGAAGTTTTCGAGAAAAACTTCAAAGCAGTGGCGAGTCCAACGCCTTGAAGTCCGGACTAAAAAAATCTTGAAATTTTCGAAAAAAGGTCCGAAATTCTAGCCTGAAGGTAATCACACCCGGCGAGGATGCAAATTCGTCGAAACTTAAGGAAATCGAACTTATTTCCGCCCATTTCTCCGCTAAAACACTTGGAAAGCTCGCTTTTTTGATAGACCATGCATTCGCCGTTGTTGTGTTGCCATTTGAAGTAAATCTGAAAAAACATTCCTTTCTTGTTCTTTAAAACTTGGCTTTTTTTTTAAATTTCTCTTGCAAATTTTGGGAATGAAGATGAATTTGGAAAATCTACAAGAACCGTTTTCCTTTCTCTACGTTCCCTTTTTGGATTTACCAAAAATATTAACAAGTTTTTACCCACTCGACCATAATGAATAGATACTGAAAAGGTAGACTTATTTATCCGTGAGTTTTTTCAACTTTTTCACTTTTTGAAAACTATAAACCTAAAAAAAAATAACATTTGCTCATGAGACAGGAAAATAAGGACCAAGAATGGAGATTTTTAAGTGGATTATGTTCTTGTCTGAAGAAAAGTTGACCTGATCACATCCAAAAACAATGAGGTCCGAGTCTTCAGTGACGACGGCGTCGGCCAGTTTTGACATCATCAAATAGGCGAGCTGTGCGTCTGCCTCATATGGGGCCACCACGATGTCCACGTTTTTCACTTTTCGGAAGCACTAAAATCGGCTAAAACCGTTTTTAAAAAAATTCAAATGATATAAAATGATTCCGTTCAAGAAAAATAGTTCTATCAGGTCCAACCCATCCTATCCTTTTTTTCTCGGGCCCCCTTGAAAAATTCGATCTTTCTCCACTTTACTTTAGACTATATCCGAGATTTCAACTCTTCTCAAAATTATTTTCGGTATTGATAATCTCCTTAAAATTGAACTTTCAATCTTTGGATTCGATTTTTTTGAACGAAGTCCACTTCTCAAAGTAATTTTTCTAATATGTTTTTTTCCGGAACAATCCCTATTCCCAAGTTTCAATTCAGCCACTCAGAGTCTCTATAAAAGTTTAATTTTGTACTTCCTTGAATTTTAGATCCGAGTGAACTCTTGAGTTGAGGAAATTCTCATCTAATGTCGTCATAACCAAGAAACCTTTTTTGAACTAATTTTTCGAAAAAAAAACCTCTCATACTCGACCTGGGTATGGTTAGATTACTCCAAACTTCGTGAAAAAAAAATAATAACAAAGTTTATAACCTCCTTTAACCTGATGTTTTTTTCCTAGTAATAAATATACAATTATGGCAAAACATTGGAAGAACCACTTATTTCATAGATATTTCACAAAAGAAAAACTGCATCATTTGTCAAATCCTTATTTTTGCCTTCGACAATGAAAAAAAAAAAATTAACTTCACACTTCCCATGGCAATTTCAGACCCACAAACTAACCTCAATAGTCTTCTCGACGACTTCGCGGGAAATTTTGGTCGCCATTCGGAATTTTTCTCGCGCCTCTTTCACCTGGCCGCGGGCCAACAAAATCTCTCCTTTCCTCACATTTTCCTCCCTTCGGATCTTCCTTCCGTCATTGATATCCTGAAACTTCCATTTTTTGCAAATAACTTGAACCTAAAGTGACCTTTTTGGCAGGCAAAGGCCGTCCGTCGAAAACCATAATAACGTGACAATCAAGCTCCAACAGAATATCAACATACCGTTTCACGTATCCCAGATATCTAGAATGAGTTTTTGTTTTTCATTCGTTAATATCCATAGAGATACTCACGAATCCGTGTTTGTTCCCATGTGAATCTGATCCATGCATCCGAAAAGAGCTCGATGGAGCATACAACTCACATCCAGAGCTACGGATCTCCCGCGGAGTTCTCTAATATTTCCCTAAAAACGGAGAAAATTGATGAAAATAAATTGGAAAATTTTATTTTCTTCCTTAACGTCTTTTTTGTTTTTTTTTTTCCAAAATGCAGCATTGATAATCGGTTATGTTGACTAGAGCAGGTCGAAAAATAGACATGAAACTAGAAAAAAAATTTCATATGCTTGATTTTTCATGCGGAAATATACTTATTTTCCAAAAGTCAACACTGAATTTTTGAAATTCGCGTCAAAATCTTTGCCTTAAAACTTTTATGATTTTCGCCTCTACCCTTCCGAACACATCAGTAAGAATCAAACTCGCCAAAAACTGCACATGTCAGAAAATATATGACTTTCCCCATAAATTCAAGTCTTCAAAGTTTTCTTTTCATCAAAATTCGAATTTCAGTTCAAATACGCCTTTTCAGAAAACAAAATCCTTACAAACACCTAATATACCTGTAAACTATTTGAAAACGAAAAAAAAAACAAAACCAAACCTGCCGACAAGCATTTTTGACAAAAGGTAGAAGCCCCGAAATTCCCATTGGAATATTCAGCCACCGCCGCGAGAACGCACCCTTTTCTTTTGAACGCACCCTTTTCGCGCCTAAATTGTGAACCTGCAGTTCTTATCGCCTTTTCAGGCAAAAGTTCATAGTTTGAGCCGTCCTTCAACAGAAATAAAACACAGTTCGCGTATACCGAAGTTTAACAATTTGAAACAAAAGATTTCGCAATTATAAAACAAGTCGTTTTCCTTTTTTTTTTTAAAGCAAATCGTTTTATCTTTACAAATACAGTCGTAAGAATAAAACAAACATATATAGAGGATAGAGAAACTTTTGAAACTTCAACGGAAAAATGTGATGCCGTGTTCAAAGTAATTTCCGCGAAATGCAAAATGGTCTCTGACTCTCCAAAATATAGTTATCTTTTTCATTCTCTAACGGGTATTTTGCATTTCGCGGAATCACTTTGAACACGGCATGAAAAAAGATCTTCCCGCCGGAAAATTGTTTTGAAATTTGTCTATTGAGCGAGTTTGCAGATACTTGCGGCTCCTGCGTTATATTTAATTTTTTTCAAAATTTTCGATTAATTTTCTAGGGATCTTCTCATCCTCAGTTCTTACTCAGCTGTGTACTTTTTTTTACAGGAATATTTCAGTATGTATACATGCTCATAATTTCTGTTGCCACATTGTGAACATGTTTCTGTATTGTTCCCCTCTTCCAGCATGCTGTAAACAACGAGTTTTCAATAAATTATGTGATCACGCGCAGGCGATGTTTGTACCCGAAAAGAGCGGACACTGGGCGGAGTCGCGATCGCTTGCAAATAGAAAAAAGTTGAAAAACTGTGGCTCCTCGTCAAGGTCGCCGTTCTCTCAGGTTCTTCTCCCTTCTCGTCACCAATAATCTATTTTCTGTTGACATAGTGTAGTTTTTAATAGACCTGAAACTGGAAGCAGGTGTTGAGTTACTAGGAGCTTCTCATATCCTTCTTTTGAGAAAATTCATTTTTCTAAGTTTCGAAGAACACATTTTTGTAAATTTGAATAGTATTTTTTAAGATAGTATGTTTAGAAATTTTTCAAGAAGTTTAATGGAGCAGAGACTCTTTTTTGAAGTTCTATCTTCGAAGAGCGATTTTTCAGTTTCAATTAAGATCAATTCATTCTTCTCTGCGCATAAAAATGTCAGAAACTGGGATTTTTCAAGTACTTAATCTAGACTCAAATTTACAGCTTCTTAGTAAAAAAAAACTTTGAACACCGATCCCAAAAATGATACACAAAACATTGATAAGCTGTTTTTAAACAAGATTATCAGTTTTTATTAAATCATGTTTTAATGTGATTTGTGAAATTTTTAAACTCTTATCTTTTTTTCTTTGTGAGTTTTTGGACGGTTTCTCGAAGAGAATTGAACCGTGTCTTAATTTCTTCATACGATTGCGAAACGGAAGTTTCTGTTCTGATACCATGACGACTATTCTTCCACTTTTGTGTTTGGTTCTTTCTTTCCCGTCTCAGATCTTGGTAACCCGAAACGGAGGCGAATCAGACGTTTCAGGGTGTAGAATATGTAAATAAGCGTGATAGATCACGTTAAAAGATAGACCAAGGAAAAGTATAAAAGGAAGAATTATCCAGCGGGTCAATAACCGACTTCTCGAGCTCCCAACCGCATCTCCCGACTCCGAGCCTACTTCGCCTCGCGACGAATAGGCACCTCTACAACTTCATTTTTCCACACCTCAATAATAAATATTTGGTGTGACGTTCTGTAAAAATGAAGTTGTAGAGGTGCCTATTCGTCGCGAGGCGAAGTAGGCTCGGAGTCGGGAGATGCGGTTGGGAGCTCGAGAAGTCGGTTATAGACCCGCTGGATAATTCTTCCTTTTATACTTTTCCTTGGTCTATCTTTTAACGTGATCTATCACGCTTATTTACATATTCTACAGCGTGGTTTTCAAAAACGAGCATAGTTGTACATTCTTATGAAGATATCGAGGCGAAGAGAAATTTTTATGCTCTTTAAAACTCTTCTGCAAGAATTTTCGATGTTCCAAGGCGCAAAAAATCCGAAAATCTTCTCCCAAAAGGTTTTTAGATTGTTTTTGCCGTTCATTAGAAAGCGAGAACTGACGTGACACTATCATCTTTTATCATCATCGTGGAGCGAATCCGGTTCCTTCTGGCAGAATTTTCCCGACCGTCGGAGGAGGAGAAAAAGAATCGCACGCACGTTTTGCCTTCTTTTGCGACTCTTTTCACTCTTAATCAATCGCCTTTTTTTTTTGATATACAAAAACGCCGTTCATTTGTTTCGATATTCCTCTTCAGATCTGAGGTTGACCTTTCAGATTTTGAAGCAAAAGGTGCAGGAATGTCGGACCTTCGACATGTTTTCGCCTTCAGCCTCATTGCTGTTGCTCTAGCTACCAGCGAAGGTAAAAATATGTTTTATTTACTCAGAAAAGAAAGTTTGCCGGAATCTACTACAAAATTAACCTATCAGAGACTTTCTTTTTTGGTTCACCAGATCCAGTATTTTTCCTAAGATTTTTTCTGCATTTTTCTATATTTTCAGTAATCCGCGGCCGTGCTTACATCTTCAAAGCGGTTCCAAATGGTCTGCCCTCTCAGATCGTTGGAAGCATCGATTTTGAACAAACTGGCAGCTTTTTGAAGGTATTTATTGATCAATGTCAGAAGTCTTTCAACATAACACTCTATCTCAAGCTTTTCATGGATCTGAACATATTTCTACATGTTTTCCTCTATCATTTCAGCTTAAAAGTCATTTCAGACGTAGTAGTGTTTCGTTAGCTACATCTGACAGCTGTTTGATCTCATTTTTCGAAAATTTTTATGAATGTGACCAGCTTTTTTTCTCTCTTCCGTTATTTGCAAGAATATTATGCACTGTACTGTATTGATTGTCAATGTGGAAATATACGATAAACCCGAATCTCCTGTAAAAGATTTGCAGCTGAACGGCTCGATACTGGGTCTGGCGCCCGGCCAACACGGCTTCCACATCCACGAGAAGGGCGACATCGGCAACGGCTGTCTTGCCGCCGGCGCCCATTATAACCCCCACAAACTGACTCACGGCGCTCCCGATGACTCGAATCGACACGTCGGCGACCTCGGCAACATCGAGACGCCTGTCAGTGTTGATTTCCTTCCCTTATTGGTCAACTTATAAGTAGTTTTCAAACCTGAAAGGTTGATTGCGCTATTTTAAGGAGTTGATGCCGTGTTAAAAGTGATTCCGCGAAACTTAAAAAAAATTTTGGAGAGTCAGAGATTATTTTGATTTTTGCGGAATCGCTTTGACCATGGCATGACAAAATTTTGTACGCAGGACAGTACTGGATTAGAAAAGGCTTAGGAGAGAATTAGAAAAAATTGAAGTAATTGGAAACAGTCTGATTTTACTGTGGTTTTTTATCAGAGAATTTTTGTGTTATTTTCACATTTCCCTAACCTCGGTAGTGAGAGATAAGAGGGTGCAGACAAGCAGACTGTTTCAGGTCGTGGCGAATAGGCTAAACGTGGTTGCTGGCCTATCTTCCAATTTCTAGAATTGGGAAGCTTTACTGTGAAAAACTTTAGTGGTCACTTGAGAGGACTACTTGAAGCGGACACTAAGGTGGTCAGCAAACCTTCTATAAAGATTTTAAATTTTAGACGCTTAAATGGTCATTTAAACTGGCCACTTATGATTTTCTCATTATTTCCTTCAACAAAGGCACTTTCAATGTGAAAACGGAAAAAGGCCAAAAAAATAGAGCTGAAAAATCTTAACAAAAAGACTTTTTTTTTCTGAAATTTTGTTTTCGTTTTCAAAAATGCCTATCTTTCTCGAGATTAAGAGAAAATAAAACCGTAGTTGTCAGAAACATCTCCAATAATCAAGAGTGTTTGGCGTCATCTTCTGTTTGAACAACCCAAACTCCACACGAAGTCATGTTTTTTGGTCGTCTTTGACATGGACTCACTCGATGTTCGGCCTCCGCTTCTCTTTCTGACAAGAAAAGCACACACTTATCTGTGGGGCGACCCCCGAACAAAGTGTATAGTTTTTGAGTGAAATCAGTGGGATCTCACTGAGAACGGCCAACTGCAAACAGATAATGTCGCGAGAAACCGGTTGACTTACCCTTTTGTTGACCATTTTTCGTGAGGAGAATGGCTATGATTACTCAAAAGTTCGTAGTTTTGTCGAGTGGAAGGGCAAAAAAACAGTTATATTGTTACTGAATGTAGTTCTTCAGAGCCAACGTTTAGGGGAACAGGAAAAATAAATTTTGCTGAAAAGAATTTGAAAAAGGATACACCTCAGAACACAAAAATTACTTTTTTTAAAAAAATTTTTTTCCAGGATCTTAAGTCTTGTTTGATAGTTGAAAAACGTAAAGGTGTAAAAATCTAGCTTGAAATCCGAGAAAAAGAACCTTTCTGCAATCTAAAAATTCCCAAAAGGCTGAAACTCTCACTTTGTAGTTCTGAAAATTCCGAGAGAAGCAGTGAATGAAAAGTCCTCAAGTTCTACTTCCAGCCGGACGGATTCACGCCGATCTCCGTGTCGGACTCGCTGGCCTCTCTGACCGGCCCCTACTCGATCGTCGGCCGGAGCGTCGTCGTCCACGAGAAAATCGACGACCTCGGCCGCGGCACTTCCGATCTTTCCAAGACGACCGGAGACGCCGGCGGGAGACTCGCCTGCGGAATAATCGGTAGACTCTAGTCTTCCCTTGGTTCTTGCCCCCCAGCATGTCATTTTTTCGAGCGTTTTTCCATTGTGTAGATAATGAAAATACAGGTTTTCACTGAATTGAATCGAATCATAGTTTTGTTTTGGCAACTGCGAAACTACAGAGCTTTTCTTTAGCCTGTTTTTTTCTACCTCATCCGCTTTTTTGGTCTTCTAGTAATTGTTCATCAGAGGAAAAATTAAAATTCATTTTTAATGGAAGAAACCTCAAAAGTTTCGTAGTTGCTACTCATTTCTATCTCCCTTCTACGTATGCTTAATTTGCCACGAATTCTGACTTGTCTGCGCTTCTTTTCTCTCACCTTCGAGGCCATAGAAGCATGAAAACTGAACACGAGAGTGAAAAGACAGATGATTCGTGGCAAAAGAAGTATGAAACATGTCATATTTCCCTCCTTCACGCTCATAATGTAAATAATAAATACACATTTCCCCATTGAACGCGAAAAAACACTGAAAAAAGGAAAAAAGACGCCTGTTTCAGGCGCCGTAGAGGAGGTGACGGTAGAAGCGACAACGGCGGGACTCCCGCCGCTGCCCTTGGAGCTCCCACAAGGCTCTGGAGCCTCGAAATTAGCTTCATGCTTAATATTTGCTCCAGTTCTCTTACGAAACTTTCTCTAAATTTTCCGTCGTGTGAAAAATTTAGAAAACCGCTTAATATCGCTAGAATGAGGTGGTATGATCCTTCCATATACCGATACTCGAGTTCTAGAAAGCTTCTTAGTCATATCCTATTGGAAAGCTTCCAAAAAGTCACTTTATGCTCACTTTCACTGCAATATCCTCCGCGAAAAGCTTTATCGAAAAAACCCATTTTATGTGTTTTTGGCCACTTGTTATTATTATTAATATTATTATTGTTGTTGTGTACATATTGAACAAAGATTCTAGAAAAAACAAGTGTATTCACATCGGTAACAATATGTGAATTTCCAGGGTAAAGACGAAAAAAAGATCCTTTGGGCGGGTATCGAAAAAGGGAATAACATAGAGGAATACGAACAAGAAAAAAGAAATCAAAAAATCAAAAAAAAAATTGTTACACAAAGAGTTATTTATATACCGTAAACTCGTAGCGGTTTCTTTTGGGGAAAGAAAATTTTTAGTCGCTTTCTCCGTTGGAACTCTGGTCAGAGTCGTTTCCACTTTCCTCCTCATCTTCTTCTTCCACAACCTTGAATAAAATTTTCAGGTTATCAGTTTTTTTAAATCGAAAAAAAAAAATCACTTCAATCGTCCACAAAAGCTAGCTATACGGAGACAAATATAAAAAAATGAAGGAGGTTTCGCGATAAATTTTTTTTTTCTCGGAGTCGCCAAATAGTTCATCTGACTAGGGAACGTTTTTTACCCCCCGGTTGAACTTTTGACGAAACTTCGCAGAGATGTACTTTGAGGTCTCCTGAATCCAGAACAATAAAAAAATTTCTCGCAATAGACCTTGTTTTCGAGATATGCAGCCTCGAAGTTTGCACGCGAAATCTGCGGAAGCATGGAAGAGGGAATATGTTGCGCGCAGTGTCGGTGGAATGCCAGTTGATTCGTGGCAGAGTGGTATGGGGGCGCGCGCTATGTGCGAGCTGTGGTGGGTTCGATCCCATTTCGCTGCCAAATTTTTGCAAAATTTCTTTTGCCAAATATTATTTAAAAGAAGGATGATGCAATTTTTCAAACTCTTCGCAACAGTATTCCTTTATTCATTTGAATTTTCAGAAAGATTTTTCTGTTTCTCTTTTGCCTAATAATTCTCATATTTCTATATTATTTATATTCAAAAAGGGGGTAATGGAGGAATTCTCCGAAGCGCCCACACCTTCAGAAGAAAGAAGCGTCTTTTGCCAACGCAAATCTGTCATAAGTGCTGAAATTTTGTTTGATTTGAATGTATTGGTTGTGTTTTGCATATTGTTATACTTTACTCGAGTTGATATTCAATCATCATTTCAAAACTGTTGAGAATGGAAATTTTTTTTATTTCACAAAATTGATTTATTTCAATTCGTTCCATCCAGGAAAATGGCAGCAAAAGAGTTTTGCAAAATTTGGCAGCGAAATGGGATCGAACCCACCACAGCTCGCACATAGCGCGCGCCCTCATACCACTCTGCCACGAATCAACTGGCATTCCACTAGCGCCGCTAAATCCAGACGTGGGGGCTTGCCTCACGCGCGCGCCAATTCAAAAAAGTGCGCTGGCGCACAGAACCCAATATCCCCCATTAATGTATATCCTTTTTTTCAGTCAATCTTTCCGTTTATATTTTTTTGTCGAAAGATTTTTTTCGGTTAATTTAGCCATAAAAAGTGAATCAATAAAAAAATAATCGAGTTTTTTTAAAAATGAAAAATAGTTTTTTTCGCAAATTTTTTTCCACTGGTCAATCGTGATAGAGATACAAATAGTTACCGAGTAGCTACCTTTTTTAACTAGCTCAGCAGGTCTTAGCACGGTTATAGGCCATTCCGCGCCAGCTTGTCACGTTTTTCTTTTCCGCCAAAAGGCCAAATTTGACCAACTTCGCTTCAAGACCTTTGTTTCTTGCCGTTATAAAAGCAGAAATTTGATTTCATTTGGTATACGGTCTTTTTGGCGGAAAGAAAAACGTGACAAGCTGGCGCTGAATAGGCTATAACAAAAAATTGATCTAAATAAACGACCACTGATTAGCCTCGCGGTAGCCTTAGTGGCGCTGCTACCGTTTATTATTTACAAAAGAAGACCATCTACAGTTTACTTTTGTGCAGGGAAAAACGAGTGCAGAAAACTTTCAAAAAGATGTTGCTGAAAAATGGGAATATTCACGATTATTATAAGGTATACCTGAGGTTATGCACTTCTTCAGCAAAGTTATAACGGTGAAAGACAAGGAATTATGAGAAACTATAGAATCTTTTCATTCAATTCTTTCCTCTTTGAGCTTGCATTATTTTGACGAAAGAGAAGAGGTCTTGAAGCTTCAAAGCCAACTTCAGTGCTTCACTCACCTTCATAGTGATACCGGCAAGTAAATGTTGATCAAACGAACAATACCTCACTGTTCAACCGGCTTATCCAGTGCACTTTCCATCGAGATATGCTACATTTAATCAATGAATGAAATACAGAGGCTAAGTTTCTGCAATTTCATTACTATTACTGTTCACACCACTAGTATCCGAATGCTATTGCCATTTGCGATGGCTAAGGGGGCTTCAGAAAGTAGAAGTTCAGAAGTACAGGGTGCGCATAAATTATGAACGGTAAGTTGATGAAGAATGCTCTGTTGTTCTTGATTTCGAAGCATTTTTGTAAATTTTCAGGATCTCAGGAGCGCTACCTTTAATGTAATTAAGTTTTTATGGGGCTGTCTTCAAACGCCAGAATTTCCAATGGTTGAAACAAGTAGAAAAGCGGTTAAAATTTTTTCTCAGAAAACTTATCTGCGGCGTTACTAACTAACATTAATAAATTGACAAATCCTTACGGATGAAGAGACGGTTTCTGTTAGATCGTAGATAGGGCTCTTACTTGCAATATGAACACAAAAAACTGGGATGCACCAGGAATAGGTATGAGGTGAACATCGCAGATCTGGTTGAAACTTCTGTGATAAATAGTCCTAAGTATGAGTACTCAAAAATGAAAAAAAATATCAGCTAAGCGCCATAGGGTACTGAGAAATAGCCTGTCAAGAATGTACAGTGAGATCTCAAAAACTTAGTTGTTTTCTTTTTCGATTTCTAAAAGTCTAGTGTTGTTCATTATATCATAAGAAACGCGAGAAAGAAACTCTCTACGAAAAACCCAAAGATAAATCTTTTTTTTGCTTCTCCTGTACATTTTCGTAGGGCTGTTTCTCGGTACCTTAGGCTTAGCAGATCATTTTTTCTGTGTTCCAATACTCATACCTGGGACTACCTACCACAGAAGTTTCAACCATATCTGTGATGCTCACCTGACACACTGCCCTCGTCAGGCTTCTAAAAAAATATTTGTTTTTTTTTGTGTACTTCGAAAGCCTTCAAAAAACAAGAGCGTCTTGAAGGAAGCGTCGTCATTTCCATAGTAATGGTATCTGAGGAATGAAACTTTATAAACTATTTTATAGTGAAAAAAACAGTTTATGCGAAAAAAATTACAGAGAACATTAATCTGAAAAATGAACAGCAGTACTTTGAAATTTTTTTAAATTTTTTTATGGGCACTTTGTATGATGTCGAATAGCACTCCGATAGCTATCGCACCGTTTATTCTATACATTTACTGATTATATGAGTACTAAATTGCGAAAAGAAAAAGAACCCCACTGACTATTTTTTTTTATTTCAAATATTTTTATCGGTTCACTTTTATGGCGAAACTAACCGAAAAAAAATCTTCCGACAAAAATATAAACGGAAAGATTGACTGAAAAAAAGGATATACATTAATGGGGGATATTGGGTTCTGTGCGCCAGCGCACTTTTTTGAATTGGCGCGCGCGTGAGGCAAGCCCCCACGTCTGGATTTAGCGGCGCTAGCATTCCACCGACACTGCGCGCAACATATTCCATCTTCCATGCTTCCGCAGATTTCGCGTGCAAACTTCGAGGCTGCATATCTCGAAAACAAGGTCTATTTCGAGAAATTTTTTTCTTGTTCTGGATTCAGGAGACCTCAAAGTACATCTCTGCAAAGTTTCGTCAAAAGTTCAACCGGGGGGTAAAAAACGTTCCCTAGTGAGCCTTTAAAAACCATTCAACTGTGGTGAATTCACTAACCGTCTCAAATTTATTTTTTTTTTTGAGCGCTCAATGCTTTAATCTTCACATGAAACAGAAAAATCAGTTAAAAACCATCAAAGCCACTCGCTTTGGTTCCTAACAGTGGACATATGACAAACAAGCTGCTTCAACAAAAGCGAAAATCGAGATAAAACTGAGAAGATACGTTTTCTCCGGAAATAAAGTTCTTCTTGTTTTAGAAAAGGTGGTTTTTTTTTCTCAGCTCGTTTGTTTCAAAAAACCTCTGCGGTCTCATTTTTCAGCCATTTTTCTGTTCTTTCCCCGTTTCAAACCGTTTTCTTCTTTCTCTTGGCGCTGGGCTGCTCGTCGCTCTCCTCGCCGTCGTCGTCCTCGTCCTCGTCGCTGTCTGCCTGACGTCGTTTCTTTCCTTGGCTCGTCGACGGTTCATCTTCTGATCGAATTATTTCGTTTTTCAGTTAAATCTAGAAGATTTTTCTTACCATCGGAACTGGCTCCGATGATTGGCCTTCCTTCGCTGCCGGAAGAGTCGTCAGAATCCATCACCGGCTGAAATTAGAAGAGTTATGATTTAGCATAGGACAAGAAAAAAGTAAGATCAAAAAAGGAATTCTTGGAGGACCTTCTTCCGTTTCGGCTTGGCCACCTCCTTGTCGCTTTCATCATCGCTGTCGTCACTGTCGCCGATGCGAGGAGGCTCCGGACTGTCTTCTGAAAATCGAAGATTCTACGAGTTATGGTCTTTAATCACTTCCCAAAAGCTTCAACTTTTCGCTTCTTCAAACTGTTTCAAAAACGGGTTGTTTGAGAAACACAGGCTATTTTAAAGGTCTCCAAGCTCTCTTCCCAAGCTTTCCGAAACTAAGCCAGTTTTTTTACTTCCTAAAAATTTTGGAAGTCATCCTTTACTTCTGACCTAACTGAGTTCTTAACTTGCCACTTACGAGTTCGAAACTTACTAGAGATTTTTTAAAAACGACATGATTGATTCCCAAATTATAAATTTGGCACAAATCCAAAAAAAATTTATTTTCTATCAAAGTTAATCCTATGGGCTACAAAGCCGAGATTATCTCAAGTTCACGAATTTCTAATTGTTTCAAATTTGGAAAAATTTGGAACCTATGAATCAAAAAGCTTTTTTTCTAAGAGAGGAAACTAATATAACTTCTATAGAAAAATTTTTTTTTTTTTAGTATTTGTTTCAATAAAAAAACATCCCTGTTTATAAATTTCTATTTGTTTTTTCAAGTTCTAAGCAAATGATTGATGTTCTAAAAAAAAGCTTGAAAATGCTCACCAAACTCATCTCGAGTAGTTTTCGGCTCATCGTCGTCGGATTTTGCCGAAGACTGAACTTTCTCGCCTTCATCCGAAGATCCTTCCGAGGAGGAGAGGAAGGCGCGAGATTTGACTGAAACAGGAATTTTTGAATCTTCAGGATCTGGGAGACAAACTCTTGGCGGACTGTTTGGCGGACAACTTGGCCTCGGCCTTGCGTCTCTCGGCGGCCTCCTTCTTCCTTCTCTTCCTCTCGGCCCTGTCGTCGTCGGATCCGCTGCCCTCCTGGCTGCCATCCCGACGCTCCCGTCGCTTTCTCGACGCCTTCTTCGACGCCTTCTGAAAAAAGTAAAGTTGTGAGAACTTTCCAAAGACAATAATTTCCCCTTCATACTATAAGCGCTTTTTTTCAAGATGTGGAAAATTAGTGTCAATAAAAAACTTCTCGCCGAGTTTTTTCACGGCCTAGTTTGACCTCAGAGAAGTTTAAAAAAACCTAAATCGTTTTTTTCAAAATCATTAATAGAAGTGAAACAGATGAAAAAATAACTGATTAAGTTCTAAGTTTAATTTTTATCACCTCAGACAGATGTCGATCATTATTTTTACTTCCTTTCAGAAGCCTTGAATACTTTTAATTGGAAATGCTGTAAAATACCCTTTCAACTTTTTTTTAAAAACCATTTTTGAATATTTAGGATATTCGTATTAACTTCTCAATCTTTTTGATAACTGTACCAACAAAATAATTGCAAGGATCGGATTCTGCCTACTTTCTAGTAAAACCTGTTCTGCACTTCTTAGGAGCCCTCTTTCCTCAAAATCTACTTTTTTAATTTGTTGATGTGGAAAACTACTGAAGAGAAAGGTTCCTGACGTCTTTCTTCTTCCTCTCTCTGGGCTCGCCGTCCTCCTCGCCACGCCAGTCGCCCATGTCCGAACTGTCGTTGACGAACTCTTCTCCGTCGCCGCCGACCTTCTTCTTCCTGCCGGATCGGCTGACCTTCTTGTCGTCGTTAATCTGAAAATGCGAATAGATCAAGATTCGATTCGCAATCACCTCCGGCAAGCGAAGGACGTCCTTGGTCATCTCAACGAACTTGGATCGCAACGCCTTGGCTTCTTCGAGCTTCCGACGGATTTCCTCTTCCTTTCGGTTCATCTCTTCCTCCATCTTCTTCTTGAGCAGTAGCCGTTCCTGGAATTCAGAGTTTCATAGGATAAATGCTCCGAAAAGGCGCACTTCTTCTTGTTTGGCCTTGACCCGTCGTTCTTCCTCATCCAGCTGCTGGGCTCGTTCCAGAGCCGTATTCGCCTGCACCAACAAGTCTTTGCAATCGTTCGCCTGAAAAATGAACGTTTCGACGATTTAGTGTTCGATTTCGAAGCTCAAATAATTGAGGGCAGATTAGAAATGGATCAGACCCTGTTTTACTTACACTAAAAAACTTAAAAACATGGGTAAATTCGAAAAAAATCCTTTGAAAAAAAAATAGTTTGTCCCACTATGAAGTTCAAATTTTCGTGATTTAAAAATTTATTAAAAAGTTTCTGTGATTCCTACGTTGACCCAGAACTTACAAACCCTTTCTTCTAAACATTTTTGTGACCTTTTTGATCTTTAACAAACCTCCTGTCCACACATTGTCCTTGAGATATACTTGGCACCAGGTAAACTGAGATCCTCGTTTTTCGAAATGTAGGTGAGAGCTCTGGAAAATGACCATAATTTTTGGAACTTTTTGTTGTTTTCAAAACCTCTCAGCAGATTGTAAATCTTCGATTGCGCCATTGACCTCGCCAGAAGTGACCTTAAAAGTTTCAAAATTTTAAATAAGCTTCTTGAAAGTTTACCTTGGCGCCCTTGAGAACGGCTCGAGCTCTTCTTTTGAGAAGGAAGGCGTAATTAAATTTGAACTGCAGGTTTTCGGGAGATTCAAGTATCGCCTGAAAATAGTTCACATTTTATTTATTCTTCTTCCTGCGAGTGGCCACTTTAGGATTTTGACATCTTAATGACCACCTTAGTAAGCAGCTCGGTAGTCACTCAAAAGATAACTACTACAGGGGCGACTAAAAGGAAGAACAGTGGCTTTAATGGTCCTCTTAGTTCCTTCTCATACGTCGGCTGAATCCCACTTGGGGTGCGGCCTATATTTCTAGAAGAACTTCTCAAGTGGTCACTAAAGTGTTCCCGAGTGTAAAAGAATACCTTTTCCATGGTGTCCTTGGCTTCCTCGAGTTTATCGGCGTGATAATAAGCCTTGGCCAGGTAGAGAAGCATATGAGGATCCGATTGGCGATGGAACTTTTTCATCGCGTTCGAGTACCTAGAAAAATATTCAAATTTATCAAAAAAAAATGATTTTTTATCAGGTTTACATTTGAATAGCGGGAACATACTGCTCCCGTTCCATGTAGACATGGGCGATGTTGATCCAAACGTCGAAAAATTCGGAAGTCGCTTCTCGAACCTCAAAAAAGTGTGGTGAGTGTGAAGTCTAATTGAAAATCTCCACTGGAAATTGCAGAAAATTTTGTTTTTTTTGGAAATTTTAAAATGTTATTTCAAAGCTATTTTTGGAAAATTCCTTCTTTACGATCCCTGTTTCAATTTCACTTGAAAAAAATAGTTGACTCCATTTTTTTAGTTCTAGTTTCTTCAAAATAGTAATATTATTCAAAAAAGTTATCTATAAGAGCTTGAATCATTCTTTTTTTCCGTACTTAAAGAGATTTCATTTTTTCATTTAAAATAAAATTTACGGCATAGAAAACAGAATAAAAATAATGAACCTGCGAAAAGACATCTCTCGCTTCGGCCCAATTCTTCTTGAAGGCCATCACACAGCCTGAAACCGAACAATCTTCACAGGAAGTCAAAAAAAAGAACCAACCGAGGCCATTCGCCGCATAAATATTCTTTGGCTGGATTTTCAAAGCCTTGATGTACATCTGCGTGGCTCGTTCAACGTATTTCTTTTCCTGGAAATTTTAAATTGATTTCCATACGTTTTTCAGAAGAGTGAGTCAAAAAAAAAACCGCTATCTTCTTTATAGCCGGAATATAACCATTTGCAATCATTTACATTTTTAACTGTGAAAATTACAAGACAAGGAAATGAAAAAATTATTTTTGACTTTTTAAAAGTCAGTGAACGCTAGAATATCAAGGGACTACTAATGACTTTTCTGGCTTCTAAATTTTCAAGTGCCCTCTGGCTCCACAAGATCTTTTCTCAAATCACTTTCCCAGGCATAAATTCACAAAAATCTCTCTTTCTTCTTCTAAAAATACAATCAAAGCTAACATCTTCGCGTTTCCTGTTCGGGTTCATCAGCTGCTCGAGCCAAACATTTCCCAGTGCGATTAGAGAATACGGATCGTGTTTTCCCGACGTGATTTTGTTAAGAATGTGCTCAAACTTCTTCTGAGCCGGTTGCCATCTATAAAAGTCATCTTCATTCTTGAAAAAAGCTTGCTACAGAGTTCATAGGCGATTCCTAATGGGTATTGAAAATAACAGGTAATTTTTATGAAAAAGAACACCCTGAGAAGCTTGAAAAACTTGACTTTTACCGATTCTAAGCATTTTAAACTCCATTTCAAGAACGTTTATTAATTTTCGATGTGCTCAACGTTAATGAAGAATGCGCCTAAGATCCTTGATTCACATCATTTTGGTTAGAAATCTGTAAAACGGACTCTTGTTTGGCCATGTGAAGGTTTCCGATGAGGGTCCAAGCGTCCATCGATCCGTTGTCGTAGGGAATCGCCTGCTTGAACCAGACCGAGGAGTCGTAGATCTGGCCGCGGTCTCGCGTCAGACAGCCCAGCCGCATGTAGCCTGTAAGGGACATTCAAGAATATGGAAAGAGTTTTTCCGCTAACAAAAAATATTGGGAAAAAAATTAAGACTGAAGTGACTTCTACAAAAATAAAAAAGCCTAGAACTCCGTGAAGAAAATTTTAAAATAACCCATTTTGAAGATTATTTTTCAAACTTCCAAATTGCTGGATCTCCAAAGATAGCCTTGTCAAGACTTGCAATGAAACTGAAAGTTTCCTAAAAGAAGGAAAAGTGAAAATCTGGACTCAATCATCCACGGAGACCTGATTCAGCTTCCGATTATTCATAGGAATCTATTTTTTGACTGAAAGCAAGATTTCCCAAGCTTTTCCCAATCTGCCCAGCACGCCGTTTTGTCTAAAAAGCAAAAACTGACAGTCGATATAAGTGGGCATCTCGTTGAGGATGTCCTTGTACATGGCCTCGGCGTCGTTGCTTTGACACAAGTGTTCGAGACAACGGGCCAGGTTGTAGCGGATCGTGATCAGCTGGTGTCTGTCCTCCTCGACCTTCTCGCCCAACGCCAACATCTCCTGCAAACGATCGTTCTTTTCTGATTTTTCTATCTCAATGCCTAGAAAAAATTGTGTTTTTCTAAAAATTCGCTCAAAAATTTTTGTAAACGGATTTCCGATTGCCTTGAAATTTATGCCCCCTACTTTCCACTCAACTTTATTTTATCTATAGGAAAAAAAACTGCCCGGAACGATACAAAGTTGGCTACCTATTTTCAGCGGAGTAAAGCTTAGGAAAAAGCCACTTATTAGATTTAAATTCTATATAATAGTTAAAAAAATCAAGAAAAATTTGCAAAGTTTCGAAACCAGGGACACGGTACATGTGACCTGGGACGCCGAATAATATACTTTAATGATTTTTCCATTTTTCTAATTTTTTTCTTGTTAATTTTTTTTCGCAGAATTGATTTCTATTCCCAACAAGTTGAAACCTCCTCTAATAATCACCTGATAACGGTCGCGAGCTTGTTCGAAATAGATCTTGGCCTTTTCGAAAGTTGCCCAGCTGCATGTACAAGGCGCCGACGTTGTTGACCATTTCCGGCTGGCGGATCGATATCTTCCAGCTCCTTGAGCATTTCGATCGACCTTTCGTACAGTTCCAGCGATTTCTAGAGACTCTTTCTATGACAAGGAATGAGAAAAGAGGCGAACATTGGGGTCTGTGGCTTCAAGAAGTTGGGCCAAATCGATCAGAAGTTCGACGTCGTCCGGCTTCAAGTCGAGCGCTTTTTGCAGCGTTTCGCGGGCTTTTTGTAATTTCTGAGGGTTTTAAAATACGAAAAAGAGCTGGAGAGTTGCCAACCGCTTCGTCGGGATTCGTGTGGGCGTACAAGGATCCCAGAACTTTCAAGGTGTCGGCATTGTTCGGAATTCTGGTCAACACTGTTTCGAAGCAATCAATAGCCTGAAATTTCGGATAAAGTCATGATTCCGCTCACTAGAAAGGCCATTTTTTGTGTGTGAGTCTTTTTTTGGGATTATATGTCCCAAAAAAAAGACACGCAAAGAAAAAAAAAACGAGCCTTATCCCACTCCTTTCGCTGGATGTACATTTGTCCCAAGCCGTAAAAGGAAAGCGTCAAATCTCCGTAGTTCAACTGTGTTGACTGGTAGTAGTACTGAAATTTTTTTGAATTTTTAAAAAATCTCGAAAGTTATTTATTTTCTATTATCTGTAAATACGAGTAGGAAAAAGTGAGATTCAAAAAGACCTATGAAAAATTTTTACCCTTTCCTTTTTTTCCTAATCAAAAAAATCAAACCTTGATTTTTTTAGTTCGAGAAAAAAAATTAAAAAAAGAAAAAGATTTTTTTAAATGGTTTCTTCACTTTTTTTGAAAAGAAAGGCCTCCGCTTTCGAACTAATCTCACTGCAAATTCAGCAGTAAAGAAATAATCTTAAAAACTCATTATTTAACACATTATCTTGAATGAACTGAAGAACTGTTGTGTAAAAATATTATTTTAGCTAGAAATTAGAAATGATTGAAAAAAGGATAATTTATTATAATAAGATTGTCAGATTATCCAATATTAGTAAACATAGTTTAAAAAAATTAGATTGTTCTTCACTTGGTTTAATTCCTTGTTTAAATGACCTTCCCGGTTCACAGTTTTCGTATTTCACTTCTTCTGAATTTCGTGTGGGGACGAACATAAAATGAAGATCGAATCGAACAAGGTACCTTGAAAGCCTTTTCGAAGTTCTTCTGGATGTGGCAAGTTCGCGCCAATTGGAAAGCAGGCCTCGGCTCGGATCTGCTCGCAGTCGCTCACTTGCAACGCGTGCCAGGCCAGTTGCTCGACACGGACGTAGTCCTGAAGTGCTTCTATTAGGTTGGTAGAGGAGAAATGAGCCTGTTGGTCATTTATTCGTATTTTGATAAAAAATAAAAAGAACATTCTCTCATGATGGCCAGGTGCTTCAACGGGTGTACCCGTACTAAATCCGTGTTTTTTTTTTTGGTTATTTGGGTCTCAGTTGTGCTTAAATGGGGGAACAACGGGGGTAAGAAAAAAAGGTGACAGAGCTGTGTTTATCTCGAAAACCTGTGACCCAACTGTGCTAAAACAGTGTCTCAGCTGGGGTAAATTGCCAAATGTTCTACAAGCTGTGCTTATACGGGCCTCAGTACCCGCTAAGCGCCCGTGTTAGCACGGCTGTGCTGGGCTTGAAGAAAATAAAATTAATAATTCGGTTCTCACCTTTTTGTAGAAGAAATGATTGGCCAACTGAACCAAAACGAGAGGATGATCGGATTTAACGCGGAAAGCTTCGCTGAGAAGGTCCAGAGCTGCCTGAACAGAGCAAAACTCGCTCAGGAGCTGGAATTTCCTTCAGAAACCTTGATACTGTTTTCATCTTGGAGATTTTCTCTCAGAATCGCCAAGCCAGCCAAAGCCTCGATGCAGTTCGGATCCAAGTCACGAGCTCGTTCGAATGCCATTCTGAGGAAAGGAAAAATACTGTTTCAAACTTTTTTTCAAGAAAATATTATTTTTTTCAAAACAGTTTTTAAAAAATTTTAACTGAGAGACCTCTTTTTTTTGAATTGTATCTCATAAGATTAAGATTGTTCGATTAATTACTGCATTATTTAGTTCATTTTAAAAATGAAAAAAACGTTCAAAATACCAAAAAAACTTTGAAAAATTTTTCTCATACGAATTACAATCTTTCAATAGAAAAACTCATAAAAATATACGAAAAAAATCTTTTTTTTTTTCAAACTATAATTATTAGAAAAAACCTGTGGTTCTGTAATAAGAGAAGCTAAACAAAAAAATAATTTTTTTGCACATAAATATTTTTCTAAGAAATTAAATTTTTTTCTGAAACTCTGAAGAACTTAAAAAAACATAAGGAGTTCTTTTGAGGGTCTTGTATATAGAAAACAAATCCAAAACACTTTTTTTTTCTGTTTCAAAAAGAATAAACACCAACTCAGCCTTGTCGGGCTTGCCGATTTTGGCGAAACAGTAGGCCAATCCAACTCGAATTTCGGGCGTGTCAGCCGACTTTGCACGTAGGGCCTAACGTTCAAATTATTGAAATAGCAAAAATTCTAGATGGAGAAAACCCTGCGATAGAAATAAATGGCAGTTTTGTAGTCTCTTTTGGTGAAGGCAATGACGGCCTTTCCGATCATGGCGAGGACCATCGTCGCTTCCTGGAATCTGACAATGTTTATGGATACATTATCTGAAAAGGCAACCTGTTTTATGACAAAGTTGAACTGCTGATCTGCAATCTCCAACTTGCTCTTTTCTTTTTCGAAAAGATAGAACCAAGCTCTGATTGTCAAGTGGACCATGTCATACCTAAAAATCGATTTATTTTTTGGCACGTAGCAATTACTACATTTTGATCTTATCAGCCGTGTTGAAAAGAACGGTGGCTTTGTTGAAAAGCTCCGTTCGTCTTTCTTTTGATTTTTCATGAGCTCCCTGAAATATACTCGGCATCATTCAAAGTTTATCCTTACTTTTGAGAAAAGCTTACAATTTCCTTTCTTCTCAGAAGAGTAAGTAATCACTGAGTTATTAATAACTTCTAGGACGATGAAAGTTTAAAAATCCAATCGAAAAATTTGAAAAAAATCTTATTTTTTTCCGATCTTATACTCACTTGAAATTTTTTTATTATCACTTTATATAGATATTTTTTTGTCAAAGACCTGCTGCATATGATGCGCGGCGAGCATGTCAAGAGCCCGCATTTGGTCATTTTGGACGTTTGGATAATCGAGAAAGGCCTGCGAACCGGCCGATTCCAAAATGTTCAGAAACTCGGCGAATCGTCCCGCTCTGTAGTATTGGATCTGAAAATTCGCTTTCTGCTAAAAAGATTGTATGAGCTGAGATTGCAGTACAAATAAAAGCTTTTAACGATGATTTTTCTTTCTCCGGCTTTGGTGGGGGACGTGCCGGAATTTTCGCTTTTTGGGTAGAAAAAAACCCTCTTTCCGATTCATTTTTTTGTGATAATTATTAGTACCCTTTTTTTACTTTTTTTAAACATGTTTCAAGCACTTTTTGTGCAAATTTCTGAAAGAAAAGTGAATATAGTTGAGTTTTGTTCGTTAGATTTTTTTTAAACTAAAGCGTCACGATGAGAAAAAGGTGCATGAAAGAGACGGAATTTATCAACGTATCACAAAAAAAGGCAAAATTGAAGATACACCCGGGGCCCCCCGCGCGCTACCAGCGTCTGTTTTCGAAAACTCGAGAATTAGTCGTAAACTGTTGAAAAATGCCTTTGTAAAAAAAAATCCTAATTTTGAAACCTGATTAAATCCCAAATTTTCTTACATCTGCAATAAAAAAAACCCTTCAAACTCACAGCGACATGAATCCAGTAGACGAGTTTGGCTTGTTCGGCTTGCAAAATACCCATGACTTCATCGCCGGACGGCAAATCGTCCACATTTATCTCGATCACTTCCTGTACATTTCTCTTTTTCGTGAATCGTTTTTGATTAGAAAAAATATTTTAATTTTTATTATGTCAATTTTCGTTTTAAACAGAAATCAGTCAGCGATAATGAAAAAATATGATCAAGGAGATGGAATAGATGAGAAAATACGATATTGATGAAGCCTTCAAGGTTCTTTTGCCGTTTTCAAATATACCTCGATGCATTAAAAAAAATATTTTTCAACTTTTCCAGCTTTGAATTCAAACTAAACATGAAATGAGAGCGTTTCATAGAAACTTTAAGTATTGAACAAAATGAACCGGAAAAATGAAGAAGAAAAGGAAAATCTGAAAGGACGCGAATGAAAGTAACAAAATAAACACCATGGAATAAGACTCAAAGACAGAAAACATAACTCGAATATTTGCAAAAACGATAAGGAGCTTTGAGAAGTTATTGAGCTTCAGCAGCTACAAGGGCATACAATCGAGATAATAAATTGGTGTCGACAAATGGCTCATACTTGAAACTCAACAGGACGGCCGTGAAAACCTGACGGGATTCACATTGGCCGAAATCCAGAAGAGCCGCTTTTTTAGCATCGAGTTCTTTCTGGTACATTGCGACGACTGAAGGGAGCACTTCGGTCAGAGTGTCGACAATGTACCGAACTTCGGGCTGTGCCGAGTTGGCCGTCAACTGTTTCCAGGCCGGCATTCTGTTCAGGGCACTCCGGAACTTTCCAATTATCGCGTTCAGGTTATCCAGGACGGTTCCCAGAGAGCGGTTCTCCTTGACTATCTCCATCAGACACCGTTTCTTCTCTTCGGACTTTGGAACCGACGTCGTCGCTTCAGAAGACCCGTCCCGGGCGTACATAACTTGCAGCCGACTGTTGACGAGTTTCTCGACGCTTTGGGCGGCTTTTGTGGAGGCGTCGCCCCAGTTTTGCGTCAGATTCCAGACCTCTATCGAGAACCGTTGGAGACTTTTCAGATGATTTCCATCTCCCTGAAAAACGCAAATCTCCGTGCATAGTTTCTTCGTTCAAATTTGCTAGTTACTTCCTTTGTGGGCTTTCCCCAATACATAATATTTCTCTTAATTTTCATAAAAACCCACAACTTGAATAAAAAAATCCTTTAATAGAATGTAGAGAATGTATAAAAAAAATTTACCAAAGCTTTCAAAAACGTGAGAATTCTTGTGTTACAAATAAAACTTGTAGGCTTTAAAAAAACTTATTGTTCATTAACTCTAAACGAAAATTGAAAGAAGTACACCCGAAATATTTTCCAATAAAGTCCTCAGGAAGAACAAGTCCACTTCTAATATTTGATAAGTTCACAATGATCAAATTCAGAAACTATGCACGGCTCACAAATAAGAGAAAACATGCAAAGTGGGGAATCAGAAAAAGTCCACAAAGAAGAACAATGAAAATTTAAACAAAAAGTTTGAAGAGGTTTCATAAATTGAAAAAATAAACACTCACATCTTCATGAGGTCCGTTTAGAGGAATGGAGAAGAACCTCTGCTGACGCTCGGCGTCATATCTGACGTGCAGGTCCATCTCCCGAAGATATGGCTCGGCACGCTGAGAAAACTTTAAACTTGAGAAAAATCTTGAAGCATTTTCAAAACAGAATAATATAAAGAAGACCGATATAAAAGGAAAGAAGATGGGGAAAAATCAAAACAATTTTAAAAAATGTTTGTCGTCTAGAAAAGTTTAGTCCGCGATGAACTACGAGGCGCTACAGTAACCTCAAAGAGAAATGCAGTCGGTTGAGCTTGTTATCAAAGAAAACCAATCCCATTCTTCATTTTTTATTATAGGAATTCCGAGGAGATAATTCACATGTCAGAGCAGTTTTTTTTTCTGTTCAGCAGAATTCATCCAGTTGAATTTGAAAGAGTAATGACGGAGATTCAATTTAATTTTCTTCATGCTGTTATTTATAAAGACAGGTCATTTGTTTTTTATACTTGTGCAAACTAAAGAAAAACGTGAACAGTTTAAAATAGCTTCAAAAGAAAAATGTTTGAGAACGTAGAAAAAGAGCCATTTTAAATGACATATGCCGGGAGCGACGCAACTTCTGCTCTTCGTGCTACTTGTTCTCAATTTAATAGTGGGAGGTGCCCGTTTTCTGTGTAATTTCCTGATTTTGGGCAAACTGTTGTAAACCGAAACACAAAAAGGCACCCGTCAGGAAAGTTGGCGACTCAGTCCGGTCAAACAGGGTCAGTTTGTCGGATGGAGCGCGTTTGGCTGACTGGTTTCCGCTTTCAGATGATGACACCAAGAGATGACTCGATTATCACGGCGGTAGAGGAAGAGCGTTCGTTTTCGAATTTCAATCTCTGTTTTTTTTTCCAAATAGGAAAAATCACTAAATTTATAAATATCTTACAAAGAAATGAAAATAATCGAGCCAAGGTGCTCAAAAGTGTATTTCAGTCAAATTTCTGCGAATTTCCAGAACTTTTAGACATTTATTTGCTTTGTGAGCGTGAGAAAATATACATGTTCTACTTAAAATTAACTAATTTGTCCTTTTAAATTGCAGAAGATAAAAAAGATACAAGTTCGAGAAAAAGCGGGAAACTTACGGGACAGAAGAAGAAGAAAATCGTGAAAATGCCCAAAGGCAAGAAACAAAAGGTTCGAAGTTTTCGAAAAAAAAAAACTGCCGTGACAGGAGAATTTCGTACTGATATATATATAGAAGACCGCATTCCTGAAGTCATAGCCGTACTGGGAAAACTTTTTAGTGGCCCCTTAAATGACTTAAATTTAGTGATATCTTAAGAAGTTTAGGTGGGCCCACTAGACCAATAGGAACTACTAGTGTCCACTCCCCTTCAAGCAGTCCTTGAGGAGCCTCTTAAGGGGCCAATAGAGTTTTTCTCAGTACATACATAGCGACGGAATTTATGAGATTGTTAAATGGGCTTTTCCTGGTACGGGAAATGGATTTTGGCTTTGTGGACGGAAGCGGGAAAATTCTAATTTCCTACACCATTTCCGGAAAAGCCCGTCAGGAATTTGTGCAGATTTGAATATTTCGGATTAGCAACATTTTAAACGAAATTCAGATAAATTGAAGATTTTTATCAGATATACTTCCCCTTTCTCTAGAGCTTTTGAATATTCAAAAAACGGTTTCAGAAGCTGAATATGTCGAACGAAACGGGTTCAGAAGAGAACGCCGGTCACGCGACTCCGGGGAGCAAAGAACCTCCTATTGTTTGTTGTCTTTTATTTAGAAGCTCTATTTTGATCTTTTCCAAAACCTTTCTAAAATTACCCATTCCAGAGGTCCAATGAGAGTGCCCGAAACCCCAGAGACTTCCCAGTCGGTAAGTTCAACAAAAATGTTATCTCATCAAATTCTGATTTCTATTTCAGCACATCTAGTACGTCTCAAATGATGGTCGAAACGTTTTCTGTTCGTTTGAAATCTGATTTTGCGTCGAAATTCGGAGATTTTTCAGCAGATCAAAGGCGGCTTTCCACAGTTATGCCTCCAAAAAGAAGCTTTTTCTGCCCCGCCTCTTTCAGTCTTTCCCGGCAATAAATGTTTTGTCTTCTCTCAGTTTTGACAGTTTTGAGATTATTCTAAAAGAAGGTTTTTACAGAGCTTTGTGTCAGAAAACCTATTCTGAAACCTTTCTAAAAGAAAATAATTTAAAAAATCATCACCTAACACCATTTCTTTGAAAGTTTCTGAAACTGAAGACAAATTCATGAACTTAAAGGCGTGTTCAAAGTGATTCCGCGAAATGCAAAATGGCCGTCAGAGAAACAAAAATATAACTAAATCTTGGAGAGTCAGAGATCATTTCGCATTTCGCGGAAATTACTTTGAACACGGCATAAAAAGTAGGCACGGCATTCCTAGTGGGGGTGAGGGAAGGTGAGCGAGGCGTCAAAGTTTCTGAATTTACAGAAAAAATTTATTGCGCGCTACGGATAAAATTACGTCACAATTACACTGAATATTCAACGTTAATAACTTGTTTGTTCGATCGCCTTCAGCTGAAGTACGGTAGATTTCAAATTTCGCGCCAAAATTTTTTTGACGTCTTGCCGCCTCCTTTGGGAACGCCGTGTAGGGTGAATTAATGAAACTATCTGAAACTCCATAGTTCGAATCAATACTTTTATGCACAGAATTTTTTTGAAAAAACCTTTCAGACTTATCCTGATTTCGACTATTGATTCCAATTCAAAAACATTCCTTGCTCCGTAAATCAAAAATTTCGTGGGTAAAACGAATAGAAATCATGTAAAAAATTTTTTTGGGGTGTCCAAAAATGCTTGTTATTATTTTTCCGGTTGAAATCGTTATTAAAATCGTATTTATTCACTATATTATTTAAAAAGATTAATTTATATAGCTCCAGTGACATAAAAAAATCTCGATTTTTAAAAGTATTTATCCGGACAAATGAACCAATAGATTTATTTTACACGTTCTCCGGCTATTGCTGAGTGCAGCGCGAGTCGTTGGCCGCCTTGTTCGGGGTGCCGACCGTCTTGTTGAGACGCGACAGCAAGGACTTGTCGCCTTCCGACCGAGTAGGCGACTTCTTCTGGAACAAAAGGTCGATGAAAACCGTAACAGTAATAAACTTATTGAAGTACGAACCCTAACCAGTTCACTTGGATCTAAATTTCGAAAAAGACGCAAGACGATTTTATACTATCTGAGTATTGGTGGAACAGGCATGAAAAACTCGTTTTAAGAAGTGCATTTTTAAAGAGGCGGTGGCTGAAGTTATTGGAAAAATTTGAGCATTTTTCAAAATATACGGAAACCAGTGTCTCAAAAACAGGGCTCTCCAGAAACGTTTCAAAAATGCTCCATAGACAAAGATAGCACAAAAGTTGATTTTCATTGTTTTTTTTTTTTGGCAACCGATGGCTTAAGAAAATTTGCATAGATAAGAAAAAAAGCGGGAAATATGTTAAAATGTCTTTTTTGCCCCAAGCTAATGATGAACGAAGCACAATAGAGCTTTAAATTTTCTGAAACAGTCGATTTGGCTTCTATTCCCAAGCTCAAAACGAGTGATAATCGCTAGAAGTGATTTGAATAAAAATATTAAAATTGAAGTCGGCTAGAACCCATACAAAAGTGATTTGATCCATAACGAGAGATCAAAGATGACTCGGAGAGAAGCCAGAGAAACGAGGCTGGCTTTTTGCTAATATTTCAGTTCATTATCTTTCAAGTATCTCTTAATAGCTTCCATTTTTTTTGGCTCGTTAGAGAAAAGAGAGCCCAGACAATACATAGAGTCGTGGAGAGTATCTCTTATTCTAAAAGTCTCACAAAGTCTCTCATTGGAGAGTCGACAGGCTTCTCGGGGGCCTGCAAAGTTTCCTCGGCGTCTTCGAATTCTTCGTCTTTCTGAGATTCCGGCGGCGGACCGGCCATCGAAGATTCGCGGCTCAGCGGGGTCACTCTGAAAAAAGCAAAAACGTGCGGTTTTTCTCATGATTTACGGAAAAACCCTTCAACCAAGGCGTCCAGAAGATGAACTTCCTTCTTCTGCACCTTTTCCGTCTGCAACTCTTGGATCTTCTTCTTCAGGTTGTACTGCTCCGTGACGTACTTCTGTTCGATATCGTCAAACTCGTCGCACATCTATAAAAATATCAAATTTATAAATGTTTTTAAAATCAGAATTTCGATATTATTTTTCACACAAACTGATATTTCCTCATTTTTATGGGTCCCTTCTCCTCTCCGATGAATTCATGAATTAATTTCTCGAGGTATGGCAAAAGTTTTTATTAAGCTTTTAATGAGAAAGTTAAGTTCTTGATAAAAAAAAACAGTGAAAAAAATAAATGAAAAAAACCCGACAAAAATTAATTTCAAACGTTTTTTTATTTTTTTCGAAAATATGTGCATAATCCCTTTTCGGGTCAATAAAACTTCAAAAGTTGTTATGAAATTCCGAGAAGATCTTTTTTCCTCACCTTGTACGCTTCTTCGAGTTTGACATCCTTCTCGGCGACCGTTTTTTCCAGATTTTGGATCTAAAAATGTGATTTCATTGAGGACTTCGTCAAAAAACGCAATTGAAATGGCTCGTGCAAAAAAAAAAGTTGCTAAGCAATCAAGCGCAAGTCATTTCCGGTCTGGCGCGCTTCGAAACGACCGTTAGGCACCGAGCCATTCTCTGTGCGGTCTTGGGTTCCAAGTTTGAACAGGAATTTCTCATCAAAAGTTTTTTTTTAAATTTTTCATAGCCCGTTCGCCATGACTTGAAAATATCTGTCTGTCTGCGTCTCCCTGTTCCATCACCAAGGTCAGAGAAACGTGAAAACAGTAGGTCAACATGAGAGGGTCGCCGAGAGACGAGGAGAGGCAGAGAAAAAAAAGAAGGAAAACCAGCAGTTTCAAGTCAAGAAAAACGGGGTTTACTTTCTTGACCAAAAGTTTGGCCCTTTTTTTCCTTCTCAAAGTTAAAATCTAACCGTCGAGTCTTTATTTGCACACAAATCGCAGGCCGTTTGCTCCGCCTGTTTCGCATTTTGGAGTTGTCCCTTGATTTCCTCGAGTTCCTGGGAAAATCAAGTTAAAAATATATTTTAAAAAATATGGAGAAAACAATTTTGAGACGATCGTTCTCGGCCGTTTTCTCCCTCAAGGCCAGTTCAATCGCCGCCACCTGATTCTGAAAATTGGACTTTCTTGGGTAAAACTAGAATAGAGAACCTTCAAATCTTGAATTTCAACTTTCGAGGCTTCAGAAGACGTCGTCGCCGAAGATTTCTCGCTCAGAGAGAGGATCATCCCGGACAGTCTCGATTCCATTTCTTGCATTCTTTTTGCTTGTTCGTCCGACTTGCTCGAGTGTTCCAGAGCCAAGGCTTCCAGCTGCAAAATTATGAGTCTCTTGAATTGTTCCAAAATCGCGAATTCATCTTTTTTTTTGTAGAGGTTTTGACCCGACATCAGAAAACGTGAGAAAATTTGAAAGTTACTTGAGATTTTTCGATAAAACTGTTCAACTTTGTCTTTTTTTGAGCGAATTCCGAAAATTTTGGCCAATTTTCAAGACATCACCACATTCCCAACCCCTTTCAACTCTGGGTTACTTTTGAAAAATTCAAGCTCACCCCTTTTTTCAAATTTTCTCCACACACATCCGCTGATTCTAATATTTCTCTTATAAAGAAATCAGAAAAAAAAAAATGTCAAAAATAGACATTTTTCTAAAAAAAAATAGTGGAGGAGTTTTTTCATGGGCACGCTATTAATGAAGGTTATTTATCAAAACATTGCTTTGCAACGCTTCTGTCATGCTACCGTATAGCCATACCTTCTCCGTGTACATCTCTCCCAGGGAAAGGATGGCGCCTTCCTTTTCGGCGAGTCGAGCCTCGACGTCGGCCAGTTTCTTCTGGGCATCTTCTTCGGCCATCCGCAGTCGATCGCACTCCATCGAGGCTTCCTCCAGGAGCGACGTCCTCAGTCGCAGATTCTCGACTTCCGTCGCCGCTTCTCGAGTCGCCGTCAGCTCTTCTTGTAGGGCTTGGTTGTCGGCCACGAGCTTCTCCTTTTGCAGTCGCATCTCTTCGGAGGCCGTAACAGTCGACTGAACGACCTGCTCCAGCTCCTTGAGGCGGTCCACGTTCTTGATGGCTTCCGATCTGAGCTGTTCGACGTCGGCTTCAAGTCCAATCTTCTCCTTTTGCGTCTCCCGGAGGACTTCCAGTTCGGCTTTGACTTTCGCAGACTCGGAGCGGAGTTCTTCGCACTGACCGAGGAGCTCTTCTTCCTGGGAACGATAGCGATCGCACTGATTCTGGAGAAGTTCGTTGTTGGCCAAGAGATTGTCGATTTGTTTTCTTGAAGATTCAAGGCACAAGTGCTGATCCTGAAAATCGCTGTTTGAAAGATAAACCCAAGAAAATTTATCTGAAGAGCTAATTTTTTTCTAAATAAATACTTCTGAGTTGAAATGAGAGTTTTGGTTTTTAATTTTCCCAAGAATCACCCTTCTCTCCGCTTCTTCCGCATCAAACTGGACGCATCGCAATCTCAACTGCTCCAGCTCGCGGCGATCCTCGGTCAACACCTCCACTTGTTGTTTCAGAGAGTCGTTCTCCGTCTTTTTTTGCTCCACCTCTTCTTGTAGACTCTCACAGTGAGCCTTTGAGACTTCGAACTTTGCCAGAAGATCAAAGTTTTCTGCTTCTTTCTCCTGAAAAGAGAGCATGTAAGATGTGTCTATAAATGCTGTTGAAGTGTGCTCCAAGGTTAAATTTCAAAAGATATAAAAATTTCCCAAAATTATAAAAATTTTGAGTAAAAAGGAGAACTATTACTTTAAAAAATTCCAATTCAATTGCCAAATTCTCGAAAAAATTTTTGATCCTCAATCTCGTACATGATTCAAGGAGGCCTTGATAACTACCACAAAACCTTCAATTTTCCAAGGAAAAAAAAGAAACGAGCCTCGTAAGAAGCTAAAACCGCCTTCAACGATAGCAGTTCTTCTTGAAGAGCTGCATTGGCGGTCTGGGAATCCCTCAAAGTTTCGACCTCGACCAAAACGTCGGCGTGGCGCTGTTCAGAAGCTTCAAACTCAGCGCGCATTTGTCTCTCGCTCTCCTCCAACTTGGCAGCCATCTCCTCGGCTTGTCTTCGTAGAGCTTCTTCCGATTGTTGAAGTTCGGCTTGGAGCCGGGCGAGTATATCTTGCTTTTGTTGAATCTCCGCCTCAGAGGCTTCCTTCTCTAAGACGAGTTTCTCGCTCTCCTCCAGTCTGCCGTTCATTTCTTCGACACGGAGACGGAGCTCTTCTCTCGACTCTTCCAACTTCGACTGAAGGTCTTCAAGTATCTTCTCCTTGGCCTGAAGTTGTTCTGCTTCGGACTGCCGGTTCTTCTCAGAATCCTCAAGCTTCGCCAACATTTCCTCAGACTGACGACGGAAAGTCTCTTTCGATTCTTGAAGCTGAGCCTGAAGCTCTTCCAACTGCTTGTCTTTGGCTTGAATCTGCTCCCTGAGAACCTGACCCAACTCTTCTTGACCACGCTTTTCGCTTTCCTCCAACTTCGCAGACATTTCCTCGGCTTGGCGTTGGAGATCTTCTTCTAATTGTTGGAGTTGGGCTTGTAATTTGTGCAGAAGTTGTTCTTTTTCTTCAATTTCAGCCGCTAAAGCATCTTTCTCTCTGGCCAATTTATCGTTTTCTTCCAGCTTGGCGGCAAACTGTTCAGCGTGAAGGCGTAGAGCTGTCTTGGATTCTTCGATTTCGCTGTCCTTGGCTTGAAGTTTTTCCAAGTCGGCCTGTCGGTTCTTCTCAAAGTCTTCGAGTTTTGCGGTCTGTTCTTCGGTTTGGCGACGGTTGGCCTCGTTGGACTGCTCTAGTTGAGACTGCAGTTCTTCGATTAGCCTCTGCTTGGCTTGGACTTGTTCAGTGAGCAGTTGGCTGCCTTGTTCTTGGACGCGTTGCTCCGTTTCTTCCAGCCTTGCAGAAACCTCCTCGGATTGGCGTCGGAGGGTTTCTTCCGCTCTTTGGAGATCAGCTTGAAGTCTGGAGATTTGGTCTTCTTTCTCCTTGTGTTGAGCTACAAAGGCGTCCTTCTCCTTTCCAAGTTCTTCGTTTTCTAGGGTCTGGAGAGTCATCTTCTCGGCATAGCGTCGAAGAGCTTCCTCGGACTCTTCAAGCTGAGTCTCGAGGTCTTCCAGAAGATGATCTCTTGCTTGGAGCTGTTCTTCTTGGACTTTCTTGTTCTTCTCGAAGTCTTCGAGTTTGGCGGCGAGCTCATCGTTCTTGCGGCGCGACGTCTCCTGGGACTCTTTGATCTCGGCGTGGATGATCTCGAGCAAGGTGTTCTTCTCCTGGTACTCGCCGATGAGGACGTCCTTCTCTTCGAGACGGAGTTTCAGTTCTTCGGCTTGGGCTTGCACTTCGAAGAGCTGCGCTGGCAGAGCTTCGAGGGCACGTCGGAGTCCGTCGCGTTCCGCTTCCACTTCCGCCAGACAGCCTTCAGTTTGGCCAGAGACCTCAGTCTGCTGTTTCAGACGCTCCAACTGTCCTTCGAGAACAGCTCTATCGGCTACTTCGGCTCGCAGAGTCTCACATTCCGCTTTAAAAACTTCAAGTTGCTGCTCGAAATCGGCGTGTTCGTTCAGTTTTTCGGAGAGCCCAAGGAGCTCCTCTTTTGTCTGAACAAGGCGATCCTGAAACACGGTTCATCTTTTGGAGATTCAAAAAGATAACTCACCTTGAGGAAGGCCAGCTCGTCGTCTTGATCATTCGCGTGAGCGCCAAGATTCTGGAAAAAATACGATTAAACTTTCTGATTTTGAGTTTTTTAAGAATTCCGCTACAGTCAAAACTGCCATCAGAAAACAGAAGAAAAATCAGAGACTTTTAGAATAATTTTTCAAAAAAAAGTTAGCATTTAAAACATCTAAATTTAGTTTACTCCTTCATGTACCACCTCTCCGCGGTGATGGGGATCAACGACCATTTATGGCGGCAACGTCATAAATGGCGGCTAACGGTACACCGGTCACGCAGTTCGCCTTGCTTTATGCTAATAGAATGGGCGGTCCTCCTAGCCCTGGCAAGGCAACGAGGATAACCAGACCACAAAAAAGCTAAAACACGTTCAACAAGACGGCCCCAGTCCTCCGCCCGTCGGTCACGCGCCTCGAAGCGTCGATAATCCCTGCCATCTCCTACGGTACCGAAGTTTGGCCTGACACGAAGAAAAATGCAACCGCCCTACGAACTTCCTACCGCGCACTGGAACGTGCTCTCATCGGCACCACTCGCTTCGAGCAGTGGAAAAAAGAACAGAGGAGCACAGACCTCCGTCAACTATCCCAAATCCGGGATCTAGAAGAGCACATACAACGCGGGAAACATCGCTGGGGCGGCCACGTCATCCGCAGACAAGACGACCGCTGGTCCACGAGATTAACACACTGGATTCCGAGAAACATCAAGCGCCCACTCGGGCGCCCACCGACCAGATGGACGGACTACTTCCGCAAGAACATCAGTCAGCCAGGCCGCCACTGGATGACCGTCGCGCAAGACCGAGCCGCCTGGAGAACGTGTGGTCCACGCTGAGAACATCAGCGAAGATGGACCATCAAAGTATCAAAGTAAGTAAATTTAGTTTATCATGATAGAAAACTTGATACGCGGGCGAAATCCGAACGGCCTCAAAAAAAAAAAAGAAATTAGAGATTCTCTTCAAGTTTCTTAAAAGTGTCAAAATTTTCTCTGAAATTCCTTTTTTCACCATTTTCCGCTTTTTTTTTCTCTACTGGAAAGGTTAAGAAAAAAGGAGCCTGCGAAGCTTTTCAAAAGCATTTTTTAAAAAATCTTCTTTTCAGGTTCTTCTTTGCTTGTATCCGAAGTTACATGATAAAAAGTCGAACCTCTTTCAATTGACTGATCTCCTGCTTCAACGACTCGATGGAAGCGTTCTTCTCATTAGTCACAGTCTTGAGCTTCTTTTGCAAGGCTTCGATCTGCTTCAAAAGGAGCTCGACTTCCATCTCCCGGCCCTCGACTTTCATGATGAGATCCGTCTGAAGAACTACTAATTATTCTGTCCGATGTTTTCTCAGTACCTTGACATTCTCCAATTCGCTTATCCGGTTCTGTAAATCATCCTGAATGATCTTAAAATGCACTTCCTGTTCCACCATCATAAAATCGGCACTGAAAATAATTTCATAATTCAATTTCATAAATATAATTTCAATGAAAAGAAAGGCGAGTTTTGACGTACACAGATTCGTTGATGGTTGGAGGCAACTTCACGTCAGGAGACTGGTAGTTGAAATTCGGAAGAGGCTTAAACAAATATTTTATCGAAAACTTTTTTTTTGTTGTAAACTTTGAAGGTCGGGAAATCGTCGTCTTCGCAACTGTTTATGGGAGACGGCGGATTGGTTGAACATTTGAACGGCATCTGAGGCTCGAGGCCCAACTGCCCGAGTTCGTCGGCCAAACACACGTCAACCTCAATTATTCATTTTTGAAAGGATCTTTTCAAATTTCAACTAAAGTGATGAGAAATTATCAAAAAAAAAATTTTAATTTTTTCACTCTTGTTTAGAATGCAGATTTGAAAATCGCGTAGGAACTTTAAAAAAAAAAGATACGGTAGCCTAAATTTATATTTCTTTTTTTTATTATTTTCTCGGGCAGATTCTAAGCAGATATTAAAAAAATTCAAGCTGAAAAAAATATATACCGTTTAGGACATTATGTCTCAAATATTCTTCCTTCTTTTTAATACTAATTTAATCTTTGAAAAAAATTGACACCTTTTCCTCAGAAAGCCAACGTTGAATCCCTTGACGTAACACATGTGAATTCATTTTCCGGAGTTACCGCCTGCAAAAAGAGAAAATTCCTTCAGTTCTGACATAGGAAAAATGAAAAACCTCATCGAGATCATTTTCATTTTCGAAATCGCCGTCTATTGCGGTTTTTTCGGCATCTGACTTTAATTCTTCAGTCTAAAAAAATAACACATTTTCGAAAAAGTATAATAAAAAGCTCACCACAGTCTCATCGGTCAATGTACTTTCCGGGGTTTCCTCCTGCACGGAAACGTCTTTCTGAAAAAAATTTTTATAACCTATTTTTCTAAAGAAAAAAAATTTTTTACGGGGTCTTGTGTGATATCGCCGATGTAAGTTTCTTCGAGGTTCTGGTCCTGCTGGTTCGATTTATAGAAGGGCACGCTTCGTCTTCCCAGTGGAGTCCCCGAACTGAGCCTTGGCTGGAAACGAGACATTTTCCTCGAAAAATGAAGAAGAATATTACCAATTTCATGTGGATTCTTGAACTTGGCGACGCTGCGGAAAATGGAGATTCCAGGATGGTTCGTTTCAGCTGAAACATTGAAAATAGGCTTGGAGGGTACGAGAAGCTCAAACTTCGCCTTGAGTTAGAGGAATGTTTTCATCTGGAGACGTGGGTCGTTCAGATGACATCCCTGAGTAGCAATGAGGATGAATTTGCTAGCTAATCACCCGAAACACGTTTATTTTATTAAAAACAATTCAAATACCGAATCCTGGGCATTTCTGAAGTGGAAACAACTAGAATACTTGAATAATTTATTGAAAAAAATTTTTTTGAAAAATGATCTCAATAAAAATTGAGCAACTTTTTGAATTAGATGCAAAAATATGAAATAAAATAATTTTTTTAAACAAAGTGAAACTTTTTCTTAGAGAAAAATATGATGGAAGGCAAAAAGCTGATTTGAAAAAAATTATATTTGCTCTACAAAGACTATTTACTTGGAAAAAAACGTGATCTACGAACAATATATTTCAATTTATATGATAAAAAAATTGTCAAACTCAAAACTCACTGTGAAATTGATATTGAATGAATAATGATAAAGAAAAAGTGATTGAAATTGAATTTAATCGAAAAGCTTTGGTAAGAAGGCTTTTTTCTGAAAATCCCTTTAAAATATTCGTTCTAATCATGCGTCAGGGCGTTTACTCTTGAACAACAGAACAAAAAAAGTTAATCACAATTTTCAAATTCAAATATATATGTGAGTTTCCCTGCGGGAAAATGAAATGAAATTTTTAAATCTTCAAATTGCCGCGTTTTGCAATTTGGTGCGAATTTGCGTGAGATGTTTTGACCGCATTCACTCGTGACGTGGTTTTGGGGAACTTTTTCTTTCTTGCTTCTTTATGTTGAAATTTGAGTGTATAAAAATTTCGATTACAGTTTTTTCCAGAGAATGTCGGTGGACAAACTATTTTCCATTCGGAACTACTTCTTTTTGGGAAACTATCAATCATGCATCGGCGAGGCTCTGGTAATTTTTTTTTGTGATGTATAATTTATAAGTTTCCATTTTTCAGAAGTTCAGTACCAAGAATGAGGACGAGAAAATCGAAAAGGATATTTATTTGTATCGGTCATTTATCGCTCAAGGGCAGGCTTTCATCCCTTTGAAAGAAGTTCGTTTTTATGCTTCATTAATTTCAGTCTTTTTGTCGAAGAAGCGAGGTCAAAAATGAAAGTTTATTCTTCCAGATCCCCAGCGATACGAAGTCCTCAGCACTAGCTTCTGTAAGACGATATGCCGAGTATCGTAATGATTCAAAGTCAAAGTAATTTTTCATCAAATAACCAAAACGAATAATTTCTATAAATTCAGGAAACGAATCACTTCGGAAGTTCAGTCGGAAGCGAGCTCTAGATCTATTAAAGATGAAACTTCAGCAGTTTTGGCCGCGATTATTCTCAATGAGAACGGAGTCAGTTTTTTTAAGCGAAATAATTTAAATAAAAAAATTAAGAAGTTGAAATACCTTCAAAAAAATTCGAAAGAGCTGCTTTTTCTTTTTTTTTTTTTTAACCAAAAATAACCTTTTTACAGAACCCTGAAGACGCTTTTCGCGCGGTCGCCCGCTTCGACGGCATCGAAGCTCGAACAACTAAGATTTTCACATTGGTTTTGATGAACAAGAAAAAACTTGCTGCGTTAGTTTTTATAAATTAAATTTCAACTGATTTCGCACAAATGATCATTCGAGGTCTTGAATTCACTGTGATGAACATTAAAAATTCAAAGAAAAATCTTCATTTTTTTTTTTGAAATTTTATTTGAAAAAGAGTTCTAATCTTAACCTGTGTTAAAAAAACTTTCCTGAAAAATTTTTAAAAATTGTTTCAAGTAGTTTCAAGTAGTTCAAGTTATTTGCGTCGTCCTAAATTAAATTCATGAAATTTTTCAAGTAAATGGTTTCAGATCTGAGCAGAAGAAACTGAACGCCGTCGACGAAGACGCGACTCTCACTCAACTTTCAAACGCCCTCGTCACGTCCGTTTCGGTTATTTTTCTCTTTTTTTTTCCAACTTGTCATAAACTTGAGCATTAGGTAGAAGGAAGTATTTTCGAAAACGGTAAAAATCGAAGAAAAAACATCGAAAAAACGGCACAAAGGCTTCCAAATAATAATTTCTGGTAGCTTTCAAAGTCTGAAAGTTTTAATAGGTTTTGAGTATAAAAAAATTGATAAAGCTACAAAAAGATACGTTTTTCTTCCTGGAAAATCAGTTTTTGTATTTTGTTCCGAGTTGTTAAATCGAATTTAATAAAGATTGAGCTTGAAAATTGTGCCTGACCTCGAGGTTTTCAAAACTGAGGAAGAAAATCGTAGTTAAAAATATTCGAAAAAATAACAGTCTGACGTTGAGAATATAGAAAAATGGTTCATTAGAACAGAAAAAGATTTATTATATATTAGGTCTTCTGAAGTACGAAAACAGGTTAATAACAACTGGGTGGTTTAGGGAGGGAGCAAGGTGAAAGACGCGCTGTACATCTACAACGAGATGGCCGACAAGTACGGCCGGACGACGGATCTGGAGATGCACCAGGCGATTGTCAGCATCCTCACACAGGACTACGAAGCCGCCGAAGAACTTCTCAATGTAACTAATTTCCCAATTTCTGTAATTCTGAACCTTTTCAGAGTGCTATGGAGCGAGATTCCAGTGATCCAGACGTCCTGATCAACTCTCTGGTTGTGGGACAATTTTTGGAAAAAGACGATGTAATTTCTTTTTCTTTCTGGAGCTTTGGTTCTTTAAAAAGCCGTAAATGAGATAAGTTTTATTTCGCGTCAATCGATCAGAAAAAAATAGGGTAATTCATGAAATTAGGTCTTTTGTTGTTAAATGCTCCTTTGTCTTATCTTTTTTTTTTAATGTTTCGAATTTTGAGGGTTATTTTTCACAAGTAGTATTACTTGTACCGAAACTAGGTTTTTTGAGAGATTAAGAAAGTTTCAATTGAAAATTATCTGCTCTGGAGCAACTATTAACTTTGGAATACGTCAAAAAAAAAATCTTTGAGGCTTTTCTCGTACTTTTTCATTATAAATCCTTCTCTACCGTCTGAATTCGAAATAAAATAGTTCTTTTTCAAGAACGCCGACCGGATAATCTCTCTTCTGAAGCACAGTCACGCCAACCATCCCTGGACTGTCGACTACGTCAACAAAGAAGCCGAATTCGACCGTTTGGTCGCTGAAAGTTCTGCTTGATCACCACAAATTATGTCCCCCTTTTGTGCATTCTAATCCTAATTATTTGCGATAATGATTACATATTTTACCTTTCCTGTGTATTAAATAAATGGGCGCGGTTTGAATCGAAATTTATTCCGTGGTCTTGGCGATACTATAGTTGAAGAGGAGAATGGAAAATGTTTTGAGGAATAAGATGATGAGCTAGAAGCATGATCTATTTTTCAGAACTAGAGATGAGAATGGACGTTGTCAAAAAGAAGGAGAAGTAGGAAGGAGTACGGTAGCTCGCGTAAATATGTCAATTTACACACACACACATGTTTTTCCGGTCACAGTAGCGATATATGTCAGCCCCAATTGAAAGAAAAACCCAAAAGAACGTACTTAGTATCAGTAGCAAGGAGGAGAAGAGCAAAGGAAATACAACGACGGGATACGATACGATAAATTACTCAAACTCAACAAAACTACAGATTTACCGCGAGAGAAGTGCCGAAGCGAACTTCGTTGTTCTTTTCAGATTCGATTATGAGATGTTCGGAACAACTCTCGCGGTATGAAACAAAGACGACTGACCATCTTTACAATTTTTTTCCGGGGAGAAGGATCGGTCTATGTGGAAAGTATCCAGAGCATGTACAAAAAGAGCGAAAATCACCAGAACCAACTTGTAGTAGTGATGAATACAGTAAGAACGCGAGACTGTACAACAGAAACGAAACCTTGGAGCCAAACTACACATATCCTACCGTAGCCAAAACCAGAGATAGAAGGAAAAATACCAGAAATGAAGATTTGTTAAGGAAAAACTGAGGAAGGTGTTTGGATCGAATATTTCGAGTGGATTGGAGGTTTCAATGACCTGGTAACAAGGAAGAAGAAGTGGAGAAACGCTGGAAATCCCCTGGAAAGAGGAAAATCAGAGAGAAAACGAACCGAAAATACACAGACAGACAAGTAACAACAACATTTCTCATTTAAATAAGGGAGAGAGGTGGGAAAGAAGCGAATAACGATGAATAACAGGATTCCTGGGTTGGTTGCTGTCAACCAAGCGATAGCCAGACAAAACAGAAAAGAATAACCAAATACAGTGCTACTACGGAACTAACAAGTGATAGAATTTGAAACGAAACAAAAAAAAACATTATTAAAAAATAAAAATAATAAGAGAGGTACCTCGCTAAGTTGGGCCAACGGCTAAACATTCTTGCTTGAAAACAGCAACAAAAACAGGAACAGAACAAAAAAAAAGGTTGACTACGACCAATATCTCAGAAATATTCACCGCTACTGCTGTGTAATATGATAGGGTACGGTTTGTGAAGAACGGCGGAGTGAAAATAATAAATCGGAAAATGATATGCAATTTAGTATGATGAGCTTTGCACAGTCGGCCATATGCACTAAAGTGGATATTTATTAGAGTCTTATTAAGAAATTATTAAAAATGGGATTTTTTTTTAAATTGTCCACTTGAATGCATAGAGCCTCTGGGAAAGCCTTCGTAATATTGGTGCAGAAGGCGAAAAAAACCAAAATGAAAAGAGCAGGAGAAAAAGTTGTATTCAAAGAGAAGAGCGGGAAAAAACATGATTAAAATAGTTGACGATCAGGTACTTCGTAGCGTTGGTGGGATGAAGGGACAGAGAAACGTCCGGAGACTCAGGCGTTGATCGAGTTCTGAGACGAGACGGAAAGTCTCTTGTGGATCATGCTCGACAACGAGGTCCGGATCATCTTTGACGGATCTGAGGTCCGTGCCAGACCGAGCTCCATCAGGTGGGTGTCGAACCTCACCACCTGCAATTAGGATCGTTTTTGCTCATTATCGTGATAATTTTTCATGTATTTTTAATTTTCTTGTTTTTTTCAATCTCTTCAAAGACTATCCTTCGTTTTTTGCCCTTGATTTTTATTTTTATTTTTCAGAATATTCTTTATTTTTCGAAAATTATTTCCATAATCGAACATTGAAGCTTCGAAGATCTTATTTAAAAAAATCACGTCTAAAAAAATTAACATGCAACTTTAAAAAGTTGATATCCAACATTTTAATTATAGCAAATCTCTGAAATTTCAATACAGCTGTACTATTTTTTATGGATTCTAAACTTCTTCCTGTCAGATATTAAATGAAGTCTACCCATTATCACCTAAATTTTCGCGAATTTTTCACAGAAACGAACCTTTCTCTCATCCGTCTCGTCGTTTGAAACGTACAGTTCCACCATGGGGACTTTCGTGTCTGCCGCGTATCCGATGCACTTGGCCGTGACCACTTTGCCCATGCAGAGGCTGCGGAATTCCTCGAAGGCCTTCTCGTCCCATTGCAAGGTTCCTGGAAAAGATTACAATTATTCTTTGAAAGTTGACAGTTTTCTGAGAGACTTGAGCGAATTCAGTTCCTCTCTAAAATAATCGGTTATAAAATTTTCCCGATGTTTAACAAAAGCCGGTGAAAATTGAATTTAAAAATTTCCCGGTCAGTTTTATTTTCCACAATTTCCCCAACTTAATAAGATAGAACTTTCCAAGAGGTTCCCTGGAAAATAGGGCCTCTAATAGCTCAAACTACTCTCTCCTTTCTTTTTTCTGAACGTAAAAATTGCCAATGCTGACCATCGACTGGCTTGACGTGCGCGAGGCAAACTTCAGTGGCCTGGAACGGCAGCGACATCAGGTCCGTGCTGAAAACTCAGATAATCAGTTAAAACTCGATAGAAATTTCAAAAGAGCAGTTATTCCCAGAAAAAAAAAGACAAACCGGATCTGACGGAGCTCCTGACGCGGGAGTCGCGCATAGCCGCCGTAGTCAACGAATCGGATGAGGACTTCGTCGCTCTCCTCGAAGTAGTTGACCGTCACGGCGCGGAACCAGGCGTTCATCACTGGGGCGGCGCACAAAAGACCGGCTGAAAAATTGGAAATTTAATAAATTTGAATATTTTGACTCTTCTTCGAAAAGTTAATTATAAATCATCAATCTTGTCATTTTTTGAGCTGAGAAGCCCTAACGTCGTCAAATTTTTCAAAGTCACTTGAAAAATTTTTTTTTGTAATAAAAAAATTATTTCTAATTGTTGTATTTTTTTCATAAGGCCGTTTAAATTTTAATGATTTTTTTGTTCTTTTTCAAAAAAATTTAGGATAACTGAAGTCTGAAATGGTCTAGAAAAATTATAAAGTATCTGGAATTGTTATGCTCTTCATAAATCTTCCTTTTCGAGAATACCTACACCATTTTTCTCTCAATCCAACTCCCGAAAGCCTTGATATCGAAAGAGCAAGGAGACGGACGAAAATAGTTGAAACTATTTGACAAATTACACGCTACTCTAGGCAGCTGTCGTCACATGTGTACGGCCAACCCGATCAAAAGAGAAAAAGTGGAAAAAGCAGCTGGGAGAGGAGTAAAATCGTATGACATAGTCTGGTGTTGTTAAAAAAAACTCGTGAGAAAGTTCAACATAGACCTCCATTTTTGGGTCTTTTTTACGAAGTGTCTTCTTTGGGTATTCACTACGCGTTTTGAACATTTGATGATTTAAAAAAATGATATTCTTTGAAAAATTTGAATATAATGAAAAGGCCGCTTTTAAATCGAAATTCACAAACTTTCGCTTGCTTCAAATTAGTTTTTTCTTTGATTTTCAAAGGGTCTAGGTGTTCAATGTACACATAAAATCGAAGAATTTTAAGATGTTTTCTTAGAAAGAAACTACAAAGATGTCTATAAACTGTGCCAAAAAACGGACTTTGACAAGGAACAGGAAGTTCTGGGATCTGAGTGTGCTCGCTGTAGAGCCGCAGCATGTAGAGGTCGAGATGACGGAGCGAGGCGAAGGAGGGATGAGTCGGCTGCTGGAGGAAGAACTGGGAGACGTCGACCATGTTCGAGACGGCCACCTCGCATGGAACTTCCTCGGGGAGCGTCAGCTGAAAAAAATTATAATACTTTCTTGGATTTTTAAAATACAACGCCTCTTATCTAACGTCAAGACTTTTGCACGAGTTTGAAAAGTAGGAAATCTTTGCTAGCAGAGAAAAGAAATGATAATTTGTCAATGAATAGTTTTTCATAAGTCTACTCTCGGCGGCTCAATTAACATCTCAATTACCCAAGATGGCTGTGTGTGGATCATGTCGAAGTAGTGGTTGGGAAGTGGCGGCGGCAGAACTGGCTGAAGGTTCAACTCTGGGAACCGTGCCGGTGGGAAGCGGCGGCGGAGCATTTGGAGGCAATGGTTTATCTCTTCTCGCTGTCCTCGCACCTGGAAACGAGCTGTTGAAGTCATTGAAAAAACAAATGTCAGAAAATGTAGGTGAGCAGTTCTTTTGAACATTTTGAAAACTTGAAAAAAAGGCCAGAAAAATGACGTGAAAGCTTAAAAATAAGTAATTTGTTCGCACTTTTGACTTCAAAGCAGCTCATATGTTGGAAATCTGGGTAATTTTAATGAAAATAAAATTTTCTACCTGAGTTCTAGAAGCTTAAAGAACATGAAAATTCAGATCTTCCAACTGTTTTTTTACACTATTGAATTCATATTTTTTTCAAAAAAATAAAAATTTTTCTTCTTAAAAAGTTTTTTTCACTGAATATAAAAAGATAAAAATTTTAACTGAATAGAGAAATAGTTGTACCTGGCAAATTTGATGCGTATCAACCTTCTCAGGTGTGTGATGTTGACGGATCAACATTCTGACCTTTGTTCTAACGCTCAATTCCTGGAAAAATGAAACAATAATTGGGTCTTTTCATGGAAAATCCCTACTCGAATAGTTTTTCCCTTGATTCCAATCACGAGTCCGACCAAACTGTTGGGGATTTCGAATTCGTACATGGGCATCGGATCCATCAAGTCGTCGACGAGGGTTCCGTCCTGCACGTTGCCGTTCACCATGTGCTCGTCCATTGGCGAGAGCGATGAGGCTAGGCCTCCGGTCGCTCGGCCAGAATCTTGTGAAGATACCTAGAAATTATTGGCTTATCTTCTGAAAAACCTTGCAAAGACAACTTTTTTTGTGTTTTTTGTCATTAGATTCAACTCTTGACGTGACCAATCGTATATATATATATATATATATATATATCTTCAAAAAAAGCAAAAAAATGATTTATTTTTTTCTAAACTCTGTACTTTTATTTAGAATAATGGTCGTCTACTTTTCAGATGACGATATCGACATGACCAATAACCCAAAAGTTATTCAAAAAGATTCTAAACCGGTAAAACAAAAGTTTCTCTCAATGAAAAAAACGTTTCCAAACAAAAAACACACGTCCAGGAAAAAAGACAAACCGTTTCAGGGTAATAATGTGAGTATTCAGAAGTAGTAGGGGTAAATGCGCCGCCATAAACCGAAGAATGTGCCGAAGATCCGCTGCTGGGCCGCCGCTGTTCATATCGCCAACTTCTCCTCCGGTCGTAGTCCGAGTCGATGGGAGTGATCTTGACTGGCAGCATTTTCCTTTGGAAGGGCATGACGAGTGAGTGCCAAGGCAAGGGAAGTCCGGGAAGGGGCACGACCGACGGAGCGAAGGACGGCGCCGGCGACGCTGGTATCACCGAGGTGCAGTAGTTGGAGACAGACGACGAAGACGAAGACTGCTGGTGAAGGGCCGGAGTCTCGGAGCGCGAAGAGGAAGACGTGGCGGACTCGGGACTCTCAGCCGTATACTGGTGGAGTTCTTCTTCGTTGGTGACGGCCGGGAAAGGAGGCGGTATGAATCCGGGCGGGAAGATCAGCGTGCCATCGGCAGCGACGAGGCACGGCGGCGGCGGCAAATGCGTCGGCAGCAGTGCAGGGTGGACCAAAATGGGGACCACTTGTCCCGTTGGCGTCATAGGATGAGTGTGATGAGGTGTTAGTGAAGTAGTGTGACCTGGTAAGCACTAGGTGCTCAAAAACACGATAATTAGCCGATGTAAGAGATATTCGAACGAGCGGAAATATGACGAAGCGAGCGATCGAAGTGTCAACAAGAATCATTTTAAGAATTTTCTTGATTTCTTTACCATAGCTGAATAAAACAAAACTTTGTGGAACTCATACTACAGATATCGGCTAAAATTGTAGCTCAAAAAAGTTGAGAAAAAGCCCTAAGAAAATTTGAAAAGTTCCCAACGATGTTACTCCACTAAAAACACTTGCTTCTTTCAAACTTCTCAAATTTGTATTCTCCTGAAAAGAAAATTCAAATTGTTTCTACTTGAACGCGAAACGATATCATCAAGCTTCGGAACGTAAAGTTACACATGGGTAAATTGAAGAAAAAATGTCCGTATAAATATAAAAAAGCTTTTTGAATGAAGAGTTCATAGGTAAATTTGTCCACGTCGTGAAAGACTTCCACTACGTGTTACAAACATTTAGGGAAAACCTAAAAGATGAAAATTCCTAAAAAGTCCCAACTTTTCCTAATATAGAAATTAAAAACTATCAAATATTCCCAATTACGTACTGCTCGTAAACATCTACTGTAAGCACATGACAGTCAGCCAAGGTCAGGAAGAAAATAAATAAGATCTGAGTGGACTTGTCAATAAAAACAAAAAATAAACAAAAAACGGGTGATTTGAATCAAAAAATGCTCATCCCTCGTCGACAGGAAAAAAAGATAGGAAAAAAATTCAGTCAGCAGCGATTTCTCCTTCTCTCTCTTCGAAAAAGTTGGCAACCGTCTGGTGGGGCGGAGCTTCCAGAGGCAAGGCGCAATCGGTTCACCCCCAGTCCCTCCAAACCAACAAAAAAACGTCCGTCCGTATTGCCGCGTGCATCGAAACCCCGTGGAGTGCACGAGGAAAGAGAAGAAAAAGAGAAATAGCGGAAAAATCAAAGAGATCGGTACAAATTTACGGTTTGCCATCCCAAGTCTTGCGACTTTCGAAACTCTGCGCAAAACGATTCTATCTAGCTTATAAATAGAGAAATCGGCAGCAATGATCGGTTTCTGATTGAAAATTGAAAAATGAACTCAGAAAAACTATAATTGTACGGATTAAAAAACAAGACGACGAAATAAGTTTTAATTATGTTCAACGTGAAAAAATTGCTATAATCACTGTAAGTAAAGACATCATTAATTATCAGGATTGTGTTGCTTTATAACCTTTAAAATATGAAAAAAAAAATCCACGAAGGGCAAAAATGTTCGAATCTGAAAGTTTCAAACAAATCCATAAAACCAACTCATTGAAATACACTATATGCACTGAAAAAAAACAACTAAATCAATAAAATAATACAGGAACGGAGTTCTATAAATAAAAACAAACAAAAACATAAATTTAAAAAAAAAATGATGAAAAATTTTTCGGTGAAAATTTACTATCTGTGTATGCACTATTCTTAGCTACCGTAACCAAGACGAACAAAAACAAGAAGTACCAATTTTTCCAACTTTTTTTTTGGTTTTCCCAGTTTTTCGAGTTCAGCTGAGGAGATACGGTATGGTGCAAATAAAAGTCACATGTTCGGCAAGAAAGTGAGAAAAAAACTGCAAACAAGGACATTTCGAATTTCTCATGATTCTTAGAAAGCAAAAAACTCTGGGAATGCACGAAAAAATGATAGGATTGCGCAGAAATTATTCCATATTTCCGAAAAACTACTGATGAGTAGGAAGCTATTGATCCAGAAGCGATATGATATGATAAGTCTAAAAAATGAAGGTTTTTTCGCCCGAGTTCATTCATGAGAGAAAATTTAAAAAAAAAGTCAGAATGGCAAGATTTTTTCAAAGTCAAGGACACATTAGCCGTTATCATTCTCACATGAGCTAGCCGAAATTTTCAGCGCTTATCAGGAAAAACGCAACTTTCCGTCGCTATCCAATCTCTTGGGAAACAATGAATTAGAAGGAAAAATTTAGGTTTCCGAACGGACTGGAATCCTGCCAAGAGCGACGAATCGAAAGTGAAAGCCAAGGTTATATCGTTCGTCTTGGCTATTCTCTCCCAGCCCAATCAACTCGAAAAAATCTCTAAACAAAATCGTCCTTCCCTTCATTTAATGAATGGCTTGGCGGTGAACTTCGAAAAAAAACTTGCAGAGAGAAAAAAACTTCAGCATCGCGATCAATTGGAAACCTATTCAAAAAAACTCGATCGACTCTATAGCCGTGTTACAAATTCGTGAATTATGGGTTCAAGAAAACAAAAAAAAAATCTTATGCGTTTGCTAATTTGGGGGCCGAAACAGTCTTTTATGAAAACTATATTAGATTATGTGAACTCTTATGAGGAAAACCGTTGAGTTGAGTTTTTTTTTTTCTAAATAAAGTGAATAAGAGCGGTCGTTTCTATCGTAAGATATTATAATTTTAGAAAAATAAGGTCAAATTGTTAGTTTTGAAGACACCGACCTAAAAAGAAGTCAATGAAAAGAACTTTATGCATTCGTTTAGAAAAAAAACTGGAAAAAGTGTATCTATTGCAGCCCTGCTCTTCAAAGGTGTGAAAGATTACACGTAAAATCGATATGAAACTGCCATTCATCCCAAATCCAAAGGTTCAGCGCAAAAATAAGCAAGTGCACGTGCACTTTTTGATTGGGGCCGCCGTTTGTGAGAGAAAGAGAGAAAAAACGGGCCGAAACAGTCGGATGAATGAGAAGAACAACGGACCGGCCAACGCAAACGACGGCATCCCCAGCCGTTCCTTCGGCAAAAGTAAAACTTCCCGTTCCAAAGACTTTGGGATAAAGAAAAGGATTTTGAAAAATCAAAATTCCTGTGAGCTATAGAAACAATATTTTTTTGAATACTATTAATTGGTAAAAAAAGCAGAGACGTATTTCAAATGTATTTCCATTTGGAAAGTGTATAAAATAATGTTAAAAAAATAAATTTCTGGGTACTTAAAAATGTTTATTTTCGATTAAAAAAATCTTCGATGCGAGTGTTCACGCAGAAATATTAGAAAATCTCAAAAAAAAACACTGGTTTTTTAAAGAAATTTTTTTGAAATTCTCCCAAGGGCTCTTTTGAAAAAATCAGTGACGATTCTCGAAAAAATGGTTTGAAAATGCCAAAGCTATTCGAAAATTTGAAAATTATAGTAGAGAAAGCGTAAAAAAAACTTATAAGACTTAGTTGCATTCACTTCTTTGCAAAAGTAAACAGTAACTAAGAAAATTGAAGGATTACCCCTCAAAAACAGCTTCAAAAACGTGGCAAAGTTCAAAGTTAACAAAATATCTGAACTCATCAAAAAAAGTGAATGTAAATTTTAAAAAGTGCAAAAAAAACTGGAGCCCAAGCCAAAAAGGAGAAAGCGTGATATGGCGGCGACGATAAAAATGGCGCTCTCCGCAGTCGGAGGTCAAAAGATCACTCTGTCGGTCTACCGCCCTCTTCGACCGACGCACTATGCTAATTCTGAAGCGCCGCCCTCTCTCTTCATGATCTGAGTTTTGAGTTTCGACCAAGCTTCTCTAAATTTGTGAGATCGTTTCAGAAACTGCAGAATCTGAATTTCGATGAAAAGTCGGAGGAAAAAAGAAATTGAAGTTGGCCGTTCAAAAAATAGATTTGAACTGACTTAAAACTCTCAATAACTTGGCGAGTCCATTTTGAAACTTCGCTGGAAAGTTTACTCTAAACAATTTTTTTATTGAAAGAATGGGTTTCTGAAATTTCCAAAAAAGTGATGAGAATATTTTACGATGCTTCAACGTAGAAAATTAAACTTTTTGGCTTTCCCTTCCAATTTCATGTGTTCAAATCCAACTTTCGAAAAGCTTCTGATAAAAATATTCACAACTGTATATTTATAACAACGCCGTTCCCCTCAACTTTCGACTACAAACTTCAACTTTCAATAGCAAGTTCAAGTAAACCTCAAACTACAAACATAATTATTATTACGGTATTCGACCGAAACAAAACGTTCTGTCATTTCTTTCTTCTCTATCGGCGATCTGTGTCAGAAAGGAAGTGTGATATTCGTGTAAACGGGGAAGAAAGATCGCGAAATCAGCGGCGTTCCTTTTTAGTCTCACCGCAAGATATGCGTCATTCGGATCGGCCGACGTGCAACACCATTCCTACTTTTTTGCTCTTTTTTTGGGAGCAAATCGATGATCAATCAGGTTCAAATGCGATTCGAAAGACGGGAGATTCAAAATATGAAGGCTCCTAACCTAAAAAAGAAGGTACCCAATGAATAAAAAAATTTCAAAAAATTAGGAAGATTCAAATTCAAAATACCACTTTGCGGAATAACGATTGAGACGTTTTTTTTTTCATAAAAAATGATTTTTGAAGATTGAGACCTACAGGATCTTCAACTAACACACGTTAGAGCCTCCTTTTGATAAAATTGAATTATTTATTTAAAATGATTACTTCAAAGTTTTGTAAACATGTGGTGCACTTGTAAACCTTCATTTCTTCTTTTTCCTTGTGAGTGACTGATAAGATCAGAAATATCAGAGTCGAGTATGCCGAACCGTAAAAGAGGCGTCAAGGAGGCCTGATTCCCAAGCATCTCGCCTCGAAAGGTGTCAAAGTCTTGTACTACCAAAGCGAAGAGAGAGCGATAAATCTACAGTAGCCCCTGACACGACTAAAAACTTCGAAACAAACAACAACAGGGTCCGTTCCGTACAACACCACCTAGCAGACCAATCATCAATATCAGCAGAAAGAAGAGCCTGGATCCCGGCCGAGACGTCCTTTTGCTGTCAATTTCGGTGGCTCCGTCGAGCCCGAGATGACCGTTATCAGACATACAAACACTCAAGTCAAGTCAGATAAGATAATCAACAAACGCTTGTGACTGAACTCGAGAATTCCTACCTACACATTCAACGGGATCATCTGAACATTCAGCCAAAATTAGAGGAAAAAATGGTCCGGAATCTGTTTGATAGAGTCCTTTATTTTCAATTTCTATGCAAGGTGAAAAATCAAAAACACTAGTAATCTTATAAAACAAGAAACTAAGCTTAATCCGTGGTCTAAAACAGAAAATATGGTTTCAATGAGAATTTTTCAAAATTTTCTAATTTATAGTAATCTTCGTAGGATATTGGGGGTTTTTGACTGAACATTAAAATCTTAGCACCCTATTACCGTAAAGACCAATCAGTCCAAATTTTGAAGATAAATTGCCTTTTCTCGGCGCGACATTGTAGCAAAAAAGACAATGCTGGCCCGCTTCCAACTTTCCGTCACCAGACAAATTACCATCATAGATAAAAATCGCAACATTGAAAGGCGATAACGAGAGTCAAAAAAAGGCCGGCTGATAAAAATTGGCAGTGTGATAATTCAAACACCCTTTACTTCACCTGATAAGCCTAATGAGACTACTTGATCGATACAAAACTGTTAAACTCAGCCCAGTAGTAATTGAGCTTAAAAAAAAGGAAGAAAACTTGAGGAAACCGGAAAAAGTGGACACTGACAGGTAAAACTTTGATGAATTGATAAATATACATTTTACGGACAACTTTTAAATTGAGAAAAAGTCTGTATTCCATGATAGTAGCCCAAAATTATGAATAAATTTGAAATTTCCAATATTTCTCATTAGGTCAGCTTCCGAAGTGAAAAAAAAATCATAAAATTTGAAAATTGTATCCAAAAAACGACTTTCGCTGATACGTCACCGTATGAAACTGAATTTTCGATAGAGCACGCTTGTTGCGAAACGGCGGTTTTTTTCTGCTTTGCACAAATAAAAAACTTATTCTCATAAACTATTCTCATTAAAAATCCTTCTTTCTTCGATATAAATGTTTTAAAAACCCTAACTATTACCAAACCGAGGTGAAAACTTCTAGATTTTAAAAATAACACTCCCTGACCTTAGCAAAGCGTCTCAAGACCTTGTCAAGTCTAAAACAGGAAAAAAGCGAGAAAGTACATCTGGCCGGGTAAGTATTACACATGGTTACGTGCCCAAAGACAGATGAGAGAAGAAAAAGAAAGAAAGAGAAGAAAAAAGTCCACCGGCCGGTAAAAAAAGGGACGCCGTGAAAAAAGAGGAGGTGAACAACCATAAGATATTCATTTAAAATCTCGTTCTTCTCCATTTCTTCGCTCCCCCCTAAGACTGGCGTACGTCATCAGGCACGGCAATCAGCAGACGACGTCTCCTCGAAACCGATCCATCATTCTTGCCTTCGCAACTTTTCAACGGCGTCTAGCGCAGCGACGAACCTAGGCCAAAACCAAACGACCTTCCAACCAGAAGCGTAGGCAAATTTTTGAAAGTGAATAGAAAGTCTCCGCGAAAAAAAAAGCGACATAAAAACTGTGAATACCGAAGAGCTCTCTTCTCTAAGTTTCAAAAAATATTGAGAGAGGGAGAAACATGAAAATCAGTTTTTAGTCCGAAACTCAATCGAATTTCACAACACTCGCAAAAAAAAAAACGATGGCGTTTTGAACTTTTCGAAATAATTATTTCCTTTAAACCTAGGTTGATTTCAACGCACTAGAAGATGGAAATTACGATGTAAATTTGAAAATTATTCAAAAATTTATTCAAAAAAAGTAGAGCTGTCATCCCAACAACGCTTTCCGAAGCAACATCGCGCCATTTTTTGAAGTAAGAAATTAAAAAAAGAACAGAAGAATCTCAGTTTTTGAATTGAAAAAAATCTAATTCAGCGTTAAAAAAAACAGGCATCTGTGATCGTAAATTGTTAACACCAAGAAATTTGATCTTCGGTTGATACCGTAATAACTCTTTTCTCGACTGTATCCAAATTATTTAATCATTATTTTCAAAAAAATTAAAAACTTTGAAAAGTGCAACGTCATTTCGACCAAGTTCAACATTCTCCCAGACAAAAAAAAGTGTGTCCTGTGCGGCAACTTCTTCGGCAATGGAATGGCCGTTTCCCTTGGCGCAGCTCTGATTTACAGCCCTACATTGGATGGCACATGAAGGAAGGAGAAGAATACAATCCTTTCAATCTGAGAAACCATCTTGTTCGTAAATTATCTGCGACGTGTAAAGCATCAACATCGGCTCGCAATAAACAGAGTGCAAAAATAAATTGCTTAAAGTCGGTAACTGTGTCTTACAGATATTCTAGTCATCCTTGAATTAAAAATACGCAGATATTACTAATAATAGCAAAAAAGGGTGCATAGATAATAGATTCAGAATATGATTTGTCAAGTTGTTATTATTTAAAAAATTTTCCAAAATAGTTTACGTTCAAGGCTATAAATGAACGGATTCTACCAAAAGTTTGAAACTTTCTCCTTTTAAATCCTCAGAAAGTCGAGAACACTTCTCACAGTTCATTTCCTTTCGTAGTCCATTCCCACAGTCCAGGATCCATCTTGGCGGAAAAAAAAAGACTAAAAAGGGGCTTTAAATCTTTCGAATCTATCAGCAGCCGGGGGAAACCCATAAAACAGATTCACACACTAACGGAGGCCCTCTTTTTGAAGAACAACCAACATTTCGACGAGGCCGATATCGCCGTTTTATTGGTCTCGTGTAAACGGTCGGGTCGTCATTCGTCGTCGTCGCCGAAGGAATAAGAATATTCGCCTTTTCAAAAAGCAGACATTTCAAGGAAAAACTATACCTCCACAAGTCGAAAATTGAGAGAAAAAAAAAATAATTCAAAATTCAATTACTTTTTTCCAGTTTATAATTGGTCACGTCGTTATCCATTATTATTATAGTTTAAAGATGAAAAAGAAACGGTGTTAGACAAAATAGCCGAGACACATTCATCACATACGTTTTTTGAACCGAGATCACAAGGATCTCCCCGTTATTGAAAAGTAAACTCCGGCTATTTTATCCAGTACCTCATCTTTTACCAAGTCACGGGAATTCAAAGAAAACTGACTTCGCTGTGTTGACTGGCGACGCCGGGCGACTCGCTCTTCTCATATCCGAGGTTCTCGTGGACCTGGTGCAGCTCCTCTGGAAGAGGCGTCGGCTCGACCTTCTTCTGGGTCTCGACGTGCTTCGACTGCTGCTTTTTCTCTTGTTTCGAGCCTTTCTGGGCGATGTTCTGTGTAGCTGGCTGCACTGATCCGCGATCGCTCTTGGAGGTACTGTTGCGGTTTCGGCGATTTCTTAAAAAATTAAACTTGTTATGGCTTTTCATTACATTTTGCTAGGTCCTAATTTTCGAAAAAGATTCTAAAAGCACGGCAATTTTGATTTTTACATGCCTTCTGATAACAAAAGCTACATTTAATGTTTAAAAACATCCGAATTCAAACTTTCTGATAAGAAGCTTTTTAAACTAGCCTGGAAACCCTGAAAATTTTCTCTCAAAAGTTTAATTTCTGTGTCGAATTCAAAAACAATTCGTAACTATTTTTTGAGGCTAACTATGTTTACATTTTCTAATAACATTCAATAGACAAGTTACCATTCATATCAAGTACAAACAGACAAAATTCCACATTAAATGCTTCACAACTTTCAAAGTTCTCTCAAGACTTTAGTGATTGAAATTGAGATACTACGAAAAAGTCAAAAGAATCGTTCCGGCAGAAATTTGATCAGAAAAGCGTTTAATTTTAATCTCACGGATTTGAAAATGTTATCTATTCCGCCACAGGCCCAGTAAAAAGTTATAGTCCATTTTTCCGACTTGAAAATAATTCAAAATGTGGCGCGATGCGGCTTTTTGGCATGAAACTCGAGTTCAAGCGGAATCATGGATAAATCTTTTGTTGAAATTTCAGACTAAAAATAACTGCTTGAGGTTCTCACTGATGTGTGAATGATCAGCACCAACTCACCGGTTCTTCCTGTGCTGACTTCTCTGCTTCTCAAAATGAGGGGATCGCGGCGAGTCGACGAAAGGATCGGCGTCGCTCGATTCAATCGTCATGTTGAAGGACTGTTCTTGGCTGTAGGTTCTGAAAACGTGAAGTCTGCTGGGGAGAGAGGAAATGGAATACAAGTAAGCGGAAGAAAACTCCAGCCAAACCAAGGATATAAACGAAATATGAACAGTTTATTGAAGAAGCAACGTTTCATTTCGAATATACTAAGGCACCTTTCCATCTCTTCGCTCCACGAGAAGGCGGCCGGCGACTGCTGCATGACGTCCAGAGAAAGGGGCTCGTCGAGGTGGGTCAATTCGAGAATTTCCTCCTGGAAATTGATAGAAATGTTTCAAAAAAGAAACATTCTCAAGAAAAGCAAGGACAAACAATTTACTTCAAAGCTCTGACAAGAGATTTGACATAGTCACTTTTTTACAGTACTAAATTAATTTTTCTGAAATTTGAACCCGGCAAATCAAAAATTTGAAAACGTAAAAAACCCTTCCAACTTCTCGGGTTTAAAAACAATTCGCACTTAAAAAAATAGAAACTTCATCTCAAATCCCCAACATTTTTTTAAAACCAACAGCCGTAATTTCAGGTTCTTGTGCCGAATCCGTTGTCAGGTCTGCAGAAGACGTCGACGACTTTTGCTGGAAAAACCGAAAAAAATAGTTAAAAAGAAAAATAATTCACTGAAAATATCTAAGAATTCCTAATCGGACTCTAATCATGTGATGAGAAACTCTGATAGAGGCAAAAATAGAAGAAAAAAAAAGTCCAAACTATAAAATCTATTTTCAGCCTTTGTTTTCTCGGAATCATTTAAGATTCTCAGCTTCTGAAATTGAAAAATCGAAATTTGCGTAAATCTCCACAAGGAGAAAAATACAAATAATCCCTTTCAATTTAAACTTATTATTTATCTAATTTTTTTCCTGTTTCGTGATGAAAAAAAATTTTGACCACTAATTTTGAAAAATTTTTTTGCTTTTTTTCTCCTTCGAAAAATTGCTATTCCCTGTTATCAAAAAAGCTTTTTTTCAATCAAAAAATTAAAATTTACAGAGCCAATCTTACATTCTCCACTTCTTTCTCCTTCAAATTTTCTTCTTCGAGATCGGGAAGAGGTGGGAATTCTTTCTCGGCGATTTCTATTTTCTCGGCTTCTTCTCGTCGAGCTTCTTCGGCTTTCTGAAATAAAAACACGAATGGAAAGCAACGTGAAGACTGTAAATCGGACATTTGTGTTAATTCGACATTCACAAGCCTCGGTTCAAATCAGTTTTGCTACAGACAAAACAAACTAAAACTCCATAACTGAAATTTTTTTCAACAGTGTAATATGGCTTTTGAACGAGGCAACACAAAAAAATATAAATTTAAAAACAAATATCGTGTTCTAAATTTCTTTTTGAAGCACGATTCAAAAAAATTTTTATAAAAATTCAGGGTGTTGCTTGAACAGAGACAAGAGTGCTAAAATAATATCGATAAAATGTCTGCAAGCGCTTTAAATGCAGAAAAATGTGTACTACTCCAAGAACAGACCGGAAAAAAACGACTACGAAGTCAAAAAACCCGCAAACCCACGCAAATGAGAAAAAAAGTGTGTGGTTTAATTGGTAGTTAGAAGCTGTTGACTTCGATTTCACAAACCGACAATCACCAAAAACTTCGAAAAAATTTAAAGTCGCAGGAAAAGAGAATATTGAAACTTTGAGCAAATTTTCCCTAAAAATAATCACAAAATTTTCCCGCATAATTATTCTTGCGAATCTTCCAAAAAAACCATGTATATATAAATTTTTTTGCCACTACCACAGCCATCCCTCCTTATACAGGGACGCAACACCAAAAAAAATAGAAAAAAAAATTTCTGATGTCGTGAAGCTTATCACCTGAATTATCGACGTAAAAAGTATTAATTTTACAAAAAAACCTATGCTCTATTTTTAAAAAAATCAGCTAGCATTTTTGAATAAAGCTAAAAGAAACTCTCAAGTTAATGGGCGCAAATAACTTTATTCCGTGAGAATTTGGACAGAGTGCTGCGTATTCGACATGCATGAAATGCTTTTGACAGAGAAAAAAGTATAAAGGAAATTTAGGCTTTCAATGATTGAATAGTGATAAACATTTTGATTACAGTTTTGCATTTTCGTTGTTTCAGTGTAATCCAGGTCGCACTTGGAATGGCTTCAAGCATGCTAAACCAAAAACTAACCATTTTGATTGAATTGAATCGGGTAGCCTTTTTTTGATTTAAGACGAGCGTCCCAATTTAACCGAAGTCGCATTAATATGGCTCGTTGCAACTTTCTTTGACACTGATTTTCCTGCTCCTTTTCCTCCAAGACTGAACGATTATTCAAGCTTGTGAAGGAAATCAACTGATTTAGGAAATCCATTCCAAGTGCGACCAGCAAAATGGATTTCAAAAAGGAAAATCAAATTTGAAAGTTGAACTGAAGGCTATTTTGCATATATCATGAGAGGATCTGGCATTCTGGAAAAGTCGATCGGTTTTTGTCAGTTTTTCAAAACTTCCAAGTTTTTCAGTTTAAAATTGTTTTTGTCTCCGAAAATGCGTAAAACTCGGGATTGCGGTTATTTTGAATTAAGTTGAGAAAAAGGAAAATTTTTGAAAGTTCGACTTTGAAACTGGTCCCATTGTGAAGAAATTTGTATTTCAAAACCGTTAAAACCTTAACCAAGTCCAAAAAACTTTCCATAAATTGAAAACTTGAATAAATAGCCATCCTAAAGAACCGACAGACCTTTCCAGCAAATATCTTTTTCAATCGATAATTCCAATACCACCACAAAGACCGCCACAAACACCAAAACTGTTCATTTTATCCCTCAATATTGCTCTTTTTCCACCTTTCCTTCCTGTACAATTGCTGTGCTCGTTGTGGATACATGCAGATGTTTATTGTACTATTTTGCACTGTAAGGCACTTTCTACACTCTATATGTGGGCGATTGTTCAGTGTTCGATTCGATTTATACCTTCTCGGCAACTTCTTCGGGGCTCGTCTGGACGACTTCGCTGTAGGTCGACGGCGGGAAGTCTCCGCCGGCGAGGGCTCTTTCGCACTCCTCGCCAATCTTCTCAGCTTCTTCCTTCAACCAAACGAATGAATTGAGAAGGAATAAAAGTGAAAAGCAACCTTAGCTTCTAGAGATTCTTCCGTTATGGGCAGAGGAGGGAATTCAGAAGCTCTGGGTACGGCGTCGTTGGAAGACTCTTCGAGTTCGTTGGAAGGCTGCAAACTTTTTCCAATCACTTTTTGATTTAAAAAAGCCCATTCGCAAAAATTCTTCTCTTTTTTTAAAAAATTAAAAAAAGTGTTTCAATAGAATCATCAGCTTTGTGAAAAAAATCCAAAGAGCTTTGAAAAGATGGACATAATTTGTTAAAAAGAGCGATGAAGACTTTTAAAAAAAATAGATTAAAGTTTTGTGTTACAAGAATTGAAGACCGAGTTGCGCAATGTTTGAAATCGCAACTCAACTAAAGTTTTTGGATAAATCAAGTTTTTCTGCCACCAAATACGCTCGTTGTGCAATATTTCGAAATATGAAAGTGCAAAGAACGATTATACTGGAAAATTTGAAAATATTTCTTTCATTGAAAATTGTTTCATTTTTTTTTTAGAAATGATCCTCCAGTCCATAGACCAATGAGCGCCAAAGCGTAGGCGTTGGCCGTGGATCCGTTCTTTTTTTCAAGCTGGATAGATGACACCAAAAGGAAAAAAAAGAAGATAGAATACGCCATCTATAATGCCGAGTAAAAGTCCATCCATCCTGGCCAACGTCATTTGGTCTTTGCTTCAAAAATAAGCTGGGTTTATTGAAACACTGCATGATATTTCTGAACACTCCAAACGCGTGGTAGATTTTGGGGAAAACTTTGATCCACTGAAAGTTTGCGCTAATTTCCTCGGAGAAAGGTGAAAAAAATCTTCATGTTAGTTCGAAATCGCTGATTGAAAAGTCAAGTTTTTGAACTTTTTATGCGCTTTGTAAACTTGATTTTAATGTATTATAGCCTTTTCGCAACATTTCGCAAACTTCCTTTTCAGTTCCCCACTTCTACATTCCCCTCAATCAATGGCCGAATGAGCTTTAAATGAAATAAATCAATATTATCATTATTATACAAACTAAACTTCCAAAACTTTTTAATTTAACATTTCATATCTCTTCTTGAAACACTAGGAAGAAGTCAATTAGCACTAAACTGTCCAAATTTTCACAAGGTTCTTCCCGGTTTTTTTTTCATCCTATCGTCGACAGACAGAATAAAATATTGTCTTTCAGCCAATGCAAAGAAGAGTGACATCCAGCCGGAAAAAGCACGTGGGACACGCCATTTCGACGTCATCCGAGGAGAAATAGATGCGCCTCATATGAATGGAGACAAATTTATTTATCTTCCTTATATTTTTGGTTTGTATATTTTTTTCACGAAAGACGAAAAAAACCATTAAAAAAATTAATTTTTTTGTTCCCAAAATAAAAAAATATGAAACCTTGTGATTTTTTTAACTGGGAAGCTCACAGTGTTTTTTTGAAAAAAAGTTCTAAATAAAGAATAGAAAAAAAGTTCTTTTTGAAGTTCAGGTTGAAGACTTTATCTCGATATGTAAACTGATAAAACTTCCGTTTAAAAATAGATTCAGATGTTTTTTGACGTAGAATTTGGAAACGTAAATGACTGTTAGAATGAAGAATGCCTCCGAACGCTTCAAAATCAAGACATTCCGGTTTCATGGGCAATTTTTCAACGAAATCTTTTCGATTAACATTTATTCCCAATAAGACCCCGTTTCGAAAGGAAAAAGAATTAAACTATTATTCCATTTTCATTGTGAGCCCTATAATAATATAACTGAAATTAATTATTTCAAAAAGCGATTTCTTCCAACCAAAAACCCTTGCTTTTCCGCCTGATGGAGAAGAAATCGATCTAGTGACCTCATTACTCCACCCCTTCCGAAAAAAAAAACTATTCCAAGCACAATTGAATGAAGTGACGTGAAGTCACGAGCCCCTCGAATTCTCTAATTCTCTTCGACTAGAGGGATTCATTTAAGCAAAAGCTCACAAATGCACATACTCGAGACCAACCAACACAAAAAACGACTTTTTCCAAACAAAACAACTCGAGAAAAGGACATTTTCTTCACTTCTTCTTTTTTTTTTTGAAAGATGCTTTTCAGAAAAACTATTTAAAGTATACTTCGCTGTTTTGAAAAAATCAAAAATGAAAATAAGCAGTGACTTGAAAAAATTGGTAAATATTCGAATTTAGGCGAGATTCATTAATTACCAAAAATGCTGAAAAAAACATCGAATTTTGGAAAATTTATATCTTCAAAACTAGTCGGAGAAAATTACAAAATTTTTTTCTAACTTTCAAATAAACTCTGGAAACGTTCGAAAAAAATGAACTCTTTACAGAAAATTTGAAAAAAACTGCAATGTATAACTTTTTTCAAAATCTGCTTTTATTGTTGATACCAAAAAACTTGTCAAGAAACATTAATTTTTCCAAAGTTTGAGGGAAATCTATTTATAGTTCTATTTTTTTTTTCACAACTTCTTCTTCAACTCTTTTTCTCTCATATGCATTCATCTTCACGAGAATCCCCAACTCCCAACGGCAATTATAACGAATCCGGCTAACTTTTTTCTCTTTCTGTTTTGTTTCTCCAGACCCCACAGCCAAGCCTTATTGTCTGCGCCCCAAAAGTCCTCATTAGAAATTCATTGCGAGCGGAAAATGCAAAAAATACGAAGAGAAAAGAACGCTTTTCTTCCCATCATTCTAATATATAATGAGCCGTGAAAATGCTTTAGTTAGAGCGATGAGGAAAATTTTGAAAACGGTCATATTTTTGACACAGAAACCAACTGGAGCTGGAACTTTAGTTTTACTATTGTTATAACTGGAAAGTTCACGATGAAACTTCATGACTCTCTCCTTTCAAAAGACCACTTCGGTAAAAAACTATCGAAAACCCCCCTATCTACTCGCCTCGTTCAGTTTGTTTGGAAAAGCTGAGCAAAGAGGAATTTTGTCGGTTGTCCGTTCCGCTTGGCAACCGAAAAAATGAAAAAGTCAAACGGAAATGGCATTCAAGTCAATCGTGGCTTTTCATATTAATCAAGTTCGCCCGAATATCATCAAAGAAATATTACCACGCGAAATCATAAATGCCAAAGATTAGGTAGAAAGCGAGAAAATTTCGAGTTCAGATTCCAGTTATATTCCGGAAAGGTTGCTAAAACCGTGTGTAGTTTTTTGCGGAAAACAAAAACCCAAATGAAATCTAGAAGTCGGCGAGCGTCGAAATAGGTGAAACGATAAAATTTGCTGATTTTCCTCTTTTTTTTTTTCAATTCCTTCATCTTTCCTCACTGCTCAGCGTTCGAAATGATTTTCATTTGTTTCGAGTTTTCAAATTTCTGCCATTATCAAATATTCACGTTTTTTTTCCTTCAATGTCTTCTACATCCTTGAAAACGTAGGCCTTCATCATCAAAAAAATACATATCTTTAAACATATTTCCATAAAATTCCCCTTTAATCTTCGCTATTCTCCGCTGGACACTTAAAAACAAAAAACAAAGTTGTGCCGTTCAACAAGGCTGAATAACTATGGCAAATATCCAATTAGCGGCCACCGCGAGCCTCAGATGCGCTTCTCCCAAATCGAATTCAAAAAGCTCAGAGCGGAAAAAAAAACCGACAAAGCCAAGAACAAAAAGCCATTGTATCTGTATTAATTACCATATAAAGGGCTTTGTCAAACTTTTGAAAAAAAAATCGAAAAAAAAACTTCAGCCTTTCTTCAAGCAGTTTCCCTTTGGAATTTTGTAACTAAAGCCTCTTTTGGCCTTCGTCCGCCCCCACGTCTCTCTTTAAATGCCAAAAACGCCGGAAAGAAATGTCATGGGCACAGCTATTAGCATATTGCAAACAGAAAACTGAGAGCCATACGTCCCCCTTAAAATGTAAAGAACAAAAAACATGGCTAAAGCTTTCTCGAGACAAACGCCGAAAAACCGTTGAAGTTCCGAAAGAAAAGTTCAGGTTACGATAAGCGAAATAGTGCGCAAAAACTTCTTTAAAATTATCAACGAAAAAAAGGTTCAAACTTCGAAATTCGAACTTAGTTAACTAACTTAATTTGCAGGTCACGGATATAATAATGATATATGCGATATAAAATAAAAAGTACTGTTTCCCCAAGATAAAGTAAGGTCTTCATTGTTTCAAATCAAAAAAGCCCTCTAAAGTTAGGAATGAATGATAACCGTGATTACTTCAAAAAACTGAGAAAAAATGATAAAGAAGCAAACATTTAGTTGCAACTGAATCATACCTTTATCAGCCTATGCTTGAGCGTATCGAGCCAAGAATAAAATGAAAATTATTCAAAATGAGCCTACATTCCTATTTTTCTTGTCGATAAAGATTCTAAACAATTTTTTTATTTACTAGCTTCTCTCGAAATTTCGAAATTTCCTTCCCCTCAAATTTTATTTATATTCAAAATCTCAACCAAGCGCGGAATTGGAGACGCTAAAAACCACGAAACACGAGACCGAAAGAAAAGGGTAACCAATTTCGTCAAAATTTCTTTCGAAAAGCAAGAAAAATGGCGTCATTTGAAAGGGTAAAGTAAGGAAAAAAGAAACTCGAAAAACGTCTTGGTTCATACTCAATACAATTCAAAGGTTTCTAGTTTTTTTACTGTTTGTTTTTATTATTATATGACTTCTTTATCTTTGAGACTTCCATTTAGAAACAAGCAATTCATAAAAAAATTCCGGATGGTTTGATCCATTTAAATCTATCGTTCGTAGATATAATTCGGACAAAAATAATAACCTCTTCATCGTCACGAATATTCCTGAGGATTTCCGCTTCTTCGTGTGAGATCACCTTCACTTTCACGTCGGTTTCTTCAATTTGTTCCGGGAGGCTGTAAAATTTAAAATAAACTTTCGGAGATATGTATCATTATATCCCAATGTCATCTACTTTCTTCCATAGTACCGAATTAGACATATTTTTTCATATTCGCTGGCACATAAGTTAAACATTTTCCTGGTCAAGTTTAAGGCTTTGTAAAAAAATTTTTCAAAACCCTAAATTGAAAAAAATCCCATTCAGGTGTTCCTAAAAATGATTATGCACAATAATCCGTATGCCGAATTAAAATTTCCAACAATTTCCGGGACACGCCTACGCGTCTCGTTCTCAGCGCAGCTTGCATATTGAAATGCCTCAAAAAAGAGTGAAGCTGAACAAAAAAATTCTTCCCAAAAAAGAAGATATTTTCGTGTTTTTCTATAAGTAAAACGTCATCTGACAATCTTGGGGTAAAAAAAGAGAAATAAAATGACTAGAAATTGGTATCGCTTTGATTCTTCCCTTTTTTTATGTTAGAAGAAATATTTTTTTCAGATCTCATCTTTTTAAAAAAATGGCGATATTCGAACCGCCTAGCACTTTTTAAGGCCTTTTTCAGAACTCTCAAATTTTTTTAAAATTTAAATTCAAAGTATTACCTCCATTTTCGTATTTTTTTTAAAGATGTAGTTTCAAAACGGGTTCCAAAGTTTAATCTAGAGAACGACAAACTTCACGATAAAAAAATTTCAATTCTCTAAAGAATATTAAAACATAAAAATGAAAGTATCGATTTCAAAACTTTCGCTTAAAAATTGAAAATAACAATAAGCCTCACGATTATGGAAAAGTTCAATTGCAACATAAAACAAAGTTTCGAAAATTCTAACTGGATAAAGAGTCTTTTTTTTCTCAACTTTTCATGAAAACCACATGATTGTTTGAAGCTCTAAAGAATAGAGAAAACTAGAAACCAGTAACCAAATTGAAAAACAGTTCGATTCAACAAAATTTTTTGACTAACTCGGTCAAATGATTGAGAAAACTATTTCTTAAAAATTAACATTTACTTGGAATATATTTTCCGAGTTTTTGAAAGAATATCTTTCAAAGACCACGTCTGAAAGAATCTCTGATCAAACTAAATTCAAAAAGCACCTAATCGAAGGTTCGCGAGGCTTCTCGACGACTCTGGGAGCATTGGCGAGCTCTTGGTTGAGTTCCTCGACGAGTTTGTCTTCGGGCGCCAGTTCTTCCTCGACCTTCGCCTCGACTTTCGGTTCTGCAGGCTTTTGTGGCTTCTCGACGCTTTTCTGTTTCGTTTCCTTCTTCGGTTCTGCCGCTTTCAGAACTGTATCTCGCTGTTTCCGCTTCTCTTCTTCTCGCTTTGCGTGTACATACCTGCCAAAGGTGAGATTCAATTTTCTGTTTGAATCAAGGAAAATTATTACCATACGAATAATGCAGCTATTGAGACGCCACCGAGCGCTATCAGAAGCGCGTGCTTCGAAGCAACTGATGACATACTGCAAAGTTGACAAAAATGAATATTGGTATTCGACTCGTGAGATACGTTTCAATAGCCACTAATATTGCTTTCCAAAAAGCCTCAGTAGTAACTGTTTGCTGTCCTCATTCTAGAGCTATAACTGTACTTGAATGAAAAAATTACAACAGACTTTGAAAAAAAAAATTACGGTTTTCTGAAAAAAAAAAAACAAAAGAATAACTCCAGTAATCAATACGAACTTTTCATTTTAAACTTTTACTTTAGATTAAATTCTTCCCATCGTTTCTGGAAGAAAAACAAGCCAAATTTTTTTAAATCAAACTACATTTAGGGAAATCAAAAAAACCCCTTGATGTTTATTGATTTCAACCGCACGTTTCTTTCTCTCTTCACGAAAAAAATTTATGAATTTTTAATTTTTCAATTTTTTTCGAATAAATATTTTTCTTTTTTTGGAGGTAAAACTCAAAACAAATCTTTATTCGAGATAACTTTATTCAACTAAAAATCAATTTTTTTGATATCATTTATTATCATAAATCATTTGAAGCGATATTATTTCCTGAAACACTTCTGTCGAAAAGTCTTTGTACCCTTTGATCCACTGAAAAGTTCAATCAACTCACACACACACACACACACACACAGATTATGAAGTAATATCCTAGCTTTGTTCGCTTAAGAAAGACGTTGAAATGACATTTTATACGTTATTTTCGGAATAATACAATAGGAAACTATAAATTAATAACTGAAAAAGTTCAAAGAAAAAAAACATTCGTCATTGTGCTCTAATGATACCCCAGGTTGACAAGACACAAAAATAGCTCAAATATCGTTATATATTTAAAAAAATTTTTTTATTTGTTCTTAAAATGATGAAAGTTGGGAATCAGCGCGAAAAAAAGCTCAATACAGTTTATTGAAATTTAAAAAAACTTTAAAACTGATATCTAATATGGATTAATGGAACGTACATCCAAGTATGCTGGAAAAAGTTCGTTAAAATGAAAAAAAGATCTCAAACAAAAAAATTTTTTTGAAAGTTTTGAAGATCGAGGAAAAATTAACTTCTGAAGCTTGTATTTTTTTACTTCTCACATTTGAGTAATCTTTCATTCGAAAATTATTAATCTAGAGATTTAAAAAAACCCAAAATAAAAATTAAAAGCAATTGGAGAATTTTTTCAAAAAAATTGTCCTTGACGTGTTTTTGTCGACTGAGATAGTCTATAAGAACCAGTTTTTTCGGTTCATCAGTTCCATATTTTCCTTAAAACCGTTGATCTCAAACCAATCAATTTTTTTAACGAGAAACTTTATCTGTTCTTTTTTTCACTTTTTTTATGTTGAAATATATATTATTAAGTTCTGTGCTGATTTTTCATGTCGTCTATTCCCCTCCAACGCGACCAACTCACTCGGACGCGAGAATCGCGTCGAAAGATCTTTGGGAGAACTCGACGACATGGTCGACGAGGTGCACGATGACGTGCAGCGAAGCCGCCCACACCGCCCAGATGCCTTCAGAAATTTGGCGCGTCGTCGCCTCCAGAAGCGACGACGCCGCTTGCCCGTACTCGTATAAGGACGCTATTTTGCGGCCGGTTGAGGGCTCCAATCTGCCACACAAATTAGTCAAATTTGCGTTCGTCGCGACCAAATTAACCGAACGAATAACGGTAGAAAAGTGATTCAGAAGGCCAATAAGGCGTTGCAAGCTGTGCAGAAAGTGGCTACAGTACCGAGTTGGTGATATTTCAAAAAAAAAAAAAGCCCAGTTTGAAAGCAAAAGGGGGTTTAAAAGAATGAAGCGAGTAACAATAATATTGGTTTAAAGGCCTAAAATACTTGAAAAAACACAGAAATGGCGTTTCAAGTCCTTTTTCCGTTTTTCCATATATCCTGGGAATTTTTCAAATTTTCATCAGAATAACTTTCGAGGAGGTCTTTTCCCCGTCAAGTATTTTTTTCAGAAATAGTAGGTAAAATTAATTTCTATAAAAGGAATATTTTTAAAATGTTTGAGATGAAAGATAAAAATGAGAACGCTTGTCCCCACAAAAGCCCCACATTTTCTCCGAAACTCTCAAAAATCTAAAGAATATCAGGAATTTTGAGGATCCTTAAGAGAAACCTTAAATTTAACTTTATAAGAACAACTCTCAAAAATTCAAAAGAAAAAAAAAACCAAAATTCAATGCACTCAAGTAAAAGTTCAAATGGAAACAAGTCGTCCCAAAAAGAATATGAGAAAAGATTCATTCTCCCAAGAGACTATTAACATTTTTCAAGAGAAAAAGAAACCAGAAACCATTTCCACATATAAAATCCTGGAAAAAATTGCGAAAAAAACAGCAAATCCGAAAAATCCCTTATTCAGCTCTGAGATTACGATTATCCCCCTATTCTCTAATCCCTTTGGAACAACCATGATGTCTGACGGAAGTGTAGAGGAAACCCAAAAAAAGATTCGATCAAAGATCGCAAAAATTATCGATTTAATCGAAGCTTCACCAATGTTTGGAATGACATGCAACTTGAAATATCGACATTTTCAAAGGCAACAAAAAAGACTGGAGCGGAAGCTTAAAAGGCGAAATTCTGCAGGCCATATGCATCTGCGAAGGCCGCGAGACTGGCGAAAAAAAGAAAGAATTCATACGGCCAAAAATGGAGATCCACGTGAAAAATTGATGAGGATCCCATCCTATGGCAAGGATCCATCATATTGGAAGGAATTTATATCCGAAATGACCTTTTTCAACGAAATGTTAAAAATCGATTTTTTTGTTTTGATTTTTCTAAATTTTTAATCGAAGTCTGAAAACCAGAAAAATGAACTTTCCAGAAAATAAGAAAGTCCTTTCCCTTCATGAGAAGCATTGAGAGAAAGAGTGTTATTTGTATGACTTTTTTTTATCACCGAGAAAAACTTTGTAAATTCTCATTTATATTCATTATGTCGGCAAAATTTAAAATTGTAGAAATTACAACGGAAACGCCTATTTCCCTGTTAATTTTCTTTCTAAACTTGGAAACAAGCTAGAAACACTCTTCTTGACTTCGAAAGGACACAAAAAATTGGAGCAGAATTGCTCATTTGCCATCGTGCGAATCAGAGAGGGCGGAGTCATCCGGAAGCCGTGAAGAGAAGAAGAAGGAAAAAGGAGGCGGGACTCTGGCTGGAGAACGTGAGATATTTCTCGGAATAACCAGAGAGAGAGAACACAGAATCAAGCTGAAAAATACGCAAAAAAAAGCTAAAAAAAATAACTGACTGAGGCCGACGCACAATTATGCGGAATTTAGAAGCAAGGCCGGGGGCGCTCGAGACTCACATGCCTTCATTAAAATTTAATAAGGGCAAAAAAGCCAAAAACGGCCCGGCCTATTGGCTAATCGATAAATTACCAAATAATGATTTTAAAAAAAACTTGAATTTCCCAAAAAAGACATTTTGGTGATCGATAAACTGCCCTAAAAAGACTATATTGAGTTAGGCGCAGTAGTTAGCCTTTACGTTGTTTGTAAATTTTGCGAAAAATGACTTTTAAGTATATTTCATGGTTTACTCAGTTCTTTTTTTTTTCGCTTCATCAGTTTAACAGATACAATCAGCATAACATTCCAGTAGATAGACTTCAGACTGTAAAATAAGGATAAAATTGGAGAAAATGCAGTCAGCCACAAGAATATCGTGATAAGTTATCAAAAAACCATTTTTTTTGTCATTTTTCCAACTGAGAACCTACTCATTTTATTATGTGCAAGATAAAATATGGCCCGACTCGAAATGCCGAACGTATTTTGGGTTTGACATTCGAAACCTTTTCAAAATAAACAAAAGGGCCTATTCGAAAAACTAACCGAACCTTTTCTATGAAAGGCCGAATGTGAGAAAATACACCTGCCTGTGTTAATTTTCTTGTTAATAATCGCCTTTTTTGCAGCTTTGCGAAAACTTTTTTTCTAACTGTCTTACAGATCCCAAAAAATCTCAAGTTTTTTTAATTTTGAAAGAAAAAAGGCTGATGCGGCAAAGAGGAGAAGCAAAAAAGCAATCGAAACCAGGGACGAATCGTCGGAAGAGCGCAATTTAGGTCTAAATTTGGAAAAATAAGAGAAGCGACGTGCTTTTTTCCGGAGCAGCGGCCAAATTTGATGCGAAATGAATGAATTGATGAACCTCTCTTTTTGCCCCAAAAACAAGTTTTCCTGGAAAATACTCGAAAAGCAATGTAAAATTGGGTTCCTGTAGAAAGGATTTTTCTTCCAGGCGTATTACTGTAACACATAAAAATTCTAGTAACTTCTAAGAAAATCCAAAGAATCAAACCAAAAAACGAAACTACATTTTCGCAGCGTTCGCCTAGCTCAAGACAAAGCTTGCTAGGTCATAATTATATTTCTCATGAAAGAAAATCATGGCCAAAACAAAAACAGAGCTCAACAGATGAGAAAATTATATCATTTCTTGGGATTCAATCAAATTAAATTGTAAAAAAAAAGCTCAACAGAATAGAAAATTACAGCCTTGGTGGAAAATATGAAAGTTCGGGACAATCATAGGGTTCCTGAAATCAAGAAAAAACGAAACAAAGCCCAATAAATAAGAAAAATTATACCTTTTCCAAAATTTCTTGACGAATCTATGCACTTTTCTGTTGGATATTCGCCTAGCAAAGGAAATAACAAGGAAAAGGAAAAAGGAGAAGAAAGGGGAAAATTGGTGGCTAGACAGCCCATAAAAGGAGGCAAAAATATCAGCTTGCACCTGAAGAAGCGTCTGAATCGAAGGAAATTCCATTTGTTACAGAGTATAAAAAACACGACGAACAAGCACAACTGCAGAAAAAAAATGTTGGATAGGAGTGGGACTGACTGGATGCCCGAAGGCACGCGAGAGCCTCCTTCTCCGTTTGCTTCATTAAGTCACTCCATTGAGGCGGAGTCGATGCTCTCCTACGTCCGTCTCTTCCACACACGCAATAATACAAATACAATCAACTTGATCTTTTCAACAGTACAGTAAAGAATAATAAGAAGGAAAAGCTTGGAAAGATACGCCGACTCACGCAGCATAAGTGTGCTCCATAGTTAAAAAAAGATGATCCTACGTCAATTTCTTCATCAAAAGTACCTCCTCAGAAAAACTTCAGAAAAACCGCGAAAAATTCGAAACTTGATTTGGCTTCAAAAATTTCAAGCTTCAGAACCGTTACGCAACGTTCTCAAAAATTATAAAATTTCTAACCTTACATGTTCACTTTAAAAAATTTAGATCTCAAATCTCACAACCTTTGTTTTGATAGTGATTTTGGTGATGAATTCAGCGAGAAAAACATCGAAAAAGGGTATTTTTGAATGTGAATAAGCTAAAGGCAGCTGAAATTTGAGAAATTTATGAAAACAAAGTTTCACAAATAAAAAAAAAAGCTTGGGCGAGGGATTGATGTACGAGGATATATTTGTGAAGAATCGTGCCGGATATTTGTCCGGCTGAGCCCATTTCAAGCCCTCAGGCGTGTAATTTTGGTTCACGAGAGAGGAAGGAAAAAAGCGCATTGGCATCGCTTCTTCATTTTAAAAGTTCAGATTGAGAAAATTCTCATTTTTTCGGAAAAAATTGACCTGAATTCCACATCATAGATAATATAACCAAAAAAAAATTCGATCAAAAGCCATACAACATTTTTTGTGACACATATGTTTGTGCGTCAGTCACCGTTCAAACGTATGAACGACAGAAGAAAATTGAAAACATTTTGGAACAAAAAAGGTTTCGAAGCTGGAAAAGAAGCATTTTTTTCAGGTTGGGATTCCCATTGACATGAAATTATTCATAATTTTTCGAAAAGAAGCGTTTAAAAGACCTTACTTCCGCCTTTTTCAAGGTCTTTTGTTGAAAACTTTTTTTTGGAACCTGAGAAGATGTTCAAAAACGTTTGAAAAAAAAAAGTACAAGTTCACATTTCATTAGGTCAGCCCAACGAAATGATTAGTTCCATTGTTTGAACAAAAGATAAATGGGAAATAACCGTGTAAATAACTCCGATACCACATGGCCATAATGACCGCAAAGCTGGGCGGATTAAGGTCGTTCAATTTCCCATAAAAGTTACAAAACAGAAAAAATGCAGCCTTTCTTTTGACAAAATCCGTGTCGCTAAAACATTTGGCCTTTTTTATCGTCTTCGGCATGAATAAAAACAAAAACGATTAAAAAAAATTCAAGAAAACGACGGCTTCGTCTCATAAAAACGCTAGAATTGATTCACAAAAAAAATTATTGACGTTTAGAAAAGGGGCAGAAAAAATGAGTTCGAAGGGAAGAAAAAAAATGAACAATTGAACGCAGTTTTTATTGTAATTTCAGTTTCTGCAACATAAAAAAATCATATATTTCTTTCAAAGATCTATGAGCTTTTGGAAGCTGAAGAATTGAAATTCTTTCAAATGAAAAAAAAGGATTTGAGCTAATTTTCTTGAAAATAATCACTTTTCAAGTTTTTTTTTCTCCATTTTCCTAGTTCAGCGATTCTCTCTCGTTCAAAAAAAAAAGCTCAATCGATGGGGACAAAAAATTGAAATTTCTCGTCTTTTTTCAACAAAAGGTGAAAGAAAACGAGAAAAAGGACAAAATGCCTCGAAACGGCCGAGGAGCAGGTGAAGTTTTTTTCTTTCCTTTTTCAATTTTCTCACCATAAACAGTGTTCCCCAGAACTAAACACGCAAACTCGTGATTTTATGGGATTCGCGAAAAAAAAGAACCTCAAAACACTTGAAAGATTCAATTTTTTTAAATTGAAAAAAATAGAAGCTTCGTAAAAATTTTTTTGTGGATTCTATAAAAAAATATCTCCCGATAGACTTTGAAACGCGATTTTATATTTTGCAAAGAAAAAGTGGATTTCTCACACTTATTAACAAGGCTACAAAAATTTCCACATTACAAAAATCGAAAATATTTATGAAACTTCAAGCCCTTATAGAAGAAAGTCAAATAGTTCTCTGTATTCCATTTCAAAAAAATTTCTTTAAATTTATTGTGGTAACTAACTTTTGACCCAAGTTAAAAACGAATTAATAAAATTATTTCAATTGGCATGAAACTTCCTAACCAATATAAATGTTATGGTTTCAATTTTTTTTTCGTGAAGAGGAGCGGATTTACGGTTCATCATCAATTCATCATCAAAAACTCAGCTGGTTGAGAAAGTAGTAAAATCAGTTTACCAAAAATGCCTACCTAAACTTCTCAACTCGTAATTAAATTTATCAATTTTTATCAATTATAACTTGAAAACAACAAAAAAATGCAAACCTTGCTCCTCAAATGTTGCGATAATTTCGAATAGAATCAAAAATAGTAGTCGTTGAGCGAGACAGGGTCTACTCCGCGTCAACTTCTGAAATAATGGAAATTTCAAAGAAGAATAAAAAATGAAAAATTCCTTATTTTTAGAGCACTTTCGAAATTCTACAGTTTCCATTTAGTATACAGAAAGCCAGTTCTGCGATTTAGAAAAAAATCGGGATAAGTTTGAACTTTTCATAGACTAAGAACATCTGCATCCATTACACAGTTTCCTTGAAATTCAAACTTTGAAAAGGAAAAAATTAAAAAACGAAATCCATAGTCAAAAATGACAAAAAAAATTATTTTTCAATTTGAAGAGAAAAGGCTTTAATACGAAGTTTAACAATTTAACAATAAATCTTTAATCAACTTAAATTCAGAACTTCACTCCAATGAAAAATTCTTACGTTGCAGCGAAACATTCAATTTCTTTGAAAACTATTCAAAACAAAGTAATAAACAAACTTGATGGTTTGTAGACGTTGGATTGCTAGCCTGGCAGAGGCGATAGAATTTGCTTTCTGTGTGCAATAAATCTGCAAAACGTGTACTCTTAACTAAACAAAAACAACGAGAAAAGGAAATTCTCGCGAGAGAAAGATCAAAAAAAAAGGAGACAAAAATAAACAACTGGGAAAAAAAAAAGATTTTCGATCGAACAGCGTGAGAGGAGAAATTATAATAGGATAGTAAATCACGGAAAAAAAAAGTAGAATTGGGCTTTTTTTTATCGCTCTGATAGGCGGAGAACCGGAAGAGGCGAAACTTTCAAACCGTCTTTTTGATTAGAAACCAGTTACAGAGTTTTTTTCTCCTTCCTTATACTAAAGATGAAAAGTGTAAACATATTTTTAAAAAAACAGGTCACTGGGATTTAGAGGAAAAAGAACAATACGTTTTGACTGAAATTTCTCCGAGTTCTTCCATTTTTTTAGGAAAAGAGAATTGAACAGATTTTGAGGAAACGTCATAGACCGCATTCAAAAATTTATTATATAAAAATTTTTTTATTCCCGCTGTGCTGAGCTCATGTTTGGCGAATCACAACACTCGTCATCTGGGAAATTTCAAGTCCTGCATAAATATCAAGGACCAGAAATGTGAGATAAGACAAGTGCAAAGTGAAACGAGTGGAGGAAAGACAACACGAGAAGGGGCTACTATCGCCGCGACCGTCGCCAAAAGTTGCCAAACCTCCACGGAGACCGTCCCGGCTGTCGTTATCACAACGGACGTTATCGACAAAAAGAGGAGCGTGAGATTGGAAATCGTCCTCAACCGATCAGAAGGAAAAAAGCTCCTCTCAAGATGACCTACATAAGTAACCAGGAAGGAATCGGGCTTCGGTTTTTAGTCTGTTCCTCAATCCTTGTTTGAGTGTTTGAAGGAGTATGGACGAAAAAAAATAGGCGAAAAGCCGTTTTCAGTTTTTGAATTTTAGTGATGCGATCCTATGCGCCGTGAGATATATAATAACACACTTACGCAAAAAGTATGTAAAGGCGTTTCAAAAGAGTTCGGTAAAATCAAAAAAGCCGTCAGAGATCGAAAAAGATGAGTAAATTTTGGAGATAATTTTGCATTTCGCGAAAAATACTTTTGACACGGCATAAGAACCTAAAAATAAAAATTTAAAAAAATGAACTTCTTGTTCGAAAAAAATTGATTTCGAGATTAATACTACTCAATCGAGCAAAAAAATACGCAATTCGGTTATTTTTTTATCTTTTTCTATTTTTTTGCAGTCTTATCTTCTCAATTACCCATAAAACTTTAAGTCATGCTTTTTGAGAAAATCGAAGCTTAGTTTCAAATTTTAGAGTCTATTCGAAAAGAATATTCATGCGAAAATACTTTTATAAAAGGCCAAAGTTCTTTCACCAGTTTGCACCTTATCAGGATAATTCCTTTCACTCTCAAAAAGTCAACTTTGGCGTCAATTTTTTTTAAAACTCGATTTTTATAGTTCATTCAAGATATTCGAATGCAATTTTCAAATTGAGCAGTTGAAATTATAAGATTTCAGTCTTTGATAAAAGTGCAAGTTCTTGATTATCATGGTGTAAAGCCTTTTATCAGTTTCCTATACTTGAAATTTTCAATAAAGCGAACCGTTTAGCACATCAAAAGAAGCAGATGGGATACGCATTTTTTGAAAGGACAGAAAAAGTGGGAGATTGAATGACAGAAGACGAAATAACTCCGTTTGATAGTATGAACGTGTTGACTGGCTGCCGAGAGCACACGCAAACAAAGTCAACAGTGCGCCAATCGAATCGACGCACCTCTCTCTACCTTTCGGAGCCCTTCCAACAGTCCATTTTAGCTCTTATCGATTGGATTTACCTACTAGGCTCCATCAAAATAATATGATTAAAGTCGAAAAAAATTGAGCTTATTTTTTTGAAATGCTTCTTGTTGGAATATCTATGTGGAGTTATCTTCAGAAACTACTCCGTTTATGAAAATCTTGTAACTGTTCGAAGACGCATTGCAAAGCCTGAATAATACGTTACAAGGCGCGATTCGATGCATTGAAATAGGTCAACGAGTGCAAATCCCTCTCGGAATAGCAAATTTCTTATTTGCACCGCCATGTAAATGAAAATTTTATTTTCAAAAATCCCTCGATAGTCTACGATCCTTTACTCCAGCAAGGAAATTCGAGCAGACTTTATCTTATAAGCAAAGTTTAAAGCTAAAATTTTGAGATTTGAACCAGCTATCTACTAAAGTACAACAATATTTGAGATCTTCAGCCGTCAGAAACGACGAGATGGGAAAACAAGAAAGTCGAAATCGCCAAAAATCGGTGCGACTATCGGTCCATTCAAGGTCGCTTCTAGAAAAAACCTAACGCGTTCCATTGAATTTCTTCTTCTTCTTTTTTCCGTTCCCATCTTGATGTTAATTGCTTGATTAATGCACCTTTCGGAAGCTGAAAGTCGTTCTAACTCTAAAAATAATTTTTAGGATAATCTAAAAAAAAAAACCTTATGGGAAAGCCGCAAAAGAGGCTATAGAACAACAGTACGGCCGTTAAACCGAATACGATGTTTATTCAACTGTAAATTTTCAAGCTCAGCAGCTGTTTTTAATGACGTTTGTACTGTTTTCGGAAATACTCTATTTTTGGTACAGAAAGAAGCTGAACTGCGAAGTTCTTGTTTTTTTCCATCCTCCCACTGATTGGACTCGATCTTTTCTTTGGAAAAAAAAAATTAAAACAGAAAGGGTTTTTTTTTAAAATTGCTTTAGGTCTTTTTGAAGACCCAAGAGTCTTGAATAGTCTAAATAACTTCAAACACGGCTCTTCGCTGCGAAACCTTCACGAAGTAAGTCAAAGGTACAGCATAGATTGAATTTCGGAACAGACTATTGAAAATTACATAAATTTTTTCGAAAAAAAAGAGAGAAAAACAAGCTCAGCCAACACTTTTCAATAGAAGAAGAGAAGCAGAAAAGAAATAATTTCATTACACAATGTTTGTGGGAAAATGTCTCTCAAGTTACAGAGCAAAAAAATGTTATCCATTATTACTTCTGATAAGTCAATCACTCAATTAAGTAGTGAAGTGATGACAAACAAATTAACACATGACTGGCCGGCTATAAAAAAAATCGAAAAAGCTGAGAAAAAAAGAACAACGAGGCCTACGGTTAAGACATTACACAACGTCGGGTTTTGCGGATGACACCGTCGTTTCTGACAACTGCGCTCTCGCTCACTACAACCTGCACTCAAATGGTTACGTGATCGCCCTAACAGTTGTAGACTTTTTTCGACTCGAACTCGAATAAAATCCCATTCTTTTGTCTTTTAAAAACCTCAGTAGAAAATGGTTGGAGTTTATTCAAACTTAAAAAATACTCAAGTCTACTTCTGGGCTTCGGAAGCAATTGATTAGCGGGAAACAAAAAAGAATGCAGGAAAAGGAGACAAGTTGCAGTCCTTACAAGTGTTTTTCAATGGGAGAAGCTTGAAAAACGGCAACGCTAGTCGATCGGCTGGCGACCAAGGGCGAACAAACAAAAACCGATTGGAAGGAGTCGAAAACAAAACGGAAAAATGTCAGCAAAAGAAAAAATTGGCGTGATAATGAACATCAAGATTTTTCCGGATAAAAAATAAACACTTCCAGATGCAAAACTGCACTTTCTCTCTCCTTCTGCTTCTATCCAATTTGTCATGTTTCAAACAACGATTGGCGAAAAATAAACCGGTCCCTAGCAATGGCAACATTATTTTTCCCGCTATCTACATGAAACTAACTTTTTTTTAAATGAAATGTTTTCTTAGGGTTTTAGAACAGCAGAACACGGGAATTGAGGTCGTGCTTCCGACGGAAAATAATCTCAAATGACGTCACAAAGATTGATGCGGAAAACTGAAAAACACAAACAACTTGAAAGGTTTGCGCAAAATTTCGTCATGCAAGCAAAGTTCGCGTTTTTACATTCACTATTGAGTAATCGCTGCAAAAACTGTTTCGGACTTCTTGAATTCCTATCGATGTTACTGGAGAAGGTTGAATGACCATTTTTGAATATTACTGGACGAAAAAGGTAGAGTGGACAGTAGACTTTACAATATAAGCACCTGAGGCCGAAGCTTCATCTATAAGAAAACTAGACAAGAAAAAGAAAGAAGTGCCGCCTCATGTGCATAGAAAGAAGAAATGTTTTATAAAAAAATTTTCCCATCCCTCCTCCATAAAGGATATTTTTAAAATTCTGAAAATTTCAACTTGCCGTAGGCTCAGCGAAAATAATTTTTCCTATGAGTATGGGATTCCATCCGTAAAGAGAAATATGGAAAGCAGAAATAATAACCTTTGAACAAAACATACACACCTTTTCGCTTTAGTACAGCTGATAATACTAATAACAAAAATGTTGAGTTCAAAAAATTTTTTTTGACTCATATCAAAAAAAGACGGAAAAAGTTCACAGCAGCTGAGCAGCCATCGAAAAAAAAAATTCGGAAAATTTTAGGATTCTGGAATAAAATTTCAGACTCACCAAGGGCTTGAGACGAGGAAAATGTCAATGTCACGGTCAACAATAAAGAATCGATAAATTGGGCGATGTTAAAACAGAAAAAAAAAATTGATTTAAGTTTTTTACGGGCCTGTTTTTGAAAGTGAAACCTTCAAAGTCGCTGGCAAGTCGCCATGTGAGAAAATTAAACGAGAGAACATAGGAAACAGAGAGACCGGCGAGAGAAGTCCGCAACATGATTTGCACTTTTACGCCAAACTTCAACGTTTACCAACTACAGTACCCAAAAAATGAAAAAAAATCCAAGTGCAGAAATTTTTTTTTAAATCTACCTTTTCTGCCTCAACATCGAAATGTGTAGGTTTTTGAGTCTTTTGAACATTGGAACAACATTTTGACGTTTTGAAGACTTCAGCGACGAAAAGGAAAGGCCAGTTGGTTCTCGTTATGAGGGATCGAAACTCCTTCGAAAGGTTTCTATTTTATATTTTTTCTTAAATATTTTATCTCATGTTCAAGATACATAAAAGTCACGAACAGTTGAAACGACATAACCCAGATGTCGTCATTTCCGAAGAGCCAACACAGGTTCGCGTTTCACAGCTCAATTATAGGCAGCTTTGACCCTTTTTTATCTTATTTGTTTTCTTGATAAATTTTTAAAAAATCTGACGTCTAAACACCAATCTTACAGAACTTGCTAGTAGGAAACAGTAGCGTGCTATGTGGAGTTTCGTTGGAAGAACTTGAGGCGATTTTTCCGACCACTTGATCCGGGATGCCAGTTTTTCGTATACCCGAATAAAAGGTTTTTTTAAAAAATAAGAACGCTTGAAACTTCTGTTTTTAAGGTCTTATTCTTTCATTCAATGTTCGGACGCTTATTTGGCGACGAAAATCCGGAAAGAATTCAATGGATTTGTTCATCCGAAGCTAAAATCCTCTCACCAACCTTTCGTCATTTCTTTCGTAAAAAATGGTATTTTTTTCGGAATTCGTTGAAAAGTTTTATGTTGAACGGGAGAAAAAAAAGTCGTAGATTAATATGTGTATTTGAAAAAGTTAAGAAGAAAATTGCTGTATGAGAAGGCAGAAGCCTTGCTTAATCGGAATCAGATTGAGAACTGCTCTTTTTCTTAGGAATTTAATGAAATTTGAATATTCTTCTTCAGAAACCTCGGCGATTTTTTTGATAATTATTCAAGAAAAAAATATTTGAAAAAAAGTTTCAGTACCTGAGAAAGGAATCGCAGAAACTTTCCGGCCTGATGGCCTTGCCGTTCTTGATAATTATATAAGCAAAGACGAAGAAAAGACTCTGACTGACTTCATCTTCAGTCACCCGAAGGGTCAGTACATCTCCAATTAAAAACTGAAATTCCAAAGTTTAGTGAAGATGCTGAAACATCGAGCCGTGTTGCACTTTGGCCACGAATTCGACTACGATACGAATTCAGCCTTTCGGGAAACTGAGCCGATTCCAGAGATTATTAACGATTTGGTGAAAAAGTTGAAGTACGATGGTTACATTTCGGCGTGGCCTGACCAAGTATTTTTGTTATCCAAAGATAAAAATGAAGGAATTTATCGTTAAGATCACTGCCAATATATATGAACCTGGTCATGGAATCCCATCGCACTACGATACCCATTCCGCTTTTGAAGATCCTGTAGTTTCACTAAGGTTGGTATCTTTAGAGGAATCCAAAAAAAAAGCTGATTTTCAGCATGCTTTCTGACGTTGTTATGGAGTTCAAAGACGGGGCGAACTCGGCTAGAATTGCGCCAGTTTTGTTACCGAGAAGATCTTTGTGTTTGATTCAGGGAGAATCGCGGTATCGTTGGAAGCATGGGCTCGTTTCTTTTGATTTGAAAGAAACATTTTTTTTTTTGCCGTTCTTTCTTGGGAATCTTATCTGATTCTCAAAAAGAAACTGGAAACGTAATATATTCAGTTGATTGACTGCGTACTTGAGCAAAAACTTGAAGAGTAAATAGTAGTAAGTAGAACATGACACCAGGTCTTTTTTGCTATTTCGGAGGTTTTAGAAAGGTTAATTTCCATTTTATAATCTGATCATATTCATGAAAGTCATGCAAAGTTCGTTGAAGCATAGTTAAAAATTTTATTATAATTTTTTTAAATCTTGTTTCAGAATCGTGAACCGCAAACACGACGTTGATCCAAGAACGAATCGAGTGATTCCGAGGCAAATGAGAGTTTCGTTGACTCTGCGGAAGATCCGGACGGTTCCGTGCAAATGTCCTTGGAAGGAGTTCTGCGACTGGGACCGAGAAGGTTGACATCGTTCTTGATAAGACGCAATCGAGGCTTATTTATCCATTCTTGTCGCTTTCTTGTCTTAGGACTTTTGTTTCCAGCACAGTGTACGGTATAACTTTGGATGAAGCTTTTCCGAAATTTACTAACGGACTTCCTTTTGAAGCGGCTCAATTAGAAAACTAGATCTATTGCGAAAATTATTTTTCTAGTTCAGTATGATGGAGGCGAACCATTCTCAAATCCCAACAATTTTCCCTAGCCATTTCGAATTAAAGTCATTACTCTCAACCTGAAGATGAAAACTGTTTTTATTTTTTCCGACAGTACCGCCCTGTTTAAAAAAAATCGTACTCTCGTTTTTTAGTAAATTTTTGTAATCCAACCGTTTCTCCTGAAAAAAATGGAGCTGTTCCCTTGACCATTTACGATGAACCTTTGAGGATCTCTACTCATTTTCCAGAAATAGATTCACAAGTATTTTGCTTTTGTTAAGGAGAAATGGGTGTCCCAAAAAGTGGGAACGAAGCCGAAAGGTTGGAAGGATCTTACGTTGCCGACGTCTATGAAAATATTGCCTCCCATTTCGACGAAACTCGGCATTCCAGTTGGAAGGCTGTCAAAAAGTTTTGAACTTCTTTAATTTTTTTCTTATGCAATCGTTAGATTTATCGACGATATTCCTCGGGGCTCGGTTATGTACGACGTTGGATGCGGCAATGGAAAATACTTGATTGCGCAGGACGGCTTGATAAAGGTGCGTTCATTTGAAAGGAGAATTTACAGGTGAATTTCTTCAGATAGGATGCGACATGTGCAACGGTCTCTGTGTAATAGCAGCTAAGAAAGTTGGTCAACTTTATTTTCTGAGAATTTTTATTAAAAAAATTAGAAATTTCTAACAAATAATTATGGCGAAAAGAGTTTTTGTATGCCAAAAAACTAGAAATGGCTTCCAAGAGGGAATATTCTGATTTTTAGTTCTTTGGGGCTGATCTTGAAAAATATTTTTTTAATGAGCATCTTCACAATATAAATTTTCCCAGAAACTCTTGGGCCAGGCGAAAAATTGGAATTCTTTTTTCGAGAATACAAGTGGTCTTTTATGATTTTTCTTTCTTATGATTTCTTGATTTTTCGAGAAATCTTTTGTGAATTAAATGTATTTTCATTCTCCAGGGATGCCACGTAATGCGCGCCGACGCCTTGAAATTGCCTTTCCGAGAAAAATCTGCGGATGCCGTTATTTGTATCGCCGTCCTTCATCACATTGCAACGTTGGAACGTCGTAGACAACTTGTTGAAGAGATTCTGAGGGTTTGAAAAGAAATCTGATAGCTTTTTGGTACATTTAGTAATAGGTTCTGAAACCGGGAGGCTGCGCTTGTGTGACGGTTTGGTCGATGGATCAGTCCCACTCGGAATACGCCAAAATGCGGGGGAATAAGGTGAAAATGTTTTTTTGGAAGATAAATTTTGATTTTTACAGGACGAAAACGAGGCAATAGGAAAAGGACAGAATCCTGGAAAAACGGAAGGTTTTTTCTCAAAAAAAAATGAAGTTAGGATTCATGAGTCTGAGTTTTGAGCTCGAAGAAGGAGGAGTTGTTGGAAATTTTTTATGAAGAGAACGGGATTTTCGATCATTCATGTGATCGAATTCCAATGAGGAGATCATATTTCATTTCCAATTTTGACATGAAAACGTAGAACGTTCTAATCCGTGTTTCCAGCTTTTAATTGTAAGAGTTCACATCGAAAAACCATTGGTTTTAAGTTTCATTCTGTAATAAATAAAGTTTTCGAAACGTACTTTTGTTTGGTTTGAGAAGAAATGACCTATACAAAAAATCAGTGCTGGTCTTTAAAAGCGATAGTCGTTTTCAGAGTTTCTTTAGGTTATCCGAGATTCCCGTACTTATAAAAATCACAGAAGAACAAAATCTATCGAATCTGGTCGCTCTGAAATTTTTAAATGAATTGAGCCAAGGGGATAAAGAGATCAAAATTTCCCCTTTTTGAAAGTACTTAGAGAATCAAAATAGTAGTCTCTTTCATTTTTCAGATCTAAAGAAGAACAAGGCCGAGAGGCTGAAAGTTCATGACGGCAAAGACTTCGAGCAACAAGACGTGTTGGTTCCTTGGGTCATCGACCAGGAAAACAAGACTTTCTTGAGGTTTTAGCTCTAGCATTTTTGATGTTGAATCTTTCTTTTTTGAAGATATTATCACGTTTTTCGCGAAGGAGAAGCCGAAGAATTGATGCATTCAGTTGATGGATGTCAGATGGTCAGCGTTGAAAAAGAACAAGGAAATTATATTTTCGTGTTCCGAAAGTCTTGATTTTCTGTTATTGTTTTGCCCGAATCGCTCCTTAATGTTCCTGGGAAAAAGTTGTTTTGTTTTCACCTCTGTTTTGCCGTTGTTATTCCAATTTAATCTTGTTATTTCATATTTCACTTTGCTCATCTCTTTCCAGCCGGTGGCCCAGATATTTATTGTGATTTTTTTCGATTGTTATAAAAACGTTATAAAAATATTGTTCATTAGTTGAAAAAATCGATGTTGTTTTTGACATTTTCATTTGTACTTGAGAAATTTGAGTTGAAGGGCTATTTGTTGGAACTAATCTCAAACTGCAACATGGAAAACTTGGACTCGAAAAAAGTCTATTTTCGGCCGATTAGCGCAGAAATGAGTGACATATTTCCAATCTAGCAAATCTACTTTATGAGAAAATGTCGAAAACTCCGACTATACTACAGTTTTTCGATTTTCCCCGAACTAGGAAAATCTTATTCCGCTTCTAGAACCAATGTGGACTCAAGAAGAAAGGGTTAACTCAAAAACAATTCTAGGATTAGTTTCACTTTCTCTTTTATTAGATTTTCAAAAAAAAAAGATCAAAATTGCAGGAAAGTTCAGCGATCTTTCAAACTGGAACATAATTGATTTATACGGAAGCTCCATTTTTAAAAGAAGAAAATGGACGACGCCAACCACTTCTTCGCGTTATGTGAGTCGATCGCGGTCCAGGAAATCGTGGACTCTGGTGAAGTCGGAATGGTGGATAATGGCCGCTAAAGGGGAGAGGCTCAAAAAAAGGCCGCAGAAAGGCAACAAAAAGAGTTCTTTTATCGAACCTTCCATTTTGCGAAGTTTGAAGGTCTGGTCTTTTTGGGAAAAAAATGGCACAAGGGGGGGGCGCAAAACGGGCTATGTCAAACAAGTGAAAGATTTATAATGAGTTTTTTTCAAATCTTTCTGGAACTTTAGAAGCGCTGCAATTTTGGTCTCTAGTCTTCAGAAGCCCTTTTAGACCTTTTGAATTATTTTTGCGGAAAAGCCTTGGAAATTGGAAACTTGGGAAAGAAAACTTGAAAATTGACTTATGGAATATCTGATCAACTCCTATTTTCAAGACGATTCGGACTTGGAAAAGGACGATGATGTTGATGAGCCGCCGAGAAATTCTTCCGGATCCGGAGAAACTCAAGCGAAGACTGTCTATAAAATTGGTATGGAACTTGAATTTCATTATATGGCTGAAGAGTCAAAACACGAAAATATATATAATTATTTTTTCGAAATATTTTCTAAAAAAAAATACAGCTGAATTGATTTGAATCCTGGCCAAATTTTTCGCAGCAAAATCGGTCACCATTATCTTTGAATACTGGAGGCAACGCTTGAAAATCAAAATATCAATTTTGAAGAACCACTGAGAACAACGCTGAGTAGTGAAGTCGTGCTGATGATCGACGGTCGCGATGAGTTCAAAAGTCTGATAGAAACTTTCGCCGTCCATTTTCTCGGCCTCAATAACGAGTTCGAAACGAAACTCCTCTCCTGCCAGTGTTAGTCGTTCTTTGAGAAGTTCTCAATGACCGAATTCTGTTCTTTAGCATACGACGACATCAAGAAGTTCGTTTTCAAACGGGAAGAACAGTTTTTGCCGCAAAACTTGGCCGAGAAATTATGGGAAATCCCGCCGTTGGCTGAGACTTTGTGTCGGTTTGACCGTCAACTGGTTCGAGCTCTTGGCCGAGCTGCCGGGATCAGAACTCCAGCTCCTCTGGGTTGGTGATCAGAAAGAGGCTTCTTTCAAAAGGAAAAAAATGATGTAGTCGATCCAATGTTCAAAAATTGAAGGGACAAGATCAGTGAGAAAAAAATTTTAAGTTTTTATTTCAATCATAGACTTTCCCGTTGTTTTGCCAGCCGTGAATAGGCTGCAAAAAAAGAACTGAAACTTGAAAAATAGAGAACTTTGAGCATTAGGCGCAGACTTGTTCTGCGCCATTTGGGTTTAGGCTGGGTTGGAAAAAAAGGGCGTTTCGTTAATTTATCATTACTTTTCGATCAGTTGAAGATATTTGGGGCTTTCCAAAATAGGATATTTCAAAAACTTACAGTCTGTTCCTGAATTTTCCTTTTTTGGACAATACTCGTCTTTCACCGCTTGAGAGAACACTTGAAATAAGTTCGTTAAAATTTTCGATAATAGTTTGAATATCTTAGAAAAGCCCAGATGATTGAAAAAGTTTGATTTTCTTCAGATGAAGGGAACATGTTTATCGAAGCGATTGCTCATCTTAGAAGTAAGCGAGCTTCCGTTGGAATGCAGAAATCGCTCGGCGATCTGTTCAGAGAAAAGGCTGAGTACGTTTATTTTAATTCATATTGGAAAATAACTAAATTATAGTTAGAATTTTTCAATTTTTTAGCTCAAAAAGATCGTGTTCAAACACTTTTTGAATCACCAGCTGAAGCTATTTTAAGGTTCTACCTGGGCAAACTTTCAGATTAGTATTTCCCCAACTTACTTAGAAACAACCTCTCAGAGTTTGAACGTTCAAAAACTCTTGCTTTCTGTAAATTAAAAAAAAAAATTCCCAGATTTATATTCTCCTTGTTAGGCTGGATGCCGAAAACGAGAAAAGATGCCACGAGGAAACGGCGCGGCAGCTGTCGGACTTCGACGCTAGCGAAATGTTGATCAACGCCATGCAGAAGATCGTCCTGGATGACATCGAAGTCGAGAGATCTCAGTCGCGTCCGACGAGTCCGACTCGGAACTTCCGTCGGAGACTTTCCGAGGTCTCCTCCATCAGTGACGCCGACGCCGACAGACTCGTCGAGGAAATGTGCAAGTGCATCGAGAGCGTCACCATCTCCGCTGTCAGTTTGGACTTGGTTCAGAGTTGTTTGAAACTTGGCCAAGATAACATTTGTTAAGAGAAAAAACGGGATCGGAAAGTTGGAATTTCGAAGATTTTCCAATTTTCACTGGCCAGTAATAATATTCGTTCAAAAAGACTCTAAGCATAGGGACCATCTAGAAAATTAGGTCCGGAACAATTTAGTCTTGCCGATCAACACAAAATGAAACAGTTTTTTGGATTGTCAAAGTGAAATTTAGGTATTTTCTCTCTCTCTAGATAGTATTTCTCGACAGCTAACGGGTAAAAAAAGATTATCAGACCTTAAAAAATACAAAAAAATTGAAGTATCTTTTTTCAAATATATAAAATAATTTCGAAAGATGCATAAGGCGGAAAAAAAGCTTTTTTTTTGCACACATCCTCTTTCAAGTAGGGAAAAATTGACAATACCTTGTATGCCCATTTTTTTGGAAAAAAATTATTATTTTTTTGTTCTTTCTCACATGACTTTGTGACCTTCAGATAGTTTTGATTCACTTTTTTTTCAGGATGTACACGATTTGCCAGAAGAAGCAGGAGAAGCAGAAGAAGCGCCTCCGAAAGAGGAACTCTTTTCCGAGCCTTTAGACGACGACTCCGACGAGGACAGTTTCGACGTTCTTGAATGGTTTTCTTCACGACCTGATGATTCGCAGGTTCTGTATCTTTCTTGAATTAGAATTTGTCCATCGCTCTTCAATCTAGTAGAAAAAAAATGTTTCGTTTATCTTTTCAGTTTGTCGAGAAGAGTAATTACGAACCGCCGCCACGAAAAATTCCTCGAATTGTAAGAATATTTTTTTTCCCCAGCAATTAATTCTGATCAAAGGACTGCTGTGACGTCACTGAAGAGGCTGCGGATGAATTCCTGGATGACGAAAACGAAGAAGTGATTGTTTTCCAGGTTTTCTTGTTACAACCATTTTTTTCAGGAAAAGGACCTCCAAACAGAAGAAGTTGCAGAGGATAATTCACAGCATGCGAGTTGGGGAAGCCGTTTACAGGAACTTCGGCAGGTTTAGTTCAGAAAAGTGCAGCTCAAATTGTCATTTACTTATTCAACCTATAACTTGAAAACAGTTTTCAAGTCACCAACCTAAAAAAAAACTTTGAGAAGCAACCGCTAACTGTTGAAATTGTATTAAATTGTCAATTCCTGACGAGAGCCTTTTTGGAAATTTTCACAGTTTGAAATATTTCCAAAGCGATAAATTAATAGAGAGGTTTGAAAAGTTGAGTTTTTTAAAAATACTTTTCCAAGAGTTCTCATTAATTGATTACATAATATCGCTGATCTTTTTGAATTACAAATCTATTTAGGAACTTTTGAAATCGTCCGAAAAAAATTTTTAAAAACTTTGAATACTTTTTTTGTAAAAAAAGAACAGGTATATTCACCGCATATGATAAAAAGATAAGGAGTTAAAATAAATTCAAGACAAAAATGCAGTATAATTTCAAATTCAGTTTTCTCTTATCTCAGCTTCCAGGAATTTCTTTCATCGACTGCGTCAGCAGTCTTTCTTGGAGCACGAATCTCTCTGGCGGAAGATGAAAGTGAAGAGCAAAACGAATATTTGGAAGAAGACGAAGTGGTGGGTTATCTCACGGGAGACGTTACTTTATTTGGAATCCCTGAATCCTCCGGGAAATTTCTCACGTCACTATTAAGTATGTCCTTCGCCAATTTTTTTTCAGCTGAAAATGAATTTTAAAAAATCATCATTTCGTCGTTAAGAGAAATTAGCGAAAACTATAAATAAATTATCTTCCTTGTGAGTTATAAGTTTTTTCAAATTGGTCTTTCCAGGAGGTCCAAGCGGAAACATTGCCAGTCGAGCCGCAGGCTCTTCCAGATGAAGAGGAAACGAAGGTGTATTTTGTTAATCGTGGTAATTTAAAGAAATATGTTTTTCGCTATTCCGCAATGAATTATTTTTGACTTTGTAGCGGGAAAATTCGCTTGCTCAGATTCAAAAATTCGGGTGTCTCTATATCTTTCTTTCCTTGACCATTCTCGCTAGTTCACATGCTTTTTTCATCTTTTTATGGCATCGGTAGGGAAAAGACAGTCAAAGCGGTCAGAGTAATTAAATTCGAGGAAAATGAAGTACAGTATGATAAAGCCGTTATTACTGCCTTGAAAGGCGATGAACACATTTTACGGTTGATTTTTGTGATTGCCGTGTGCTTTTTTTCAATGATTTTATCTTTTTTTAATTGATTTTATTAGCTGATAATATTAACGATCTAATAGGTATAAGAAATCCTTCACATTTTCCACTTTTTTTCATGTTCCTGTTTCAAATTGCATATCCTGCCACAAGTAACTACGGGTAGACGTGTATCTATCGCTTGTCATTTTTGCAAAATTCATTTTCCAAGTTTAGCCTGAACTTCAACCTGATGTAGTCATACAAACACCGGCGCCTCAAGACGATGGTTTCTGTCCCGGCCAAGTTGATCTGGTTTTCACATGTATGTTCCTTATCAATTTACAAGTCATTCAGCGAGATACGATTTCTGAAGTCGCTAATATACTCTCCGTCGTCCCGTCCATTCTTACCGATGAAAAGGTACCTTCTTTCAGAGTTTCTTTGAAAAGCTGTTTCAAAAAATCTTTTCCAGAAAGATGAAAAACCTGAAGTTGCCCCCGCGCCCCGTATTATTCGGAAGAGACGATGTCTATCACAATTCGTACAACTTGAGAGTTCACATTTCCATTTTAGGTCCGCTGAAAAATCCAATCGAAGTTTTGCGAAACGTCGTGAGATGTGTTGTGCAAAAAACGTCTACGATAGGTTTGTTAATGAGATTCATTCAAAATTTAGAGGAAATAGAAAGTTTTTACTAATAATACTTGCCGAGATCAAAGCGAGATCGCTGGCGGTACATTCGCAAAAGCGTCTTGCACTGTTTTCGCGTTGCATTTTTCATAGAATCGAACTCGCATTTTGGCAAATTTCAGTTTTGTTGGGTGAAGAAGAAACGGGAGGTGTGCTTAGAAAATTCGAGCCCCGTAGCGCAACAGGTTGTGTGCCTGTCTACGGTCCACAGGGTCACAAGTTCGATCCCCACACACAAGGACGGATATGTCACTCGAGCCAGTCCACTGATATCAGGATAGGACCTCGGCTAATCGAACTCCAACGACTTGACACGTACCCGGCAGTATGACACTTTTATAGTAGACGAGAAGGAATATTGGAAGGGTTTCTGAGGTGGCTGTGAAATCTAAACATGAAATGGGTTTATTCCAAAGAAGGATAGTTTTATAAAAGAAGTCGTTAGGTTTAATTTGGTTTTGCTCTAAATTCACTTTTTACAATCTAAAAAGTTCAACTCGACCTCGTTACAAAACTTGATGTTAAGAGGAAAAAAGACAAGCGAGAAACGACTTTGACGAACTCTACAAGCAGAGTTTCCGCGATAAACGGACCAAAACCGATCTTAAGTACGGGAAATTGCGCTGGGTTCCAGAATGGTTCGCACTTTACGAGGATATGTGCTGCAAAATGAGGTTTCCGTTCCCCGGTGCGTTTTTTCTTTATAATTTATTAATTGGTGTTTGCTAAAAATCGCTGTCTTCTTTTGAAGTTTAAGGATCTGACTCCGTAGGAAATTGTTTCGGCACTCTTAGCGAAACAGTAGGCAAATCATGAGATGTAGACTCAATAGCGGAGAATTGGAAAAAAAGTCTGATTGAGTGATAATTACAAATGGAAAAAAATAATCCTTCGTCAATTATGAGATAATTTATTGCAGTGTCGGTTAGCCCATTCGGAAGCTGCTTGAAGGTATCCAAAAGTTTTTTGTGAATTGTTCCAATTTTCGGATTGTTCAGGGCTCGAGGGCTACTTCAGGAAAAAAGATGAGAGTCAAGTTTGTTGGTAAGTTTGTTTCTAAAGAAGATGAAATTTAAAAATGGAATGAAACGGAGAAATCTCAAGGGATTAGGTTGATGAAACAGTAAATTTACGAGTTTTATTTCTTTGAGAAATTTAGAAAAGCTCAGAGGCGATTTGTGAAGAAGTGATTCCGTTATTGATGGAATCTTTTCACAAAAAAATTTGGATTTAAAAGTTTTCATTCAGTTTTAGAATTTTTCAAAAATTGTTTTCTACAGCAGTTTTTTTAAATCGAAAAAAAGAGGAAATTCGTTTGGAGTTGTCTAAAGCTAGGTAGGAAGAATGACCTTCTTTTTTTGACTAGTAAAAATTTTTAGAGTTTATGAGAAAAAAATATTTTGAAAAACCTTGTTGAAGCATCAAAGTTAGCTCTCTCTCGAAACTCCCTAAAAAAATATAAATAATGAGTGAAAAAAACTGAAAAGAAACAACGTAAAGAAACATTTGACTTCTTTTTCAGACTTCGATGACGAGAGGAACACTATTCGTTTCTACTTCCGCCCCAGTCTGGAGTTGCCTCGGTGAATAATATTCTTTTTCGATATAAATCATAAACTTCCATCATTATTTCTATAACAAAAAACTTTGTTTTTTTGGCTCGTTCCATCTTAAAAATGAAGGAAAATTTCATATCTTTCAAACTTCATTCGCAACCGCCTAAAACATTCTGACCTGCTCCGCTCTTTTTCTCTCACCATCTTTCAAAAAAAAAAGTTTTTGTTTCTAGTGGTGAATGAGATGAAAAGAAACCCTTTTTCTGACAAACTTATGTGTCTTCCACAAAACTAACCCTAAATTGTTTGAGATTGGATCCTAGCCAAAGTTTTTGCGTGCCTGTGGACGATGGATGTTCATTTTACACAGTGAGGAGGAATGGAATTCGAATTTTTGAAAGAAGTCCCTTTTAAGGATGCTTCAATGAACCTAGGGACACGTTATTACCGTCTCCAGCGTCCAACTTTTCTGAAATCCGGATACCGAAAAACCGACATACCTGAGGTATTGTACTATACTTTGATTTTCAACTTCGTATCAGGAGACCATTTTTGGTCGACTTTTTACGCTTGAAAGCATTAAAAATAAATCAGCGCAGTTCTATTACTGAATCAAGTACCCAAGTATTTGAGATTCCCATCATTGAAGACTACGTTCAACGAAAACTCGCCTATGATCGGTGCACGTCGTTGTTCGTCGTGATTCCATATTACTCGAAAGGAATCAAACCCGTCTACGACATTTCCGGATTCGATTCTTTCGCCGAAAGACATCACTGCTTGTTCAGCGCCCTCGGCAGAACTTACGACGACTCTCAGGTTTTCTTTTTGATCATATTATATTTAAAAAAAGGATGTGGAAGCAGACGTGGTCCATATTCTGTTTATGTTAAAGCGCCTAATTTCTCCCCATGGCTACAGTATCATTCGCGTCGATGCGCTCTGTTTATTTATTTTGTAGTTCTTAATCTCTTTTCAGAATGATTTGACGAACTAGCAATTATCCAGAAACCTTTCTATTTTTTAATATCTTTTTCATGATGACCACCAGAAAATCTGACAATGATCCTTCTATATCGCTGCATTTTTGATTTTTTTTTTCTGAATGTTAAAAACACTCCTATCAGGAAATAAAAAGTGATCACTATATAAGTCTTTTGATTTTCTGATTTATGGGAGAATTAATAAGACAACATTGATGGCTATATTCCCTGCCAAGAAAGGCCTGCCAACATACGTATTTCCAAAAAATTTCTAATGCGGGTAATAGTCGATATTGTGCCATCCATTCAATAGCCAGAAAGCAAGCCAAACAGTTCCTGAACTTCAGCTGGCAACACTGGGAAACGTTCTGCTTGAAAGACTTATCTCCGTCTTCGCCGTCACCTCGTACAAGCCTTACATCGACTCGAGCAGACGCAAAAGCATTCAAGCATCTATCCGATACAAGGGCCTTGGCGACATGGCTAGTCAGTTTCCTTCATTTCTTCTCCGTTCCCATCAAAAGTTGGAAAGCAGGAAAACTTTTAAAAAAACCTTACAATAAAGGAGAATTGACTCAAGTGAGTCGATTTCTCTCTTCTTTTTTTTTTTGAGAGTTCCTATTCACTATACCCAAAAAAACAGTAAAATTTCTGCGTCTTTTTCTCTTTTTCAAGTTAATCCACCTCAAAGATATCTCTTTTTTTTCAGGTATTCTGGTGATTGGCGACTCTTTCCTGGCCGATTTCCGGAAAGACGTTTTCACGAACGTCGAAATATCGCTTATCCCCATTCATATTGAGAAACGAGCCCTGTTCGTTTATTCATTCATTTATTTCGAACGGTTTTAGTAAGGCCTGAAGACGCAACTCTCAAACAAAAACAGAAATTTTCAATAGGAATTTCTTTTGACTTTTTTTCTTATGGAACTTCATTTCTGGTGTTTAAAGAGGACAAGAGGACAGTAAAAAAATAACCCTTTAGTTTTCCAAATATTCGTAACCTGGTTACTGTAGCGCAAAAATTTACTCCTACTGCTTCCAAAAAAAAAAACCCTTTTCACAGGTTTTTTGAATAAGTTTGACCGCAATTTTTTTCGACTTTATAAACACAAAAAAAATTTTTTTTAACAAGTTAGTGTGCAAAGTATAACCTTACACGACTTGGACAAAAAAACGAAAATTTCTAAGTCTCTCGAAATCATGCGTTATCTTCTTCAAATCATTTATTTGGTCCCTGAAATATTGGTGCAAGGGAGCCGGAAATCGACTATATCATTTCGAAAACATAAATAAATTTTCAACCAGGCAAGAATTCCATTTTTAATATTTTTAGGCTTTCAAGTCCAAATACAAAAAAAAACCGAAAAGAAAAAAATTTTTTTTTAACGCATTAGAAATTTGAGTAGCAGCAAATTTGAATTTGCAGGGATATCCTGCAAGTCGTTTTGTACAAGGTCCTGTCCCACACGGAGACCTTCATCGAAAAGATCGTTTTCGCCTTCAGCGCAGAAAACCTCACAGAGCAGAACATTGAAGATTTTGTCGAGTTGTTTCAATTTCAACTTCCAATATTTCGCCTTCTTATTTACAGTTTCATTCGATTTCTGAACGTCATCCTCTCCGTGGCGGCGAAATTCAAAAAACAACCTTTGGTCAAACTTTTCTGGATGCATCCTTTCGTATGTCTTTCTCTTGATAGAAGAATAATTCATATAGCTTTGAAATGCGAAAAATGATGAATGGCATTCGTTTAAACCTTGTTTTTCAGGAACAAAGAGAGTTTGATGGACGGAAGCTCTACCGACAGAACTTTCGAAATGAAAAGTTTGATTTCTTATTCAAAACTTTGTGATGTTTTGAAAAGTTGCTATTTTTTAAAGCCTTATTTTTATGGGCATATATTCAGTTTGCTTGATATTGATCGAGATTCCGTGGGCTAGAAGTAAATCTGAAACCAGAATTTTTCATTTGACCCTCGAATCCTGTAAAAATATAACGTCGAAGTGGAAGAAAACCTTCCATTTCCACCTTTTTCTTTTTTTTTCGCTCTTTTCCTCAGTTCTCTTTGATTTCACAAACTTCTCTTCTTTAGGATCGTGTTTCAGTTTTTCTTTTAAGTCCGAGTCTTTCTACAAATGCAGCCCAAAAAACTAAAAGCTCGCAAACTTTTGGGCGGTACTGTAATCTTGAGTAAAATCCAAACGACCTTGAAAAGACCAAAAAAAAAAGAGTGGAAAGCTCCTTCTTGAACTCCTGAAAAGGTGTCAAAAGTTTCTCGGAATCTTTTTTTTTCCGCGTTATTCTTTTTTTTCTCGAATAAAGACGCATGTGAGGTTTTTTTTTCCACATGTTCTTTTTATGTCCTTCTGGACTTTGACCGTGATAACGCAGTCGTAATAAGAAGTGCTATAAGAAACATTTTCTTCTCTTAGAAATCATTTTTGTTTGCGGCCTATGAGCCTTGAACATTTTGAGCTCGCTTGTCTCAATTTCTGACTCAGGATCGTTGTTCTGGACGTTTGGCGGTTCTACAAAGCTCCTCGTCTGCGAGCAGAGCCAGAAGAGAAGGCGCCAAAAAAGAAAGGGCGACTTTCGAAGGAACAAATGAGGGAAATCGAGGAAAGAACGAAGAGAAATAGCGCCAAAGTGAAGGAAGCATTGTACGTTTCACTTGCCTTTTCCCAAGAAAATTGAAATCGAGCCCAGAGATTTTTCAGGCTGTCGGCGTTCGTCCACCTGCTGCGTAAACGGGTCGGCGCCACCGTCGCCGGTCAATTTTTCAAAGTTGCTCCGCGAAAAGTCACGGATTACAGTGAAGACAAGGACTATCCGCCTCAAAAATAAAGGGAAGATAATTCGAAAATCGATTTTCTCAATGACCACTCTTTCTCATTTTCTGCTGACAGGAAGACCCAAAAATAGTGTATTCTGTTGTTTTCTGTCTTTTTTCTCTTTGAAAATGTTGAGTTTCAAATCCTTTACTGCTTTCATAGTTCCTTTATAGTGTGCTCCGCTTGAAATTGTAATTTTTTCGGAGAAATATATGGTAGTTACCGTATACATAGCTTTATTCACGCGCTTTGCTTTGAGACCGATAAACTAGGTGAAACTATATGGCCGATTCATGGCTGGCTTGATTCATGAAAAATATGGATCTTGGTAAACGGTAAAGTAGGAGATATTGTCTGTTTTATGGAGAGCGCAGACAGTGCAACGGTTTTTCAGCGTCCTAAGCTAGCCCTGACTCGACTCTACAGTTTTTTAGACTGAGAAAAAAGATGACAAGGCTTTAACCTCGTGCATTTCCAACTTGCGTTGTCTGACTTTATTTATATATTTTTTTTCCTCTTCTTTCGCCTTTGTACCGCTTGAGCGCTCCAAGACGATGAGGCGAGTTCCCATCTTGGGTTGGGCCGCGGGGTCGAACTTGTTACCCTGTTGATCTTAACCAGGCACACAACCTGTTGCGCTACGACGCGCAGCTTTGTATTTCTGTATCTATATATTGTCCTTGATCATCAAATTTGTCTTTTTTGTATCAAGATTGTCTTTTGCTGTTTAGACTCCATTCAGTGCTAGACAAAACGTTCTACAAAGACTTTTTCCCCTCAATTTCAATCTCTTCTTTCACGCTTCGCAAGATCTTCAATGAAATTTGTTTCAAACCAGCTATGAACCAATAAAAACTCTTGTCTGTGTATAATTTCCTTAATTTCCTTTTTTGAAAAAAAACTTCCTTACATTGCTCGTTTCTTTTTCGATGTCCTACTGATGAATATATATCCCCTTTTTCCAAGATGACTTTGAAATGAAGAAAGTTACAACTTTTTACATAACCAGTTTACCTCAAGTTATGAAAGTAACTGGGTTAATTTATAGCGTATTGCTTAATCGTCTTCGTCTTGTTCGTCGCCTTTTTTCTTCCTCTGCTTCTTGTCGGCCGCTTCTTTCATCATGGCGAATGGACCAGACTGGGAGGTGAGGGAAGCTGTAATTATTTCAATTTTTCCGCTTATTTCAATTGTTTCTAACGAGGTTTTGCAAGGAAAAGGGCAGAATAAAGACATTAACTGGTATTAAATAAGACTTTTTTTCAGACTCCAGCATTTTCAGAACCACTTTCACGTGTGCACGAATTTTTTTTCTCCCGAGTTACAAGGCTTTGCAGAGGCGACTTTATAATTTATAATTTATTAAAGGCGCATGTACAGAGACATGTCGCGCGTTTCTGTAGCTCGTTGGGAAAAAAGAATCGTGAAAAGCTGGCGCAGGAATTATATGCGCGTCGACGCGCATATAACTGACGCGTCAGTTCATATAGTTCTGTTGGGCACATATTTTTATACAACTATAACCTATTTAATGAAAGGTATTTACAAAGGTAGTCTCAATTTGAAAGATTTTTGAATCAAAGAAAAAAAAATCACTTTTGCTGCTCTGTGACTTGAGCTTCTGAGAGGCGTTGTGAGCCGACGGGAACTTGCGCTTTGAACTGTCCGTAGTGATATCCACTGAAAAATGTTCTGTTTTCCACTCTCTTTTTTGATTTCTCACCTATGTTGCACATCATGGAAGCCGTTTCGAAGATGCCGAATCCCTTGGAAAAAAAAAAATTGTAAGAGACTTTTTTCAGTTCAAGATCTTATTTTGAAAAATCGTTTCAAGGTCCTGGGAACATTTTCAGTGATCACTTAAGAGTTTTATCAAGGACTACTTGGAGAAGACACTGAAGTGGCCACTAAAACCACCTTTATAGAGGCCACTACTTTGCATCGTATAGTGACCACTAAAGGTGTTTTAGTAGTCTAGTAGTAAAACTTAGACTCCGAAAGATGCCACTAATTTTTAGCCATCTAATTGGCCACTAATTAGACCAATATAGCAGCCACTAAAATTTCAAAACCCTAAAGTGGCCACTGAAAGTTTCCCTAACTCTGAGAGAAGGAAGCTGAGCTTTTTCATAATAGAAATGCTGACCATTCCGCCGATGACTGTCCCTTCGGCGCTATTACTCCGATCATTCTTCTCTACCGCCTTGTCCGTAGTCTTAACTAGGTTCAGACTGCTGGAAGACGGCTTCTGATGCTCCTTTTTGATCGATTTTGTTCTCTTCAACAGTTTCTTTCATCTTTTGAGTTCTTATCTGGTAGGTTCGTCGGCAAAAGGGAAGGCTCCCGAAAAGTTCAAGAGCCCTTCCATTTCTCATGAGGTGCGATTACACTTTTCAGGTTCCTAGAACTCGACTTTGTAGAAGGAAAATTTGTAAAAGCAGGTTCTTTGGATCTTTCAATTTTTAACTAGAAAGGCGGTGATTGAAAAATACTTTTCTATTCGGCAAAATATATATTTTGGTATTTTTCCCGACAACAATCAGTTTCAGAACAATTAGGAACTTTTTCGAGTTTAATTTTTAATGAAAAAAATTTTTGGCGCGTTGTTGAAAAGAGCATAGAAAAAATTTGAAAAGGTAAAATCTCAAAAATTACCTTGACTGGCTCGGCTGAAGATGTCCGCTCTAAACAATTGAAGTCATGAAAATCCATTGTTTTTCCAGAATAAATTTAAGATTTCCTTTTTTTGCAATGAACCTTGAGCTGATCTTTTCAAACCTGAACCGTCTGAACTTTTCGTGGACATTGAACGGACGTTTTTTTGGCCCAAAAAGGTCTGATCAAGACGTTCAAAGTGCCGTAATTGTTTCTTTGATATTCGAATTTTCTCACGTACCTTTTAACGAAAGCTGCTTCGCCTTTTCTTCCAATGAGTCAAAATTCAAATCTTTTTTGGATTTCTGCAGAAAACGGGAATTATTGCAAGGAAAATTGTAGCTTTACTCAGACCTTGCTGTCCTCAGCTCGTTTGTGCTCCGAAAACATTTGCCTCTATGACTTTCACGGCCCCCGAAAATGACTTTCTCTGCAAGATTTTCTGGGTTCCGTCGGATTGGAAATCGAATAAAAAGGTCTAGACATGGAACAAGTCAACAGAATTCAAGGAAAAATCTTTGTGTCAAAAATTTTTTATTCAAGGAATCTTGCTCTGCAGGTGATTATGACGACATTTGTTGCAGTTCAAAGTATTTTTTTCTTCGTTTTTTGTGTAAAAAAATTTTTCAGATGGAAAAGCCTGGAAGTCTTGGTGGTCAGACCAAAATCACAGCATTGGGAATAATTATTGTATGAATTTCCCGGATTTTCGCAAATTTCAAAAAAATTCGAATTTTTCTCACTTCATGAGAATGCGTCTGACCATGAGATTGAATCAAGAATAAAACTTGAGATAATTTTAGAAACTTTTCTTTTCAACTGATAACTTCATAGTTTTTTCTTTATTTAAAATAAAAATCACGTATAAATTAGGTGAATTCATAGAGAAATTTACTGATTATTGAGATGTTTTCTTCGATTTTATAATCTATAGTCCCTAACTTTGGAAGTCTTCGATCGCACTCGGAATGGCTCGATCTTTAAAGGCGCAACCGACCCAGAACGACTTTCGCTAACAACGGGGTTTGAAAACTATCAGAACAAGCTGCTCTTTGACAATAACACAATTCTAAGCCCAACACTGGCTTCGTGCCATTCCAAGTGCGATCACGGCGTATAAATCAGATTACTACGCCAATTTTCTGAATAAATCTCAAAATCTAGAAATAACAGCGAGAAATATTTATAAAAAAAGTCTGAAAAAGCTTTGGTTGATAAGCCTTCCTAGGGAACGTTTCTAGCCCTCGGTTCGAGTTTTGAGAAGATTCCGCTAGAGTTTGCTTTAAGAATTCCTGATTCCAGAATGAGAAAAAAGTTCTCTCAATAGATCTCGTTTTTGAGTTAAGAAGCTTCAAAAAAGCTTGAAACAGCCCTTGTTGGATAATTTGTGTAATTTGCGATATTTGAAGTTTCAAGAATTGAAAAGAAGAGCTATTGCAAGTTATTGTTCAATTTTTTTGAAATCAAGAAGTCCTGAAGTAAATTTAAGAAAAATTTCATCAAAAGTTCAATCGGTGGCTAAAAAAATCCCTAGTTAGAACCCTCAAAAGATACAGTGATAATATTTTGTTTCTTATTGGTTGTTCTTTTCAAAAATTAGGTTTTTTCTAACTCGAAAAGTTTGACTAACGAACAGTTGTCATAAAACAACAAGCCAAGAAATCAAGAACAGGAGAAATTTTGAGTAAGGCGAGGGGAAAATTGTGGTGGTTGCCGCGGGTGGGCTTTTGCCTGAGAGACTCATTCCAATCGGAGAAAAGGCAGACGGATGGGGAAATTGCGACCTGAAAAAGTGAGCCTTTTTTTGGCGGTCTGTGATATCGCAGTCAATCCTTCAAACATTCTTGCAAAATTTTGGTTAACGGATACCGGACGCTCTCCGGACGTTTCTGAGCACTTCTAGGGATCACTTAAGTGTGCTGACGCTACTAAAATGGTCACTAGAAATGGTCCCGAGTCCTGTTCGCGTTACTTTCGATTGATGGAACTAGTCGATCGTTCTTAAAAAAAAGCTGGTCGCATCGAAAACGGCTAGCGGCTGCGAAGCAGTACGGTGAGAAGATTGCCTTCTAGATAAAATAAGACCAGGTCGGAGTCTCGAATCACCTTGTGAATAGAGTATTTTACATGGTTATCATGAAATTTTAATTATTATTTTTCTAAATTTCGCAGTACCTATGATAAAGTGGATTCGCTAAGACTTGAATTTCGTTGACCGCACTGGGAATGGCTCAACAAGAAACGACTCAAACCGAGTTGCTATTTAAGTCTATTTGAACTACACTTCTTGAAATTGTGCGAAGAACAGTGCTTATGCCAGCATTCTGCAGAAAAAGTTGCGAAAATTAAAAAGAGAAGACATTGAATTTTATTCATGGTGCAGGATTTACCGTGAAGTTTTTTGTGGCACCTAGTTTTTTTAAATTTCAGAATCAGTCGTGATGATATTTTTGAGTATTTGCGCTATATTAAATCATGAAAGAACTTTCAGCGGACAACTCTAAATTAGAAATGTGATTTGAGGGCAAGCGTCTGCCTCAAAAGTCAGCCCGGATTACCCTAAATCCCCTTTTCTTTTAAATTTACAGTGTTTTGATTAGTTAAACATAGTTTTCAGTTTTTGAAGGACAAAAAAGGGAACGAAACTTTAAATTTCAGCAGCTGACTCAAAAAAGGGACAAAAGGGGACACCATAGTCTAAAACTGAAATTAGTCAATGAAACAGAGATAAAGCAAAAATCCTGGATAAAAAAATAGTTTTCCAAGCCTTGATAACGCCTAAAATCGTACTATCATCCAATTCTTCGAAAACGAAGTTTGTTGAATTTCGAAGAAAATTCTCATCGGAATAAAAACAAGATAGAGAGAAAAACAATAAGCGAAATGATTTGTGCGCAGGTGGGAATAGGTGGTTGTTGCTCGGCGCTCCTACAATTCGATTAGTTTTTACGAGATCCCAGGTGTGCCAATTCCAAGGCGAGCCTTTTTCTTAGTTCAAAGAAAGAAAAAGAAATGAAAAAGTTTCTGCCGAAAATTGCTTTTTCTGATCATTTGTCAGACTTGTTCTGTTCTCTCCAATTAGCTCTCCGGAGAATTTATGAAACGGAGATCTTTTATGAGGGAATTTTCCACAGGAATTCGGCGAAACTCGCTTCTCATTATCGGCCAATGATAGCCCGAAGCGATCGGGGTCATTCAGTCTCTCTTTTGCAGCCGAAAAGTTCGTTTTATTGACTCTCAAAAAATTAGGTGGTTTTTGAAAGTGATTAGTGGAGATTGAGTTGGAAAATAATAACAATGCGACTTTGACTGCCTGGGAAAATTGCGGAAATTAATGAAGTTTTGTTATTTTCTGAAAAAAACCAGATTCTGGGTTTTCCATCAGTAGGAGGGATTGATTGCGTTTTTCGGAGATTCAAATCATGAGTGGGTTTCTTTTTTTGGTAATATTTTTTGGATTGAAAGTCACTGAGAAAACACTTGCCTTGGTTTTTAAAGAAGTATAGAGGAATGTCATAAATTCCTCGAGACAAAAAAACCGATTCTTTCAAATTTTTTTGGTTATAAAAGACCATAAAATATCGTTATTACTGTTAAATAGTTTTTTTTCCTGGATTGTTTTTGGAAATAGAGATTTTCTGAAAATGAAGATGAAGATTGAGAAAAAAAGAAGGCTGACAAGGAAGGTCATTTTGGTTTGGACAAAACACTCCTTGATGTACCAGAAGAATATTCTGGAAATCCCAACCTGCCCAACTTCCTATTTTTTCAAAAAGGACACACCACAGTCAATGAACCTTCTCAAAATTCATTAAAATAGGCTGTTTTTTTTGGGATTTCAGCTCTTTAATCTTGAAAACTGGAAAGTTGTGCAGGTTGAAACTTTCAGTATCTTCTTTTGGTACATCAAGAAGTGTTCGGGCCAGCTTTCAAGTTTGCTCAAGTAAGGAAATTTCAGTGAACATTTCTACTTCCAATTTTTTTTTTCAACTTTTGCCCTGGTAGGCTTGTTTTGCGTTTCCCAATTTTCAACTTCCACTCTAAAAAAAACTGAAAAAAAAACCATTTTGGATGAGATTCCTGCGCTCCATTGGCGGTTGGTAATGAGACAGGACGTGGGTCATAACTCAGTGGGACAACTGGTTCGGGCGGCGCTACCAGTTGTCGCAAATGGGTCACCCGCTTATCCTATCATATCTGTGTTCCTTCTTCGATTTCGCAATTTCCCTTTTCATCCGGAGGACTTCCGATTTTGGTTATTGATCTGTTAGATCAATTTTTTTGAATCGTTAGGTTAATTTATCTGTTTATTTATCATGGGACATTATTGATGGAGAAAAAAATTAAATCAGATCCGCCAGAAGTTGGAAAAAGCCTGACCGGTCTGCGGACTCTTTTTCCCTCATCAGTGAGGGCAAAAATTCTGAAAATGGCGCAGATAAGTAAGACAGTTTAAAGTTATGGGGAATGGAGTTTATAAAAAAATATAAAAAAAGCTGCTAGTTATTTTTTTCCGTTTTCCATGGACCACTAAACTTTTCTCGCGACTTTTTTTATAAAAATTTTTTTTGTTTTCTATAATTATTTAGACATGAACTGAGAAAGGTTAATTTGGGGGTTTTGTTGCTTCTGGCCCTAGAGTTTAGAGGCTTCATCAATTTTCGAACTCAGTCTTTTTCTTCTATCAAGTTGATTTGACCTCGAACAAAGAATATAAAAAGGGAAAATGCCGTGGAGCACACAAGCTGTATCAACCTGATTTTAATTCGGCTATTATTCCAACTTACTCTGTTTTTTGTTCACCCGAAAAGCCATCTAGCCGCGAACAACAAATTCTGGAATCGCGAGAGCTTGACGACTCGATTATCACCGAAAAGAGTGATGAATTGACGGCTGAATATGCGGCGGTCGAAAGTGAAACGAGAGCGGCCCTTTTGTGGAGAAGCGTCGCTTCCCCAATATTCCAATGACCACTCATCTCGACTCTTGTTTCGATTCAAATAAGCTTCATTGATTACTTACTCTTATTGATTTTCCATCACTTTTTATACTTCTTCTTTCATCTTTTCTAAACTTTTTTGGAATGATTTTTGAGAAAAAGGCGATTTTCGGCTCATAATGTGTGACTGGAAAACTTGTTCAGAATCATGAAGTACCTTGGTTTTAATATATATTCACCGAGTTTTTAATGTTTAGGCTGTAAAAAATAATTTTATTTGCTTCAATTAACTATAATTCGTTCACCGTTATTTTGAAGCGAAACCTCTTCTTTTTGCACACTTTTTTCAAGATAATGTAACTTTTAGTTTATTATGAATGGTGGATTTTTTTCATTTTGTAATCCCCTATTCTCGGAATCTCCTGACACTCCAGCTTTTTCCAGAAGGTTTTCGGAATGCCATTATGTGGAAATGACGATTGTTCTCATTAGCCATTCCATTGCGTATCTAACCTGCTTCCAAGCATCCTCTTCATTTATGTCTTCACGCTTCTGTTCATCATTTTCCAACTTCTGCTGAATTTACCGTGATTTCAGGGATATTGCCGAATATCCACGCACGGAGAGTTTTCCGTCATGAGATGAAAATCACCGAACACTGGAGTCGCGCTTGGGTTTTTTTTTTCTTTTGTTAATAACAAGGAAGGTCATTTACTTTGCGATTGGGGATTCCCCGGGAAATGGTCAGGAAATTTCTTGATTTACTAAAAGTAGACCTTGAGAGTCTCAATCTTCGCAACATCCTAGTTTTCGAGAAATACGAGTTCGAAGTCGCAAAATGCATATGTTACATGCCATATCATTGTTTGATGTACCAGGTGAAGATCCTGGAAGTCTCATGGCCTATGTCACCGGATTTTATAGATCTTCTTTGACTTCGAGTTGTCCTTTTTCGTAAACTAGAAAGTTATACAGATTGGGACTTTCAGGATCTTTACCTGGTACATCAATTTTTCGGGAATTCTTAATCGAAAAGTAAAACGACCTTCTTTGAAAACTTTGAAGGATTTTTTCGAAATTCATCCAATACCTGATAACAATCTGAAATCTTTGAGAAAGCAGCCTTTTTATTAATCAAAGTTTTGCCTTTTCCCCAATTTTTTCATACCCTACTTCTCAGGACTTGGCGCTGAGAGCGACCGTTTTATTATGTCTATTGACTCATGTTAACGGGAATCCTATCGATAATGGCCTCGTCGATTCTGAACTCATACAAGGTCTGTGTATTTTTTATTTTTGATAAATGAAAACTTGTCTGAAGAATGCGTTTCTCACAAAGCCGTCGATGTTATTGTCATTCTCGACGGGTCCGGATCGATTGGAGATGAAACCTTCAAAAGACAGGTATTTTTAATTTGAGGGACTTATAATGTTATCAAAAAAATCTTTGCTTTGGCTGAAAGCACAGAACTTCGAAATGAGAAAAAAAAATAATTTTCCGTTCAGAAACTTTACTGCAATTTTTCTACGCTCCATATCCAAAAAAAAAAATTAATAATCATATTTTCTGAATATTTCTTCTAGTTGGACTTTGCGATGCATTTGGCGGGCCGTTTGAACATTTCCGATGAGGGAAGCCACATGGCGATGATCCAGTTCGCAGAAACGCCCAAACTCGAGTTCGCCCTAGGACTTTACAATCATCCGACGCAGGTCCGTTTTTCAATTATCATACTTTGCAATTTTCCTTAGCATCTTTCTTTTTCAATGAGAACTGTACTATGATAAGGATTCACAAAAAGTCTCTCTATCAACGTTTTCGAAAAATTCTAGCTTGAATGGGCGATCCAACGCGTTGAGTACCTCTCTGGAGCTACGAACACTGGCAAAGCCCTAAGGTTCACACTCGAGAAAGGTGATCATAAAAGTTCTAACGAAAAATCAATCAAAATGTTCTCAGGTCTGCAAGGCTCGCGACCGGACGTTCCCAAGGTAGCCGTGGTCATTACCGACGGCCAGAGCCAGGTAACGTCTTCTAGGAATCTTCTTAAAAATCCCCGTATTTCAGGACGACGTCTCCGAGCCGGCACAGCTTTTGCGCGACGCCAACGTCATGATCTACGCCATCGGTGTGACTAATCTCGTCAATGTTCATCAGCTTCATCAGGTTCAGTTTTTGCTCTTTAAACCCTCCGGGGAAATAGGTTTTTTTTTTTTGAATGCGGTTTGACCAGAACATTGGAAGATTGAATAATGTAGTTTAGGAACCGAAAACTTAACTAGAGTTAAGAGGAACTTTTGCCCAGATAATTCAGCCTTTCATCTATTCCTTATCGGATAACTTTTTCCATGATTTTTCAGATGACCGGAAATCCAGTTAGAGTCTTCACTGTAGAATCTTTCGAGCAGCTGGACAAGTCCCTCGCAGATTCCCTCACTTGGGACATGTGCAAGACTGAATTTCGTGAGTTTTATTTTCTCATTTTTATGGCTTTCGAATGTTTAGAAAGTGTTTCAGAACTACTTTTCTATAAAATAATCTGTTTTTTTTTTGACTTTGACATTTACCCTTTTTCGTAAAAACATGTTTGAATGAAATTTTTCTTTTTTTTTCTCTCGCAACTGTTTATGAAGAATCCTACCACTGAGTCTAAGATACCGAGATTTCTGAAGGAATGAAAATAAATTTCCAGGACCAGGGACCCCGGAAGTGATCTGCGGACCGGACCGAATCGGCGTCAGAGCCTCTACCAAACAGCCTTTCGATGGGCAGGTCTTCGTCCAGGACCACTTCCACGAGGAAGGATGTCGCGCCGGACCTGAGAAGTATATAAAATATTTAATTTTTATTGTATTCATTCCTAATCATCGTCATCAACAGTTAATTCAGTTTGCAACAAATAAAATTTGGACCATATACAATTTTTCATTTAGTTTCCCCGACGCGAGAAGCATCGGTTTGACTGTCCCATTCTCCTCTTGCAACGTTCATCGGTACCGCTCGGTTAGTATTCCTGCCCAAAAATTCATAAAACGATTTCCTTTCAGTTGAACCCCAAAGGAATCTTCGTCGAGGTCAGCATCGTTTTCATGTTCCATTCCCTGTGAGTTTGGAAATTCTCGCAGTTTTGTTAAAATTGTCGTTCAAATGTTGAAAAGTGGAAAAGTGATATAACTAAAAATATTAACGAAAAAACCGCTCGCTTTGGCTGAATACCTCATTAAACACAGCGAATCGAAGTCTTTCGCAAGTATGACTTTGCAGATTCATGACGAAAACCGATCAGACGGTGAAGGTCCAATGTTTCTACATGGAAGCTGATAAGCATGTCACTGTACCCTTGTCTGTGAGGTTAGTTGGAAAAAGTTATCGCATGGAAATAGGCCACAAATAATATTTGAAAACAAGGGGATGAGTTGAAACTTAAAACACCGAGAATAAAGATTAGATATAGCTGATTCACGGCTGACTTGAGCCATCGAAAAAAAGGTCCTGAGACGATAAGAAAAGAGACAGTGCCTGGCTAGTAGAGAGCGCAGACAGGCCACCTCTTCGCGTCTCAAAATAGCCGGGAATCGGCTACACTTTCTCAATTTCAGCGATTTCTCAAGAAGAATTTCCCGAATCTGATTTTCAATGGCCTTTCATTGTGCCTTTATACATTGGAAATTTTGAAAAACTCAAGAATGTCTGGAAGGATATAAAGTATGCTCTAATGATCTTTTTTTTCTTCTAGTTACGCGAAATCACTTCGAGATCTCCAAGCAAAAAGCGAGAGATATCCAAGAATTTTCATTCTGTTCGCTCCACGGAAAATCTACAAATTTTACTTTTTTTACAATGGAAATTTCTGTATTTTATCAAGTCCTATCTTACTGATTTCCTTGATTAAAAAATTTCAGCATGATAACAACAGTCTTCCGGGAGCAAGTCTATCAGATGCCCCAATGTACTTACACCTTGCGCAAAGGGAGTCCCGATGGGCCGATTGTCCGATTTGCAACTCTTGGGCAAAGTGTCTTCCACAGGTCGCTTCCGTCTTCATTAACCCAAGAAAAATCAAAAGTTTCCAGATGGGAATGCATAGAAGTGGAAGGCGAGGACAAGGACACGTTCGGCATGTTGGTCCACTCCTGCTACGTCGACAACGGCTTCGGAGATCGCGTCGACATTCTCAATCCTGATGGGTATTCTTCGAGATCTGTTATGGAGAAGACGTTGGATTCTTGATGTTTCAGCTGCGGTCTGGACGCCGTTCTTCTGTCGACGCCTGACTACGGACCGAGTCTTAGGCTTGCCACCAAGCCTTACCACGTCTTCAAGTACGCGGACCGACCTGTTCTACAGTTCCAGTGCCAGGCAAGTTAACCATTCCTCACGATTATTGCTACATTTTCAAGTTCACGAGACTCTTTTCACATTTTTCTTTCTCTTTTCGCAGGAATTATTCAAATCGAAGATGTCAAGAATCATTTATTATTTGATATTGCGTTGGACAAAACACGAAAAAATTTTTTTTTGATAATAACTTTTTTGTGTGTATTTCAATCTTTCTGAAACTTCTTCAAGTTGTGATTACTGATATTTCCAACAAGCTGATAGCTTTTCACATTTTAAAATGAAAATCCGACTTCAGAAGGTTCAGAAAAAATGAGATCCATACAAGAAAATTATAATGAAAAAAATGTTTTCCCTTTTTTCTGATGAATCCCTCTTTGATCACTATATCTGAGTGGTTTTGATATATCCTTTTCACGAAAAACTTCAGAAATATTATAAAGTGTGAATGAACGGGCTCTTAGTTCCGATGAGTCCTAGGTAACTCCATTTTCAGATCACCCTTTGCTTAAAGTACGACGGAGGCTGTGACGGAATAACGCCGCCGAAGAATTGCAAAGAGCTACCCGGAGAAGCGGGACACCTTCACCTCCACCACAACCATCAGAAAAAGCGACTGGTTTGATCTCATCTTTCAGATAAGCTCAGTACTCTCAACTTCAGGCCCGTCGTCACTCTGACGGCGTCGGCACCATCGACGTCTTCACGGAGTCCGTCACTGTTCTCGAGCAAGATCCGCCAGTTTGTCGCGAGGCAAGACATTCAAGAAGCGCCAATTAATATTTATCGTTTCAGAAGGAGGACGTCTCCACGACAACGGCCGTCGTCCTCGTCTTCAGCTTAGGAAACATCATCTTCTCGACAGTCACCACAGCCGTTTGGATCAAAATGTTCCGCAGAAACCGCAAAATGTCTCTTTCCCACTGAAAGACAAAAATTTCTCAATGACTCATAAAAAATCAATGCCCTCATATCCTCCTTTCCCTCTTCTGTGATTTCACTTTACACTTTCTGGTTCTTACGTGCAATAAACTTATACTATCTACACGAGTTCAAATTTCGTACTATTTTCCTTTCTCTTCAATAAATAATTGTAGCCGTAGACTTTTTCAGTTCAGAACTTATTAGAGTCGCATAATCTCAATTGTACTTGATAAATTTTGTTTTTGTACCAGGTTTTTTTCCGCCTCGTTTGTTTTGCTCAAATTTCTCGTTTCTCAATTCTCAAGCGTGAATTTTTGGTGGTAATTTGAAGATTAAATAATTATTGAAGCTTTTGAACACGGTTGTTAAAATTCAAATCAAAAAGTATTAGCCTCTACATTTAAATAAGCTAGAAAGTCGCACCGCACTTATAGAACTTTCAAAAAACAAAAACGAAATTGACTCTAATGAAGAGAAACTAGGCAACGAAAGGAAAATCCGTCAAATTTTAGGATCGAAATTTTGAAATCACCTGCAAGAAGGTTCCATTCATTTTTATTTTCTTTTTTGACCAATTCACAAGTTTGCACATATCTCAGCTTTTTTTAGCATGGTTTTTACTTGTGGAAACCAATGAAAATCCTTTTAAAAGTTACAGGAAAACAGAAAAAAGAAAAAGAGATAAAATTTAGAACGACGATGTAAAACCTGAACTGCAAAGTGCGCTCCGGCGCCAAAGCAAAAGACGAGAGGGCACACGATGAGAGGAGGCGCAGAGAGGGAGAGCACCACCGGCAGCCGCAGACGAAATTTCTTCTTCCCAACTTCTTCTACTTGTTTGGGCGCCATGCACGCAGTTTCAGCGTAGTTTGCCAGCTATCTACAATCTTCCTGAAGTTTACTCTGACAGGACCGAGCCGTCCTGCGATCCATTCACTGACGTCTGGGAAATTGGTACCCTCAGAAAATCCACTCCTTTTCGCAAAAATGTCGAAGGAACCGCCGAAAAAGCGGTTAAAATGCAATCCCGAGCATGGATATCTACCGGTAAGCTTTTTTACATGTTTAGATTATTTTTCAGAATTTTTTCTCCGATTTTTTCTTGCCTTTTCTCAAAAATCACCAAACACCCCTTTTCCAAGCAAAATTCATGCCCAAAATTTTATTTGCAGGAAATCAGGAAACTTGGTCACATGGACACTTACAAAGAATGTAAGTTCACAATATTTTTCAAGATTATTTTTAGTTTTTGTGGAACTTTTCATTGAATTTCAATGAAAATAAGCCTGAGCGCGTGGGAGCCTTTCTCTACGCGAAGTATTGATTTGTGGTCGCGCGCGTTCATCAAATGAATGTTCTTTTTCCAAAACGTTTTTCCAGAGTTTCCTGACGTGAAATCGGAGTAATTTTAGGTGCAGTAACTGTGCAATACTTATTTTTTCAATAATTTTTCATAATTCCACTGGTTTCGAAAATATGCGTTTTTTGTGCGTCAAATCATTTCCAATGTTCAACCACTTCGTAAAACTATAAAATGTAACTGTTAGAATTTATTTCACAACGAAAAAGAATAAATTTTTGAAAAATAATACCATTTCAGCATGGGAAATTTCTTCGCCGCCCAAAAATCGTTGAAGAAAAACGATGACGCGTGTTGGACGTCGGTTTTTATCGCGTCTTTGCGCTGTTTGCCTGGTAATTCAGCTATTTTTTTTATTGTTTTTTTCTCATTAATACCAAGAAAAGTGAGCATCTTTGGTGTTAAAGTGAAATATAGAGTTGATAGGCGAATTTTTTTCCGCGATGTTGCTATGCGACGCCGCGTGCTTGTAAAAAGCCAAGCGTCGACGCGTCGAGCAGGCCGTTGATTGTTTAAAATTGATTGGCAGCATAAGTTAGAACAGTTTTCAGTTTATTCTATAAATAAAACCTTTCACATCCAATTAGAAAAGGTCTTTTTTTTGAATTTTTGCATCATTGCAGCATTTCTGTCAAATAAGATTTTGCAATAGTAAAAAAAATAACATTTCAATTTTTATTGAAGTTTGATAAAAACCTTCTTGACGAGCTTGTATTCGTGTTCTCCAGAGAAGCCACCAGAAATTGAGAACATTGGAAATCTTTAAGAGAATCAAAATATTTAAGTTAATGGATGAAAAAATAAATTTCTTTTGAGACCCAGTTGTGAGGATTTCCTTGCTTTATTATCAGGAAAATAAAAGACAGTAATTTGAAATTCAAAATTTTCTTCACATGAATATTTCTAGGAAAACTGTCCATTTTTTAAAACTTTTCTCAAAAGTTGCAGGTTTATAAATTTCAAAACGATAACTTTCTGAAGAGCTGTCTAATTTGATAAGATGTCAAAGGAAAAAAATACTTCATCTTCAAAATCTGAGCCTTAAAAATATTTTATAATGAGGTTTGAAGGAAGATTTTGCTAGGCAATCTAATTTCGAATAAATTTTTTACACGTTATCTTGAAAGAAAAACGTCATACGTGCTCTAACTGTAGTAGAAAAGAGTTCAAGGACAAAATACAACAAAGAAAATTTTCCAGAAGAAGGTTGTAAGATAATATCGGAAATTCTTCCTTTTAAAAAGAAAATCATATTTTGCGACAAAAACCCTTAATATAAAATGCGTTGGCAGACGGACGGCTCCCTGGTGTGTTGCGAGAAATGCACGGCGTCGTTCCACCCGAACTGCTATTTCCCCCCGATTCCGGTCAACGACAACGACGAGGAATGGCTCTGCCGACGCTGTTCCTGCCTTCCTCTCGACGTCCGGCCGCAGTTCAAACAGGTCGCAGTCGCCGCCAGCCCCTCCAAGGAGGTCACCAGGGTCAGTTGGGTGCTAGGAATCTTGCAGAACATTGATAAAACTGTGGTGAAACAAAACAAAAATTCAATGATCCAATCAAAGTTAAAAGGAACTTTGGAGGTTGAAATTCTTCATTTCTGATTTCATATAAATATTTCCTTCCTACAAATCAATAGTTTAAGTCATGAAAATCTTGAAAAACTTAGGAATGTGAGAAAATATCAAGGGAAATTACTTTTCTCAGTTTAGAAAGTAAAAGTTCCTCCACAAAAAAGCGGCGGTCGCAATAAATATATAAATTCCTATTCGTTTCTTTTGCCCACCCCCACGTTAGGAAATGTAACTATCAATTCAATTCAATTTCACCACGAAAATATTGTCAAATCATAGAAATAACTGCGAAGCTTACATGTATTCGTTCAGAAACGTATGGAAAGCCAGTTGAACTTGGACGTCGCCAAATATCACATCAAAAAGACCCTGAAACCCAATTCGACAACTTTGTTCCCCATCGAACTCGCCAAGGCATTTGCCAAAGTGAACCCGGTTGTGGTGAGAAAAATAAAGAAACATGGGTTTTCAAAAAAAGAATATTTAGTTCGAGTTGCCGCAAGAATTGGCCGAGAAGCGGATTCTGGTCGAAGGCGAACGACGACCCCTTCGGCTCAAAATTATTGGGGAAAAATGCGCTCAGTGTGAAACGTAGGCCTTTTCTCCGCGTCCCTAGGAATATTTCCATGTTATTTCCAGGGAAAACAACGTGGTCCACATGATCGAGTGCGACTATTGCCACCTCAAATACCATCTCGACTGCACTTTTCCGCGACTTTGCATCGTTCCCAAGTCGCGCGTTTGGATGTGCCATCGACACGTCGAACGGATCCTTGTCCGTTGTAGTCTATTCCAGAAAATCTCATTGAGAATGTTGGAGACGGAAAATATATTCAAGAATAGTGTTTCAAAGAGCATCGAATTCAAAAAGAGGAATTTTCCAAGCCTTTCTCAAAGTGATTCCGCGAAATCATAAATAGCCGCCAGAGAAAAAAAAAATGACATAATTTTGGGGATATAATTTTGCATTTAGCGGAAATTACTTTGAACATCTTTATGAATTAATAACATACATTCTGATTTTCCAAGCTCAAAACGGCGCGATTCACAAAGTTTATTTATTTTAAAATACTTCCTTGTCTTCTGATATCTCTTTTCTAATTCATCTTTCCACTAAGCGGGAACAACCTTGAAGATCTCCTTTTCAGGACGCGAAATTGACGCGACATTTGCCTAAATTTTGTCGGACTCTCTACCAACGGAAATTGTGGGACAAACACGGTCGTTACCGTATCAATGAGACCAAAGGAAAATTGATTTTCAAGAAGTTCCTGGAGAAGGTATAACCTTGATTGAGTTTTCGTGAAATCCAAAATGAACATTTCCAGACGGCCGGCTTCCAAAATCGCCACCCAGCGAAGAGGAAATCCAAGAAGCCAAAGTATGACTTTGAAAATGGAATTCACATACAAAATTCCCTTTTAGGCTCCAAAAAGTCCAAGAAGTTGAAGAATTAAAGCCGGCTGAGAAAGTGACGGAGAATGGGAAAGATAGTGTCGAGTAAGAATTTCTATACTTTCTTTTGAAAACAATTTTTCTAGGCCAATTGACCCTGTAACTTCCGCCGATCCATTGGCCAAGCCAGAAAATGAAGAAAACACTCAGGTTGTTCTTAAAAAGAAACGGAAAAAGATCAAAAAGCGAATGAAGAAGGAAGTCAAAGATTTGGTCGATCGGGACAGGTGAGAAAATATTTTTCGCAGAGTCATTTAAGAACACTTTGTTTCAGCTTTGATCCCAGCATCGCAAGTACTTCCAAAGGAATAAAGTCGACGAAAGATCTTGCCGATGAGTTGAGGTGCAGCTTTGAAAAAATAATTCTGATTTTTTTTACAGAATTAAAAATGAAAAGTTCAATTAATCTTTAAATGAAAACGCGTCGTGATCGTGCGAAATATTTGAAAAAAACAATTTTTGAAAAGAATTTTTTCAAAGTCATCTTGATCTCACATAGGAGCTAAAAGGGAAGATATAGAAACAATAAAAAAAATGTTCCGTTACCATGTTAAATAATTTCGTTGCATTGTCCGCGGAAAGTTCAAACTGGAGTTTTCAAATATAGTCAATTTTTACGATGTCTGAACACTCACACTCCCTCTCATTTGATTAAAAAAGCTCCTTGATGCAATAATTTTGAAATTCAGCAGTTTTTTTGATCGATAAATCAATTTTGAATTTTCTTGTTTCTTTCTAAACTTTCCATCTCACAGGTTTATCTGTTCAGGGAAAAGAGTTGGTGTGCAGCAGCATTGATAAGTCTGTGTGAAGGACAACGCGAAAATGAAGACGTGATTTGCCGAAAGCCTGAGCCGCGGGAAAAACGAAGATCGAATCGCGCTAGAGCCTCTTCCTGTCTGAGAAACGTCGATGAGACGCCTTGGCTCGACAAAAGTTCGCTTACCAACTTATCCCAGTTAATCAAGTTGTTTTTCAGCTTACGATTTGAACTGTCCGCCTTGGAACCTTCCATCGACTTCTTCTGGAATCACCCAAGATCCTGGAGATCCTCTGTTGAATCACGAAAGGCATGGCGATGATTGGGTGGTTCCTTTTCGGAGAGAAGATCTGGAGCCGACCAGTGGTGAGATATTTTCCGATGTTTGGGCGGAAAGTTTGAAGAAACTGTTGGAAGCTTGGTCACTGATATATTTGACTTTTCGTAGTAAGGTATGGCAATTTTAGTACGAAAAAGAATTGAATAAGTGACACGAAAACAGTGTTCAAAAAAATTCGTATAGTGGAGATTGAGAGAAAAAGCTTGCTTTATTTTCTAAAAATCGTTTTATTAGATCAAAAATTGAATCATGTTTTGTGCAGTGAGGTTTTAAAGGAGAACCTGTGTTGAAAACTGAAAATAATTTACACTTTTTCAATGACCGTACTTTATAACTTCAAAATTTGAGATTTTTTTCAGTTTGAAGTATTATTTCCATCTTCAACCTGAAAGCAGTTTTGAAAAACCTTAATTTTCGCGTTTTTTTTAAGGTTGAGACTCCCAGCAGCTTTTAACTTTTCGCCCACATCTTTTCCATATCATCATCAATTAAAATAATTCATGTTTCAGCTCTCTCCCTACATTCGCTGTACAAGTTCCCGATCGCCGAGAGACAGAAGATGTTCGACGAGCGCCAGAATATCGACAACCTCTTGAAATTGTCGCGTTTGGTCAGCACGGTCGCCCCGTTCGACACCTCGGGACTGTCTCGATGGCAGATGTCGGTGAAGAGCGAGGTCCGCGGCACGTCGCTCAGCGACCTCAAGGAGGTCAGCATCAAGGACATGAGGTCGAAGCGCAAGAAGGAGGACGAGGACTCGGCACAGTTCGTCGGCTTCGGCCGGCTTGGCCGCACCGCCACCAGCAGTCTCGCCGCCCAGTCTGTCCTGATGCGAGCTCCGCCTGTTCTCCCGCCCACAGAAGCTTCATCTTCTTCTGTCTTCCGACACATCTACTTCGCCTCGTCGTGGTCCATCGTCGACGCCGACGCTTTCTTCATCGATAGCCTCCCTGCCGACTTGAGAAACTACTACGCATTCGCCTACGACTACCATTTCCGAAGCAAAGAACAGCGTCTGCGGTTTCGAGTTAGTGGAATGGATCCCTGGAGCCGTGCCGACATCAAGAAGATCTTGCGCATGCAGAAGGAAGAAGTGATCGACGACGAATTGGTCAAGGAAGAGCAGGAAACTGAGCAAAAGGTCTCTGTTGCGGAAGAGGTGCTCAAGGAGGATGGACTGGAAGAAGAAACTCCTGCTTTTTGTTCTCTGGGAGTAGCGGGAAACGACGATGATCCGACCTACAGCTCAGGTTCCGAAGACGTCGTCACGAATGGAAACGACGAAGATCCTCAAGAAGAAACGAATCAGCTTATTCCAAAAGAAGCTTCGGACACTCATCAAAGGACCATCATTGTAGAAACATCCACGGAAGTTTTCGCCAGCGTCTCCCTAACTTTGAAGTCTTCCGATACCGTGAAACCTACAGTGGAAAGCTGCTCAACTACCAAAGTCGCTTTAACCGAGGAATCAGAATCGTTGTTGAGTGGAACGGAATCTTCGGCATCGACCACATATCACACTTCGACTTCCTCCAGTACGTCTATCCAGGAATCCGAATCTACACAAAGTCAAACCTGGACCCAGACGTCTCCTAAAGAAGTAGTCGAAGCGGCGAATATTCCGGGACTGGATGCCGATCCATCCGACCGAACCGCTTCCACGTCTTCTAGTGAGCATAGTGAAGATGTACCGGAAAAGGAAGCCGAGGAAAATGAGGAGGAAGAAGAACGTGTGACGACGGATTTCGAGAAGCCCGCTGTCACGTATCCTGAGAAATCTGTGAAGATTCTGATCATAACGGATCATGAAGTCACGGCGACGTCTCCAGCCTCGTGTGAAGCCAACAATGTCAGCACCGACGCCATCAAGGTTTTCACCAATGGAAGTTGTCATGTGAGTTTAGAGAAGTTTCCTTTGAAATAATCAGTCGGAAAAACGCTTTGGAAAAATCGAGAAAAAAAATCCGAAAACACAAAGTTTTAATAAGACAGTAAAATTTTAGACCAATAATTCTTCTCTCGGAAAAAAAATTATTTTTATTTTTTTTCAAAAACTTTTAGGGAAGTTTTTTTTAGTTAGGTGCAGACTTTCCGAAAATTTTGTAAATTTTTTAATGACGCACAAATTTTTTAATAATTTGAAATGAAGCTTGAAAGGCTCACCGTTTCGATACTTTCAAATAAATGTTCAAATTTATTGCAGGACAACATTCATCCACGTGGAGACTTTGCATCGGAAACTTCATGTGTCGTCTTCAAGGCATGTTTTTTTTTGGTCAATAGTTAGGCTTTGAGAAATTCCCACTGTTTTAAGGAACCATTTTTTGGATTTAGTATTATTTTTGAGCAAAGATTTTAAACTCTGGGATTCCGATCAGAAACCCAAGAGAAAAAATGCCATTACGTGGATTTTTCCTGCGCAATAGTCTGATAGTTACAATTTTTTCAACATAAAAATATTTTTTAGGATATAGGGGATCTCGGAAACTTAATAATTTCTTCAGGTAACTTCGGATGAGATGGACCAGCTTGCGAGAGGCGACTACAGCCAATCCGAAATTGGAAGGGCCCTTATAAAGGAGGGAACTTGTCAGTCGACTGCGGACCCTGAAGATCTGTCGCCGATCAACGACATCCTCAAGTCGAAGCTGTCCGAGTGGGACGCCTTCGTCGAACAGGAAATCGCGAACAATTGGCCCGAAGAAGCTGCCAGAACGTCTCCGCCGTCTTCTCCCAACAGATCTTCGTCGCGCTCTTCAGTTTCCTCAGGGTGAATAGAAAAAATTACAAAATTAGGGTTGAGAAAAGTTTTTGAACTAGAAACCTGTCTGGAATTTCGATGAGACTCCTGGAAGAGACGGGAAATCATGAGGGGTATTTTTTCGTGAATTCAGAACCGGTTTTCAGAGCTAGAAAATTAATGCAGAGTTTCAAGCCTACAAATAAGCTTATTGTTCGTATTGAACTTGCTTTTTTTAGTTACGAATGGAAAAATAAAAATCATACGTATCCTTTAAAAAAATTTCATTTTTTGTGACAATTCAATTCAATTTCAATTCAATTCAATTTATTCAATCTTCAGAGTAAGATGAAGAAAATCTCTGCTGAATCATGGTATAATCGAAGAGTTAGTCGTCGGCACGGGTTACGGTCCACAATCGCTGTCCAATGAGTCCCGGAGTGACAGCTAGAGTTGGGAAATAATGTGGGCCCGTTGGTAGTACCAACGAATAAACTGCTTCACCATGTTGGAACAGTACAGCGCCCAGCTTGTCCAGGGTCGACAGGCGTCGGAATATTATCCCATGAGAGAGCGGCAATGAGACCGACCAGTCGACGTGATGAAATGAGATAATAATTTGTGACAAAATGGCGAAATTTATCCCTCGTTTTTTGATTCTTTTTTCGATTTAACAAACTTAAAAACCAGCATATAGTGATCCTCTTCTCGTTCAAAAGTCCCGCTGTCCTTCAAAATCATATTCCAGTTTTTTTCTAAATAGATTTGCAACAATGTTTCGATAAGAATGTCTCCATTGGAATTTTCGACATCATTTTTTATGAATCTGAAAAATTAAAGAAGAAACTTCGTTAAACTTTTTCTAATTTCAGCTCGATTCTATCTGTTTCGCCAACGGCAAGCACGACGAAATCGCCTTCTCGACCGCCGAATACGGACGAGCCTAGCTGTTCTGGCAGTTCCAACGGGTCTTCATCTGGAGATCGGATCAACGGAGGCTGTGACCAGCCGTTGATGATCAACAACATCAACGAGTTCGGCTTGGAGGACGAAAAGTCGGAAACGAGCGAGAGCGAAGATGAACACGACGAGTTGATGGAAAGGAGGAGCGACGAGGGCGGAAGTACGAATTCTGCGAAGGAGAATGTCCCAGAAGGCGTCCTGGCGAATGGAAAAGCCGAAATTGTAGGATTTCGAAGAAGGATTTCTAGATCAAGATGTGAGATTTGTAGGAACAAGGCCAACCTCTACGGAAATTGGAGACGACTTCCTGTCAGTCGATGATTTCTTTGTGCTCCAGTGGACCGCTCGTTTTTGAACCTTCCGCGCATCCGGTTAATGGAGAACTTCGCAAAGAGGTTTGAACTGAGAAAATACGGATTTAGTTGTCAAATCTTCAGTGTAAAAAGAAATAATTAGGCATGAAAGAAGTTTTTTTCAAGATCTTGTTGAAAATAGCCGTTTTTTTTTTGGATATCCAAGATTCGAAGAATAGTTCATGTAAGGGTTTTTGAAGAGAATGTTCATTAGACCGAAAATTTTATTCCAAAGTGATGTGAATAATATTTCGTGCATTATTATATTGAAATACTACTTTTAATAAGATAACAAAAAAAATTAAAAAAAGACCCCACTTTATGAATGCAAAAAAGCAAATTTTTTGCTAAAACTTCAAAGTTTTTCAGGAATCACGAGTTCGGTTCGACTCCCTCCGTGAGCACGACTACATCAGGCCGACATTCGACGATGCCTTCAACTCTTCCGGTCCTATGCATTTCGACAGCAACCGAAGGAGTCGCGGCGGCGGTGCCAGAAGCCGTGGCAGAGGAAGAGGTCGAGGTCGAGGTCGTGGAGCACCCCTGATAGCTTCTGCTCCGAGAGGACGGGGCCGAGGAGGTCGAGCCCGTAAGATCACCCATGCAAACTCTCAGAAGATCCATTTTCCCTCAGGAGGAAGACGCGCGCGACTCTCCGTTTCTGTCGATCATCGTGCTCCGTCGCACTCTCCCATGAGTCCTGCCAGCGTGGTTTCGTCGAGGGAAACTGCGCTCGACGAGGTTTTCGACGCCGAACAGGCCGTGGCGACGAAAATCCTCGACAAGTGGCACGAAGACTTCACCCGCTCTTTCTTCCGGTCTGTCATTTCTCAATTTTTCGTGAATTGATTACTTGTTGGGTATTGGGAGTACTGCGCCTACAAAAGTCAGAGAAAGTTTAGGAAAATCTCAGTTCTCGAATGATTTTATTATCAATTAAAACTTTGATACTAAATTTTTCTTTGGGCCAACGTTCGTCCCGAGTGGAAATCTTGAACTCACTTCTCCAACCTGGAAGGTCCTGTAATTCCCTGAAAACTTGCTCAGGAACTCTTTGAATAACTTGAAGTACTTAACCTTCTCAAATCCCTTCTTTAATCTTATTGTAATAATATTTCTACACTGACCCCATTTATTCAGTGCAAGTAACTGTGTGTTCAAATTTTTTTCGTGAAATTCTAAGTTTAGTTATCTTTTTATACTCTCGAACGGCTATTTCGAGTTTCGCGGAATCGCTTTGAGCACGGCATAACTTGGCAAACAGATTTGAAATTAAAAGAAAAAGTATAGTTGACTCAGAGAATCAATTAAATATTTCTTAGAAGTCTCAGAATCTTGTTGGAACTTCCGTTCCCGCATTCATTATTCCGTTTATTTTAGGATGCGTGACGCGGTGTTTGAAGAGGACCCGGAAATGATGCGATACATTTTGGAAGTTTTGGAAAGAAGACGTCTCTGGCAGCCCTACGAAAGCCGTTTGTTTTCTTTTTCTTGCAGAGATTCTTAAGCAGCGCTCAAGTTCTAGTCAAAGAAACATCTAAAAACACAGGAAGAAAAGCAAACTTTGCAGGATTCTTCATTGCCGATGAACCAATCGCCGGAGAATTAAGATTCCTCGGAAAAAGAACATACAATCTTCCTTATGCCATCCAACGCGCTCTTACCAAATTCGGTCAGTTTTTGAAATTGCTAAGGTCGGAATGGTCTCAATAGCAGGGCGGTAGTGGATCACCTTTTCCAGGCATTTAACATTGGAAATCATAGAAATAAGGCCGAATGAAACGATTTGATTTGTAAATGGCTGAACTAACATTCAAAGATTTATGACGTCGCAGTTAGATATAAATTTGGTTTTAATTTGATGAGAACGAGGTTTATGTGGCTAAATTTTTATAGACTGGTCTTCTCTTTTTTTCATTGATTTTCAATTTGAAGGAAGCGCGCCTGATTGTCATATTCCGCTACAAACCTTGGTCCCATCATGTGCTGCAGTACGACTCGACAATTGCCATATTGTATACGACAAGGTAAGGAATATGAAATAAAATTTGAAATCTTAGAGTATGCGTTTGGTTAGTATCATAATTTTGTTGAATTTTCGAAAATATATTCCTATAATTTCATTTTTTTCAACCAAGTTGAAGGCTTTTTGAAGCGTCTTTTGATAAGTTATTCCAAAAACTGTTCTAGCGGAACCCTCTGATCCGGAATAAGTTCTACAACATGAAGTAGAACCTTAAGAACTTCTTTCTTCGAAATGAAAAATTCTCTGATCGCAACAGAGAACATTATTCGTAGATTTGCATACTTTTTCACAGTTTCCAAAGGAATTCAACATCCTTAGGACTCTGAGAATGTGATATATGACTCTCATAAAACTTCTCGAAAAGTGGTTACAGAACATGGAATCATAAGAATTATTCTGAAAGTTTGTTGCAATATGTAATTTTTACAGAGGCAAGGCGTTTTCCTGCTCTCCACCGTTGGCACCGCGAGAGTCTACGTCAACGACGTGCCGATCCGTCGGAAGGTCTACCAGAACAAGTACCGCGTGCTGCCGGCCGAGCCATTCTCGGAGCGCGTCGCGGCGCGAGCGGCCCAAGTCAGCTGCGTGTGCACTCGTCCGCGAATCCGCGCTGTCGTCGACGCGAAGGAGAAGTCGCGACGCCGTCTCGGCGTCGTTCAGTTGCACGACGGCGATCGTCTGGCCGTCGGATGTGCCACCTTCGAATTCCACACGTCGCTGAAGCATTCGCCGCGGCCGCGAGGTCTGGCTCATCATCTCTCTTCGTCTTCTTCCACTGGATCGGGGACTCTTTGATCATTTGTTGCTAGTCTTTTCATTTTCATCGTTAGTTCTTGTATGATTGTTTAGAGTTCCCTTTCTTCTGATTGGCTCGGTTTGGGATTGTCAAATATTGAAGCAGAGAAAAATACCAAAATTGGCTTGAAGGAACCTTTCTTCACAAGTACAACACTTGAGACTATTTAAAAAATCATTTTTGAGAGACTTAAAGCTGCTATTTTCCTGCCTAATTCCGTGCAAATGACTTCAGAAGAAAGGGGAACACCTTTTTTAGATCCTATATGAATATTTATAATCAGTTCGTTTAAGAGCTGGTCTCGTTATGTATTTTCGTTGAATTTTTCTTTTATTTCTTTATTTTTATTATTATTTGTTTTTGTTAGAAGTCTTATATCTGTTCACGGAAATCAGCCTTTTTTGTGGCTCTCTCTGAATCTCGTTTTTCATCTCAACGTGTACCCTCCTCTTCCCAGAAACATTTCTATATTCTTCTTCTATTTATTTATTTTCCTCCTATTTTCGCCTGTCTATCTCATTTTCCACTCGATTCCTGTGTTGTACTTCTTTGTCTTATAAGTGAAGGCCGGTCATTTTCAACCGGTTTTTTTCTGTTATTTCTTTTTTCTGGCACTGTTTCGTATTCTATTTTCGAACTAAGTGAGAAATTCATGAGGTTTTTTGTAATAACTACTAATTAACTTAAAGTTTTTTTTTTAAAGTTTGAAAATAATTCGCTTTTAAAATCCAATTTTGACTCTTTTCATTCTCGCTGCTATTCCACATTTCAAATGTACGAACTATTGCCGTTAAATATATTAATAACGATCTAATAAACTATTAAACATTGTCGGGATTACTGTTTAGCGGTGATTGGTAAAAGGTTCCAAGTTTTCTATCGAAGTGAAGAAAAAGTCGAAAAGAATGTCATGCATGACCTAGGAATTCCAGAGTGGCCCCTATAGGGGTTAGGGTGAAAACAGCCCCTATAGGGACGAAAAAGTATAGGAGTTTAAGGTTTTGACCTCGTAGCCCCTAAAGCTCAAGCGGTCCCTATAGAGGTTAGAGGATAGGGGTTGTTAAAGTGATCCGGGGGACCGCTCTAAAGTTCCTAAGAAAGAAAAACTCGATTCTTAAAGATTAGAGGCAAAACTCAAAAACAATTTTTTTTTAATCTGTTCAGATTTTGAATGTCAAGTACAATGACGTCATTCTAAAACGCTCTGTGAATGGCTGTCTCTGATTGGTTATCGCGCCCTTAGGGGCGGAGCTTGAGCGACGATTTGCCATTCAAAATCTGAGCAAACTTTGTCCGGTTTTCTCCTTATTTCTCCGAACTTTTACTAATAATGATATAAAAGTGATCGATTTTTGAAGAATTGGATGAACAGACAGCTTCTGCGAGCGCCATCTGAGCAATCGTTACTTGATAAAACGCTTTCGCCCCTCAAAAACGCCGTTTCCGAGGTTCGATTTGTTGGTATTTTTGATGACTACAAGACCAATAAACTGTAAATCAAGGTTGAAAAATAATTTTTAAAAAGCGAAAGTTTTATGAAAAAAATACTTTTAAAGAAAAAAAGTATGAACTTCAGTTCCGAATTTCAAAGATCAAAGAAAAAAATAATTATTTCTCAAAAAAAGGTAGAATATACATTCTCTTTAGAAAAAAATTTTAATAAACTTTTTTTAAAAAAAGAATCAAAAAAATTTCTTAGGAGCTTTTTTTACTTTGTTTTTTTAACATTACAAGACTTCTTCATTTTTTTAAAACCCTAGAAAGAATTCCAAACAATTTCGAATCCTAAATTCTGCTTTCAGAATGAAGAAGAGGAATACTTGGACATAACGCTGCCGCTTTTCCGCAAAGGGAGCATCACGCCTTCAAGATCCGCCGGGCCTTCGAAACAGACGACGCCGACGTCGCGAGTCCGACTCCCGCTCTCGCCGCTGCTCAACGAGTCGGCCCTCCAGGAGTCCTGCATCGACCTCTTCGCCTCGCCGCCGAAGCCTCGCAAGTCTCTCCGGAGCAATGACGACGACGTCGCTTTGACCCGCAAACGGAGTGTTCAGCAACGCTACGCCGGTCTGATCAACGAGTATTCGGGGATCACTCAGGACGTCTTCTGCACGACTTCCGCGAAGAAAGCTCCCCCAATTCGCCCTCAAGAAAGTGTAGAACTAGCCCTTAGAGGGTTTGAAGTCAAGAGCATTCCGTGTACGAGTCGATTGGATTCAACTCTCCCTCCAGTGCCGAGAAGTTATGTACAACAAGGACCTCGATTCGACTTACCTGGTCCTACTGCTCCACTGAAGGCTAGAAATTATGGAAAAGGTGCAGGAACTCATGAACCTATGAAACAATCTGACCAACTTGATCTGACGCTTTCTCCAGAACCAAGAAACTATCGGAAAGCTGAACCGGCTGAGGAAATCTCTTACCAAAAAGCCACAAGTCGTTTGTATTCGCCTGGACCTGCTCTTCTTCCGGAACCGACAAATCATCGGAAAGCCTTGCCGCAAGGACACTCTGCAAGAGGCTACAGCGATCACAGTCGACATATCTCGATGAATTATAGAAAAGCTGAACCTGTCAGGGAAATGCAGTACGAACATCCCACCAGTCGATATTCTTCTCTTGGCCCTACTTTTCCTCCGGAAACAAAAAATCGAAAAACTCGAGAATATTCCGCCAGAAATTCAGCTGTTTTTGATACCACCAATGACGCTTTCAGTCCTGCTCAACCACTTGAAACGAGGAATCAAAGAAAAGAAGAACTTTCTGGTAAGACTTCGATTTACTTCCAACGGCCAACTCGATATGATTCGACTCTTCCTCCAGAACCCAGAAACTATGGGAAAGCTGAATTTCCTCACCTTGATCCCTCACAAGAGCTGATCAATCCTGGCTATCGGGAGACCATGAAGATCCCTAGAGGCTCCAAAACTTCTCAAAAGGAAGGAGACGTTTTGGAAGTCCGACCTTCACGCCGCCAGAACGTCTCCACCGATCGTCAAACCCAGTCTCAGCCGGCCCTGATGCCTTCCATGTGTTCTGAAAGACCTCCGAAGAAGAAAAACTATGTGATTTTCGACAGCGACGACGATATCGTCTACAGCAAGCCCAAGGGTCTGAAACAGAAGAAAATGGACGCGTTTCTGGTGAAATCCAGAAGAGTCGACAAGGGAAATCGGCAGTTCGGCCTGGCCGACGTACGGATGCCGACGGCGAAGGGCCTTAAAAACAGGGTTTTTAAATTTTTAATGAGTTTTTTCAAAAAAAAAAACGTTTAAGGCGGTGCAAAGAAAGTCGCAGGAAGCTTTGACCTTGGAAAAGCGGAAAAAGTCGCCGTCAGCTATTAATTTAGAAAGGAAAAAGATGGTTGGTACTGTGGAACCTCAGGAAATCAAGAGAAATAAGGTATACTCGAAGCTTGAAAAAAATGTAATAATAATGATTATTTGAGATAGCGGAAAAAAAGATTTTCCGATAAAAGTTCCTGTTGAAACGACTTTTTCAGGTTTGAAATTCGCCTTTTTGCGAAAATAAATGAAAAATATAATAGTTTTAATATAGTTTTACTGTGGATTAGGCTCTCAGTTATTATCCGCCCAGGCACCCGAGATTTTACTCAAAACGCGTTTTGATCCCGATTTTTCCGCGCGTGGTTCCGAATTCGTACCGCGAGAGAGAATTTCTGGTACCTGAGAGACAATTTGTTTTAATAGGATTAGTTTGACGTTTCAGAATCTATTTAACCGTCCCGGAAAAATCATTCATCTATTTTTTTGAGTGAACAACAAATATTTGAAAAAAAAAAAATCAACATCGAAAGATAACTAATTAAACGGCCAAGTCCTGACTTGATTTTAGAATTCCGATCGAAAGAAGACGATTTTTGCCGCAGGAAAGACAAAAGAAGTCGTCACGTGTGGAAGAATTGGAGAAGGACCTCGAAGAAATCGAGGAAAACAAGAAAAACAAGGCTTTCCGGATCTTGATTCAAAATAATTATAATATAACGTTTTAGTTCGCGAGAAGAAAGTCGCGGGAAGATTTACCAGGGGAAATTCCTGTTGAATCGACTGTTAAGGTTCGGGGATTTCTAGGTCTTCCAGATGTTATTTTCATCATTTTTGGGTTTTTAAAGTTTTTCGTCTGTAGGAATAAAAGTTTTTTTGAATTTATCAAATTTCATTTAACGCATCAAAAATTTACTTTAAAAAACAACCAATTTTTTTCGATTTTTCTGTTATTTAAAAATGATTTCAAATTTTTTTAATAATTAGTAACCAATACTCGCATAATATTTTTTTGGATTTTTTTAACGCTTTCTCTGAAAAATAGAAATAGAAATGGAAAAATTGACTTTGATTTCTTCACTGGCTTCACTTAATTTATTATATTCCAGAAACCAGATCGGAAAAAGACGATTTTGTCGGAGGAAAAACAAAAAAAGACATTTCCAGCGATGGGTTTCGAGATGGAAAATGAACTTGGAGAAACTCAGCCTCTCTTCAATTCGGCTGAGAAAAAGTGGTCTAGGAGGAAAGTGAGTGATCATTTTGACAATATTTTGAAAAAAAATGGAGAGATCAAAAAAACATCCTCGTTCAAAGGAATTATTTTTTTGACTTTAAGGAAAAATTTCTGTAGAAAAAAACTGATTAACATTATTTTTTTCTTTAAAATGTGCAAATTTTTTTCGATTAATATTTTTTTATCGTTTCTTACGAGGTTATTTATAAAACTGACATCGTAAATTACAAATTTAATTAACTTTTGTCTTACAATCAAAATTTTCAAAATTGAAGATTATTTTATGAGGGAGTTGATGAGCAAAAATTTCGTTAATGAAAAAAAAACCTTCTCAAGTTTTAAATTACAGATCTCTGTTCACTCTAACGAACCAGCACAAAAACCGTCAACTTCCAGAAATCTTTCTATTTCGGGAGAGAGGGGAAGGAATAAAACTCAAGAAAAGGAGGTCTGTTGTAAGAATGAAAAACCAATTTTTGAATTTTTTGTGACTCTCTAAGTTTTGTGCATCTCAAAGACTTTTACCTTTTCAAATTCTTAATTTCTTAAAGCGATGAATTTTGTAATTTTCACCTAAGTTTACAGAAAAACGGGCTTTGAAGCGTTTATTCTTAAAATTGCGCAAAAATTATTTTTTTAAACCTTTTCTTCACAAAATTTCAAAGTTTTGCCCAGATTAACCGCCATCGCGTGCCATTTTTTATAATCGACCAAATATTGAACACCTATACCCATAACCGATCAAAAATCGTTGTTTACCCTAACTTTTCAATATAACTTCTCGGTTCACACGAGAACGGGTTCGGAATCTTTCTCACAAACTTGTTTTCTTTTGTTCTAAAGGGTTATTTTTACTGATTTCCCAAACTTTTCTCATAGTTTTCACATATTTTGGGTTAGTTCCCTGCCTTCAGACTTGCTATTTTTGTAATGTACAAACAAGTTAGTTTTGTGAACTTCTCATTAAGGATTAATTCAGAGGTCTTCATTTACCTCACTTTTCAACTGTTTGAAAAAAGTTTTGACTTTTTTTTCGGTTTTTCATTACAGGAAGTCTTTCTATTACGTTTTCCTATACTTTATTCCTCACTTCCTTGTCAAAAAGTTCTGAAGAATTTGTAAATTTTCAAAGATAGGTCCTGACACGAATAACAAGATAGTGTGCGAAAACAAGAAACCTTTCAATAAAATCAGTTGCATCAGAAAATACAACAAAAAAACCTTTTTTCACAACTTTCCTGTATCGTGGACATCATAGTTTTGTCATTTTAAAATCAAAAAACCATTTTTCCAGCAAGCTCAAAAGCCTGATTTCGCGGCATCTGCTCTACATAAAAATGTTGAAAACCCCAAGAAGGAGAGGGCTTCCACGACGGATCGAGAAAAGTACATGAAAGAGTTGTTGAGGAAGAGCGCCAAGGAGAGAGATGAAGATGCTGTGAAGGTAAAAACAATTCTTGTTTCATTTTATGCTTCTTCGTTTCCCCTATCTTCTTTCTCTGAATATTCTTTTCTTTAAAATGTTTTGTAAACTTGATATTTTGCCTCAATAATTTAGGGACACCATAGTGGTCCCTATAGGGGCACCCTTAGAGGTCCTTGAAGGATCCTCTCTTGATGCCGCTTTACTTACTTTTGTAGAGGCCATTTAGGCTTGCAAAAGGGGCCCTTATAAAGTTTTTTGTTACTGGCCTCCGTGAGCCCCTTTAGGGACCACCCATGTTTTACCTCTATTGCGGGTCCTTTTTCGTCCATTGCTGTCTCTTTTTTCGTTTCGAAGATTCTAAGTTGATTCGACCACAGATCTTTCTGATCGACGGTCCCAACCTTTTTTGAAATTCTGAGCTTGAATGAGCAATCTCGAAAAGGTCAGCAGACTGGAAATGGACTCGACCTAAAATTTAAACGGACTTCTTCTCTTTAAAACGGATTCCTCTAATTATTTGAAAGTTTCTGTGAAAAACACCTAATTTTTTAAATATCAACTCAAGCTAGCAGAGACTACAAGAATAAATCTTTCCAGAATGCGGCGCGGTCCAAGTTAAAACAAGGCGACGTCGTCAGAAATCGGAACGACCGTCGACTTCTAATGCACGGACAGGCGTGTCCCTGCTGCCAAGGATATTACGACGCCTTGGATCTCTCGCCCGATTCCAAGAAGAAGTACATCGACGAGGTAATCCAGGAAGAAGAAAAAAATCCTCTGAAGAAAAGCCGGATTAAAAACTTCAAAAGCGCGATTTGCAAACTCATTTTTGCTTCATGGCAGCAAAATTTCAGACTATCGATCAAAATTTTATACTTTCAGCTGAAAGGCTTTTTTTTTTGAAAGCTTCTATCGAGTAAAAAGAAGAGAAAGAACAACTTCCGGAAGAAAATTTCTATAATTAGAAAACGATTGTCTCTCGTCTTCTGGAACCGTGGGAAAACTCTGAAACCAGACTTTATGCATGGAAGGCACGCCTCAGACTTGATCGACAAGAAAGTGTGGCAGGAGTGTTTAGAAATAAATTTAAAAAACGGTTGCAGAAATGCCTGAAACTAGTGGGAAGGCTATGTACCAGAATACTGTTTTATTGTAATCATTGGCGAAATTTATGTCATTACTTTTTTTTTGTATGCACCTGCTCCGGATAACCTCAAATGTCCTTGATTATAGAAACCACCTGAGTTTTGCCCTTCTAAGAAGCACTAGAGAAGCGCTGTTTTTCCCAAACTCCTCAAGGGACCACTCTGGAATTCCTAAGACCGCTGAGTTTTAACGTATTATCAAACGTATACTGATCAGAATATTTGCGATTTTCGGTTATTTTCGAAACTGAGTTAGTCCGGGAGGAGAGGTCAAATTACAAAAATTTCGAAAAAAATAAAAACAAATAGAAGTTTTATTTTAACCTCTGTTTGGCCAGAATAAAATCGAGTTCCAACTTGGGGAGGTCTTACTGACTTTGATCTAACCACTAGACTAGGCAGTATGGATTGACGGCCTTCACCGTTCATTGAGAACTTTATGTAATCAATTTCGGTTGTTTTCTGAGTTTTTTTCCCCCATCTTTTCCATATTTGTAGGTGAGCCGACATCGCTACGTCTACCAGCCGCTGCCGGAGACGCCTCCACACTATTGGGACGTCGGGATTCCTTCCGAAGAAGAGCTTCAAAGACAGGGCTTGATCCAATACGCGACGCAGCCGCTTCGCGTCACCGAACCCGACTCTACGGCTGGGAAAGTCGCCAAATGGGATGTGTAAATATTTTCACCTTGTAGAGTTAATCCCCTAGACACTTTTGTTTTAAAGGTACAGTGATATTTGAAAGATTTCCGAAAGGATCCTTTTAAAGCTCCGTCCTGCTCTTTCAAAAACACCTCATTTTAGAATTCAATCAACTAAAATTTCATTCATTTACTTCTTCCACTTTTTTGGGTGAGACTTTTCGCATAATCTTCTCATTTATCGATCTCTTTATGCATTTTAATTTACGAGAAGCTTTCCACTCGACCTGTACAAAACTTTAATTTATTCATTGCCTTTTTGATCCTTCTGGTATTTTTTTCACACGTGTATTTTATTATTGACTTTATTTATTTGACTTTATGTCGAATTAAATTACTCACCTTTTTTTCAATATGTTTTGTTTGTTTCAATCGGTTCTTAATAAGGCCGTGGTGAATATCTTCTTTTTCGGTTTTTTTCGAACTTGCCATTGGATGGATAATATTTCGAAATCTTCAGATCCTTTGTGTATCAACGGCTCGATTATCGATTGGAAAAACTGAAAAGGTAAGCGTTATGTCAAAAGTTCAAGTCCGTTAACTGTTGATTTCTTTCATTCTGATGTTACAATTTTTTTTCTAAAAAAATTTTTTCCAAATTCTGCTATTTTATGGCTGACATCAAACGGATGTAGGATGTTCGAAAATTCTCACTAGGTTTAAAAGAAGCGTTGAAAATTCTAGTTTAGGTCCTGACACGAAAAGCCGTTTTCAGTGCTTCTTCGCCTCGTCTTTTAAAAAGCTCAGGTTGGGTGATCAAATTGAAAAATTTTAAACTAATTATTGAATCAATATTCTCGATGTTTAAAAAAATCACAGTTTTTTTAAAAAGATAATCCTGCATTTATCTTCTTCAGCAAAGTTCTAAGGATTTCCTTTTTTAAATAAGTGTCGCTTTTTATTATTTCCAATGATCTGAAACCGTTCCATTCCTCTTGTTGAAAGCAGCGAAAATTTTTGCGAAAAGCCTGCGCAAATACTTTTCCGAAAGTTCCATTGTGTTCCAGCTGTTCAAAGATTATGATCCCATTCTTTGTAAGCCTAATTCACTTCTATCATCAAACTTTTCCCATCGTTGCCATGGATTTCCCAGTTTTCCTGGCTGAGCTTGTCAAAAACTTTTTCCTTTTTTTTCCCAAGAGATATCAGAGATATCTCTTGGGAAATCTTATCTAGAGAATTATTATAGATATGAAAATTATTCGCTTTTCTAATCTGAATAGAAATCCTTTATGAAGAGGAAACGTCTTGCATGACATAACGTAACCTAGAAATTGGCTTTTCTTCTGAATATTTGTTTTCGAAGTTCCTTGTGCTCCTTCAAGCACTTACACGGAAAAAGTCCAAACAGCCTCGAAAAAACCTTTAAAAAAAGTCTAAAGCTCCTTTGAACGTATCAAAAAGGCTTTAAATGTGTCAAAAGTTTCCCTAAATCTCCTTTTTTTTTTTTCTAACAACGTCCTTTTCAGAAAAAAGGAGCTTGTCAGGCCTTTTTTCCAAAAGCTTTTTTTCGGTCCTTTTGGACTCTGCCCGTGTCAACAAGATTTTCATACAGACTAGGGAATTTATGAAATTTTAGAATGAAACACGTGTCTCGCCTTTGAAGTTACACCTTTCCCCAAATGATTATATTTCGTTTTGCACGCCTGTTCCCGGTCTAAAAATCACCTGAAACGTTGCTTTATTGTTTTCAGAACCGCGGAATTCAAAAATTCCCCGTTTAATGAGATGAATCATTTTTTCATAGATAATGTCGGTTGCTCGAAAGAAAGGAGAAGATTTTTCTCCTCTTTATTGGCCTCGATTACTTTGGAATCGTTCCTTCCCAACTGGCTATGATTTTGTTCATTTGAAGAGAATGATACTAATTTTTCTGCAGTGGTAGAACGGAGACATTTTTTTCATGGCTCTGTTAGACCTTCTGTTTCCTTTTATTCCATAGGAATTTTCTATTTTTCGTTGACGCTGCTTCAAATATCTCCAGAAAGAATTGATATCAACTTTTAAAACCCATAAAAAGTAAAGTTGCTGAAAAATTATTTTGGGAAAGTTCATTTGTTCAAAGCTTTTTTTTCTTTGAGAAAGAAGTTCTTATGACGGTTTCATTGGAGGAACGAAAAACGTCATGAAAAGGAATTTGTACCCATCGAGCCATTTTGAAACAATACATTTTTCTCTCTTTTTCGTTGCTTTCTCACAATGAACGCGTCATAAAGGTTTATGATACAGGTAAAGCAAAGAAACACTTTTCTATAAATTTTGATCAAAAAATTGTGCATTTCTCTGGCGCGGAGTTTTATTTTTCGCGAGAAACATGAATTTTCTCTTGTTTTGTCTGAAAAGTCTTGAACTTCATCTATGCAGCTGCTTCTAGATATAATCTTATTCCAAAACCAACTTTTTGAAGGTCAAATCAACAGAAAAAGAAGGTCATTCTGAGCTCGTGGCTCTGGAAATAGCAAAAATATCGCTTTTCAACTGCGTCATATCGGATTTATGCAACACAATGAGAAAAAAAAACTACTCTAGAGTTAGTAATTCCAGTTAGTTTTGCCTGGTCGCCATGCCGACGCCAATTGCTTGTCTTTTTTGACTTTTCCCTCATATAATTCATTCTTCTCCGAGCTTTAGCCGTTCTCAGGTGCTCAGTCTACCTTTTATCAGTGAATTTCATAGGAATAGAGTTGTTTTTTTCGAATTTTTTCAAGTTTTTTTTTCAAAATTCAAGAGGCGCTTTGATCTTTTAATAGTAAAGTTTACGTAAGATACTTGCGAAATAATTGATGAGTGCGCCTTTAAAAAATCAAGAAAGTTGATTTGGATGAACTACAACTATTTTAATTAACCATTTTCATCTTGTTTCAAAAATTAAAAAAGTCACATTTCGAAGATGTAATATTTTTTAGAAAAAGTATTACTTGAACTCAGCTTTAACTGTAAATTTGAACGCTAGACGTCAAAGTGTGACTTTTCTTGCATGTTCGACTTTTTTTTCTGCATTGAAATCTGGTAATTTGACACTATTCAAGCTTTTCCTTCTCTCCCTCACCGCATTTGTACTTTTGAGGAAAAAAAAGTTTTTTTTACTCACTAAAACCAAAGGAACTGCTCAACTAAAAACCACAGAGCGGTAAAAATTTTGATGAAAAACCTGAAAATTTGTTTTGAAAATGAGTTGGTACAGATAAACTTTGTTTTTGAAACTCAGAAGTTGATATTTTCTTTGAACCGTTTCAATTTATAAGGCTTCAATTATCATAGAAAAAAACTTGCGTTTTGAAACCGCCAATCTAGACAATTTTCTGAATCTCCTTGATGGGAAAATTAATGGAAATGAAATCGGTCGTTTTTTTATTTTCTATGTTGTTTGGTTTTTGGACGAAAATTTTTGAAAAAAATATAAACAGTTCGATGGGAAACATTTCAAAAGCAAGTAAATCAAAAAAAAAAAACCTTACCCATGAACCTAAAACTACTTTTCTTACATGCAACGAAAATAATGAAATTTCGTGACGCAAATATTTTTTTTGTTGCTTTCTCCCCCACAGTCGTGTAATATAGAGAAGAGATAGTTCGATTAGTTCAAGGAAATGGCGCGGCGCAGGTGTTTCCGATGAATTTTTCAACAATTCCATGAACGGCTAGGGCTTGAATTCATACGGGAGATAGGCGCCGGACAAGCTTTTTTTCCAATTTTTCACTTCTCCAAAGTTCAATTTTCATTTCCTAGTTCAGGGACATTAGTTAAGCCATGACAAGAATAGAAAAATGAGAATTACTTGACATAGAAGGAACAAACTCCAATACGTTCAGACCCTATCAAAATGAATTGAGAAACCTGAGGCTGTATGCTTGAACGTTTACGCAGCTTAAATGAGTTTAGGGCAGGTAAACTTGAATATTTTCATGAACGTGAGATTTTTGTAGGCTAGAAGTGTTGAATAAAGCAAGGAGTAGACATAATTTCTTCTTGAAGCTAATTTACGCTGCGTAAAAGACAAAATCTGAATTCAAAAACAACGGAAAAACTTATTTTAAAATTAAGAAGGTTATACTTAAAGGCTGCGATTGTTAGACCCATTATTAAATGGGATTTCGGCTTCCGGAATGCATTTTTGGTTCCATTGTTGGCCTGGCGGCGTGTGGCGCTGGAGCAACCTTGTTGTGGGTCGATACATCGGCTGCAGCTTCTTCTCTCCCTTTTCCGAATATGTCGCGCCTCTCGCGTTTCGTCATTCTCCTCATCTCGCGGTCCTTCCCAGACCTCACTTTCGACCTCATATCTCTCCACTTTTTTTTTTTTGAATGTTCATTTTTTTTTTCTTTTTAGCGCCCCTAAAAGGTCTTCCTGCAATGTTTTCTCGATAGTACTGGAAAATTAGACATTCTTCTTCAGTGACCTTTTTACATGTCTTCAAGCTCAGTCAAACTTTTTTCAAGTACACTATAGTCATAGAGAAAACAAAAAAGCTTCAGCTGATATCTTATGGCTCAAGTTTCATTTTCCAGCTTGTTTCGGAGACATATTTTTGAATTTTCTCTCGTATTTCAACGCTCTTTTACTTTAAAAAAAGGCTTTTTTTTTTTTGAAATCAAATCAATCAATCAAAATCAAATCGATTCAGTTTTTATCACATCTCAGCTCTGTTAAAGGAATTATCTTCTAGAGTCTTTGATTTTGAACTAATTTTTTCAGATTTCTGGGAAAGAGCTTCACTAATCATGACTCATTTTTCAAAAAAAGCTGGAAAACTGCCCTATCAAGCATTTCATTTGCTCACATCTTTCCGTTTGTGTCCGAGAAGGTTTCAAAATCTTTCCGACTTTGCAGAAATGAAGGCCGAACAGCAACAGGCGCAAGGAATCGCCACGGCGGTAGTTCAGTCGTCGCAACTCCCTCCAGCCGCTTCGAACGGCCCGACGCCAGGATCGACCTCCGAGGCCGACTTGGCCGAGAAGCCGTTCATCTGCCCTGAAGACGTTCTTCGTCTAGCTGGAATAACTCAAGGTTCAGCTATAGTACATTCACCTATATCTCAAGGAATTCTGAAATTTCTCTGGTGAATCAAGTTTTTTTCTTCGATCATATTTCGTGCTTTTTTGCTTTTAATTTCAGTCTTTTGGATCTTCAAACTTTGCTTTCTTGAACCAGTCTTTGAACGAAGTCGAGAAAAGCAAAAAAAAGCGCGAATTCGAATATAAAATTTTGCCGGAATTGTCCGTGGAGCGCAGACGAGAGTGAAATTTCGCTACATCTATAAAAAATTCGATAATGCAAACGTTTCTGAGTATTTCTAGTGACAACTTTTTATAGATTTTTTTAAAAATCACGTTTTTGTAGTACCACTGTCCTGTTTCGATATATTCTATGAACTACCTTTTGTTCAGACTACCTCTGCAAACCAAGCGCCAACATATACGACATCGAGTTCACGCGATTCAAGATCCGCGATCTGGACACGGAGCAAGTTCTCTTCGAAATAGAGAAGCCAGGTAAGGAACTTGGGTTCATTTCTCGTTTTTACTCTCTCAAGTTTCATCAAAACTAAGTAGATACTTGAATCAGTTGGAAAGATCTTTCGAAGGTTTGTTTTTCGGAAAGTTCGGTCAGCGATTGAAAAAGAGCAAAAGTTTTATGTGTTAAAACTCTGAATCTAGGTTTGCTTCAAAATAAAAAAAAGTTTTTGAAGTTTCAAGTATAATTTTTTCACAAATATACTATAATTTTAGGTTCTAACTTATCTTTTACAGTTGATTATTTTTTCGAGGGTTACTCTGACTCATTGGAATCTGAACATTTTCCAGAAGGACAGGAGGCGCCCCGAGAGCCGAGCGAGGCCTCGCGATATGTTCGCTACCGTTTCTCGCAAGACTTCCTACGGCTCAAACACGTCGGGGCGACTGTCGAATTCGCTGTCGGACAGCGGCCTGTCAACAAGTTCCGCATGATCGAACGACACTTCTTCAAGGTAAGTCTTAGAATAAATAACCGTTTCTGGAACTTACGTAGGCAAGTATAAAGTTTATTCAGCCCTGGAAAAAAATTTCTTTTTTGAAAATGTTCGAGAATAAGGTGGTTTCTTTTAGCGAAAAAAAACCTTATTTTTTTCTCATGAAAGTCATCTTTTCATCGTCAGGGAGTTTTTGTTGACTTTTTTTAAGAAATGGTTGGGAAAAAGATTGTTCAAATAAAAAAAGTTGTCTTGATAAAAAAATGACAAAGTTTCTATACAGCTTGAGAGAATTCGTCTTGTTAATAAGCTTAGAAACAACATTTCTTTTATATAACCGATGAAAAAAAGTTAGATTCATTCAGCCAGGAAAAAAAGTCCAAAAATCCTTGGAAAAATTTCTCTCCCTATCCTTTTTTTAAAAATAAATTTTTTTGCTGTCATTTACACGGTGGTCCCACTTCTTCGCCTAGAAGCCAAAAGCATGTCCCAATTTTTAATCAACGGCTTCTTCATAATTTTCATCTTCACGGGTTTCAGGACCGACTATTGAAAAGTTTCGACTTTGAGTTTGGCTTCTGCATCCCCAATTCGCGCAACTCTTGCGAGCACATCTACGAGTTCCCGCAGCTCACCGAATCATTGAGTTGGTTTTTCAAAAGAAAAAATAATTTGAGTCCGAAAATAAAAAACTTGAACCAAGATGTAGTCTCACAGTATTAAGCCTGAATCTCATGTTGCGCAACTTTGAAAATACCTTTAAAACTCAAAGTTTGCACAGATAGCGATTATATGTTGATTAGAAGATTTCTTGAGCAAATTCAGAGAAAATCCAAGTAGTCTAGATAAAAAGGACTATGTAAGTAGAATTTAATACAAAAAATCAACAACTTGGCATTTGCAGTAGAAGAAATGGTGGCCAATCCGTATGAAACCCGTTCCGACAGCTTCTATTTCGTCGACGAGAAACTGATAATGCACAACAAAGCCGACTACGCCTACGATGGATAATCTTCTTTTTTTAATGTTTCGCCCTCCTTGCATCACAAAAACAAATAACCCGCATAACTACATAATTCTGAAATATCTAATTCATTGTGATATAAGCTTCGGAAAAACGAATTTTTTTTGATTCCATATCCTTTTTAGGGTCTATTGCCTAGCAATCATTTTCCCAATCGTGTGCTTCGTGTATTTTTGAACAAATTTTTCTTTTTTTGAAACATTCCAACTGACTTGTAATTGGTACTCATTTTTCACATGTTGTTATACAGTAATTGACATAAATTTTAAAGAATAATGATAAAACATTTTCTGCTGGAAGCGGAGACCACTTCACAAAAAGAAACAATTCAAAAACTCTAATATATGCGCAGAAAAAAAAAAGTAAAAAACAAAACAAAACAATAAAAAAGTTACAGAAGTGTCGTGAACCACTGCGTTTCTGGTGCATTCACAAGGCGCCCAGTCCTTTGGAATTGCCGGCTTTTTTCAATTTTCAATTCATCTCAATGAATCAGTGTTTCTAATTCAAGCTTAATATTTATTACTTGTTTTTTTCAAAGTGATAGAATAAAAACACTGCAAACCGAAATCATTCGATTCACTATGTCCGAAATTGGAAAATAAAAATTAAGGAAATTTGTCCGTGGCGCTTCCTTGCTTCGATACAGTACTCAACATTGATGCTCAACGATTTTTAAGATGTTTTAGAGTTTTTCGTTTATTGTGTCAATTTAATCCTGCTAGTTGATTAATTTTGGGAAGAAAAATATTCAGCTATCCTCTCTTTGGATTTTGAATTTTACTCAAAAACGAGTAGTTTCTCTGTATTTTTTGTTTTTGGCGTCGTTTCTCTCATGAAACTCTCATGAAACCTATTGTACTATTCGAGCTTTTTTTCGAATTTTTATTCCTCAATCTCCAGTAGCTAGAAAATAAATTAAGTTTTTTAACCCTAATAGTGAGAATCAATTTTCATAATTTTTAAACTTTTTAATTCTTAAACTCTCCAAGATCTCAAAAATCGTTTTTCTTGGACTTCTAATGATGTCATTGTGAAATTGCGTGTTCAAAGTGTATTTCATGGTCTTATAAAAACAAAAAGAGTGTTTTGAAAACTTCATTTGCAATACAAATTTCTTGGATCTTTTTTCTTGTTTCGTTTTATTGAAATAAGACTTGCTTTCAAGGTTCCCTGTTATGATGCCTCGCATGGGTCCCAGGGTGTGTTTCCGGTACTTTACTCAGAGCTTCTCGATCAAAACTCGTTTCACTCGGGAAGGCATAAGATTCCGTCTCAAGACACAGAAAAGTTTGTTTTTTGTTCAGCTATCTAATTGATTGACTCGTATATAAAAATTTCCAGAAATCAGTCTTAAAGTTTGATGAACTCTCGTGAAAAAGGCATTCCTTTTTTGTTAAAAGAATGAGTTTTTTTCTTTAGAAAACGATCAGAACGTGCGCTATAACGTGAATTCGTGGATCGATCAAAATGATCATATCAAGATCCGACCTGTCAGTGATCTTCTGAAATGCTTCGGGTTTACTTTTTTGGTTAGTAAATTATTTTTAGTTCGAGAAAAAAAAAATTGATTTTTAGACAGCTACTGTTGCGTTCAACTTGGCTATTTATGTCGATTGGGAAAAGACGAAAAAGGCGACGCGTAACTATATCAGCGGTTTGAGGTAGAAACCTTTGCAAGACTGGAGCTATTCGGTATTTTTGAATGCTTAGAAGGTCGCCCCAAGGAGAATCTTTGTGGGACAGAGTGACTCCAGCGAGCAAAGCCGCGTTCACCTTGATCGGATGTTAGTCGAAACGTTCGCATTTTAGCCTTGTATTTTCTTCAGTAAATTGTGCCGTTTTTCTCCTCTGGAAGGTCCGCAGCTGGCATCCGTTCATGTGGCGCTACTTTACCAACAGCTTTTCGTCCAGTTAGTTGGACTTTTAATTAGAAAATTATTTAAGACAAGTCGTTTGTTTTATTTTATATTTGCATTTGTGCAAACGAAAAAAAAGTGGACAATTAAAAACGATTGAAAAATGGAAAAAGATATCGCGCAGCCGTTTCGAGTCTCAAAAATGGAAGGCGTAGGGAACTTCAAAGAAAATTGAGATAATGTTGAAAAAATTAGAAGAGGTGAAATTTTAGGCGTGTTTTTGGCGTGTGTCTCACAAGGAAGTTTATTTCACTCGATTCTTTTAAAAATTTCGAATTATCTTCAATGTTTTTTTGGGAAGATTGATAAAGTCTTAACTGGCCAACCTTCAAAAAAAGACGCTTCTTGAAACTAATATTGACTTTTTTCTTGAAAAAGAGGGAGATAGGCAAGTTAAGAAATTTAATATCATCATCATAATTTTTCAGTGTATTTTCGAGTTGAAAACTTTTTTCGTGAGTTATGAAATTTTGAAATGAAAATAAAGTTCTAACTTTATGCAAAACTTGAAGAATCCCTGTGTCTTCCGATGCTGACGAGCGTTTTTTCGCACTCATCGGCGGTTCATCTCGCTTTCAACATGTACGCCACCTACTCGTTTTTCGACCTGCTCATTCAACATCTGCTCGGTGTTGAACAGGTGATCATCGTCTGCCTGAAACTATTATCAAAGCTTTCTGTTCAGTTCTGGGCGTTTTATCTCACCGCGGGGGTCGTCTCGTCTCTGGCGAGTCTTTCTCAGAAAGCTGTCACGCGGAATCCTGTCAGAGCACTCGGAGCCGTGCGTTTTTATATCAAAATGTCGATTAAAAAAATTCATTATTGTTAGAAGTTTCTAAGTAATAAAAAATTTTTTTTTGAAGTTTGTTTATCAATAACATGCTTAAAATGGTCATTTGAAAAAATAAATCAAATTTTTTTGCTCCGGAGCTCAAATTCAACCAATAAAATCTTGGGAATTTTTTTATCTTGTCTTCGCATATTTTCTGAATTCACTTAAAATACGCTCTAGCACCTAATTTTGATTCCCAGACCAAGAAATTTTGAAATCTTAAAAAAAGTTTGTAAAAAAAGTTTTTTTACGTGTAATTAAAAATTTTATTGTGATTTTTTTACGGGAAAAACTACCAGAAAAAAAGAAGTTTCGTGCATCAAGATGTGAAATTAAAACTGTTTTTTTGGATTTTCAGTTGATACATATTCAAGCATTTTATTTGAGAGAAATATTCAATTTTTTTAAGCTCTATTGAAACTAATTAAAGGCGATTTTTTTCACAGTCTTATGAAAACTTGTGACGTCTACCCGGAAGATTAAAAAAAGGTTATTTTTTCTCGTTTTTCAAACTATCGTCTTCAGAGCGGCGCGATCCTCGCCATGGTTTCGTATTTCTGTATGAGATACCCTAATTCGGAACTCAGCCTTCTTTTGGTGCCGGGACTCAAATTTTCAGCTGAATCGGCGCTGTGGGCCATTCTGCTCTTTGATACCGCTGGCCTCATTTTTAGGTTAGAATTGGGATTTTTCAAAGTTTTATAGTTTCATTTCAGATTCCGCGTCTTCGACCACGCTGCCCATCTCGGCGGAGCCCTTTTCGGAGTGTCAGTTTCCGAGAAAAAATAATCAGAAGTTATTATTTTTCTTCAGGTTCTACGCTTTGTACGGCGAAGAATTTATCTGGAAGATGTACGGCGATATTTTGAGGAAAAATATCTAGAAAAGATAATTTCTTCCCGCGTTGTTCTTTTTTGTCTTTCATCCTCAGTTTTTATCAGTTTTATTTCTTCATGACCATCCTCTAATGGTACATCTCTATTGCGCTTCTCGAATCCATTTATTGCTGTAATTTCTTTTTTTTTTTCGTTTCCCTGTCATTTTTGGAATGATCCGCAATATATTTTCTGTTTTCGGCTGTTGATTTACTCCTTTTCCTCCATTCAGGGACGCATGGCGTGTTTTTAGATTTTATTTTCCACACAGGTCTTTAATTTCTTCTTCTCCTTCTGTTTTCGCTTATGAAATAAAGCATGTGCATTTTTGGGAAGGATTGTGATTGAATGCCAAAAAAAAGCAGCAGCAAGTTTTTTTTTTGTGACAATACATTTATTTTTGTGGTTCAAGCAATATTTTTATTTTTTCTTGGACTCGAAGTTCAAAAAACAGATATTGTGAATTTTTTGGTATTTTTTCAAAGTCTGAAGGGATTTTTGAACAGTTTACCCAAGTTGAGCTCAAAATTCATTCTAAAAAGAAATGAAGAAAATATATCACAAATAAAATGAAATTCGGGAATTTTCCACAAAAGCTGACTTTTCCCTTTTTTCAACCAACCAATGTTATATTCAAATAGTCAACTGAGCATCAGCTTTTTAAAAAATTTCAAAATTATTTCCTTCTGAACGATTTATTCTAACGGTTTTCGAAGTATTGAAGCAAAAAAACATTCTGGCCCTGTAATATTTTCTTTTTTGGAGGCGAGTAGATTGAAATCCTCTGGAAGGATATTTTTCACCTTTTAAAAGAGCATGGTCAAGATTAATGAACATTTCGCCGCGAAGAATCATTTTCAGTGTTTTCTGCCCCTTTTAACAACACAAAGAGCTTTTTTGAAACGACTTTGAAACTGAACTGCGCTTTAAGGACGAGAAATGTTTATTGGAACTAACTTGCAGTATTGTAAGCTCTAAGTGAGACACTGAGAATAGCAAACATTAATTCATTCCCAATTAGTATACCTATCGTTTTGCGTACCAATAATTATGGTGAGAAGAAATTTAGCAGCTTGGACCTTGTTGAACTGTCAGATTGGTTGATGGATTGTTGGTCGACTTGTGACAGAGGCCAAATGATCGTGGCCCAAACAATTGACACTTGGGACCGGCCGGCGCCTCGTGCCAATTCGCACTTTTCGAAGCTTGTTTGTGTGGCATTGTGTTCGGCGCGTGCCAAATTAGGGCGGGCTTTGTTTGGCGCTTGGGCCAACGTCCCGACTCCCATTCATTCGGCTACCGATTGGGCCCAGCGCTCGGTCGTTTTTTCTTCTCATATATCCTTTTTTCAGTTTGATTTCATGACCTTTTTGTTATTTTCCGTTTGATATAATGACCAGCTTCTTTCAAATCGAACTGTTTTCGTGTATCATTTTATATTACCTGTTTATATAGTAATGGAAAAAAAAATTTCCCTAGTTTTTTTTTAAATTTTCTGCACGATAAAAACTTTGATTGAGTTAAAGTTAGGTTTCCCAGATTTAGCTTCAAACTTTCTTTGTAATTCTTCTTCTTCTTCAAAAAAAGAACTCTGTACTCTGCCTTTCCATCTCATAGCTTGGACCTTGTTGAACTGTCAGATTGGTTGATGATATCGCAAAAGTTTTTTTTTCCATTTCAACTCTTTCTCCCACAAAATTTTAACACCTACTTACTGCTTCATACAATTTACGGATAGAAAGGGTTCTCATTTAATTGATTTTTCTTGTTCAAAAACTAGGCTCCGATTATAATTGTTGAGCGAACAGGAGTTTCATCCGTAATTTTATTATCGTCATGAGCGAAATGATAAATTTCTTACTGTATATAAAAAAATTTCTATATTAGAAAAAGCTTTTAGGAAATTTTCATTTTGTTGCGAGGGTTTTTACAGCATCAATTGTATCAACTTTTCCACGAAACCTTTTTGCGCTTTTTAAACCTTTTAGAAAAACCGATCACCCCATCATTCTTCTAAAAACATGAACGCTTTTTACTTTGTTTTATGATCAGAAGTTGCGAAACTATCTTCTAAAAACGTTCTTCTCACAAAAGCTTTTGGAAATTTTTTTCTGATATTTTTTTCGCCTTTTTTTGATAGTTTAAAAAAATGGTAAAACAATTGAAAAAGAGAAAAAATTTGGCTTTATGAGACTGTAGACTTGAGAAATCACGGTAGTTAGAACAATTTGAATTCAAAAACACGGAAATCTTTTCATAAAAACACAATTTTTGGGGAGTAGAAGGCTAAAATATTTAGGAGTTCCCCGTTTCGAAACCCATTCAAGACTGTACATTGTACATTTATTTCTTGAATTCAAAAAGGTCCTCAAAAATGTGCGAGCGCTTGGGCCAATTTACGATAAGATAGTGCGATTGAGGCGACAAAAGATTCCCTTTTCATGGCACCGCCTCCTTGCCAATGGCCAACGTCCCAATTTTCGGTTCTTTTTTGTTCAGTTTACTCGTGGGCTGATACTAGTAGGTCGGTCTCGAGATTAGATACTTCTATATTTTCTTCTTCTTTTTTTTCGTTTTTATCGCGTTTCCTACCTTCTTTTCACTCCAAGACTTGGATAAATCATATTCTCTAGAATGGCCGCTACCTTCTGTTGGTTCGCCTTGGTCTCCGTTCTCGTAACTGCTGTCCAAGCCGACGTTTGGGTCAAACTTACTGTCGTTAAGGTTCGTCGGCAGAGACTTTATGTAGTTCATTCACCGCTGTCTTGGACTACCAAGCTATGATTTCAGAGAACTTTATATTTTCGTGTCAAGACCAGCTTGTTGTTGATCAACAGATCTTTTAGTCAAGAGGTCTATGAAATAATTATACTCCATTACTAGAGAGACGGCAAAATCTCTTGTTTCTTCACAATTTTCCCTAGATTTTGATTATTTTTCAAGCAATTGGTGAATGAACTATCATGAGATTTTGGTCTTATTTTCGTTAAAAAATAGCATGAAATTTCAGTTTGAACGAAAACCCTGCACCCGGGACATGCAAATGCCCGAATGCGTCGCTGCCATGAACCACATGACGGTTTTTTGTGAAAATGTTTAATTTAATAAAATTTTGAAATTTCAGTTAGAGCAACAAATGCTTCCATCGCACGCCAGGAGAATCACTACGCTTGATATTGTTAATGTAAGTTTTGGGGTCCGAAAAAAAAGATTTTAAAGAGTTTTCTGATTTTTTGCCAATTTTTGTAGGAACTGAAAAGATTTGAAAGATTGGTAGGTTTTCAAAAAGTCTATTTGAGATAAACATTGAAGTTTTGTTACAAGGATCAAGAATCTTGGGAAAAAAAGTTGAAAAAATTTTAATTTTTTGAAAATTTCCACAAAAGGACCGATGTTTGAATTTTTAAAACTGATTTTCGAAATTTGCTCCGGAAATGGAGAACTTTCACAGTCCCTCACAAGGGGCGGCAAAATTCGTTTAAAAATCCGACAATGAGTTTCAAAATGACCTCAAAACGGTTTCAGGGAGAGTCCTCCTCGATCTGGACTCACTTTGTGGAGGGCCGAATCGCCGACTGGGCCGTTTCCCTCCAATTTCTCGGCATCGACCCGGTTTACGGTATCCTGCGTACCTGTGACACTTCTGCCTTTGTCCGCGTTTTCCACGATGCTCCCGTTCGTTTTTTCTCCTTCTCAGGGCGAAAAATTCCATTTCACTTAATAAATCATTGATCTTTCTTTGTGAAAAAACAAAGTCCATACCATTTTACGACGATTTTTGATTTTTATTATTTTCCTGGTGAAAATGGTTTTCGAGAACGTTTTTCAGATTTAGATTATCTTTTGCTTTATATTTATTTCGAAAAAAATGAAATGTTTTCCTTATATTCCGGTACAATTTTTTCATGTTCAGAAGGCTTCATCGGATGGAAACGCAGTGATTGGAGAGCTGAACGATGAGGTCGACGGCCAGAATCAGGAGAAGACGATCAGAATCGAAGGACATTGTTTCGTGGCGACGATCCAAGTGCAGGCCCAACGGGACATTTGTCCCTGGTGCGTCGACAACGTCTCCACGGTGGGTTTCCATGAGAAAGTATCCGGACCTCGGTAACACGAACCGGATTCTGAGCATGTCTAAGGACCACTTCAGCGGCGTCAGTCCTCTTAAATGATCCCTTGAACCTCTCCAATACTCTTTGGAGCACATTTTAACTGAACAAAACAGCCAGCTAGCCTTTTTTTGCGACATAAATGTTTTACTTTTTCTAGAGCACTTATCGAACCAAATATTACAGGCTCTGAAAATTTAAAAACTTTATTAGCCCGAAAAGTTTTAATTTGAACAGTTTGTTTTTTCGCGATTAAATCTCTCGAGAGAAAAAGTAGAGTTTTCAGTTAAAGAAAAAAAAAAACAAAATCCGACTTATAATTGATTTTCTCAATTTTTGATGTTCACAGTTATCAATTTCGTCAATTTCTAATCGATATAGCACAAGCATCGCCTATTCATTATCTTTTTGTTAATATGAGCTTCGTCAAAGCCGTAATCTTATTTTTCCAACTTCATTTTTCAACTGTCATCGAAATGACTTTTCTTCTCTTGCAGACCCCGTCGGCTGTCGTCTCGACTCTGAACCCAGTCGAAGAGAGGAACGCGATGTTCAGTTTGATCACGATGCTGGTGTTGCTCACGATCGGCGTCGTTTCTTCGTGTTCCTCCATCGTTCTGGCTATCCTGTTGTGCAGGTTGGATTATTTACTGGAATATCCGAAAAATGAACATTTTCACAGAAAACCAACTGTCATCTCTGTGTACGACTCTCCATTGGCTGGATCCAACCTTCGACGTGTTCAGTTAGTTTTTTCAATGATTTTTCGACGGAAACAAGTTTCTAACTATCTTGTTATATATTTCCTTGCCTTGTTTCGACAGCTCATGTAGAACTTATTTCTTTGATAGATTGAATTTCAATTCGAGAATTCTGTTTCCAACCAATCATTTTTCAGACTCATGTCTGTCACCTCAAAATCGACACAGAAGTCGTGGCTGACGGCGACGTCGACGTCGAACGAGCTGGACGAGTCTTGGGGCGACATCGATTCGCTGAAACTCGAAGCGGCCTGCGATTCGCCCATCGCCGACGTCTTCAGCAAGCAGCACGGAACGACCCTCGAAAGCCTCGAAGACGAGGCCGACGCCAACGTCTACCAGGACATCGCCCCCAACTTCTTGCCTCTCTGCATGTCTTCGCCTGTTCATGTTTGAATTTCCTCGTCTTCAGTCCATTCATCGCTTCTTTGAGGTGTGAACTGTGGTCTGTTCGAAAATCCTTGCTGGGGCGTTCAATTCAAAAAAGTAACCAGTGTTTTTTTTTCACGAAAAACATTCACACCGTTGAATAATCCAGCAAAAGATTTTTCAACAGACTAATTTAATAATCATCCCCGATAGGCTCAAGTTGACACGTATAACAACACCCTTAAGGGATAACTTGGGTAGAAAAAATGAACGAGTTATTGCAAGCCTTGTCTTTTTTCGCCTTTTTGCTCACTGTGCTGATTTTTCCAATTTTTGACAAGTTGAAACTTAATTAGGGAGTTGGTAAAAGAAAATTGGAGGTAATTCAAAGGCGCAGACAGGAGTCCGATAAACTTGTTTCCAGAACATCAAGTTTTTTTTATCAATGTTAGGACCGAAAATTCTTGTGTTTTTTAAAGATAACTCTCACTAAAAACAGCTTTCCGTCTTGAGACCTTCACCAAGTTTACCTATGCGCCTTTAGATACTCCTTTAATTTTTTTTTTAACAATACTTCGCGACCGGTTAACGTTGCTTTTCACGGTTGAACCGTTTTTTTTTCTGTTTATCCTTTTCTTCATGTGCTATGTTCTGCATCCTCTTAATTTTAATAACTAGTCCTTTTTTCATGTTCCTTTACTCTGTAAAATGTTTCTGTGAATCTTCATTCTTTCAGAAAATAAACTTCATGTAAAAATCAACTGTGAAGTACTGTACATCAAATATTCCCGCAAACTCAACGCATAACATATTTTCAATGGAAGAATGGGAGAAATCGAGAAAACTGAAAAAAAGGAAAAAATGCCCAAGGCACAGATAGACGATTGGCGACGATATGTGACGGAGATTGGCACAGCTGTCGTGTAGCTACCGTATCCTCTCGGTAAGATTGATGCCGGTCATTCCATGAAAGTCCTCCATGCGCTGCTCCACCGATCTTTCAACTGCAAAAAAGAAATTTGAAGTTTTTTGGTTCTTTTAAAGGCGCAGAGCCTTTTTTGCGAATTTTCCTAGTGTACCTTGGCCAGCATCATATTTGGCAGTATTGGGGAAAAGTTTGCTTTCAAATTCAAATTGAGGTTTGTTCGCTCCATAGACATTCAAGAAGATTTTGAAATTCCTTATTTATTGACTAAATAAAGTTCTGAAATTTTTTTTGAGCTTATTTTTGAAAAAAAAAACTTGTTTTATAGTCATTGATTTTTAAAAAGAAAAATCATAAACAAAATTTCATGAAAATTAGTATAGGGACCGCAAGGCCCCCTCGCTGACCAAAAAACGTCGTATATTTCGTTGCATTTTTGACATTTCATTGTTGTTTATGCAGTTTCCCTGAACCGTTTTGGGAAAAAATTGAGGGAAACATACAATCAGCTATTCTCTACATATCTACATAGAAGAAATAGCTGTAAATAAAAAGGATCGGTTAAAATGACGTTTTTTCGCGACGCCTTTGTGCGAAAAAGTGGAAAAACGTTGAATACTTACAATCCCGCTCGTAGGCAAGTTATTTTTTTTTCTTATTTTGTTAAGCATGTGAAAATACACCATATAAGTAAAAAAATAAAAAAGATTCCTGCTTTGTGCTTTCAAGTATCGAAGCGTCGGAAAATCGCAACTTTCGAAATTCGGGAACTTTGGCATTTTCCGCGAAACATCGTAAAAAATTTTTTTGAACTGTTCTCTATAAATTTTAGAACATTTTAAAAAAATAAAAAAACAAAAACTTTCATTCCAACCTTAATTTTAAAAAAATAAGTTTTGATTTTTTTGATTTTTTTGAAACACTTGGAAAAAGTGTTTTTAGCCGTCGTAGGCAAATTATTTTTTTCTTATTTTGATTTGAATTACTTTTTTTCTTCAACATAGTCAAAAAAATTAAAAAAATCCTGCTTGTGCTTTCAAAATTTGATTCATTCGAACAATAAAAACAGCGTCCTGCATTTGCGCGTTGGAAAAATTGTGCATTCACCGACCCACGAAAATTCCGAATTCGCGATCTTTTCAAAGCAAAAATAGCGTAAAACTTTTTTGAAATGAGTCAAAACGTTCAGTAATGTAATTCGGAAAACAAAATAGAACTTCACATGCGAAACGCGCGCTTTAATGGCTGTAACTTCGTTCAGAGTCAATATTTTTCCAAGATCTCTTTTTTTAAAAGTTGCCAGGACTATGAAGTACACGGTCATATAAAAATCATTTAAATCTGATGGTTTCTAGAAAACTGCCTGCGGTCCCTAAATTAGTAAACCTAAAATATGTTATCAATAGAGCGTAATTTGTTAACTCAAAAAATGAGTGACAAATTGATCCCACAACTTCAACTTTCTCCTTGGGATTTTTTTTCACCTTTAGATTTCTGAATTCCTGCCCACACGTGGTATACAGACGTGCTGTCTGGTGAGCATGAGGCTCTGGCAAAAGAAAAAAACACAGCAAAGTTCAGCATCGGGTTTCCTCGCCGCCGTGGGAACTTTCCGGATGAATAAGGCATGGAATCCGCAAACTCTCGTGAGAATCTCCAGCTTCATTTGCCAATCAAGACACGAGACTGACTGTTGGCTCGATTTCTGGCGTGACAGGCACGAGAAAAAATGGCCGAAAAAAAGACTGAAGATTGTGCGCTCCATGGAAAATTTAATCTTTTTTCCGCAGAAATTTGGATTCTTGAGAGTCTGGAAATTTGCTTCTAATTAATGAAAGGTGTTGAGAATATTCGACGAAAAAAAAGGAAGCAATTTTCCCTTTTTTCCAGTACATTCAGACTTCATTCCTACTTGCTTTTCTTGAAATTCTGATTATCCACTGCAAATCTCCACAAGAAGAGCTACGCAACTTGTTCCCGCGGCAACGCTTTTCCCGTTTGCTTTTGAATATGTATTATCTCGGCTGGGGAAAAAGCCGCGTATCTAATTAAGGTGCAGAGAAGCGCGAAAGAACCCTAATTTGTTGTATTTTTATTCGGCCTCTTTGGTGTGACGTCGGCACTTCCGGCCGACGCCCACGAAAAAAAGAAAGGTGCAACATTTTCCCACAAAGTTCATTATATCCGATATTTCAAACAAAAGAATGGGTTACGCTTGTTTCTTGAGATTTCCAGTCTCGAAGAAAAAAACGCTTGGGAATTTTTGATTTTTTTGATTCGATGAAAAAGATTTCAAAGTCAAAAAAATCACATTTTGACCGGTTTTTCCCAACAAGAAAGAAATAAAAGGGAAGATTAGTCAATTCAACCCTGCCTTATAAATTTATAAACTTATTTTTTTTGCATGGCTAGACTCAAAAAAATGGTCCTTTAGAAGGCAAATAAAAAAATCTGTCATTTTTTTGATAATTTTAAAGAAATTTAAAAATCCATCTATCCTAACCCCTAAAAAAAAAATAAAAATGTCCAGTTAACGAAACTTGAAGAACGTCGATAATGGGCGTGGCTAGCCAATCAAGAAAAAATATCAGTTTAAGTAAAAATGAAAACTTGCCACTTTTGGGCACTTTGAGAGTATTTCAAGTGTGGAAAACCGGCTAATTTCACCACTACTTTGATACAAAATCTGACTGAATGAAATTTTCTTATCGAGGAAAAGTTGCAATAAAAATTTAATTTTCATCCTTTTTTCGAGGACAAAATCCAAATTTAACACGCAATTAAAGGGTGGGAACCCGTCTCGTCACTCGAGTAGGAAAGAAAGCAATTGGGCCCGAAATTCACGGCACTTATTGTTGTTTCGAGGATTTTCAAACACACGGCCCGTCTCGATTTCGAGCATTTTCAAAACGTCGGAGGCAGTTCATTGCGGTCAGCAGGAAGTGAATTTGATTTGATTTTTTTTTTTCGCAAGTTTTTTGGGAAGACGTACCCATAAGGTCGATTTTTTTGCCGAGGGCCAAGGAAAAGGCGACCAGCGCCAGGGACAACATCGTCATCGCGATGGCGACCATGCCGACGACGCGTTTTACGCGTTTCTGGTTGTGCTCCTAAATTTATTATTCGAATTAAAATGAATTCCAAGTCATATAATGAAGAGTTCATTATTGAGAAAAAAACAACGTAAAAGATTTATCAATATTTTTTTCAAGTTAGACTGGATTTTGAGCAGCTGAAATTGTCGAAGTTTTGAGATTTTTCCAGATGAGCTCTTCAAAAATCACCTAATATTTCTTAAATTGGTTTTTGAACTAAATTTCCCTGATTTTCAAGAAAAGCATGACGCTCAGTACTAGAGTGGAAAAATTTCACGAAAACTAAAATATCTGTGAACTTTTAGCATTTCAAACTAACTATCACTAATATTTTTTTGTTAGTTGAAGCTTTTTTTAAAAAATTATAAAAAGTGCTCTACGGATAAAACAATCTTTCTTTTAGTTATTATATTTTGAATTATTTTTTTGGTTCGCAAGATCTTTTTTGAACTCTATCAAAACTATGAAGATCATGGGATCTTTCCCCGATGATTTCCACTTGAAATTTTGCATCCCATTTCTGATTCCTTTCGAATATTTTTCTGCAGAATGAGAGCAAAAAACAAAACGCGACCTTTCAGAACGCCTAGGGAAGCGTGAAATTGAAGCAGCGGCAGAATCTCAAAAGACTCGTCGAATTATTATGCTCGTTAGCTTCATTCATGTCAAAACAACAGAAGCTGTTCAAAAGAAAAAAAATATCAATTTTTCATTTTTTGAATTCAAAACTTCTCTATTTCGGTCAGGAACAGAAAAATTTAAAACACCGCTATTTTGAGGAGCTGCTCTTGATTTGCAGCTAGTTCTTGTCTATTTTTAAATTCATATCGGAGCGACTTCCTCATAGGTATACTCAGTCATAATCGGCAATAACCGGACCACTTTTCGAGTTATTGGACTTTTTATTGGTCCTGCGCCGAATAAAAAGAAGGAAAAAGACTTATTTTTTGCACAAGAAAGCTTCGAATACATTTTCGAGTGGGGTCAAAAAATGATGAGCTCTTTCTCTGTAGTTTCAGCTCTCTTTAGCCTGAACTTCCAAGAAAGGAATTTCTGGAGGCCAGTAACCAGCAGAGGAGTTCTTTTTCAGTCTTGGTCCGATAAAAATACGCCCACTCTAAAGAATAAAAACGCAAAAGATTGCTCGACGAGCCGCGAAATAACAATGTTCTCAGCACTTCAGAGTTTAAGAAGATTGGAAGAATGAAAAAGGCTAAGAATCAAAAAACAATTTTTTTTGTTCAGGTATCGGCTTGATATTTTCTTTGAAAAAAGTTGCGATTGAGAACTTTAAATAAAACTTTCCGTAAGAAAGTTTATTTTGAAGGAATATTTTTTGCGTTCAAAAAGCATAGCTGCTCAGAAAATAAATAAATTCAAGTCAGAAAAAGCTTTTCAAAATAGGTAAAGCCAAGTCTTATGCGTTCTTTAGACAATTCAAGATTTTCACATCGATTCCTCAGATTTTTGAAAAAATCAATATTTCTAGACTTTTGTTTGGTTTCGAAAAAAAAGGACAAGTTAGGTGATTCGTTAGCCGTTCTGTTCTCGTCAAAAGGCACACAACTTTCCGTAAACAAATGGCTCTTGTCATCATCATCATCACAGAGACAGCCGAAAACACGACGCGATATCTGTCTGAGAAAAGCCTTTTTCCCCCATTCGAAAAGGGGAAAACCCGTTTCCGTGTGCCCCTTCATTCTCCTTATTAGTAATCCCTGGACACTAAAAGGATTCTTTCAGCTTTTCTAATGTCAAGTTCTCAATAGAAGAAAATTGTAAACACTTTTCAATAAGAGAAAAAACAGCTTCGAGGTGGAAGAAGGTGGTGAAACTTGTGCGAACCATGGAGAAAACTTGGATTATTTGGAAAAGCTTAAAAACCGAACGTGTCGGGGCATTTCTAGTGACTACTCTAGTATTGGTCATCTATAAAAAGAATTCAGGTAGAGCACTTTTTCTGAATAAGTTCAAGCCGAAGACCACTTTTCTTATTTTTTTTTCGTCTTTTCATTAGTAAGGTTTCTTCGAAGACCTATGTCTCGCCCTTTCTCAACAAAACTTCAATCCCTTCATCCATCTGCACACTTTATCAACCAAACGGAACTCCTTGTGCATTATTCATTATTCAAAACTTTTTTTTCTTTCGAAAACTTCATTCGCAGTAAAAGCTGCACGTGACATGTTCCTTTTCAATTATCCAAGCCAATTAATTGTAGGGTCGTTCAAGGAGAAGAAAAAGTAGTAAAACTGAAGCACGGAGATAAAAGGAAGTTGTCTGGGTGAATATATGGTGTTTTTCTTGTTTTTAAGGAGCTAATAGAAAACTGACATCTTTTGAGATTGAAAAATAAAAAATTGGAATTCCCTCGAATAAAATTATGACAAGCTTCTTTCGCAAAAAAAAATCTATCTATTAACGAATAAATGCGCTCTTGTGTCATTCCTGAAGAAATATTGTAAAGAAAATTTTTTGTTAGAAGTTCAGTTATTTATGAAAATTCGAAATAATATTAAAAAAAATTAAATTGAAGGATTGGCTATAATCAATTCCCTGCTAGCTTTTTATAAAAATTTAAAAAAATCAGTCATTAAAAAAATACGGTCCTGAAAAAGCTTAAAGAAAGGATTGTCAAAAAAAAAATAGATAAAAGAGTTGGCATATACTTTGATGTCGTGAGGGATCGTCTATAAAAAAATTCCGGATGCAATTTTTTTCAACCTATTGAAATCTCATCCCAATCGGATCATTAGAACTTCTGAGAAAGAAGAAATTTTTCAGTGATCTTTGGAAAAAAATTTGTCAAATATATAATTCCTCTTCCAGAATCTTGTTTTCGATGAACTTCTTCCCACAGGACTCAAGTTTGAAGAAAGGCCTTGGATTGGAGATCAGCCAGCGGAAAATGGAGGCCTTTTCAACCCCCGCGGGGCAAATATTTCCTCGTGTTCAAATCAGCGTCGCATCTCGTCGCAAAGACTCAATTTTCCCCTTTTTCGGCTTTGTTTGTTGGCACAAAAGTGAATGCAGTAATTAGCAATGCGACTTCCTGCTTTTTCGCCTTTCCTCTAGTTTTATTGGCTAGATTTGGTTTTGTGAGGAGATGTTCGTTGTAAACGATATTACAAGAAAACTGAAAAAAAAGGAAGCTTCGATAAAACAGCAGTGAAAAGGCATGTTTTGCAAGAAAAAAAAACAGACTAACTACGAAAATTTAAATAAAACTGTACAGTTATGATTGCTCCAGCGATAATTATTAAAATGAAAATTTTGCGTTCATTCATTTCAGAGCCATACCAAAAGAGCTCCAATATAAAAACCCTTTTTTGAAAGGATTTGCCATGATCTTTCTTTGCCGTTAATTCAAAAACCCCGCGGTCGCATGTGTAATGGCTCGGCACCTGCAGCCGACTTTTCTAATTTCTAAAATTTCCAAATACTTTTCGCTTCAAGCCATTCAATGTGAAACTATGAACTTACAAACCAAAATAAATCACGTATCGAAAAAGACAACAAAAAATCACGAATAAAGCTGAAATTTTCATTAGTTTCAAGCCTAATTTTTTTCAAATATAAATGTATGTGTCCAACAGACAATTTGAAACATTTGAGACCAATAACTAAACCTGAAAAATCGCAGAAAGGGCATACAAATATTGAAAAAAAGTAGAATGAAATTTTTAACATCATTTTCATATTTAAGCATGGTCCCATTTTTTTAACCAAAAGCCCAAAACAGCTGTTTTTCCTGTTGGTCCATTCCTTTTTTCCACGCTAGTAATCAAAATCTTCTTTATTCATTTTCAGAGAAGCTTTTCCAGCTGCTCTGCAAAAAAAGGCGACGAAAACAAGGGATTTTGAAATTTTTGATTATGAGGTGGCCCACCGAAAATATCCAATTACATGGAATTCTCACATCAGAGATGAATTTCGCCGGTTTTTTTTGAACAAAATAAAAAAAGAGACGAACCTTGAGTTGCTGAATTTCCAAGTCGGTGAGTTCGAACTCGGAGTTGTGATCCTCGAAAGCCTCTTTCTGCGGAATCATTAGCTGCATCGTCTTTTTCGAAACTTTCTATTGGTTTTTTTTTCTTCTTGAAATTGAGATTTTGAATATTGAGCAGCCTGAAAACAAGTTATTTCTTGAAATTTTATTTGAGAAGACAATTTTTTATTTCCATTAAAATTTCGAGAAGAGTGAAAAATCAGAAGCTTCAGCGTCAAAGAAAAAAAAAGAAAAGTGAATTAGGTGTTTGTCAAAAATACAAATGTAAGTTGCAATCCAAAAAAAAAATTTGGTTTCGAATGAATTCCTTCAGGTATCGTTTGAAAGCCTGAACTACTTAAAAAACAAAGACAAAAAATAGAAAAGTTGAGGAGTAAAAAAAGGTTGGGTAGAAAGATATTCCACTGATCTTTGTTTTCAATATTTATTTAGAGCTCGAAGAATGAACTTTCGTCCAACCTTTCTTCAAAAGGTCCCTCGTGATTTCTGATTTGCAAGCTGGAAATGTAAATTCAAAGCTTCACTTCTTGCACTTTATTCGGACTCGTCCCGATTTTCAGCCAATTAATCCAAAAAAGTTCTAAAAAGCTGCCCCCAGGCAAAGTACATTTTTGGAGCGAATCTCAGAGCTATGCTAATTTTCAGAGCAAGAATGGAAAATTTCGTTTAATCAGTTCGAAAATCTTTTTCTCAAGGCGAAAAGCTTCAAGACTTGTGCGGCTTTTGCACCCCAGAAAGGATTTTTGAGCAGACCGTCTGAAAGAGAGCTTCAAATGACGACGCGAAATAGTTTTAAAAGATGTGATCTCTGATTAATGAAAGGAAAAAATTCAAAAGAGAACCGAGCGCCCTTTCAAGGACAACTCAAAGAGCAGAAAATGAGGTCCACAAAAAAAGAGAGAGAAACATTGTTTGGGGGCACGAGTTATGTTATGCATATGGCCAGATATGGGCAGCGGGGATGGATGCCAAGGGAGAGAACACAAGGGACTCGAAAAGCCGCTACTGGCGCCGGCAAATCCCGCCGAGAGCCGCTGGAGGCGGAGCTTGAGCCGCCGCTGCTCCGATGCTCTTCTGCTCCGGAGTCTACCGTTTGTGGGAGATTCTTCACTGTGATAAATCTCGGAGTGAAGTCTTTCCAAATAGGTAAGCGTCCCCGTTGCATTGCGGATGAATGAGATCATAGATACTAGAAATTGATCAGCTGGTTCTAGTGCTGCCCTATGACACCGCGCGAAACCGTTTTGAGTCAAATCTGCATAAATATAGGCAGAAAGGAACTTCATCGCAACGATAAAGTCTGCTAGTCATTTAGAAATTTCCTAACGTCATTTTAGCTTCCTTCATCCATATTTCTATTCATAGAGCGATTCAATCTGTTGATTCAAGTCGCGAAAAATCGAGGCTCAGGTTTTTTTTATATTTTGGGAAGGATAAGTTATGACGAAATTTACTCAGTTTATTCAAAAAAAATTTCTGCTTATTGGCGGATTAGCGGAGAAGCCTGAAAACCTATTTCAATGCAATGAATATAACACAATGGCACTTTTTGATACATAGAACAAAAGAAACCTCGAGCATCATCTTTCAATTGTTTTTTTGTCAATTTAACCAAAACCTCACAAAGACGGTTCAATTTTCTTAAAATTACAACTTGGACTGATTTCATAAAAAAATTCTGTTCTGATTTTTTCAGGCGGGTAAGCTGACAAGTGAAAAAATTACAACGATTCGAAAAATTTTTAAACTTACGATAGAACTTTTTCCGCCACAAAAACATTAAAACTGCCGGAAAGTGAGAAATTTATTAAATTGAATAAAATTTTTATGAACATACCATAAAAACGAACGTGAGCGCGGCTGGTGAAAAAACAATCCCCTACTACTTCCATGAAATTGATAGCCTCTGAAATATGACTATTTCATCTTCGTCTCCTCGCTTTTTCTGAATCATTACAATTTTAAAAAAATGGTTTAAAAAAATATATACGCAAGAGCAAGAAAAAAAAAACACATACACACAAAGAGATTATTTGTAGCCAACTACGTCGTCCAGCATCTCGTGTTGCGTCGGCTTCTCATGATATTTTAAGAAATATGGTTTTTGATTCTTCTGAAATTGTGAAATTAGAAAATTATATTGACTTTCTATCCGTGTCTCCTCGCTTTCTATCTTCGCCTGAGAAAAAAATCATTTTTTAATTCGAATTCCTTTTGACGTGTTCTAAGTGATTTTGCGAAATTCAAAATTATCTATGCCCTCAAAAATATGCAATCGATTTCCTTTTCTGACAGCAAATCCAAATTTAGCAAAACAGAATCGAACACAGCATGAGAACAGATGAAAAACTATGGAGAATCGAGGTTCCGGAAATTTCCAGGTGTTATGTTCTAAAACGGTTTGAATGTAGACACCGGGTGACTTCCGATGCACACTTTACATACGACTTGACGCGCAGAAATATTTATTATTTTTCATGAAATTTGATTTCAGTCGTATTATTTCTGAAGAATGTATCAGCCGTCTGTGTTTCAAAGCTTTTTTTGCAATTCAATCAAAAATAGACATTATTTATTCAATTTCACTCCAAAGCACATCTTTTGATCAATTAGCTTGGGTAGATTTTGCTAACGTATTCGCTGTTTCTCAGTTTTTGGATTCTCAGGCGCCGAACCATCGTCCGCTTATTGAATGAGACGGTGGAATTTTTGGTTTGTTATATAAAAAACGATGCATTCTATTTCGAAATGGTTCTGCTCCTCTGCTGAACAATATCATGACGATCCTTAAATATATTTTCTTGATCATAATGATTTACAGACTAACCCATCAAAAGTCAGAACGTTTTCCCAAATGAAGGTGTAGGACAGAAACGCCCACCACCTTTCATTTATCATCGATCTAAAAATATTTAACTTGACTCAAAAAATGAAAACGAGTAGCAAGAACCCGAAAATGGCCGTGAAGACGAAGTCCGTGGTGAAGAGAAAATCTTGCAAAATTGTCTAAAAAGGCCTCCAAAAATGAAGCTTCGTTTTGACTGCTCACCTGGAACCACAGGAGAATGTTTCTGCGAATTCTTTTGTTTGAAATTTGATCATCAATGCTATTTGTCTAAAATAAGTTTATAAAATTGCCTTTTTATAAGTAGCTCACATAATGAAAATGGATGATTTTCCCAAAAGTGATGACATTGATGACGAAAAGAATGGCACCGACCGTTATTCCTTGACTCAACATCGTCTCCAAGTTCTGAATATTTTCCATTTGCTCAGAGAAGAAGCTGAGTAAACCTCAGAACAAGTTTCTGCAGGTATCGATACCCAGGTCATTTCCTGACTCAGAAAAAGTGTGCGACAAGGCGGATTGTAGGATTGCTCTTTATAAAGTTGTCATTTTATTTTTTTGGAAAAATCTAAACTTACTCATTATGAATCCCGAAACAGATGTCACAGTAGCATGCCCGTACATTAATACCAGTACAACCTGAGCAAATAAAGTTAACTCAAAAAAAAAATTCCCCAAATTTTATTGGAAAGTTCGTTTCTTAAAAAGTTAAGTAAAACGTAACAGTTTTAGTCTAGAATTCAGTCTAAGTTCAATGATTGAAAAAAGCTGTTGATTACCACAGTGACACTGACGCGGAAGACTTTCTCGAAGTGCATCGGGAAAAATACGGAAGTGCAGCGATTTACGGCGATGAACAGGGACGTGACTTGGTTTATCATGTAGACGAGCAGCGCCACTGCGTAAATGAATGTTTCCACGATTTCTGGCAGTAGCGATTTGCCTCTGACATTCAAAACTTTATCAATCACTCACAGAAAGTTTTTTGATTCTTTAAACTTTCATGCTTTGTTCTCGATAGAGTCTATAGACGCTCTAGATGAACAGGAAGTTTTGAAAGACTTCATTTTGAGCAACTCAAGAGTATATATAACGTCTTCGCCAGATCCAAGGTACCTAATTAATTAGCTTTTTTATAAAAAAACTTTTTTTACAATAAAAAAATACTGAAACACTGTTTTACAAAATCCAGACGTTCTTCCGAACTTCAAGATAGGGAAGAACAAAACTTTGACTTCTTATTTAGTTTCTGAAACAATTATTGAGACACACATCCAGGCCTTCTTGATGAATAAAAACCAGTTGGCAAAAATCGGCGGTCTAATGCCAAGTTTTGTGATCCTTCGAACTTTTCCCATCCCAAAATAGGTACGAGAAGTGCCTCTCAAGCTGTATGTAATTATCTATATTTTTGGCTTTGCTGACGGAAAAATCTACTTCCGTCAATACAGTAGTTCTCACAGTTGAAGTTTTGCTCAATGCCTAAGAAAATTATCCATTTTCTTTGAAAAAAACTTGTTCCTAAAGGAATCAAACCTTCCTGCATGGATTACAGCTTGTCCTAACCTTCAAGTTCCTCAAAAAGAGTTTTAAAAAATTAAAAGATGTACAGAAAGGCGGCAGGCGCGTTGTCGATGACAAAGACCAGAAGAAGGATGACGAGGTTGACGAAGGCTCGGACCCAGCAGACGACCGAAAATGACGTCATGGTCTCTTTGGAAAGCAACACCAAAAGCGCTCCATTGGCAGCGATTCCGATGATGCCGTCCTGTAAAATGAAATCTTCCTTCAACGATAGTTTCACAAGATCGCTCTATCGAACCAAGGCTATGATTCCCTTGCTTCATCGGACCTCCGTAACAAAACCGGACGTTTCTGAGCAATTCTAGAGATCACTTAAGAGTGCTGACACTACTGAAGTAGTCACTAGAAATGCTCCGACACGTCGATTCAAGTCCGGTTTGCATTAAGAAGATCCGAGCTGTCTCAGAGTTTGAAGCGAAACTTAGAGGATGAAGTGACCTTTTAAAATCATCCTCTGACTATCAGCAAAACAGTACGGGCAAACGAAAAGAATCAAATCTTCATATTTTTGGAATTAACGAAAGAATATAAATCTCCCCATTTCTTCCAACTTCTCCTGAAATTAGTCCGATTTTTCATATTCAGAGCAGCTTTTGAGTTCCACGAAGCCTCAACCTTAGAAAAGTTTAGAAAAGCATGAAAACTCAAATCAGGGAATATGAAAAATTTCCGATGAACTTAGAAGAAAAGTAAATACGAACTTTTTAGACGGTCAGCTATCTCACTTCAAGATCAGGCATGTGAAAAAAAAAACGAACTATAAAAAGGAGCGCCGGTGCAATGAAATCCAGTGCCGAACGTTGATGAGTGACGCTGAGGTTCATTGAGTTTACTGAATCAAAAAAAAGTGACGTGAGAAGCAGAAAAAAAGCTCGAAAAAAGTCGGAAAGGTCGACAAGTGGCCTTTTTCATGCCATTTCGCAGAAGTTTCATGGATTAATAAATGAAAGCAGCTCAAATCTGAATCTGTGATAAAATAAATGAAAAATCGATCTTCTACATCAAGAAGTTCTCATCTCAGCTGAGGAAGCTGAATCTTATTGTTACGCCCATTTTCCTCAGGTAATCACTGGTTTCAGAACCATTCCACCTTGCATTTAAATTTGTTAAATATATATAGTTTGCAACTTTTTTTCGTGGATATTGTATGCGTTCGGAAAAAAATTTCTCCCGGTAACAAGGTTTTTTTCACAGATATATCGAAAAACTTAACTTTAGAGTTTAGACATTTAAGAAAAAAAGTGAAAAATTTTTTTGAAGTTTCTTTCGAGCTGATCAACACGATATTCAAGATTTATTTCTGATAAAAAAATTTTTTTTTCTGTGGCCACTTTTTCTCTTTAGTTCATGAAGTAAAAAAATGGACCCAAAATTCACAAACGATTTTCCATGAATATATTCTGATACTCTCTCCAGCGAAAATTTTGAATATTCTTGATAAGGAGTTCAAAAATTTAATCGCAAATTTCTTCTTTCAGGCGCCGAACCATCGTCCGCTTATTGAATGAGACGGTGGAATTTTTGGTTTGTTATATAAAAAACGATGCATTCTATTTCGAAATGGTTCAGCTCCTCTGCTGAACAATATCATGACGATCCTTAAATATATTTTCTTGATCATAATGATTTCCAAACTAACCCATCAAAAGTCAGAACGTTTTCCCAAATGAAGGTATAGGACAGAAACGCCCACCACCTTTCATTCATCATAGGCCTAAAACTACCAACGTCAGCTCAAAAAGATCAACCGAAGAACCCGAAAATGGCCGTGAAGACAAAGTCCGTGGTGTAAAGCAAATCTTGCAGAATCGTCTGAAAATCCTCGGAAGATGAAGCTCATTCTAGACTGCTCACTTGGAACCACAGGAGAATGTTATTGCGGATTCGTTTATTAGAAGTCTGGTTATCGATTCTGTTCGTCTTGAAATAATTATAGTTAATCGACGCTTTCAAAATCAGCTCACATAATGAAAATGGACGATCTTCCCGAAGGTTATAAGATTGATAAAAAAAAGAAATGCCCCTACCGTTATTCCCTGTCTCAACATCTGCTCCATGTCCTGAATATTGCTTTTTTTTCAATTCGATTCGCGCAGAGAAGCTGGGAAAACCTCGGAACAAGTTTCTGCAGGTATCGACGCCCAGGTCATTTCCTCTCTGAGAAAAAGTGTGCGACAAGGCGGATTGTAGGATTGCTCTGAAGATTGTTATAAGAAAATTCCACACATTTCAAACCTACTCATAATAAAATTCGAAACACCTACACGAACAGCATTCCCGTAGAGCAAAAAAAGTATTACCTAAAACCAACTCATTTCAAAGTCGTCAAAGTTCTAATAAAAACATTTTATTCTGCAAAAAAGCAGATGTTTCTTCCGAAACTTGGATGTTTTTTTTTGGCTTTTTTCAACATCTAAATGCATATGTTTATCCACCAATTCCCTTCTTTTTTATGATAAGTTTCGCTGGTTTTTAACGAGAATGACTATGTCTAATGGCATGTCCGAAAATGGGCATTATTAGGACCGTAAACATTATTTTTTACATCTATCTGAAGCAGTAATTCGAAGGGGTAAATAAAATTACTTTTTGCTCGGAAAGTACAAACGTTTAAGTTATTAATTTCAGACATATCTTTTAAAATGAAAGGAAAAGCTATTTTGAATCATTGTAGTCTGAAACCTCGTAATTTCATAGGAACTAAAATTACCAGTTAGTTATAACTGATAATCGTCGAACTAAACTAAAGGAAATGACTTTTTCGAAGCTTACCACAGTGACACTGACGCGGAAGACTTTCTCGAAGTGCATCGGGAAAAACACGGAAGTGCAACGATTTACGGCGATGAACAGGGACGTGACTTGGTTGATCATGTAGACGAGCAGCGCCACTGCGTAAATGAATGTTTCCACGATTTCTGGCAGCAGCGACTTGCCCCTAAAAAGTTCCTCAATCATTTCTATGGTTTGATTTACATCCAGCTCGTAAGTTATCTTATACATTTTTAAAAGCTTCAGTTTCTCGTTTTTATTCGAAAATAAAACACGCCGTTTACCTTTTAATATATTCCAATTTTGGTTTTAGTTCTTTATTTACACTTCTTGATACATCTAGATCTGATAGATTTCTCTATTTTTCGAGCATAATTTATTGTTTAATGAAACCGGCTCAGCCGAAGCAAAGTTTTGTGATCCTTCGAACTTTTCCCATCCCAAAAATAAGTACGAGAAGTGCCTCTCAAGCTGTATGTAATTATCTATATTTTTTTGGCTTTGCTGACGGAAAAAAATCTACTTCCGTCAATACAGTAGTTCTCAAAGTAGAAGCAAAAAAACTTTTGGTCGAAGTTTAAAATATTTAATCTTCTTAAATCGGTTTTTGAAGAAATCAAATCTTCTTGGGTTTGACTACAGGTTCTACGAAAAGTGTGTTGTCAACGACCAAAACCAGAAGAAGGATGAATTACCTAAATTTTTACCTTAGCCTTAAAAAATTACTTTCCTCCATGCAGCAGACAATGAGTTTAGAAACTTTTTGCTGATTCTTGAAGAAATTGCTAATTTACAGACCGGACTACAGCGTCTTTTGATCTCGTAGGGTTTGATGAATATTTTGCGAAAATGAAATAAATATTACAGAAAGGCAGCAGGCGCGTTGTCGATGACAAAGACCAGAAGAAGGATGACGAGGTTGACGAAGGCTCGGACCCAGCAGACGACCGAAAATGACGTCATGGTCTCTTTGGAAAGCAGCACTAAAAGCGCCCCATTGGCAGCGATTCCGATGACGCCGTCCTGAAAAATATATCTTGATTTTTAAAGCACAGAAACGAAGCTCCAAAGTGCAGGGAAATTTCTGAGAGGATACTTACTTTTTATAAATATTCAAAGTAACATATAGGCCTTTGTTTCCTTATGATCATTAAAAAATTTGTGAAGTTCGATTCTTCGAAACTCACTATGAAAAGAAGCGCCGGCGCGATGAAATCCAAGGCCGTACGTTGACCGCCGGGGTTCATTGAGCTGACTAAATCAGGAAAAAGTGAAGCAAAATAAAGGACCGAAAAAGCTCGAGAAAAGTCGGAAGGGTGGCAAATAGCCGTTCGCACCCTCTTAATGTCATTTACGTGAGGTTTTTGATTTTTCATGCCCTAAGAAAAATAAAAAGCTATAAGAAAGAAAGGGCAATATGAACCGATTGATATCATGAGAAACACTATGTAAACTCAATTCTCAATCTTCAGGAGGTTATCATCTCGGCTGGCGGAACGCCCATTTATCTCAAGTAACTACTAGTTTTGGAAGGTTCACCTGCGTGTTTGAGGTTTGAGCTGTGTAAATTTCCTTTTATTATAACGAAGCAGGTTCAAGAATCAAAATCTTTCTGTATGGAAGTAACTATTCTAGAGGGAAAAGCGTTAAAGACGAGAAGGAAGGAATGTGATCGAACGAGAGATTTTTGACATTCAAAAAGCAAGAAATGAGCTTCTTCGAGTGCCCTCAGAATGCTCAAGCTCGCTCTCATTGAATCGCTTCTCAGATCTTCAATTCTTTGAAGATATATTTTATTGCTTTTTTAAAACATTATTGATGCTGAGATCTCCGGAAAAAAAGCACCCTAGTCGCATATAGAACGACTTGAGCGTCGCGGTCGCGTAGCAGGTGGAATCGCGTCCTTCTTCACCTTTATGCTATTACAATCAATGTCTATCAGACGAGAAATTGGCAGAATTTATTTTTTCCTCTAAAATTTCTAATAATGCTACAAAGGTACAGAAAATTCCATGATCAACTCGATTTTCAGTTGTCGAACCATCGGCCACTGATTGACCGGGACGGTGCGTCGAAATCTCTTTTTTTGCTCGTAAAATAATGATGCAGCTTTTTTCGAAACGGCTCTGCTCCTTTGCTGAATACCACCATAACTGTCCTGGAACCAACTTTTTTTTTTCAAAAATTATTTCTGGTGTTTACCCGTCTAAAGTCAGAACATTCTCCCAAATGAAGGTGTAGGACAGAAAAGCCCACCATCTTTCATTCTTCAGGGGTCTGGAAACGTTTTTAATCGGAAGCCAAAGAAAAATTGAGAGAACCCAAAAACGGCTGTAAACACAAAGTCGGTGGAGTAGAGCAAATCTTGTAGAATCGTCTAAAAGATAATAATAATTTCTGAGCCTAATTTTGACTGTCCACCTGAAACCACAGTAGAATATTCCTTCGGATTCTCTCATTTGAAGATTGATTATCCGTTCGGGTTTTCTGCAAACCAATTTAAAAACTCATCCTCAGAGAAATCTCACGTATTGAAAATGAATGATTTTCCCAAAGGTGATGAAATTGATGAGGAGAAGAGTTCCTCCGACCATCATTCCCATTGCTAACATGCTCTCCATGTTCTGAAAACCCCAATAGAGTGACCACTTCATAAACAAACCTCAGCGCAAGTTTCCCTAGGTAAAGATAGCCACATCATTTTCTCGCCGAGAAAAAGGGTTCGACAAGGCGGATTGTAAGTTTGCTCTGAACTTTTTTCGTGTCTTTTTAGAAATTAAAGACTCACTTTTTAGGAAATCAGAAACACCCAACCAGATAGTTGATCCGTACATCAAGCCCATTATTAACTGAAAAATTTGATATCAAAATTGAAGCCAGCCTCGAATTTTAAAGTTTATCCATGAATACTATATCGGATTTCTTTCTCAATGTAATTATAATCGAAACCAATGAAATCGGGAGGTCCTTCGGAAAATAATTAAGACAGTTTCAGCCGTCCAATAGCAAAACATGTATCTAATAATCAATTTTCCATAGTATTCTGGAAAGGAATCGTAGTAGAAAACTTGTGAAAGCTTCCAAATTCTACTTTTTTTCTTTGAGGTTTTGGAGCTTCGAAGTTTGCTCTAGAGAAAATCTTCTCTGATTGGCTAGACACGCCTCCGTCATTCTAAATTTTTGACTCCGAAGTCTTGAAAAATAGAAAATGAGCCATTTGTTCTGCCTAAGAGCTTGCTTTTTCGTAGAAAATTAAGTTCTGTCGCAAACTTATTTCACAACTTCCAAAAGTTGAAGCCTTACTACAGTGACGCTGACGCGAAAGACCTTCTCATAGTGCATGGGAAAGAATACTGAGGTACAACGATTCGCGGCTATAAACGTCGAAGTAACTTGGTTGATCATGTAGACGAGCAGAACTACAGAATATATAGCCGTCTCCACGATTTCTGGCAGCAACGATCTGCCTCTACAATACAGGAATGAAAAAATAATCTCACTTTTTGTGTTATTTCCTAATTTGAAAACAATTGACCTTTAAAGTTAAATTTTATAATTTATAACTTTTTTTTTATCAATCGACTTACATCTTTCATTGCTGTTTTTTTTCTGTTACCATCTTCCAGCAGCTACCAAAAAACCTCGACAAATAGTGAAAAGAAAGCGAATAAGCAAGACCTGTACTCACTCCATTATAAACCAGGTTTTTTTTTGCTCAAACTAAGAAACCCAAAAAAAGGGAAAACCTACAGAAGAGCGGCAGGTGCATTGTCGACGACAAAAACCAGAAGAAGGATGACAAGGTTGACGAAGGCTCGAATCCAGCAGACGACCGAAAATGACGTCATGGTTTCCTTGCAGAGCACCACCAAAAGAGCTCCATTAGCTACGATTCCGATGAGGCCATCCTAAAACACTTTTTCACATTTCGTTCATCATTTTCTAATTTTCAAAAGATAAACTCCAGTCAAGGCAGATCAAACCTTCAGAGTCTACATGGAAACACAATAAAATCTTTCAGGCCTTCTGAAACTGGTGATGAAGTTTGTCACCTTTGAAGTCAAGAAATTCGTTTTGAAAAAACTATACTTTCAAAATTTAATGGTTCCCATGATTCAAATAAAAACTTAAAAATCAAAGTTTTGAAAGATAAATTTCGAAGAAAGTTGACAGTTTTGCTCAAAAACAAAGATATTTTCTCACACTTTGCGGGATTTCTTTTCTCGTCCATCTTCATCAAAAACTATCTGTGTAGTCTAGAAATTCTTGAAATTGAAGTCCGAGATAGAAAGTGAAGCTAATTTAAGTTTGATGAGTTTGAAGAAGAAAAATTAGTCAAATGGATAAGGTAATGTGAAACTCACTACAAAAATCAACACTGGCGCGAGTAAATCCAGTGCAGTTCTTTCATAGACGCCGCTGATGTTCATAGGCTTCCTAAAACTGAAAAAAAAACTCAAAGTTCTGCAAAAAAAAAACATGAGAGATTACAGTACACCAGCTCCAAAATGATACCAAAAAAACTGCAAATTCGATTTTTCAGAGGTTTTTATGTTGGGCCGAGTTGCGTTGGTACGCCCATTTATCTCAAATAAGCACCAGTTTCAGAACCGAATGCCCCGAATCCCCCACTCATTTTTATCTAACTGTTAGGTTGAAACCATGCACTTTGCTTCTTATAAAACATAGAATTTGGAACTTTTTTGGAGTTGAAGTGATGTTAGAATTATTATGAGCGGCTTGGCCGTATAGGTTATGGTGGAAGAATGGGGAGTTAAAAGTGTGTAATAATAAACCTAACTATCACAAATTCATAGAAAATTATGGAGGAAGCAGTTGAATTCTTGTTTGTAAAAATATATAAGATGTTTTTATGTTGAAGATTTTTCTGCAAAAAGAGATTAGAAACAACCTTCCCAAGATTTTCGGAAAAAAAAAGGCTAAAAGAGACCAACTATCCCGAGCATTCAGCCTCAAAGAACCGACCTTCGCGACGCCAATTCGCTCCACTGACAAAGAGAAGCTTCTCTGACATGGAGCACCTAAAGATGGCCACAACTTTTTTTCTGACGTTACACTATTTCCTCGTTATTTAGCTGCGAGAAAACGACGAAACAGTGGAGAACAGAGAAAGAGTTTTGGCGAGCTTTAGACGCTCCATGTCAGAATTTCTATATTAGATGTTCGAAATGTTTGAAGTTATCTCCTTCCATTTGATATTTTTCTTTACTTTTCACCTTTTCAAAAAAAAAACTTGAGTTTTTTTTACCCAGGTGCACAAACCTGATAATTTGCCAAAAACTGATTTTTTTTCTTGATGACAAATTGTCATTCTTTTTTTAAATAAAACCAAGCTTCTTCTATTGAGCCGCATTTGAAAATCATATCTTTATTCTCTTTTTTACATAATAATTAAAACAGTTTCTCTTAAATTTCTCTCGAATTTTCAGGCGTCAAACCACCGCCCACTGATCGTCTGCATTTGGAATGGCTTTTTGGGTTTTCCGCTGAAAAAACTCCGCAACCGACCTCGGATCGGTTTCGCAGGTGCACTGAACACCATCATGATGATCCTGGAAAATGGGATCTTCATTTTTTTTCACCTGAAAACTCACCCATCCAAAGTCAAGACGTTCTCCCAAACGAAAGTGTAGGAGAGAAAAACCCACCATCTTTCATTTATTAATGATCTGAAATTTGCTTTCGAAAATTAACAAATGAATGAAAAATTACCCTAAAATGGCAGTGAAAATAAAGTCCGTGGTGTAGAGCAAGTCTTGCAAAATCGTCTGAAAAAGATAAATTTGGCGCTGAAAATTTAGCTGCTCACCTGAAACCACAGGAGAATGTTGGCTCGAACTTTCTCGTTTGAAGACTGGTGATCCCCGTTTTGAACCTGAAAAATCCTTTTTTTTTTCAGGATCGATAGGGTTTCGGTACTGCTTACATATTGAAAATGGATGATTCTAGCAAAAGTGATGAAATTTACGACAAGAAGTAGAGATCCGAACGTCAATCCCACGGTCAACATGCTGCCAAAGTCCTGAAAACTGTTTTTTTCTCTCCGTAATGATTGTTAATTGATCTAAAACGAAAGGGAAAAATCATATATTTGGTTAATCTACATATTTACGGCTATCAAACTGAATCTCTCACGGAAGCATCGTACAAAAAACGTCAAGTTCGCAGTTCAAAGTTTTTAAAGGCGCAGAGCACATATGACTGTAGTTCGTTAGAAATACTAAACTTTGCAAAAAAAAAAATCACGAGGCTAGTAAAGAACGACAGTAACAGCTATGCTTCACACCTTTAATCATCTCCAATCGCTTGCGGAATGGCTCGACACCCGACTCTAAACGGTTCACGCACGGATAGGGGGCGCAAAGCCCCGCCCCTTCACGCCACCAAAATGACGATTTTTTTGTTGCAAAAACGGTTTTGAGGCGTTTATACTAGCTAAAGTCCCACTTTAAAAACGAACTGTTTCTGTTAATCTATGTAATCGACAACGCTCTACAAGACTGAATATTTTTAAAAACTATGTATTTTTTTCAAAAAAATAAGCGAAAAAAAGTCAGATTTAACACGAAAAAAACTGACAAGTTTCACAAAAATCGTCACGTTTCAGAAAACCAAGTGAGGAACGCTTCTAAATTTTTTTAGTATGTTATACATTAACACTTTCTTTATTTTTTTAAGTGAAAATGAAAAAAATCTACCGACGCGAAAAAAATATTAAAGCTTGTAAAGTGACACCAAACTTTGAAGCTGAAATGCGAAAAAAATTTCAGCGACATGGTATACTTTTTATTTCGATTTAGAAAACTAACAGTGTGTCCAAAAAAATAAAAAAATTCAAAAATGAAAAATAATTTATTGGGACAGCGAATCAAATTATATTTGAGTTTTACCAAAACCTCCTTTTTTTTCGCCTGCCTCGTTGACGCATTAGAGAATAGGATCGCGTCTATTTTTTTGATTATGTTATTAGGCGTTCAAAACTCTATCAATGAAAAAATTATGAAAAAAATCAATCGACGCGAAAAAAATAACGGTTTTGAAAACCTCGAAAAAATGGCAATTTTTTTTTGAAATTTCGGAAGATTTCGTGCAAGCGTCCGTAGCAGTGTTTGCGTCAAACACACCAATGCGCCCTTTTAAATGTTGCAGGAGCCGTTTTTCGGATTCAAATTGCACTTTTTCCTGTTTTATTTCGAAATAACATCATTTTTCATTTTTTCTTTTTTCCAAATCGAATGATAATAATTTTTTTGATTAGAAAAAAGAAAAATAAGCTGAAAATTCCTTCTGACCTTTTTTCTAGGTAGTTTTTTGATATTTTATCAAAAATTCTTATGAGGATTGTACAAAAGATTCATACCAAAACATGAGGCTCAGTTCGGACAACCTCTCAGAACAGAAAACCGATTTGAAAACGATCCAGAAACGCGCAAAAACATTTAAAAAGAAAGCGTGCGGCAGCGGGTAAACCGTGAGATTTTGCCTCCAGTTGTACGCCGCGCGCGCTCGTTTTTTGGCCATAACTTTTTTCTTAGTGAACCTTTTTTCAAAAACTAAACGGATTATGAAAATGGACAGTCTCCTCTATCGAACAATGTGAAAAACATATTTTTTGAATCGTTCTGAAGAAATGGCTTGCGGACCCTACGCACGGAGCCATATAAAGATATCAGAGCAAACTTTCTAGTCGCTCTCAAACACATTCCAGCCGCAGAGTTTGAAGACATTCATTACTTTTGAAGTTGAAGTTCGAGGCGAAATTAGAAAATGCATTTTTAAATCTCAGTTTTCGAAATCTATAAGGAATAAAGTACTTCTGAACACAATTCAGGTGGCACGGCCATCCAGGTCATTTCCTCGCCGCTGAAAAGAAGGCGACATGGCGGGTTCCTTTTTTCTTCTGAAAAAAAAATTTGTTTCATTTTTTCGGCCTGAGAATGGCTCACTTTCTATAAATCGGGAGACAGCTGCTCCGATAGTGTATAAATAGATGACGGCCATGAAAATCTGAAAATATAAAGCATTTAGAAAATTTGCAAGAAAATAAATCTCTTAACTTCATATATTAATTTAGATACGATCATTGATATTTTTAGACCAACTTCTTTTCGTTACCTTTTTGTAACTTTCGCCAGAATTCGAGTTAGAAAAAGCACCTTTCGCTGAATAAAAAGCACGAGAAACGCCATAAAAATGAATAAGACCCTATAAAACGCCTTTGATCATTTTTATAATGACCCCATTATTAACGCAATTTTGTGAGCGACAAGGAGATAGTTAGGAGAGAAAAAAAACTCCATACAACTTCCGGCTCAAACTGTTGTTTTTTTTTTTCGCAGTTGAGGCTCAGTTAGTCGAAAACAGTGCGAAAAAAGCTCCCATTGAAAGACTCACCACCGTCAGACTTAGGCGAAAGATTCTGTTGTAGTGCAGAGGAAAGAAAACGGCGGTACAACGATTGACGGCGATGAACAACGACATGACCTGGTTGATCATGTAGACGAGCAACACCACGTTGTAGATCACCGATTCGACAGATTCTGGCAGCAGAGAGGAGCCTCTGAGAGAAGAATAATTATTTTTCTTCGAGCCATTCGGTCAGATACTTACAAATAACAGAAATAATCGGGGTTGATTAAAGAAAAAGAACGAGAAAAAGATTATTTTGATTGCTAGAAAGGGCATTGTCAAGCCTAAAATCGGCTCGAGAAATAACAGCCGCAATTTACCAATCCAATTCGCTCTATGGTTAAATTAGTCAAACCATCTATGAAAAATTATACTGTAAATACAAACTTTTGCTCTACAAAACTGCTCTAATTCAGCAAAAAAACAAAGGCCGTGAAGAGAAAAAAGGGTCAAGTTTGATATAATTTGGTATACGGTCTTTTTTACAGGAAAAAAAAACAAGGAAAACTGGCACGGAATGGGCTATTAATGAACAAGTTTAAGTCTCTCTGACTATAAAAATTGGTTCTTCTCACGTACAATGATTTTTTCTTCAATTCATGAACAACACTTCTCTTTCTGTTCCCGAAAACGATTAAAAATGAAAATAAAAGCCTACAGGAGAGCGGCAGGTGTGTTATCGACAACGAAAACGAGAAACAGAAGGGCGAAGTTGACGAAGGCTCGAACCCAGCAGACGACTGAAAATGACGTCATGCTTTCCTTGCAGAGCACCACCAAAAGCGCTCCATTGGCCGCCATTCCGATGACGCCGTCCTGGAACGACTTCTCTAGTTAAATTTCCAATCACCCTTATGAAAAGCAGGTTTAACATTCCCAAATCTGACTCTCAATCACATGAAAAGACAAATTATTCATTTAGTCGAGCCAACTGTCCTCATTAAAAATTATATCGGTTTGGTGTCGCCGTGGAATGTGTAAGCAATAAATAAAATTGGACTCACTCCAAAACAGCTTATTTTGCTCTACCTCTGATCAAACATCATTGTTCGATCTTATCCTGTCCATCAAACTTCCTTTGATCAGTCACCGTCCTTTTCGTATTTTTCTTCGTTTTTTTTTACATGTTGATCTTCAAGGTTTTGGGATTTGGCTCCTTCTGATTGCGACAATGTCTTTAATGTTGGAGAAAACTAATTTTTTTTCCTTTCAACTTTCTTTTTTCGGATTCTACTGAGAAAAACAATAAAACTCAAAAAAAACTTTGAAAGGGTCGTACTTCAATCGTTGATGTAATTATTTATTCTTAATAGGAACTATGGCTTCAAAACTTCGAACCGCATGATTTATTTCGCGCTTTTCAGCTGTTATTCAACTTCCAGCTGATATTTTCCTCTCCTTGTAGGTTGATGAAAACTTGAATCCGTCATTCACATTTTTTTTATGAAAAAAATTGCGCCGAAGCGACGTTTTCGAAAAAAAATCTCATGGAGTAAATTTTCAGGGTATTTGAAACCTTGAAAAAAGCTTTTTTGAACGATTGCAAAAACGGTGTCAACCTTGCTAATCAACTTATCTCGTCTTTCGAGTCGGGAAGAATTAACTACAGGAATTTCCAAGTTTTCATAAGTTTTGTTGCTTTGTCTTTACTTCATTTCCATCTCAAATTTTCTCTGATTCAAAATGAAACGAACCAAGAGAAGAAGCGTCGGCGCCACTACGTCCAGCGGCGTGCGTTTATAAATTCGGCTGAGACTCATCGGCTTTTGAGGAAGTCTAAAAAGGAATAATGAAAAATGAGCAGGTGGAAATGAATAAATTCAAGTAGGAAACACAGCTTTGAAAGTCTTTGCATGTCGGCGAGAAGTCGAACCGCCCATTTTCCTGCATAATCACGGGGTTCAGAAAGCAAAACTCGTGCTTAATTTCTGGTCTTCAATTAAAAACCTTATCAAACCTCAGCTCATAATATAAACAAGAAAGGATAAACTCGTAGAGAATCAATGTGATAATTTATTTTGAAGAAACGCGAAGGTGAGAGAAAAATCATTTCAAATCTTCTTCTCGACACAAGTTTGTGAGTTTTAAACGCGGTACGTTGACTCATTTCTAGTGCGACCACTTCTCAAAAAGACTAAACGAAGAAAAGCAGAGAAAAATGATTACGATAAGATTTACTGTCAATAAAATCTACTACATTTTGAAAGTTTTCTCGATTTTCGACTGCGTGCCTTTTTAATACAGTTACCGGTTAATGTTTGCTGGAAATGAGAAAATACGAGAAAAACAACCGAGAAAGCAAAATTGAAAAATCCTGAACACATTCTTCTCAAATTTGGCAGCTTTACTAAGCTACCGGTTGAGCCATCAACTTTGTAACTTTTACCTTTTTTCAATCCGCAGCTATTTTTCGGATAATTCTTTCAAAACGTCTTTCTTAGAATATTTCCTCACATAATAAAACAAAAGTTTGAACTTGACAGTGGTTCTACCTACAGAAATGTCACGACAATGGCTGACTACCGGAGACGGCGGACGTCTTCTGAAGGCGTCGAAGAAGACGTCGCCATCTCTGATCGGCGCCGCGACCGCCGCCGTCGCGGTGCTCTTGGCTTCGCAACTTGTCCGCAAGGTTTCTAAAAATACTGAGAATTTTTCAAATAAAGTTTATAGAAGTAACGGTAAAAAAATTCTCGCTAGAAGTTGGTAGGTAGAAATAGTTGCACGAAGAAGATTTTTTTTTTTTGGGAAAATTTTCCAACTAGCCTAAAATGTAGCTTTTTCAACAACTATACCTGCAATCAAAATATTTGCGGTGCATAAAAACCACAGCTATCGAGTTTCTGAAAAGTCATGAAAATATTTTTCTAGCGCTATTTTGGGCTTCAATCATTGATCTCAATCTTCGAGTTTGCTCTTTTCTAAATTTCCATGCGTAAAAATCTCAGCCGTTTTTCGCTCAAACTCCAAAAACGTGAGAACTGTGCTTTTGAACGAAATGCAAACTTTGAAAATGTTTTTTTTTCAGGCAAGGTGCGCCGCGAGTTCTGCAGAGAATTGAAACTTCTTTTTTTTTCGTGCAAATTCTGAAAATAAAGCAATCAATTTTTACTTCAATAAGCTGAGAGAAAAGCATTGCACAAGGTAAGGCGCTTCAAGATCACAAGAAAGAGAGATGAAACAGGAAAATAAGGCACACTGAAGGACTTAGATGAGCAATTTAAGGTGATTATGCCATGAGTATTACAAAAGTTACAACTTAAAGAGAGAAAAGTCAAAGACACAAGCTGGAATTGCAAAAAGGTGAGAAAAGGGGCAATTATTCCTCGATTGTGGACATATTATTGGCTCTTTCGTAGAGCTCACGGTCAGTCGCCTTGATCAAACCAAACTTTTCAGCAGCCGCCAAAGCTTTTTTGGCCTGAAATTTGATTTTGGAAGGATTTTTATCATGTTTTTCAGTGTTTCAAACCTCTTCAGTGGCACCTTTCCTTTCGTTATTGATTCCTCCAAGTTTGGTAATCGCGACCAAAACTCGGAAGACTTCTGACTGAAAATCTTCATTTTACCACAGAATCCTAGTTTTTTTGAACTCACGGCAACAACTTCGGCACAACACTTTTCACTGCTTTCCATCACTCGAGTGATACCGATCAGACCGCGTTTTTGAGTCTAAATATGCCCTATTATATCCTTTTTACACAATTACGAAAAATGTTCAAGAGATTTTTTTTTTTTTTTTTGCGATTGAGGGTGTTGTCATGCATCTCATGGAAAAAGTCAAGCGGTAAAAACTTGAAACTAATGAAATGAATTTGAAAGTGTATTTTTTTGAATTTAGACTCTACAATCGTTTTTCAAAAAGCTAGGTTCCATATTGAATCTATATATGCCCATCAAAATTTCAGTTTAGGAAATTATCCGTTTGATTTTTTGAAAAACTTATTTCTTTGCTCGAAAAGTTGTAAAATCAAAACTACTGGTTTGTCTGTGGCCAACTACCATTCCAAAATGGGCTCGAACCTTTTACTGAATACCTAGGCGACTTTTGAGGCCAGAATCAGCTCAAAAAAAAAAAAAACTACCTAGCCTCATTCAGAAGTTCCATTTCTGGTAAGTTTCAAAACTTTAAAAGAGCCATGGTGAACTTTATCTTCCGGAATACCTCTTTTTTTAGCTTTTTCTTTCTCGCAGTTGGAAAGAAAACATAGGGATCATTCTGAACCAATGTTAAGACCTTTTATAGTCTGCTCAGGTTTTGAAAATCAATTCATCACTGAAGCTCCGCCCCTAGTACTGCGTTCAACCAATCAAAAAGCAAGCACTCCAGAGAGCATTTTTGGATGACGTCACTAAATTTGTCACTAGAAATCTGGACTTTATTCTGTTTAAAATTCTCGTGCCTCGACGTCCTCGTGCATGGCGATGTCCTTGAAGACTTGCGGCCAGGACTGGATTTCGTCGAGGATTCGCTGGCCGACGCTCTCGTCTTCGCTGAGGACGGCGAACGCGGCAGAAGCCGCCCTCGACAGCCGCTCGTCTTCCGCCTCCGCCGCGTACAGAACCCACAGCTTCAGTCGGTCCGTTCCTTTCTGGAAACACCCTTTTCAACAAGAAAAAAAAACATCTATTGAATATACTTTTTCAAAACTTTTCAGAAACTCGTTAAAAAGAGCACTAGTTCAGCACAACCTTGTAAATTTATGTTTCAGTAAAATTGACAAAGAAATAAAAAAAAATCAGCTTATCATTCGCCTCTGATTTTTTTCATTTTCTTATTCCAATCTTCATATATTAAATGAAAAAAATAGCACCTGCAGAGGAAAAAGTATTAGAAAATGGTAAAAAAAGCTTTAGAATTAATTCATATGTTATTTCACACCTAATTTTTTCACAATTAAACATTGTCCGTTTCGCAAAAGCCCTACTCTCAGTTCATTTTTTTATGTTAATTACAAAAAAATCAACATAATTTCTCAAGGAGTTTCTTCACCAAAGACGTGAGATTATTCTAAAAAACAACCTTAACAGTCTCTTGGAAGAAGGAGTCGGAAAAGAGAAGGTTGAGCAAAAGTTCAGATGCTGCAGCTCGCAAATGCGGATGATCAGTCATGAACCTTCAATTGAATATTCACTTGTTGCCTCAAAAAGACAAAAACCTACCAAAACTCTTCAATCTTCGGAATGGACTTCTCTTTGAGGATTCTTTGGCGGATCGAGTCACTCACGCTTGCCTAAAAAGTGAATTTCAGAAGGAATATTCCAAAAAAATGGCTTTTCTCTGCAACTTTTTTTTATTTAAAATAAGACGCTTTTTTCGAAAACAAGGCAAAACTTTAAATTCCAACGGTTTTTTGTTCCAAAGAAAAACTTTCAAATCGTCCAATTTATTCAAGCATAATATCACTTTCTCCTTTTTCGAACGAACCAAATTGGTTAACGTGAGCAATGCGTCGTAATTTGCTTTGCCGTCGATATCCGGATGGAGGAGTTCGACCAAAGGTTTGACAACCTCGAATGGAAATAAACATTAGGTACTTTCTTCCCTCTCTTTCGAACCTCATAGGAACGTTGGCCGGGGAACGCGATTTCTGGATTCGCCTTGGATCCAAGTTTTGCCAAAGTGTGGGCGGCCTAAAAAAAGTTTGATTTGGTAATTTTTCAGACCTCGTTTCAAATCATTTTCATCTTAAAACTTAAGTTTTTCTCAAATTTTTTTATCAGGTAAAGAGTTAGTTGTGAATAAGGTTGTCTAGAAAAAATTCTAATATTCAAAAAAATCATCAGAAACCGTAAGAAGTCTACTTTTTTGATTCATAATCAAATAACTCTTCAGATTTTAAAAACCATTCAAAATTTATAATTTTGCATTTACCACGATTAGAAAAATTATTTCTTTCTCAGATACATTTGAGAATATTGACTGTGATAAATCAATCACCAATAAAAAAATTTCTAGATCTAAGACTGTAAATGATTTAAATAAAGCTGTTAAAAATTTTAGAAAGTCTTCAACAATTTGAACATTTTTTCATTCAAACCTTGATTTTGCCTTCTGGCGTGGCTTCTTTCGTCAATCTCAGGCACAATTTCGAGCCTCCTTCGCTGATAATTTTCCCGCGAATGTCTTCGAACTCGGAGAAGGCCAGAAGGGCTCTGAAAACAATATTCTCAGTGAATTCCGCTGGAAAGAGCTCAAATAACCTAGCGATGAGCTCAAGAGCGTTTTTGCTGTCGGTCTTGCTCACAGCTACACACGCTGACACAGCTCCTGAACATTATTTTGGAAAAATTTCTGTGAGAAAAGAAGGATTTGGGAACCTTCGTCGACCAGGGCTCGAATTCTCTTTTCCACGAACTCGTCTGTATCTTTGGGATGAACTTCTGGCACGTGGTGCTTGGCGAACTGCAATATTTCTCTTTTTCTTTATGTCTTTATCAAATGTTCTATTCCACCACCGCATTTGAAAGAAAAAAATCCACCTGTGCCAATTTGACCATTTCCTCGTCGACTTTTGGTTTTTCGTAGGCGTTCGTCAAATTTACATAGATTGAAGCCAAGGTATACCTGAAAAGTCTAGGTCTAAAAAATACGTAGTGAGAAAAAGTGAAGCTCATTTTTTGTGCTAATTTTTGAATTATGCTAGCCAAAATGAAACGCAAAAGTCGCCCTTGTTATCGAATCAACATGTTCGAAGATACTCCTATACGAAGTTTCATCGAATTCTGACACCACCACTTTTTGCTCTTCCTCTGTGAAAAGCAAGAACGAACACGCAAAGGGATCCGGCCTTCTGGGCAAGAAGCAGAAGCGCCTTCAGAAGCAAGGAATCCTCGACGATCCACTCCTTGACGTCGGCGTCGAGCGAAAGGTACGAGAGGCCCTCGCAGGCGAATCTGCACTTTCCTTATCATTTTCCGATTTTCGACTTCTCAGACTCACTTCCTGACGTCGACGCTGTACTTCTTGTGGTCGAGCAGGAACTTCTTGCAGGTGCTCGCCAACTTCAGAACGGCCTCTTCTTTCATCGTCGCCCTCGAAATATCGTCCCCGCCGGCGGCACCGCATTTGCACAAACCCTTCAGAATTGAATTCATCATTACATATTTTATTTTGAAACGTTTGCTGGGACGTTGAAGAAAAACAAATCGAAAATAGTCTTAGCGTCAGAAGCTTTTTAATGTTATTTCAAGACTCATCGAACTTGTCTGAACGAACCTTAACTACAAGAGAAAACTTTTTTTTAACTCCGATATCTGACTTATTTTTTGAAACGCGGAATGCATTTAAAATCAAATTAGTTCAGTCTGAAAAAATTTCGCGAAAACCTTAGATCGTTTCAGGAAAATTCGATATTTCTTTTATCAGCCTGGGATGAATGCTGAGTTATTTATCTCTCTCATTATTTTACTGTCTCAATATTTTCTCATTTTACCGTCACGATATCGAATTATCAAACAAGAGAAAAAGACATCAAAGCGCGCATAAATTCGATTAAAGAGCGCGGTGAATGTGGAGAGTTCAGACAACTTTTCTATGCTCGCTCATATATAATTCTCTAAATACACATGAAACAAGATGAAAAACATCACCCTTTTTCAAATGAAACCTAAAATTTATATATTTTTCCACGCCAAAAAACTCACGACAAGAGCTCGAACTTTGACGTTTTCATCGTCGGATTCGAAAAGCTTCCGGAGAATCGGCACGCCAACCTAAAAAGATAAACTTTAATAAAAATGAATCGAGTATGTTTTTCAAACCTTCAGAATAGTCGTGGCTCGTTCGTGCTTGCTCACTGTGCATACGATCAGTTCAGCGGCAACACTCTTGAAAAATAAATAACTTTTTAATGGAATGAGAAGAAAATCAACATCAAAACTAAGAAGGAAAACTCAGACCTGCATCAGTTTATCATCGGATGAAGCCATTTGCATCATGAGAGCCGTGATCGGATCATTCGTAACCAAACTCAAGCCAATGTCCACGGGCCCCTAAATTATTTTGAAACTCTTTTCAAGCTCAAAGTTCAGTGCCAACTTGAAGCATTGTAATGAGGAAAGAGCCAAGTTTGACTCTGATTTTTCGTCCAGGTTCGTCGTCGCTCGCACGAGCCATCAAAGCGCTGCAAATTTCGCTCTTTGTCTCCGTTTTTGAATATATTTTCATTCGGGATCTCTTCGAAGAGGGTAAGAAGAGATACACGCCAACCTGAAGAAACGCCAGAAAATCAGCATCACTCTCGTTCTCTGGCGACTCTTCAGGATAATGCTACTCTTTCGCTCTTCCTTTTTCGCCTTTTTCTTTTTAAAAGCCTTTTCAAATCATGATTTCGAGTTTAAACTTTTAATTATACATTTAAAACATTATTTTTTTACTTGGCTTTACTTTTCCAATTTTCTAAAGCAACTTTGAAAAGCTTTCTCTCAAATTTTCCTGAATAGATCGAGCCAGCTTCAATTATCTTTTTTTGACTACTTTTTTTGCTGGTGCAAAAATCGTTTTTAAACTAATTTTTTTCAAAAACTTTTTACTGAAAAAAAGGTAAAATTTTAATCTCAAGACCAACTTGAAAAACATGTCAACACGTTCGCGGAAAATGGTTCTTTTCGTATCGAAAACCATGTCTTCGTCCAATTTCTGCAGGCAAATCGCCACATGTTGCCGCGTTTCGTGGGATACCTGGAGAAGTTTTTCAAACATTTCATATTTTTCTCTTCTCTTCTTACTGGATATTCACACTGCTCTGGAATCTGTCCGGCGACATCCAAGAGAGCCAAAAGACCTAAACATAAGAATAGGTAGGAACTAATAAACATGTGGTAAAACCTCGATCTTCGACGAACTTCCAAGACCATCCACGAGGGATTCCGCCATCCATGTGCATCAGATTCTTCGACAACAAATCGATGACCGTTTCACGAACCTGAAAAAATAAAGATATGGGTAGAAAATTGAAGCATGAAACAAGCTTCTTCAGCTAAAAATATATGATTAAATAAAACGAACCGTAGGATTGATTTTCGGATCTACGAGCATTTCCTGCAGCTCAAGGAGAACGCGAACAATCCAAAGTTTGTTTGCTAAAGTTTTGTTTTTTTGTTTTTTTGTCTTTTTTTACCTCTGAAATAAAAAGTTTTTTTCAGTTTTTTTCGAGCTAATGCAGCTCTGGCTAAAAAATGAAACATAAGAGCTTTTTTCTTCATTTCTGCTATTGTTTTGTCAGATTTTTTTTTAATTATAAGGAGATTTCCATAAAAAGGAAAAAAAATCGCTTTTGAATTTCTTGAATGAGAAAACGGATCAAAGGTTTTAGAAAATCGCTAATTTCAGAATCATCAGACCTTCTTAGACCTTATAACCAGCTAAGTGTTAAAAAAAAATCTCAAGAACGTGCCGAAGATGAATTTTAAAAGCAGATTATACAGTCTCAACCTTGAAGAGTTTTGATATTTGTTCGATTTCTAACTCAACTTATTTCCTAACTCTCTGATCCACGGCTCTTTCTTCACAAGGAGAATTATTTTGTACCTAATCATTGTCAATCCTTATTCTCATTGGAAATTCAACCTTCGGCGACTTCCGGATCAGGCTTCATTTCCTTCTGGCGATCCATCTTAGCCAGAGCGTTGAAAGTTCTTTGGATGATCAACCCCGCGGCGTCGACAAACTCCTGAGAACAATATTTTCATCTGAAGCCAAGCCGAAAGACGCAAACCAAACCTTATCCGTTCGTTTGGTCATCAAACGGCAAACGAATCGAACCGATTTGATTCCGTCGGCGTCGTGCATTGCCAAGAACGACAAACACTTAAAAAATCGAAATTCTAATAGAAACTATGGAAAGTTACAATAAAATTTATCCAAGAAGATTGAATTGGAGTAAAATTTCTCTGTTTATTAATCATCAAAGAGTGATTTTGGATACCAAAGTTTTAAAATTTGTAAGGAATTTTCATAAAAGTGACAATATATGAAAATTTGAGATGAAGTAAGACTTTAAACCATATTTATTTTGCAGATGATGCCCTGAAGTTTGAAATAAATCTCGGGTAAACCCAAAACTTTTCAACAAAGTAGAGCGGAAGATCCTTTCTTGACTTATTTTTTCAACTTTCGAACTTTCCATTTATTTTTTCGCAACTACCTAGAAGCAAAGTTCACTTCGAATAATTGATAGAAGATTTCGTTCCAAAGAATTTAATGAAAAAAAACCCTAGCCATGAGTTTGATTTAAGATATGTTTGTTTAGCCCTACCAGCAGAAAAAAAAAATCATTTAAATTTTGTAAATTTCCTTCTTTCTCTATTATTTTACCACGGGAAAATTCACTAACACGGGAATGATTCTTGAGAGTTTCATCGAGAACTCTTGTCGCTGTGACGGCGACTTCAGAAGACTCGGATTCGTCTCCGATCAGCTTCAAAATGAACGGAACGAGGGCTCCCTGAAAAAGCCATACTTTTACTCCTGGATATTAGAAGGTTCACTGAACTCGGAATGTTTCACTGAATTTGGAATACAGAAACGTTAGAAAATTCTTCAATCAACAACAATACCTTGTTCCAGACGCTGGTGGCACCGGATTCAGAGTCTCTGCACAACACCAACAAGTTGTTCAACGCCTGAAAGACGAAGAATTTCATGATAAAGCAATTCCTCAAAAACCGTCAATTTCTGCTCCGAATCCTTGGCCTCTCCTCGGAACGCGAGCTTTTCCATGTCGGATACCTAGAGAAACAGAATTCGTTTGAGCAAGAAATTTTTATAAATCTTGCTAGAAAAAAAAACACTCTAAAAGACTCTTTCTTCGACATACTTTGTTGGCGAGAGACGTGGCGTGCTTGATTTTGTCATTATTGGCCTTGACGAGACGCTGTAGAGCTTCGACAATGGCTCTGAAGTCGAGAGGAGTTTTGAGACAGAATAAAGAATGACTACATTTTTAAAGTTCTATATTCTCAAGAATCAAATTAATTTTTTTAGGTGCCATCAATTGAAAAAAATGAAATATAAACTAAATCAGCCTATATGTTTAGCCTTATAAGCGTGATTCACTACTTTTCAACTGTCTTGCATGTCAGAAAATCTTAATATTGAAGTTTTGAAAAGTTTTGATTTCTTCCAGGTTATTTGATCCCCAATATCAGCAAAAATGTAATTATATGAAGCCTGCTAAAATTCACTAACAACTTCTTTCAAAGAAGCGGAAGTTGAATGGAGCTTTTAACCTTCTAAATTCGCATAGGTTAAACGAGTTTCGGAAAGCAAAGCCTTTTTTAGAACTACCGAACATTCGGAGATTCCTACAGAGCTAAAGTCGATCCTACTTTGAAAAAAAAAAGGCTAGATTCATGAAATTCACTTGTCATTGGGCGACAATCGGAGAGCTTCCTTGGCGTCTTGGAAGGCGGGACCGACGATGTCGAGCTTTTCCCTGGCCAAGGCTCGTCGGAAAAGAGCCTTCGTGTCTGCTCCATCGTACTCGAGAGCTGAATGTACGTTCTAACGAATAGCTTTAGCATGGCTGCTAAGAAATCGGTGTTATTCTCATGATTCCATCTTAAACAAAGATTCAAGAGGAAATTTATTCTCAGCCTAGAACTTGGTCATGAATCATATTTTCGATTGGGAAATACTTTAATATTTACATTATATATTAGCAGAATGAACCCCATCATAACGCTCTTTTCTGACCGCCCACCCAAATAATAGTATTCAAAGACAGTAACAGTTTTCTCACAAAAAAATCACGGTTTCCAATGTTCTCTAATATATCATGGTATGAAATAGTATTTTTCTATAGAATGTTTGAGTTTCTCTGCTTCATATGCGTTTATGGACAGCGGAATGAATTTAAAAATCTACGAATCTAAAAATTTAAACGATTGAAGATTTGAAAATTCAACCTAACATTCGCTGAATGAAGAATTGTGCAATCAAAAAATAACTTCAACAATAGTAAGGAATTTATTCGAGAGTTTCGCATTCATTGACTTTTTTTTCGATGAGCCTGTGATTAAAAGTTTTAATTTCGATCAGATCGGAGCAAAAATTGAAACGGAGTAAGAATGCCTGTCAGGACAAAAAAAAATAAGAAAATTTAGAAAACGAAATAACTCATTGGAAAAAAAAATTAACAATATTGAGAAATGATTTTCGCAAAATTATGAAAAGGCCCTATTATACTATTAAAGCTTTTCAAAATTCGGAGTTTTAAGTTTCAATTTTCTGAAGCATTCGTAAAAACAGATATTCTCGAAAAGAAGTCTTTAACCGAAAAAAAACCAACCTTTCGTGGCGTCCGTCTCGGCGCCTTGGAAATCTTCCCTTTTCAGCCTTGCAAGGGCCCTGTTGCGGTACAATACCGACCGGATCTCCTTCTGATCCTCCGTTGTCAACTGCAACGCTTCGGTGTACCTGAAAAGCGTTTAAGAAGATTTTTTCAGTTTTCGCAACGAAACTAACAATTCGTCGGCCTGAGCGTACTCCCCAGCACGAACGGCTTCATTTCCCTGATCGCGCAATTTATCGGGAGTCACCTGGGGTTCTGGTTCTGCTCCCATTACCTGAAAGCAATTTAATTTTCGACTGGCCTTCAGAGAAAAATCAGCACTCATCAGAAAACTATACTAAAATTTTAAAAAAAAATGTATGAACGAAGAAAAGAAAGTTTAAGTAGTTGAATTCAGGACGATATGAGTTAAGAAAATGAGGAGGAACTACTGTTAAGACATTGGAAAAGTAAATAACACAAGATCTAAATGGGTGATGTCCTCAAAGAAGGTTCCCTCAAGTTGATCTGGAGCAGTATGAAGCGAAAAATAATTAAAACTAGTTCATTCATATTCTAAAACAGCAGATTTTCATAAAAGATTACTATAACCATAAAAAAGAGTTCAGAGTTATACCTTTCGAGATAAAGAGAGTCAATATATACTTACAAGCTCAAGGCGGACTATTATTTTGCAATGTTCTGGAATATGCTGGATGCCTCTGGAGTACCCCGAGGACGGTGGCTCTCACGAGAGCCAGCCGGTGTGTAACAAAAGCACACAGCGCGGTCGGAGAGCCTAGACAGAGGCGGATCTGGCCGACTATTTGAGGTGCCTGATCTGCGCGACTTTGAACGGCGATGGAGAAATTCATCAAATATTTTCCAACTCCTTGGTCAAACTATTTTTTATTTAAACCCACGTTGAAAATAATTTCTGGGAAGTTATAAAAATCTATGACTCCCCAATTTTCATTATCTTTTCGACTTTCTGACGATCTCAAAGTACACCTTTGAATGACGTTATTTTGTGCAGTGCTCGAAATAATTCCTCAAAATAAAAACGGCAGTCAGAGTGAGAACAAAATGAATCACGGAATTAGAGATGTTGATTTCCGCAAAGCTACTCGCCGAAAAAAAGTTCTTTCAAAAAAATCGAGTCACTGAAAAAAGATAAAAAAATCCAACTTTTACTTACTTCCTGAAATAGTTGAAACTACAAACTTATACAAATTTCGGCCAGTCATGTCTTCTCTTTCTCTCATCACTTTCCGTCGCATTCAACTTTTCAGTCAGCGCTTATACAACTTTTTTTCATGAATTTACATATGTGAAAATTTTCAACTGAATTCTATAGTATTTTTCGTCATTTGATAAGTCTAAGATCAACTGCAATATATTTCAGTTTATCTTATAATCATCAGAAACTCAAGAAAACTTTGTTGTAGGTGAAATCCTTTTTTCATGAAGCTGTGAAAGTGAAATAATTCAACCAGAGATCAATTGTGGCCTTTACCTGCGGAAATACAACGCAAAAAATGTACATTCAATAATTCATTCAGTAACAATAAAATTAGAAAACAAGGTTGTGCGGGTATTGGTTTTTGCTGAGAGAGAACAACGTACTCAAGTATCCCAACAAATGTTTACGGTCAGCGTGCTTCTTGATAGCAGCAAGGACAGCTCCATCAACAGCCTTGGTGTCGTTTTTCCTTTGCTCAGAAACCTGAAAAGAACTTTTTTTTTTGGAAAAATTCGATACGAAGAATCATTTCGAAAGCAACATTTATTGTTAAACGGAAAAGTCGCCGTTTGAAAATTCGCTGGCTTTTTTTTCATACCACCTAATTTTCAAATGCAAAATTATCTGCCTTTGTGTTCAAAGAAGTGATTTCGCGAAGTTAAAAATAGTCGCCAGAGAAAGAAAAAGATAACTCAATTTTGGCGAGTCAGAGAGCATTTTGCATTTCGCGGAAATTACTTTGAACACGGGATTAAAAAATTACCTTGTATTGAGAAACTCCAGACGCAAAGATGTTATTTCCTTTCTTGGATTCGAGAGACTTTCTTTTGAAGTAATCATCTGTCAAGTGGTCAGGAACATTAACGCCAGAAATATCAAGCTTCAAAGAAGTTCTGATGACAAAAGCTGACGCTATTCTTCGCAGCGGACATCCATTGAGTCTGTGCGGGCCTAAATTAATCGAAGATAAAAAAACCAAATTTATATGATTCAAAAAAACTGTGGGAAGAGTTTGACACTCGCCAAAACAAAGGAGGAAATGGAAAGTAACACATCTTCTCTACTATTTTGCGCCATAATTATACAAAGTTATCAAGAAATAATAATTTGTCTCTTACTGGCGCGTCTAATTCCAAAATAAAAACTAGCCTGTAACAAGTAGAAGACCAGAGGGTAGAGTCTTGAGGAAGACAACGCGCTTGCCCTTATGACGACCAGCAAGGATAATCAGAACAGTTCCAGGAGCAATGGCTTTGCCACCTGATCTTTTCTGTGCATGCCCGAGTTCGAACTTCTTGCCGGTTCTTTGGAGAGGCAAAAGCTTCTCCGTCTGTAAATCTGCATAAATATAAGTACATGTGCGCAGAGATGAAGATGAAATTTTTTCTTAATATGAAACGATTGTATAACTCTGAGGTGAAATAGGGGAGCAAATGCAAGCCCTATTTGCATAATAAGTAAATTTATTTACGAGATACCACAGCACTCAAATAACAAACGCTAGCTGAATGACTCTTGGCCTCGAATAAAAAAACGTCAGTAGTAAAAAAAAAAGTACTACCTGTTTCTCCACTTTTTTAATAGGAGTTTTTTGTCCTCGTTTTAATCGAAGTCGAGCAGTGGAAAATCGCAGCACGCCAGGCGACAGATCGAAATTTCTGCCTATGATAGGGTTTTTCTTTCCAACCATTTTTACCCTGAAACTTTGTAAGATTATTGAATGGAAGGTTAATTTTTTTTTTTTCAATAAATTTACCACGATATATATATATTTTTTTGAATCTTATTGACGAGATGAATAATAAAGAAGCGGGGTTGAAGTGGCAGATAAGTGAAAGGTGATTTCTAACTAAAATGTCCTTTTTAGAAAAAAATAAGTCTTACAAACTATAATAACTATATAACCCAGTGTATCCGATTAAAAAGTTCAAAGATAATTCTAAAAAATCTCCTTAAACATTAAAAAAATTACCGAGCTAAAAAAAGTTGAAAAAATTAGTTTTTTTATTTTTTTATGTTTTTCTTAGTTCCATTCAAAAAGAAAAATACCCAGAGCTCTTAACAATTTTTTTCAAATTTTTCTAACAATAACAGTCTTATAAAAAAAGATTATATAAAAAAATTAGAATCCATTCAAAGAAAAAGCTACGAAACATTAGAGTTAAAAAAATTTTTCAACAGGGTTTACTTCTTGCAATGAATACAGCAAAATGTTTTATTATTGACTGATATTGATTAAAAAAATGTAGGGCTTGTAAAAAAAAAATGGAAATTAAAAAAAATTTGCAATGGATTCGACTGAATATTCTACAAGACCTCAATGAGAGCAGTAGCGTACGGTAACCTGAGAATGGGTGTGCAGTGTTCGCTTCAAAGTATCTATTGCCGTGTTCAAAGTGATTCCGCGAAATTTGAAATAGCGATCAGACTGTGAGAAAGAACTCAATTTTGGAGAGTCAAAGAAAAAAAAAAACTGATTTTCGTGGAAATTAAATATGAGATGAAGATTCTTTAGACGCCGTTTTTTTGTTCAGTTTTTTTTTTTTCAGGTTTGAAGCCAGCAGATCGCCATATTCTGAAGAATAAATCACAGTGCTTCGTGATGTGGTTGAAGTTCAGTGACAAAAAAACCGAGGTCTGTTAAAAACAACTTCATTTACATTTGATACAAATTTTTGTAAGTTTGAGGTAATTTGAAAGTCCATGTTATGCCTATTGAAAGTATCATCGACGAAAAAAATGTTCTTACTGGCTCACATGGAATTCCAACATTAGGTCCGATACTTCTAAAAGTTAATTTAAAAAAACTTAATTAAGAAATAAATTTCGCTGCAACAAGGAAGGGTTTTTCTTTTATTCTCAGATAAAAAATTGGCTTTTCGCCCTCCTAGTTTCTTTAATGAGAAGTTTTCATTGCAGATTTTATTCTGAACGTTTCAATTAAGTAGAAAGTCTGTGAAACTCAAACAAAAAAGGCCAACAGTGAAATGCTCCGCCCGTGAGCTGCAAGTTGCGCTGCTTCTTTTGCCCGAACGAACGTTCATCTTCTTTACTTCTTTGTGAAACTTTCTCAAATTTGATTTTCTCGTCAAAAACTGCCCTATCTTAGGAAAAGGGGCTTGTTACTCTCCAACTTTTTTGTTAAAGATATTTTTGAACTCACCTCGTTCTGATTCGTTCTTTTAGGTTTCTTCAGCATCTCTGGATCAAGCCGCAATATTAATTTATATAGATTAGTTATTATTTATCGAAGATCTCAACTAGTTTCCGTTCTCTATATTTTCAGGTTTCCTAGGCGTCTCGGAAGATCTTTAATCATCCTCTCCTTTTCAGTAATGGGTGTGAGAGAATAATTGATGAAATTTTTTCGAGACCACTCGGTGCAAAACGGATTTCCTTCCCTCGCGTATCGAGTTTCTTTCCAAAAAGTCTCTCATCCGGATTCTTACCTAATTACGTCTTTCATGAAATGCCATGTATTTTTAGTTTCGATTTCTTTCATTTCCAATACCGTCAGCATTTTCTTCAAGTTTTACCCTTTTTTTTATCGAGAAGCTCAGTTTTAGTCGTTGAAAATCTTTTACTTATGGTTTCGAACTTGTATCACTAATTGAGAAAATGCAAATTTTTTCTCGGTTTCATTTCAAAAAATAAGCTTATAACAGAAACTTGTTGGTATTAAATTTATTTTGGACTACCTAAACTTGAATAATTGAAAAGATTCTGCTCTCTCAGAAATTCGCAATTTTGGTCAGTGGTTGTGAAAGTTTCCTTTTTCAGAAAATGGGAAGCTGGAAGAATTTATCAGATAAAACATGTGACTTGGACAAAGAGTCTCGCGATTATGATACCGTCGAAGTTCACTTTTCCGTGATTCGATACGTTATGCCGTTTTTGGCTATTGCCGCTCTCCTTGGTACGACTATTCTTCTTTTTATTTTCTCGGACTTTGGTAACGCTAACCGGACGTGTCGGGGCGTTACTAATGCCCACTTTAGTAGCGTCAGCAATCTTAAGTGATCCTTAGATTTGCTCCGAAGCGTCCGGTTTTCGTCTCCGATGTCCGAGTGTAAGTTAAGAAATTTCAAACTACCCTAAATTAAAATGCTATTTTACACTTAATTTTTTTGTGAAAAAGGGAAGTGTGCAGAAATGCCTACTGAAAGTTGTCAGGTCGAAAATAAGAGATGACATATCATCTCTGTTGAAATATCTTTCTGTGATTCTCAAAGGGGCACAAGACTTGTACGTCCCGAAATAACGCCCAGAACAGCTTTTGAGATCTTCCGTTTGTCACATTTCTCAAATCACTTCAGAGAATTTTATTGAGGATTTATTTTATCATTTACAAAAACTTTCCTAGGAAATCTTACCTTCATCGGGCTCGTCTTCTGGGGGATCCGACATGGGAGGTTGCCTTTGAAGCGTTATTTGATGGTTATTAACCGGAGGTAAATGAAGTTTTTGGGGAAGTGTAACTTTTCTGAGATCTTAGCGTCGCCGACATAGCAACAACCACTATTGCATTGACCTACTTTCTAAAGGAATCTTTGTGAGTTTGAAACCTCTATCTCTCTTTCTCTCTCTACTTTGCTCATTCCTGAATTATTAGCCACAATTGCGACGACGAGCACATTTGCTATTCAAACGACGGCGGTGTCAGCAGCCTCATATTGCAGGTCTAATAAGTGTGGTATTTTAATACAATTGAAAATTGGCAGAATTTGACAGATCTAGTCGATTTACGCAGACGAATCGCATTGCAATTAGTTTTTTTTAGGTTTTGATATATGAACCGACAAAGAAGAAATTTGATGAGAGCTTTCTGAATCAATCCTGGAAAATTACTTTAGAAAGAGAAAACTTGAATTTAAATGTAGAGTTGCGTTTCATTTTTTCCCAAAATAACTGTTTTCTTGCCGCTTTTCAAAGGAACTGAAAGCTGAGCCACGAGATTATTTGAGGATCCAAAATGTTTTTATTTTTGAGGTGGCTTTCATGCTTGACTACTGGGCGGTCGCCTTGTCTTACAGTGGAATCGCATTGTTGACATGGTACGCGGTGAGAGCGCCTTTAGCATACAAGGTTTTGGCAACGGTATCCTGATCCTACAGTAATCCATCTTAGATCCGACTGACTTCTGCTACGGTTACACGTTTGATTATCGTCAGTTGGGCGGGAATGAGTGTCTTGTTGCTCTTTTTCGTGTTGTTCTGGCACGGCGGCGAGCTCAACTTTAACGGGAACGCAGTGATTCATTTGTTTCTGGACAATTATGGGGAAGACGATGTGAGCTTCAAATTCATTTATGTGGAAGATCAGATGAGGATGTATACATTTCGTTTGCAGCTGTATATTTTTTACATTTTTGCAAGAAAAAGTAGGAACAAATGCAGGTCCATCAAAAAAGTTATGAAAAATTTTGGAAACGGCTCTTGGTTGGAGTGTATACTGTTCCTTTGCTTTTTCTGTGAAAGACGCAAAAATTTTGTATGAACTCAATTAAGACTGAAAAAGGCTCATCCCTTTGATATTGTTCTCACGTTTGTATCTGCTTCTTTGAAAAGCAACGACTTTTGAGCAGACTTCACACGAGGAAAAGGATTATGACTTTCAGAATTTCGTGAAAAATTTTATCATCGTTTAAGTGAAATTATAAATTATTTTTTCAAACCATTGGTAGATATATTTGCTCAGCACGTGGCTATTTGGCTGGTCGACCTTTGTGTCGAGATTGAACATCATCCGCCGTATCGAGCAGCGATGGAGTCGATGTTGCCGCCAATCGTGTTCTACCTCATTTCTCTCACGTCATACATGCTTGTCGGAATTTTAAAATTTTGTTGTGGAAATTTTACCATTCGAGGTTTCTCAAGAACTTTTCCACCGTCGTGGAAGCAGCATCTACAAGCGTCACCACGCGGCCATGTGGCGGCTCGGCAGTCATTTACTCATTTTTTCGACGACTTGTCTACTCATGGGTGCCGCTTTCTATGGCTCTCTTCCCATGGAGGCGTTTTGCAAGCAGCAGAAGCTGGTGAACCATTTCTTCACTGAAGGAAACATCAAAATATCAGTCATAAGTGTTATTTCAAAAGATTATAATTTTTTTCAAATATTCTTGCACGGTTTTTGAAAGGGTAATCACAAATTTTTTAAAATATGTTTTGCAATAAATCTGGGCATTTATGCCGTGTTCACAGTAATTTTCGCAAAATGCAAAATTATCTCTGACCTACCGAAAAAAATCCTTTTTTTTTCTCGGCTATTTTGGATTTCGCGGAACCACTTTGAACACGGCATTAAAATTCATAAGAAAAAATTTCAATCAGAATATTTAAATGTTTCTCTGAACACACTTTTGACTGAAGTTTGAAAAACAAAATTGTCTCATTATTAGAAGTTTTATCCTCATCATTTTTTTTAAAGAATGGAGAAGCTTGCATGGATCCCGTTGTGACTTATACATTTTTCGCAGCAGCTGCAGTTATTGGCTGGTTTCTTCGGATGATTATCGATGCAGCTATTGACATGGTAATGTTATAGTGAAAATGAGATATCTCCTATTGACCGAATCGACCGAAAAAAAGTGTATAAACCTTACGGTTGCAAGATTTTTGCAGTTTGTCGACGGAGTTCTGAGAAGAGCCGTTTTTGGGCGAGCCAGAACTATAGCCTCAACCGCTACTATGACTACTGCTGATGTATGTTAAAGATGAAACAACTTTTTGAATGTAAAAGGGAAGTTTTCAAGGTTCACATTGGTGAAGTTCAAGGGTTTTCTTTACAAAAAAATAATGCCTTAAAAAGTTTTGTCTCTTTCTTTTTTTTGGCACAAGCTGAATGGTACCGGGACGATTCTCTTCAGAGTTCCTCCGTGCTATATGAGTTTTGGGGAAACGATGTTTGATGTGGGTGAAAGTGACACTCAAGATTTTGTGAAAACCTGGTCAAAAATATCTTTTATTATTATTTATATACGGTAGCTTTCGGCGTTAATAACGTCCATTGTTGAAATCAGAAGATTTATGTCAATCTCCGAAGGACTTATTATTAGAAAATACGAGGTTAAAATCGAAAACGAGGCGATTCAGCGTGGAGAAACGCTTGGAAAGAAAATGAGAAGGCTGACGTCATCTTTTGTTCCGAGAATTCGCCGTGGCGCCGTCCAATTTATCCAAGTAGGCCGAAAGCTACTGTATAACTCAAGCTATTGTATTAACTTTGATAGATTTACAGAACGGGCATAAGTCGTCGATGAACAGCACGCGAGCCCAAGAAGCCGTTCCACTCGCTACTTTCGCCAGTCGCGCTACTATCGACTTGTGAAACTCCTGACGAGACTACGTTCGAAAATCAATTAAATAGGCCTGATGAAACTTCCGCGATCATTTTTGGAAGACAATGCGCCATTATATTCATATTATGAAAGAAAAACAAAGAACTTTTCGTTGGATGAATCATTAAGTTCTTTCTTTTCCGAAGTAGGTTCCGGGAGAAAATTGTTTTGAAGATTTCCAATACTGGCTTGCGGCAATCAACATCGGTCCTCATCATGTAATGTCCACCTGGTCATATTTATCCATTTCCGGTCAATTTATCGCTAAGAAAAAAATTAAAAAAAAAGGTTGTCTCTGATAAAAATGTCAAAAAATCGTGGACCATCGCCCTTTTTGTCGGTCTCCTGAAAAGCTTTTTTCAAGTCCGAATTTGAAGCGAGATTCCTGTAATGTCTTCAGTGTCACAACGGACTATTGGAAATTGGCTGAGGTTTTCATCGAATTTTTTTTCCCAATAACTGGCGGTAGGTAGTTCTAGTGGAAAGCGTTCGAAAAAAAAATAAAGGAATAATGAGCTATTTTGTCCAAAGTAATCGTCTAAAACCGTGAAATAATTATCATATTTTATAGATAGAATTTGCAACGATTTATTACTAAGATAATAATACAAGAATGGAAGGAAATTGGTTTTTTTAAAAAAGGATTTAATGATTAAAAAAAATTGAGGTCGTTTGAAGATAAGAATTTTAAAAGAAAGCGTAAACGTGGCGTGTTCATTTGATATATATAAGAGCGGTTGCGTCCAGAACGCCATTATCTTCAGCTCAAAAGCTTCGTCTCGTCTGCAACGGTACGCTTCTTCGAGTTTGCTCCAAAACCTACAAAAGAAGTCTACAGGATGATGAGGCGCAGCATCTGGCTTATTTCTATCTGTCTCTTGCATCCTGTTGCTGCGGGTGGTGGTAGTTCTGACGCAGAATGTACAGCAAAGGTACATTCAAATTTTAACTCAAATATTGTCTTCAACTAGCCCAAAGTATCAGTCAGTAAATTCAAGCTCCAGTGGAAATGGAGGTAAACGTTTCGCATGACCAGGTTCAGCGCAGTGATGTGTCGCTTGATGGTCCTTAATGAAATTTTTGTTTTTCATTAAGGTTTTAGTTTATAAAAATCTCTACGAAATTTTAATCAAATTGGGTTCATTGGGCAGCTTTGATCTCCAAGTGTGCAAGTTCGTATAGTCTATTCCGCGCCAGCTTGTCACGTTTTTCTTCCCGCCAAAAAGACCGTATACAAAATTAAATCAAATTTCTGCTTTTATAACGGCAGGAAGCAAAGGTCTTGAAGCGAAAGTTGGTTAAATTTGACCTGGCCTTTTGGCGGAAAGAAAAACGTGACAAGCTAGCGCGGAATGGCCTATAAGTTCCGTAGATTTTTTTGAAAATTTTTTGATACCACTGCACCAGAAACGATAGAGTCCGAACACTTGATTAAAAAAACTGTTTAGTCTCTTCAGATTTTGAATCTCAAGCAGAAAACTCCGCCCCCAACAACGCTCTATGGATTGCTCGCTGTCTGATTGGTTTTATCTACTCATAAGGGGCAGAGTTTGAGCGATGCCTTAACATTTGAAATCTGAACAGTCTATAGCGATAAGTTTCTGTGCGAGACCTGGTTGGGAGAAACCTACGAACGTACAGATAGCTGAGATAAAGAAATTGTTTCCAAAGCTTGATGGAAAGTTCTCACCTCAAATCTTCATAAAATTGGTCCCTTTACAAAAGTGTTTTTATGGTGATAATTAAGTAGTTTTTACGTGAAGGAAAAAATTTCATTTACTTTGATTATAGTCCGTTCAGATTATGAATGTCAAGTAGAATGACGTCATCCGAAAATGCTCTGTGGATGGCTCGCTCTCTGATTGGTTTATCGCGCCATTAGGAGACGGAGCTTGAGCGATGACTTGACATTTGAAATCTGAACAGACTATATTTCAAACACAACTTCTTTCAACATATTACACGGAACATTTAGTTGAAAAAGAGTATGAATGGACGTTTCAGGGAGCGGACGATTGGAGAGTGAGCCACGATAGCGTTTTGAGTGATGCCTGTAAAAAAGGCAGTTCTTCGGCTAGCATGTGTAACTCCACGGGCAAAGCGGAATGTGTCAAAAATAATTGCTGTGCTCGTTCGTTTGTTATTTACGCTATTTTCGAGTCTGGAAAGTTGGTACAAGCACTAAGAATAACTGCCGAGATAAACGCGAGACGCTGGCGGTACATTGACGAGCTCGCAAACATCTCGCATTTTTCTGGGCGCGAGCTCGCATTTCTCTCGCATTTTCAAAATTTCCGAAATGCAAGATAAATGGGAGGTCGCGCCGAGAAGAATGCGAGCTCGCGCCCAGAAAAATGCGAGACCGGCGCGAGAAAAAATGCGAGATGTTTGCGAGCTCGTCAATGTACCGCCAGCGTCTCGCGTTTAGAGGTATTGATCAACTTTTATGAATCAGCTGTCCTAAGACGTCTAACGCGTTTCAGACGTTTTTCAATGGAATATTGAGAAGGCGCTAATTTCACTAAATGATGGCTGAAGGGCTCAAATACACTAAGAATAACTGCCGAGATAAACGCGAGGTCGGTGGCGGTACATTGACGAACTCGCAAACATGTCGCTTTTTTCTAGGCGCGATCTCGCATTTTTCTGGGCGCGAGCTCGCATTTATCTTGCATTTTGGGAATTTTCAAAATGCGAGAGAAATGCGAGTTATTCTTATTGTAGTTTTTATAATTTTTTCGGAATTCGCAACTTTTAGAAAAAGTTTCTGATATTACCGCAATCCTCTCAATTTGAGTAATATAATGTAGTAATGTAGATTTAACACACGTTCTCTGAGAAAATCGATGACTTTTCAGTAATAATAAGCAAAATAAAAAAAAGTTTTTTAGATTTGCCTCAAAATGTGATCACAGCTCACACACGTGCTTCTGATTATTAAGCACCAGGTTCCAGGTGGCTCCGCCCCTTTTTAAAGATACTGTAGACAGTAAGCTGAAAAAAATTAATTTTTTTCCTGTTGAGAATTTTCATACAAAAATGCTTGGAAATGTAAGAAAACACTATTTTGAGTATTTTTTCAGTTGCAACTTTTTTTCTAACTCGACTTCTTCGGGGAGAAAAAAATCGAAACTTCCTCAAAAACAGCGAATCTCATAAGGTGTTTTTATTTCTCGAAAAAATTGATGAAAAAGCTTTTTTCGCCATTTCTTCACACCGATCTCACTTGCTTAGGTGTTCAAAAAAAATCAAACATTTGCTGGGTTACCCTAAAATCTTTTTGAATGGTTTTGCAGGTTACTTCAGCAATTTAGAGCAGGTAAGAACGGTGAAAACGAAGATAAGCGTGCCAAGCCTCAAATTTGAATAAAACTACTTATTTCTTGCCGAAAAAGACTCCGATTCATGTCGAAAAGTGACGTAGGTCTCACTGAAAAAGCTTTTTGTGAGAATGGAAACAAAAAAAGTTGTTTTCCGAGCCTTTGTGAAAATTCCATTTTTGGGGTCGTCACCTTCAGGCGGCCGGAGGTCAACTGGGCCACCCCAGAGATTTCTACCGGACTAACTTTTCCTTATCAAGAAAGACCTACTCTTCCATATACCAAAAGATAATGACCACATTCGGGGGTTCCTACAGAAAAAACTACCTGAAAACGGAAAAAATCGGAAATCGACGAAAGTCCTAAAATTCGAAAAGTCTCGAGAAATTCGGAATAAAATTTTCATTGAGCACTAAAATGGTGGAGAACATGAACACAAGTGTTGTCTTTTGTTTCAAAACAAAAAAGAGGAAGAAGCTGTCAAATTAGGAGAAAAATGATTTTTCGAATTTTGAGCCGATTCGAGTTGATCACCTTCGGTCGAATGGAGGTCAACTATCCCACCCCAGGGATTTGTTGTAGAACTACTTTTTCTTGAACAAGAAGGCCCCTAGTTTCATAATCAGAAAAAAAAGTCGTACCATAGGGGGGTTCTTACTCTAGTTATGGCTCAAAAACTGAAAAAATCGCTGTTTTTGAGGAAGTTTCGATTTTTTTCTCCCCGAAGAAGTCGAGTTAGAAAAAAAGTTGCAACTGAAAAAATACTCAAAATAGTGTTTTCTTACTTTTCCAAGCATTTTTGTATGAAAATTCTCAACAGGAAAAAAATTAATTTTTTTCAGCTTACTGTCTACAGTATCTTTAAAAAAGGGGGCGGAGCCACCTGGAACCTGGTGCTTAATAATCAGAAGCACGTGTGTGAGCTGTGATCACATTTTGAGGCAAATCTAAAAAATTTTTTTATTTTGCTTTAGATTCATCGACTTTCTCAAAGAACGCGTGTTAAGCTAACCATAAAAATAATTGAAACATATCTGAGAGAGAAAAATACAATTTATAAAATACAAAAAATAAAAAATACTGTTCTGAGCATTTCCGTGAAGTAGGAGTTATTGTATCAGTTTACTATTTAAATGTTTTATTGTTTGTGAAAAGTTCTTTTTTAGTGATAAGTAGTTTTTAGATGGAAGTTTGTGCGGAAGCGACTACCTTTTCCCCAACAGTGGAGAAGTCAAATCGTGCAGCTCCGAATCAGATTGCTCGGGGCACTTTAAGGCGTCAAACGCACAATACATTTGCACTTCCGTAAGTTTGAGTTTTGAAAAAGAAGGCCTTATCTTCGCCAAAGTATTAATAAATTTGTCTCGATGAAATCGGGGAGAGTAGCAAAAAAATTTTATACAATTTTATTTGGATTTTTTTTGTCGTTATGATGAAGAAAAAAATTTATCAAACAGCAAGGGAAAAATATTTAAGGAGCGTGTCAAAAATTAGAAAAAAACGATTGATTCTGAAAAAAATTAATGCGAATTTACTACTGATAATTCTCGGATCTTTTTTTGATTATCAATCTTCGAGAAAGATCTATGATAAGCTTAAAAGGTATATTGAGGTATTGCTAGTCAATCAATTTTTGTTTCTGAAGATCTTAATCGCTTTTCAGAATAAAAAATTCGCTCTATAGATTTTTGAGTCGTGAAAGCTTCTGATTAGACCCATCACTAGATGGCATAAAAAAGGTTTTCAATGCAATTCTGAAAACCTCTTACCTTTTTCATAGGAAAAAAACAGACCATCTGATTCGTTTGTCTAACGAGAAGATATAGGGAAACTTTCTGTGTAAACGAGGTGTAGGACCCTGAACAAGAATATTTATTTCTTACTAAGAAAAACTGGAAGCCACTTATTTTCAGAATATTTGTTGCGTCAAGAAGGTGGTTGTCACTGGTGGAAGTGAGTTTCTCAATTTTTCAAGTTACTATAGTTTTAAGATTTAGAGTATTCTTTAAAAAAAGTCGAAAAAAATTAACTTTTTGAAGAAAAATTTTCATCAAAAAAACGAAAGGCCAGAATGAGAAAAAAATATTATTGTTTTCAAAAATAAAAAGGCTCCTTCAAATAAACCATATAAACTGAATCATCTAGTATAAATTAAAAATTTTCCTGTGAAAAATTTTGAAATTTTTTTTTTGTAAAATGAAACTTTCAGCCTGTCCCGACGGCAAGACAACAAGTTCAAACTGTGCGGACCAATCTTCGGGCACGAAAAAATGCCAGGACCAAAGTAACATTTGTTACAAAGACACAAGTGGCAGTGCTTTCTGCTGTGGTTAGTTTTCCTTCATATTTATGAGCTTGTTCTTCTCGAGTGAAGCTCTCAAGGAACTTTTTAGGTCGTTCGTTTGTTTCAAAATGATGTCATGACTAAAACGCTTAATTTTTTCCATAGTGACAAACTTTTGATTCTCGCAGATTATTTTGAACATTTTTGTCCCTTTCTTGAAATTCACTTTTCAAGGTTCATACAATTATATTATTACTGAGATTTTTTTTCTCACCTTTTTTTGGAGATTTGAATTGAAAAATTGATGAGTTGAAAAATTGATATCATCTGAATTTTAGTTTTTTTATTTTCAACTTTTTGGTAGGCTACAAATACAGACTATTTTTTTTCAAAGTCCAAAAAAATATCCAATTAAAAAGAAACAGAAAACCGTAAAAATTAATCAATATTGAGTTGAAAGTTTTCTCGGTTGGGCGATGAAATAATGTTATTTTCAAGGTTTAACACATAAAAATTTTTTTAGACGCAGATGGTGCAAAAAAATAAGTAATACAGTCGAATAAAACATAATTAATAAACGTTATTGTTTTTCAAGGTTTGTTTTTCGTGTTTCTAAATTAGTTTTCGACATTACTTATTCCAGCGCCGACTACATGTGGAACCGGGATGTGGGCAGGAATGCCCACTTTCCCAACAGATGATGTCCCCACTAACGTATTCCACAACGACAATTGCGGAAAGACAAACTACCATGAACTGTTTAACTCAAACAAAGTTTGTTGTCGTGAGTTTTCCTTCCTTTTTCGTCTTTAATCAAATTGAAACTATGGACAAATGTGAGCCTTGTAGATAAAGTCATTTTTGGCGCGTCAGAAAATATGGGCTCTTCAATTGTTTGTTCAGAGATAGTTATTTGAAAAAGTTTCGCTTCCAGCTTTCTCTTACTGTTTTCCAGTTTTAGCTTTTTGTTTTGATTTTATTAAAGAATCGATTGGCAAAATGAGGACAGATTCAAAGTTTTATACAAAATTTGGATTTGTTTGATTATGGTGCCAGCTTCGCTCAATTTTTTTCAAAAACCTTTCCAGTCTCTTATGCGAAGTGCCAAAAAAAACGTCCGGTACTTTTGGATTCTGGAAGGCTGAATTTTTCAGCGTTGCCTTTTTCGTACACGCTGTCGGGCTTCGAACCCAAAGACCATTTGGCCGTCGGATTTACGGAGGCGTCGTCAAAGTCGGCCAAGAAGTGTTCGAAACAAGAAGACTGCGGCGAAGACGAGTTCTGCGACGGCTCCTACAACGTTATGAACGAATTCAAGGGGGGACTGGACGCTAGCGGAGGTCAAAAATCGATTCAATTCTGCTTCAAATGTTGGTTTTCTTCCTCATTCATATATTTTTATATGTATTTTCGATGAATAAGCTGGAAACTTTATAGTTTTTTTTTTTAGCGTCATTGCGGTTATAATTTTTCTTTGAAAAATCCTGTAAACTGCGATAGTTGAAGCTAATAAATCAGACTAAGCTGTTTTCATAGAAGTTTCTCGCTTTGTCGCACGGCCTTTTCGCAATATTCGAGCACACATTCAAAGTCAACTCCTAATTGAAAGCCTGATGTGAACAAAATTCATTTTCATGAAATTTTTTAGTGCCGAAGATTATTGGAAAGGCGCAGCGAAACACCGGTGGTATAGGACTGAAAGTGTGCAATAACCACGTGGATTGCAAGGAGAAGGATATGTTCTGCTACAAGATGGACGCGGCGAAAAAGGTCAGAGTCGGTGGAAGCAAGCCCGAAACGTTCTTCGGCATCTGCTCGAAAGGTTCGAAAAGGAGCTTCTGAAGAGTCGTGCTAACAGTTGTCTTCAGCGACTTGCACTGAAGCACCTCTGAGCAAGGATGTGACACCGGTTAAGGAGGCGTCCCTTTCGGACTCGAATGGCGAATGTACCGCGTCGACCAGCTGCGTCAGCTCAGGACCGCTCGTTAACTCAACAAATGAAGAGAAAGACTTCTACCCGTTAGTTATCTCTCTTAAAAAAAACTGGAAAGGCGAAAAGGCTCAATTATTTCACAATAGTTAAGCGCGAAAATTGAGAAAAACACTTCGCCGAATATGCAAAACTTCTCCGTTGCTAATTTTAAAAAAAACCCTTACTTACTATTTTTGTAACGAAAAGAAAGTGGTTCTGGAAAATTGAAACGAAAAAGTGCTCTGAGTTCAACGCGTTGCTTACGCGACGCAATTTTTCGGAGGGAAACTTGAGGTCAAACGCTAACCTCCTTTTTTCCATGTTTTTCGATAGCCAGTAATTTTGTATGGCTCCGAAAAATTTTGATAGAACGAATAAAAGCCTTCGAATGATGAAGAGATAATTTATTTTTTCTACACTTCTTTCATGACTCCGAGTTTCCGACAGAAAAGTCGCATCGCGTAAGCAATGCCTCGCCCTTGCCAATCTCCGCACCTCGCCTTTCAAGTCGGCAAAAATTGACTATAGTTTGGAAAAGCAATTCTTTTACAACAAAAGTACGACATGAAGCTACTCAAATTTAACTCTCAAAAAAATCTCCTAAAAAAATGTTTTTAAATAATTTTTCAAAAAAACAGAGAGGCGAAAAATTGTTAGAAAGTGTACAAATGAAACTCCTGAACGAAGAAAGAAGATTGTTAGATTTTACAAACGGCTTTCATTTGTGCAGGAGAACGTGCTCTGACTTTTCCGACAAAACGACAAAGTTCACGACGAAGAATGTCAAGCTGTGTTGCTACCGTAAGTTGCGATGGCTACATCCCTAGGTCAACTGAATCGGCAGAGAACATCGGGAAGTCGACGTGCGATGGAGTGGGTCGACCGCTTTTGGACAAGACCGGCCAGAACCAGGCCAAATGCTCGAAAAACGACGATTGCCTCAAGTTGGTCGGTGGCAGCGCCGCCGATTCCTACTGTGTCAAGAACGTGTGTTGCCGTGGCGCCGGTTTCTGTCCGGACAAGTTCACCGCCAGGTTTTCTGAGAGGCCCTGCACTGGCAATAGCGACTGCAACAAGTACGGAAAGTGTGTCCAGAACTTCTGCTGTCCAATGTGTTCGTTTTGTTACGAAAGAAGTCTTTGAGTCGATTACTTTAGTCAACATGACCGATGCATTGAACCAACCGCAACAAGGCCCTTACTGTACCCTGATGAAGTGTCAGGACCTTCATAAAATGCCTATGAACACTTATTGCGGCAAAGAGGATAAGGTATGTTAATAGTAGACAATAGTGCTACGACAAGAGCGATTTTTTCTTTTTCTTCTGATGTGTGTTGTATGAGAAAGTCCAAATTTGACGTGTGCGCTTTGTTTGTTTGCAAATTTTGAGTAGGTTCCTCTCCGCGTTGCTTTTTTTCATTCAAGGTTTTAGTTTTATAATAAATCACAAAAATAGATAACTGTTTCGAAAGGCAAAATGTGTAATATTTTTGCTTGAACTAGAATCAGTGATCAATAGAAAAACCTCAGCAAAATTTTCGATTTTTTTCTCTTTCTGAAACTCTTGTAAAAAAATTTTTGAAAAATGAAGAGTATTATTCATTTTGATCAATATCAGATGTGCTACCTCGGTTTGCTCAACGTTGCCGGCAAGCAGCACTTTGGAGGCGAAAAGGAATGTACGACCAATAAAGATTGCAGTGATGGAACTTACTGCGTCAATGTCGACGGCAACAAGTTCCAATGCTTTGGAGATCCCTTCGTCTGTTGATTAGGGTCTCGAAAGTTGTTCAGAAGTTGTGTTGAAGGTCCCGCACGACCCCAAGGTGAACAAGGACTACATGACGGCGCTGATCGCGTGCATCATCATGACGACTCTCTGCATGTGCGTCTGCCTCGTTTCAATCGTCTGCTACCGTTCGAGCCGCCTCATCGACGCCATGCAGAAGCGGAAGAAGAAGAAGGGCGGCAAGAAAGGCAAGGGCAAGAGTGAAACGAAAAGCAAGAAGTCGACCAAGTCAAACAAGTCGAACAAGTCGAACAAATCTGAGTCGTCTGCCATGGTCAGTTTTTTCATAAATTGTCATCTGAAAACTTGGTGGAGCGAAGGTCAACCAAGTTGCATAGAAAAGGCGATAGAATGAAATAGTTCGAAAAGTTGAAAGGATTTTTCTACTCTGCCAACAATGACATCTAAATTTCAACTTTTTTTTCTGTTATTATTAGAACATAGATTAAAACTTGTCTGCAACAGAAAACAAAAAATTAGCAACCAATTTCTCGAAATCGAAACTTTGAAGTACTTTTTTTTCTAGTGACTTGTTCACGATTTACAGGGTACTACCAAGGGCAAGAAAGATTGAAATCTCCTCCGCACAGGAAAGTCGTCTTGATTCGACACTGGCGTTTTATCCATTTTTTCCCTTTTTTTTCCATCGTTCTGGATAAAACCGCCGCAAAAACTGTCTCTCGTTGCAAATTATAAGTTGATAATTTATTCATTTTCTGAGAGAGATTTAAAAAAACAAATTTGAACCCGTTTGCAGCAAAGAAATTGAAAAATATGAAAGAGAGAGGTGAAAATTGAGAAGTTTCGATTAGGAGCTGGAGAAATTGCTATCGGAATCCAACGTGGCCTCCTGGAGAAGCTCGAAATCGTGAAATGATATGAATTGTTGCAACAGTCGACACAAACCTGGGCTCTTGGGGTTGACGACGTCGCTGCCTGAAATGTTGGCGATGAGGCAGTCGAGACGGTCATTGAGGTCTTTTCTTAAGATTTCTATTGCCGTCAGCGAGTCGTGATGCTGTTCCGGTGTGTGTCTGGAATGACTTCTCTGATTATTTCATCAAATAATATTTCGAATCGTTCACATAGAAAATTCATTATTCATCCATAGACAGAAATAATGAACTTTTCTTATTTTAAAAACTTTTCAGCTATTTTTTTAAGTTGTAGATTTCAATATTATAATCCTAAAAAAATTCATAACCTTTCTGAAGGCTGAAGTTTAATGAGTGGGAGAAAAAAAGTAAACGAGATATAAAAAAATCATTATAAGTTCCTTTGATTTTTAAAGAGGTTTTTCTTTATAAAAAAATACCTCAGAACTCCACGCGGCGGCTTGCCGAGCGGTTCCTGCATAGGAAAACTGAAGGAAGTGTCCGTTTTCCGGAGCGCCGAGTGGGCCGTTTTGATTGCCTGGAAGAAATCAATTTTCGGCCAAGGAAAATAACTTATTAGAGAAAAGAGAAGCATTTTCAATTTTGCCTTTCTGACTAGGGAACTACTCGGACTCGGGTACCCGTTTCGAGTTGAAAATTTGGTGGCTTATAGACCCGGGTAAGAGTACTTGGAAACAAGAGAGATTATCTGCTAAACCCCATAGGCTTCTGAGAAAAAGCTTTTTGAAAATGAACATTTTAGGCTTGCAAATTATCAAATTTCTGTTTTCCTCCTTCTTTTGGCTGGAAAAAAGTTTTTTAGAACTTTTCATAGCCGGATTATTCAAGGCGATTGTATTAAAATATAAAACAAGGTAAAAAACAGTATTCTGAAAATTTTCCCATTTTCTACTAATTTTTTCTCAGTTCTCTATTGGGTTTAGCAGATATTCTCACTTGTTTTTTTAAGTATTCTCCCTTAGTTCTATAAACCATTAAAGTTTGAACTCGATCCGCGTACCCGAGTCCGAGTAGTTCCCTAGTGAGGAAAATGAGGAAAATTCCTCTTAACTTGAATCTTTTTCATTTTTCCCTCTTATTCAATTTTTAGACGAATTCCACTTCGACTGGCTTCTCAAATACTTTTTTTTCGAAAACATTCAAATTTGGAACAAACTTACAACCAAATTCCAGTTCAGCCATCATCTCTAGCCTAAAAAAAGTTACTGGACAATTTCACTTTTCTCACTTATTCCTCCAACCGAAAGTCAACTAATTAAGTGTTTTATTTTCTTTTTTTTTCTATAATTAAAGATTGAACTGAACTTATTAGGGTTCACGTTGATCTGGAACAAAAAGTGAATAATGAATGAGAGATTGAAGAAAGATATGATTTCTGGAGAGAACTTACAGCCTCGGCAGCACTTCGGACTCCCGAGGTGTCCCTTGGTCGCTGCTTTCCGCCGTCGCTGACCCTGCGTCTGCTCGGTCTTGAGGGCGGACTGATGCTCACGATCTCCGGCAGGGCCGAGTTCACCGGCGGCGTGTACAGCGACGACTTTCGAGACCTGAATGACGACTGACGTGGAGGAACTCTGGCTGAGGACGAACGGTTCGTCGTTCTGACAGTCGCTGTCGTCGGTGGCTTCGGATTCCTCGCCGCTCTCCTCGGCGACCGAAGATCTGTGGCGCGGCAGTCGGACGCTTCCGCCAAGCACCCGTCGGCTGTGGAAGGACTTTTAAAAAATTTCGAAACATATAAAATCGAGCTCAAATTTTTAGAGCTCAATACACGAAAAGGGTTTGAAAAACATATTCATCGGCTTCTAATAGCTAAGAGCTTCATTTAATTTATTGACACCTATTCATGATTTTTGATCGAATTGAAAAAAAAAATAATAACTTCAAGGAAAAAATTTTATACTTTGACCTTTTTTCCCCCGAAGAAACTGCGGTACGAAAAAAAAAAGATGGAACAAGGAAAAAGAAACCTGGTGGTGCTCATCGTTCTCATAATGTCCCGCTTGACAGCGTCGATGTGCGACGAGCTTCGGACGATTTCGCGTCGGCGATCGTCGCGGAGTTCGTATCTGAAACACACAATTGTTCCATTAAAAAAAACCCTTAAAAACCTTATCTGTAATCCGACAAAATTGCAAACTCAAAAATTGGAATAAAAATGAAACCCAATTTTTTTTAATGAAGAAGTTTTTGAAGCCTTGAGAGCAGTAAAGCGCAATTTTCAGCCCTGAGACTCTAAAAAGCAAAAAAAAAAAGACCTCCGGCCTGATACAAAGGCATCCAAAAAGGGCTAAATTGTTTGAATACGAAAATTCGCCTACCGTCAAATCAAACTTTTTGAACATGACCCAAGATAAATTTAATGTTTTTTTTTGAGTTTCCACCGGTACTTATCAATGGAAAAAAACGTGAATTTTGAAAGAATTTTCCAATTTACGGCTGGCTTGAGATTTCAAACATCGAAGGAAATATTTTTTGCAGAATGAGCGTAAAAGCATATTTCTTCTCGTCTCGAATATCTATGAATCCTTTGCTGATTATGATGGAACTCAAAAAAAAATAATCTCATTTTGTTTCTCGGGAAGTTTTAGAAACAGGATTTTCAGAATCTAGATATATTAAATAACTTCATTACGGAAAAGCTTCTCAAAATGAATGAAAACTCGCCTCAAACTACTGATATCTTGCTTGATCTCAAGCAAATCGTCCTCATTCACACCGTCCATTTTCATTTCCTTCTTCGTCTGATGGATGAATCTGGGAAGTCGAAGTTCAGGAAAAAGAGAACCGAAAAATCAGTGAAACCTGGCGACAAGTCGCTGTATGATATCGGCATAGGTCAACGGTTTCACCGAACTTTCCTCGTCTTGACCGCTTTTTTCCATTTCGTTCCGTTTCCTTGAGTAGCCTGGGCGCTGCAAAGTTGTCAACATTTCCGAAAGAGAGAAAAAAGTCGTGAGCTCATAAGATGAGTAAAAACATCCTCCTTGAAAAGTCCCTAACAAACTATGTGTTTTCAAAACTAGATTGAAGTTAATCTCTTCAATGTACGGAAAAATAGGAACGACATTGGACTTTTATCTCATTTTCTCCTCGCGTTTTCGAAACCTAAAAACGAACTCGAATCGTGGCGCGATTGCGGTTTTTCGTGTAGGTGTATTTGCCGAGAAGCCATCGGATAGTGTTGTAGAACCAAATGATAGCGTAGACCATGGCCTGAAAAATAACTCGAAATTAACTGAAATGCGAGAAATTCTTGGTTTTAGGGTTTAAAAAAAAATTTCAAATTAGCCCTTTTTCCGAAACTTTGCGAAAAATAATTGCGAATTATATCCTTTTCAACATTGCCTTGGGTGTGACGACGATGTTGAACGGCGGCGGCAAGCTGGATCCTTCGTCAAAATGAGCCATCCAGAGTTTGGTCCTGTGGAACTTCCATTCCAAGTCGGCGTGGTCCTGGAAGTTCACTTCGAGAGTAATATCCCAATATCTATGAGAGTACCGAAAAAAATAGATGAAACGTTCAAAAAGGGAAATCTTCGGTAGAATAAATAAGAAAAATCTAGAACAGCTTAAATTTTGCACTCCTATGATAATATCGAGCAGTGTCTTAAAAAACTTCTATTCATCAAAATTATTTTCTCAAAAACTCCCTGCATCACTCTCAAGTTAAAATGTTCAAATGGAGTCCAATAGTTCAACGTTTGCATCGCTCTAATTTAATGATTGTACTGAACTGAAGTTCATCACAAAGAAATTTTCCAAAACTGATTCAAAAACTTATTTAAAAAAAATTGTGAAGTTCGAGACTAATTAGGGCACACTTTCTTTTTTAATTCTATCTAACTTTAGGAAAGTTTGATTGAAAAACTGACATTGATGATTTGAAAGGAATGGCTCATCATGGCGATGAGCATGTTGAGCAGGACGATGATCGAGGTACAGTGATACATGATGAACATTCCCTGGCCGACCCACTGCGTTATTTGGTGATTCTGGAAAACCAGAACGATCATTTCACCAAATAAACTTGAAACTTTTCTTTTAAAATCAATCGAGTTCTATATAAGTATGAAGGACTCAAAAAAAGACAAGATAATCCGTTCTCATTGGTCAGGCGCGATGACTTTCAGGTAAACCACTCAATAAGGAAACCAAAATATCTTTCTTTTTAAACTTTTCCTCCGAATAAAAAACAAGGAACACGTCAAATTTAGTTAAAAATTAATGAAATTTATGCATGTTTTTACTTTTCGAAATCACCGCATCATATGAAGATTGTTTGAATTTCTTCAAAGTAATAGTTCTACCACAACTTGAAACAGTCTTCTTTCTCTGCGTCGATTGCTATTTTCATGTTTCTATAACTTTTCTATCGATGGAAAAGAGATGGACACAAGTCAGACTGTTTCAACTCATGGCAAATGAGATAAAACGCTTCAAACTTCTTTTTTTGTTGTCATTGATCTTACCTCGATGACGTCAGTATCTTCAGGTTTAGTGATAGAGAAGAGAGACCAGAGAAGCGTGAGGTAGGAGTCAGCGATTCTGAACTTTTTCCTCCATTTAAATATCAGAAGTCGGAGAACGAACGAAGAGAAGACGTTGGAAGTTCTGCGGCAGACGGCGCCAGGTAGGCAGACGTCGGTGTCCGGATCGTAGTACCTAGAAAAAACCGGTGAACAATTTACGGACCGAAAGTTAAAATTTACTTCATACTGAATAGACTAGAGACCAAAAAAGCTCAAAAAAGTTATAAAAAGATGTCAAAATTTGTATTCCTCCACTCGCTAGTTCTATCCCCACAGTTCTATCATATACTCCTAGTAATGCAAACTCGGCCAAAATTAGTTGTGAATAACCTACAAAATGACGGAAACTCACCAGTATAACTGAGCCAGCCCGATGCTGAAGCTGCTGATGATCAGAACGAAAATGAAGCAGAACTTGGCGACGTCGACCAGCATGCACCCGAGTGAAATCTGGAGAAACATCATTTTTTTTCGCTTGAAAATCCACTAGAGAACTTTTTTCAGCCGCAACTAAACTTTTGATGTAAGTTTGCTGAAGTAAACTTTTAGGACCACCTGAATCCAAAAAAAAAATTCACAAAATAGATCTCGTTTTTGAGTTCAAGCGCTTCAACAGCTTGAAATAATGCTTTTTTCATCATTTGCGGTTTTTCAAGCTTTGAAGCTTGATAAATAAAAGAAAGATCTATAGCGTGAAACTTTTTTTTCTGGAGTAGAAGGTGGTAACGTGAATTTCAGCAATTTTTCATTAAAAGTTCAGCCGGGTCTAAAAAGCGTCCCTTGGTCAGACAATGTTCGAAAAGCCAATCAAGTGAGAAAGAGACTGCATAAAGACCGCAAAAAGTTTCTTCAGTCTTTCATTTCTGCTAAAAATGACGTGAAAATTATACATAAACGACACAAAAAAAATGCAGAGGAGAAAAACCGACTTGCAAAGGCCCCAAGTACGGATTCGTCTGGAAGAGGTAGATGATTCTCGCGAAGGAAAAGACGTTTCCAACGGCGAAAAGAGCTTCGGCGACCAACATCGGCTCCTCGGACCTGCAGCCGACATGAAACGACTTGAAGGAGCGCCCGAGGCAAACCTCCATTGGGTCCGGACAGCGAAACGTTGGGGATCTTCGCGCCACGTAAATATGTAGTAAGCGACCAGTCTTCAAAAAATAATATATTAATTAGGAGTTGAAAACTTCTCAATAGAACCATGAAAAAAAAACCTCAATTTTACAAAAAATTTTAAATATGGTCAAGAAAATTTGTAAATGATCAATTCGGAAACGAGAAAGACTTTCAGAAAACGCCAAAAAAGTAGGTGTTTAAAAAAAAATTCTCATGAAAGCCACGAAAGTTTACCTAATCGAAATAGTACAGAGGTAGAGACAAATCATGATGAAATCGAGCCAATTCCACCATTGTCGGACGTATTTTTTGAAGCCTTCCTCCCAAAGTTGCTTGATCTCCGACCATAACATTCCTATGAAGCAAAAACATTCAATTCATGTCTATTTTTTTGGTCCTAATAATATGAAATTGAACAAAAAAATCCAAGAGAATCAGATCATTATTTCGTTTTTTTGTTGAACAGAAAATTGGAATAAATCTGTTGAGTTTTTTTATTTCCATCAAGTTTTTTTCTCATAAGAAACACTTTCACTTACCTATGACCCAGGTAAAAACCAGCGTTTCGATACCCGTTGGTACAGGACCCCGGTCAGAAGCTCGCATGGTTCCACCGCCCTAAATATTCGACTCTGAGAAATTTTATGGAAAAAAATTCTTACAATTTTTTGGAAACCTAAAAATAGTTCATTTTTCGCATTGAGCAAATACACCTTTCCAATCGAATGTGATCAAAAAAAGTAAATTATCAAAGTTAGAATATTCGAGAACTCGATTTACGGCAAATAGACGAACTGAACCTTTTTCTCGCCCTTCTCACTGCGGTAACCTTCGAAAGTGGCTAATGTGAGCAATAAAAGGAAACATCCGAAAGAAATCGAGTAGTACAAAAACTTCATGAAAGGCGATCGAACTATTCTTCCGATGCGACTTTTCGGCATCTGCAGACAATCTTTACCATTTTTCAGCTCCTTCTTCACTACCAAAATATAAGATAGGGCAAAGATGGGCCACAGTAAAATGAGCAGAACGCAGAGAAGTTTATTCCAGCCAGAGCCACGGCGTTGTCTACCCGGAAATCCCTCGTACCTGGAAAAATGAGACGAATTACAGATATTTCAGGTAAATAATTTGAATCCGGATACGGAACAGAAAAAGCGCTTTTTATTAAACTATGTTTTCCTCAAAAAATGTAGCTTGAAAATCAGGATAGTTTATCAATCTCCTTAATCTTTAAAAAATGTTTAAAGGCGCATGGCGGAGTCAAGCTTCCCACCTCTGAAAGGAATTTCTCAGTCTCGGCCCTGCGCCTTTAAAAATCCGTTATGATATTTTTGAAAATTCACAAACCAAATAGAAGTCAGGAGCTGTTGGCAGTGTGGATGAGAGACGAACTGAAAAAAAAAAATTATGAGAATAAAATAATTGGAGCTCTAAAAATAAAAAAAATGAGAGAATTCTACACAAACCGCCTTCTGTTCGTATTTTATAGCAAGCTTGAGCCTCGAAAGTGACAATTTCGAGGCCCAAACGTCGACATTTTCGTCATTCATGTTCCCATCTTTGTTGAGGACAGCGATAACCTGGATTTGAAAGTTCAGAATTGTTCCAAAAAGTTACAAAAAGACCTCCTCGCTGCTCCGACACTGACTGAGCAGATCGCAAGCAAACTGTTTGCATTGCTCTGCCAACTAAAATTTCACGTAAATATATAATTTTATAAAATAGGAAAAAACCTGCAGATAAGTTTCTTTTGAACTCGTGTTCCTCAAAAGCTAACCGTTGCAGGTCCCAGCTGAGTTTGAAGGCTGAGAGGATCGGATCGGGGCTAAAGATGTCGAAATTTTCTACTGAGTTTTCGAAAAAGTTTTCAGTCTGAAGAAGTTAAAAAACGAAAAAGATTTTCGAAAAAAATTGATTGACACACTTTTCTGAAGGAAAGTGTGCTCCAGAGGACTGACGTTTTTTTCCACTCGTTTGGGGAAAAATTTTTCAAGTTAGACTCTTCAGTTTCATTTTTTTTTTTTGACCTAAAACTTGATTCCATACTAAATTCATCTTTAGTAAAAAAAGTTTCGCGAATGGAATATTGAAGATTATTTTTGTGCTCAGAGTAAAAAATACCTGGTCAAGCTCATCCAGGCAGGACTGGCGAGTGCACGATAGGTGTTTATTCTTTTGAGGGAGTACTGTAGGGAATCGTTGAGCCTTTCTCGGTCGCACATCTCGCACATACAAGAGTGTCTGAGAAGAATTTTCGATAAAATGGTCTTAGAAATAGACAATTCTCAACAAGTTTGCCAGTAGCTTTCCATGAAATTCATTGTCCGAGGCTTCATATTTTATTTCAAGTTATAAGCAAGTTCGCTCTACCAAACAACGTCTTTGATTGGCTGTTCTCGCCTTTTCATGGCTTATCAAAGACTTTTTCGATTTAGCGAGCTTCAAGCTTCAAAAGGTTCTCAAATGGAAATCAGGGACCATAAAATTCAAAAACATAACCAAACCTGTGCGGCTTTTCAATAGTCGCATCTTTACGGAGCAGCATCTGAAGTATTTCGAATTGGTTCAGTTGTGCGGCCAGAATAACAGGAGAAATATCACTGAAATAGACTTATCAAGTCAAGAAACAAACTGCAAAAAGAAACTAGCAGCGAGTGGTTTCGATCCACCGACCTCTGGGTTATGGGCCCAGCACGCTTCCACTGCGCCACGCTGCTTACGTCGTATGAAGTAGTTCAAACAAGTATATTCTCTTTCTCATACGCTTTATAGCATATTCCATGAAAAACCGCGTTGCAGGAACGCATATGGGCGTGAGAACTCACCACGTAGTCTATACCAGCATCTATTTATGTTTGAGAAAGAGAATATAGTCGTTTGATTTGACTGCAGACGATGTGAGCAGCGTGGCGCAGTGGAAGCGTGCTGGGCCCATAACCCAGAGGTCGGTGGATCGAAACCACTCGCTGCTAGTTTTCTTTTTTGCGGAAGTTCTAACCTCGAATATTCGGCACTGGCTGCTTCTGCTGGATCGAGATGTTGGCTCCAACCGTCGCCGAGCATTTCTCGAGTAATACTTGGATGATTTACCTGCATTTCGACCATTCGGTAGACTCCTTAACTTATAATTTGTAAATGGAAATTACGGTTATAGTTCTTTTCACTCGAAAATATGTTTTTGAGAGAAATGCGAAGCTGGTGCGCTCTAGTTCCCAGTAAAGACTCAAAATTGACGTTTATTTTCCGAACTTGAAGATTTTCGGAAAGTAAACTGTGTTCTCCTTATTCCAAAATTTTATTATTATTTTTGTCCCTGGAGAATAGACTATCCATTGAGACTATCAAAGAGTAAATAAAAACATTCAAAAACCAAGATTTACAGAAAAATTCATCAGATTCAACTAACAATGCATCGAAATTGAATCAAAAACGAAAAAATTACCCTCCCGAATGGCGCAAAGCAAAGCGTTGCCAATGCGGATGTTTGGCTGTTGGAGCAAAAGTTCGACAACCTGAAAATCATTCAAAAACTGAACTTTTACAAAACCCAATCTTAGTAATTTGGTGTTTAAAGTAGCGTTCCCAAGTTGAAAACAAAAAAAAAACCACCGACTTCAATATTTTCGTTGTCCACCGCGATTTCGAGTGCCGTTCGGCCCATCGAGTCCAGGCAATTCACGTTGAGCGGCAGATCTCCGTCTTTCTGAAGAAACGGGAAAAATATCAAAGCGAAAAAAAACCGCATTTAAGAAGTTGTGTAAAAAAGTTGAATTTTTTTTGTTATTTAAAAATTTCCTTGAAAAAAATGGGATAAAATGGACGATTTTTTTGAAAAAAATGAGGGAAAGTTTTTGAAAGCCTTGAAATCTCGCTCAATCAAAGAATGACTCGGATTGACTGACTAATCATATTTTACAGTTTTGAGGCGTCATAAGTCAATGAGGGACATTTTTTTAATAAATAAAAAAATATCAAAAACTAATAAAAAAATCCTAATTTCATTTTTCACCTTCAATTTTTATTTTCGAAGTTTCATTATACAATAAGTTATCATAAAATTAAAGAGAACTGAAAAAAATATACCGAGTCGAGGCAGTCCTGGAGAGTCGGCTTGTCTCCTCTCTCGGCCGCTTCCAGGAACCTGCAACTCTTCAGGGTAAAAGCTCTCTGGGATGGCTGGAAAACCTGCGTTCCTGCGGACTGATCATGTCGTTGGTGCGGATGTTGACGGCGGCCGGCGGTGGCATGTTGCCAAACGTGTAGTTCCGACGCGGCCGCGGCGACGGAGCACATCGCGAGAATCGCCGTCCCGCCGCCGACAGCATTCTGAGAATTCGAGAATTTTCGCGGGGTAATTTGGAGCTGAGATCTTTTGAAGGGCTGGTCGGCTAGAAATGAGCGGTTTTTTTGGATTTCATTTCAAAAATATAAAATGAAAATAGGTAGATGCGAAAAATATTCTTCGATTTCGATATGATCTATCACCAACGTCCATGGAAAGGATAAACGTTCTCTTCAATTCCTATTGTGGCAATGAAATATGAATCGGAATATCCATTTCTAACCGACCAACCTAAAATGATATAAAGAGTTTCTATCACGCTCAAAAATTCTGTCTTTTTCCTTGACTAAAAATTTTTTTATATTTCTTGTTCAGAATTTTTAAATCGAAAAATATTTATTTTTTTGTTGGAACTTCTTATAAGAAGCTTCAAATTTGCTCTTCCCAGCGATAAATGCTGATGAATAACAGATTTTTTTCGATGAATTTGATAATTTCTGATTATAACAATAGTTCAAAAGATGAGCAAAAGTGTAACCAAAAGGCTTTTTCTTAGAAGGGAAATGCTTCACTTCATCACAACTTGACGATTTTACTAATGACAGCTAATTTCAAAAAACTGTATTTTTTTGTTTCCAAATGAAATTGCAACAGTGACTCTCGCCAAAGTTCTACAAATCTTGAACTCTCAAATCTTGAACCCCCAAATTTCTATACAAGAGGTTCATGAATAAACTATTTACACTTTTCAATCGCGACTTCCAACAAAATCTTGAGAGCTGCGAGTCAAAGAATGTACTGAAAAGAGTTCAAAATCCTGGTTCAGATGAGCTATAAATGAAGAGAAGCGGGAAGACAAGAGGAACTGAGGACAAGGACCCCTTGAGAAGACACGAGGACAGAACGAAGAAGGAAAAAAGCAGGTGAAAAAGGGGGCATCGAAAAGAAGAAACGCCGCCGTCGGCTGTGCCTACGTAGGCGCTTGTCGCGGCGATTCGATTATGCTCAAGGGGTTAGGGAGCAGCCAACTTTCGACGGTTATCCTCAAATGCTCTCGAATCGAACGTTCTTCCCGTCCAGAAGCACGCCTACGTCTGTTGTCTTATCAAAGATCACGGCCTGACCAAAAACACATGGCGAAATGGTTGTTTATCTCCTTGCGTGAGCATTTTTCGAGATGCGAAGTTTGGAGCAACAAAAATATTGAAAGATCTAGGATTTCTGTAGTTTTTGGACACAGCCTACAGGCAAAAATCATACCGGTTAGAAAAAAATTTTTCAGAGTTAGTATAAACCCTGTCCAAGTTCCACGCCTCAGCAAGCTCTTTTTAAAAAACTATAAATAAGCAAATACGGAACATTAAAAAAAAATAGAAGCTTCGTGAAAACCTGGAAAAAGATCAAACCTTGACCGGGCACTTTTATTCGAAATAAAATCAAAAATGAGAAACAGCTGTTTCTAAGGCTTAGATCGCGATCTACTGACAAATTTAATTTTCGAAGGATCAGCGGAGAAATTTGTAAAGTGAGCCTTTGAGAATCCTCAAACGCTCTGAAACTCCCGAATTATCTCCTCAATTTCGTGTTTTCCTTGGGGCGCGGAAACAGAAACCACAGTGGCAACTTCGAAATAGAAAAAAAAGAAAGAAAAATGGTTTTCTTACTAATTTTCTTATAACAGTTTTTACAACAGTTTTGAAAAACACTCTATAGAAGATTTTCCTAGTTTTTTCCAAAAAAAACTTCCAAGATTTAAAACTGAATAATTTATAAAAATAATACTCAAAACGAGCTGACAAAAGATTTCGAAAACAGTCAAACCAAATTTAATTTTTAAAAAAATGATTTTCACTTCATTTTTCATGAAAAACTCCATACGAGCTTGTCACAATCTACAGAGGATCAATGAACATTCAATATGAAGGCTCCTGACACGAAAATGACTAAAAAAGGCCTCACAGTAACCATTTCTCTAAACCTAACGGTGGCCTAGCTCATAAACATGATCAATCAAGACTCAAGCTTCTTACAAGGTGAACGGCAAAAAAAAACCTAAATTGAGGCAAGAAATGGGGGAAAGGCCTACCTGACGCCATTTTCCATTCCTCTCATCTCGGAAGGTGAGAACAAGCCGTGGAAGGCTTGGAAATCGGAAAAAGTTCAGGAGAAAGGGTACAGTGCCGCGGTAGGTTGTGGGGAAAGTTGCGGGAAAGGAGTTTTGAGTGGTTCGGCGGGTGTCCGTCGGGCGAATTGCTCTCCGGAGACGCTGCCCAATTTCCTTCGCGAGCCTCGTCTTGTCGCGCCTTTTGATGGCTTTTATCGAAGCTCTAATCCCGACGCCAAACCTCCTCCTCCCCCTTTTATTCCTCAAAGGTGTCACTGCCTTTTTTTTCCATCCTTCGTTGCTTCTTTTTGCTTAGATATTTGTAGCTTTTCGCAAATTCTCAGAAATTGCTCCTGGGACGATTCGCGAAATAACCTTTGAGGGAATGAGGCCTACAGTAACCCACGGAATCAAAAAGAACGTTTTAAAATTTAAAAAAATCATATAGTTGTAAGTAATACAGAAAAAGATTAAAAACCGTTACTGCTCTGTTTTTTTTTCCCTGTTAGTGCTGTTTGAAAAATATTTTCTATCACTCCTAACCAATTCTTCGATTGTAAAAATTTCGAAACTAAAAAAAAAAACTTCAAGCCCATAGAACTCTCTGATAGTGCTTCGATGAATCTTGCCTTGAAACTTAAATTTAAAATTTTCCCGAAGCTCCACGCAATAAAAATATCAGATGTCAATAGATGAATCTGACTGAAAAATTAACTTCTCAAAATTCATTTTTCAAAAATTCATTCCGGAAATAGAGCCTCATTAAATTTTGAAAATTACAATACCTTCCACTGCAAAATTTTATATTGCTTGGTTTGTTGAAAAAAACATGAGAAAAATTCCTTTTTTTCTGAAAAAAAGTATAATACGACCGCAAGAAATAGCTGCTTTCTGAGCTTCATCCTTTTAATCTCAATGAAAATCACTTCAAGCTTTAATACTCGAAGAATGTATGAAAAATATGGAAATAGGAAAACAGATCCCAGGAAGTTTTTTTCGTCTCAAGTTTTCAAGGTAGATTTCGAGTAGTTCATACCTCTTCGAAACTGAAAAATAAAACTTCTTTTTTGAAAATTTTGAGATTTTTGATGATTCCAAGACATCAGTTCAAATCATGATTTTTTGACTTTTATATTTTCCAGTCATAATTCATGTATAATTGAGATTAACCTGTATCTATCGCGTCGAAAACTGATAACAGGGCGTAAATCATGATAAATGACCGACTCCGTAATGCTTCTCATGACAGAAAGAGCCGAAAAAGAAAGGCGACCGACTAAAAGATATAGAATAAAAAAGGCGAAAAACAGGAAAACAGAGGGTTTTCGGCCGACGCCAAAAACGAACGACGTGTTTCCAAATATTTTTCCGTCTCGTTCAGAATGAATATATTCTTTTTTTGAGGCCCTTGGGGGATCGTCTGCAAAATTTTTGGCACGATTCTTCAGGTTTCGAATTAACAGATTCCTGATGTTTGGTCTGCTATGATTTATCGTCGAAAAACTACTCACGTTATATGGAAAAAATTATTTTTTTTTTTTCTGATCTTTTTTGGTGATGGTATAACATGCTTAAATTTGTGGAGCCCTGCTAATAAAAAGCTTGTTACAAAAAAATTATAGTTAGGTTTGTGGCAATAAATTGAAAAAAATTTCAGACGGTTATTAAAGTTTGAATTTTACCCTAGCTTTAAAAAATAAACCTTTTTTTGCTCGAATTTTTTTTCGGACTGCAGTGATTTTGAAAGTTCAATTCAATATCTATAAAAAAACCCGTTGTGGTTCTCGGATTACTTTTTCTCCAAAAAAATTTGGTTTTCGTTCAAATCTATATGTCAGACTGTCTACTATCTCTAGAAATAGTCCTTTTTTAATATTTCGAAAATTATCGCTCAATTTGCGATCTGTTCATTCAAAGTTATGGAATTGCGAAATTTTCTTTTTTTTTTCTCCTCATAATCAGAACCAGAAACGTGGTCATAGTAGATTATCTCTCAAGGTTATTCAAAAAGAAAAAAAGTTTAGAACCGAACGTTCCAGAGTTTTCCTCTTCTATATCAAAGACAATAAACTCTGGAGTAAGATGTTTATTTTCTCAACTTTTACGAGTGTCAGTGGACCTCTCAAAAGTTCAAAAGGACCCGGAAGAACTCAAAAATAACGATAATAGATGGTCCAAGTATTCGGGAGTCTCGAATTCCCTGAACGGCCACAAAAAAAGATCTTCCGAACATCGAGGCTGGCAAAAGTTTTGGGAGAATTTTTGAGTTATTAAGTGACATAAAAAGGGAGATAAAAAGTGGGAGCGGAACCACATGTCGTGGCATGAACATCTGCGGTTTGGAAAAACGAGTCGTCAGTTTGAGAAACAAGGCAAACTTGTAATTCAGTTGTCGTAGTGCAATCAGGCATCATCGAATTCGGATTGATTTCTCACAGCTTTTCCGAAAACTCCGTAAAGGATGGTCATTTCATTTCTTGCACTTTGGAGAATTGTGAAAATTTGTCCAAATACTTTTTAATAAAATGGAGAATATAGGAAACCTCGGAGTCTTAAAACTTACTTTTTCTCAAAAACAAAAAAACGGAATAATTTTTGGGACTACATCCAGCTCATCAAGTTTTTTTCAAACATAAACTTTCTTTAGCTGAAAAAAATTTCAAATTTTTTTTCTGAGTTACTGATGATTATTTAGGTATTATTTCGAAGTTCTATCATAAACTCGTGATTTTAAAAAAACTCATAATTCAATCGCACGTTTTAAAAAACCACCGTGGATAAAATCTTCGAAAAAAAAAAGAACAAGTTGGTCTTCAAAAAAACGGAATGGAGAAAATTGAATTGCGCATTTTTTTTCGCGGGGAAGGTTTGTTGCGCCAAAAATGCTACGTTCAAGAAAAAGCTGACCAAATTTAAACAGATTTGAGTGAAATTTTTTCAAGGCCTTTTATGAAAAAAAAATGGCAAAAACTGCAAGCTTGGTCTTTAAAAAACTGATTTCCAAAGTGAATGAATGAAAAAAAAATGAATAAAGCTTCATCTCACAAATTGTTTTTGTTGCGAAAATCCTCTCGAAAAATTTTGCAGTAGATTGAAAAAATTTGATGACGGTCTCGAAGCGAAGAGCCGTTTTTTTGTATTATTCTGGTCTTAAAATACTTTCGCACTCTAGCAAGTTCATTCCAACACTTTTTCGATAGTTTAACAGCTTTTAAACGTTGAAATAAAAAAAAAAAACGGAAAACTGACGTTTCGGTGTCGAGATACTGATAGCCGCCGGTCGCAGCCATCTCGGCTCAATTCCTGAAAAATTCCCTTCATTTTGTTCGTGTTTAAAATTGGAAACGGGTTGATGGAAAGAGGTGCCAAGAACAAAACGACGGCGGAAACGAGGAGAATCGAATAAAATAGGCCCTCGGGCGACGCCGAAATCACTGGTCACCGAAAGTTCCAACGGGGCTTACGTTTTTGAACTAATGACGAGTCATAAACAAACTTTTCGAAGAGAACAAGAGGCTTTGAAAGTTCCAAAGATGAGGTTCTTGTGGAAAATTAGCAAACTTATTCAAAGCTGATAGGAATTTAATAAAAAAACAATTGAAAAAGCAAAAAGGTGTAATAAAAATTCTTACTTATATAAACTTTGAAATAAAAAAATTGTGCAAATCCATTGTGCAAACTGAAAAAAATTAAATTAATCAAAAAAAGGTAAAACTGAAGCCTTCTTACAAATGAAATCGGTTAAAAAAACGTTTAAAGGCGCAAAAGCCATTGTAACCTTAAATATAATTTAAAAAAAGCTCGAGACTTTCAAAAAATGAAAAATTTTTTTTAAAATTTTCAAACAGCTTTTGAGTCTAAAAGTTCGCGCAGATTTCTTTTATTTCCAATAGGTCTAGAAAATTTAAACAAAACATCTAAAACAGGATAAAAAATCGAAAATTCTGCCAGAAAAAAAATTGAGTTGGGTACTCAAGTTTTCAACTAATGACGAGTCACAAACAAATTTCGGAATAAAAAAGGAGGTGTGAGAAAGTTCGCGCTCCTGGGAAAACTCTGCAGTCTTCTCAATTTATTTTCGGACTTTAGTTATCAGGAAAAGCTTGCAGACCGGAAGGCAATACACACAAGATTCACAAAAGAGATTCTCACTGGAACAAAATATTTGAAATTCAGAAAAACAAATTAGAGTTCGTACAAAAAGACTTTGCTAAAGTAGTTAAATGAGCATACGAGAATTGCGTAATGGTCTTAACCCGAAAACAGTTTTAAAGATTTTTTTTAAACTTTTAGAAACTCGCTGGAAACGAAATAACCGATCCTTTCCGAGTTTTTCCTAAAGATAAAGAGGTCCCCCTCAAGTGGCCGCTTAAATTTCTCTAGTCATAGATAACCAAACAGACTGACTAGAAAGAGGCGAGTAAGAAAAGCCAAAGCCTGAAGAGAAACGGAAGTGAGAAGCTCTAAAATAGAGGACTAGGAATATCAGTGATACCATCTTTCGACTTTTAATCATACCATATTCTAGACTCAAGTCAATTTTTTCAAAAAAAGACGGCTCTCTTGATATGAAAAGGTCCAAGGGATCCAAAATCATAGAAACCAAGGAAAGCGTCGATTCTGGCGTGAAGATTGTAGCACGGAAGGAAAGGACCTTGTCGAAAAACGGCGTCTCGTGTGACGCGTCAAAAAAGCCGATTGAAATTCGATCTGGCGCGAAATTGCTCGGCACAGGACAACGTCTTCGGACAGACGTCGGTCTCCAGAATTCGATACGGCCGTCGGTCGCCGCTCGTTCCGCCATCAAACAATCAAATTTTGTCTCAACTTTGCCGGGACTCGACTGGCCAGTCCATTTTCTCGAAACGAGTGACCATTCCCAACGAAGATTCACTGCTCTTCCATTGAAAAAAAAGACATTTTTAAGAGCTCAAATTGTTGAGAGCAGCTATCCGAATAAAAGAAAGATGACGTTCTTGGTTTGAAAAACAAAGATTTTTCAGCCAAAATAAAAACTTTTGAAAAATGAGATATCCAAAAGCTGGATCGAAAAAATGAAAAAGCTCAATTATCTCGCTCAAAGGAAACACTATCCAAGACTCCTTTAAAATTAAAATAAAGAAAAACAATTTACTGTTCTACAAATAGCTTTTAAATGATGAATTAAGCTCGCTTGCATTTCCAATTGTTAAGCCAGACAAAGTTAAAGTTTAAGAAAGTGAAATGAAATTTCTTAATCTTCAAGGATCCAGAAGCAGGTGTCCATCTGCCTACCGAAACCCGGCTGCGGTCAGAGGGAATGGCTCAAAAAGTTGTGTCCACATATTAAATATGTTAACACTGGTTGAGATTCCATCGAAAACAAAAATTAATTATTTTTCTGCACTTTTTGATTTTAAGACTTACATAGTCAGCGTATACAAAACTTTCAACAAAAAGCCATCCGAAGGAATTTGAAAAAGAGAAATTTATTGAAGAAAAGCAGATCATTTCCGAATGGAATGTGCTGTATGGACGGATCTATCTGTTTTTGTCTCTTCTCGTTTTTGCTGAAACAAGGAGTTGAAGAGAGAAAAAAATAGAAAATTTTTTTAGACCTTTCGTCAAATGAAAAAATCAAAAACACACATTTCGAGCAAGAACGCGTTGCTGGAAACTTTTAAAAATGGGTCGAAACCTTCTGTTGATGAAGAAACTCGGCGTAACGTTTTCTGGCCGTTTCGTATACAGGTCCATAATGTTCTTGGTAGAACTTCAAAAAGTTGTTTTGAAATGGATACAAGGATGGGAACAACTTTCTGCATAACAAGTTTTTTGTCGTCGACGAAAAGAGCATCCCAGATGGTCGACGGGCCTGGAGCGTCCCGTTCGGGGCCTGCAATCCGTGTTTCCTTCATTTTCTTGGGAATAAAAAGGACACTTTGGTTATAAAGAAACTCAAATATTATCTGAACCCAAAGAAATTCGCAAAAATGTACCGAATGCCGGCGTGGTACATTCTGTAAGAAACGGTTGCTCGAACTCAAAGTTTGGAGCGACTTCCAGAAGATTCATCTCGTCGAAGAAAATCGCCTGCAAAAAGATTGAGAGTATTGAAATTTTGAGCAGAATTTATATGTCTTAAAAATATCAAAAAGGAGGTTGAAATAAGTTTATTTTTTTACCTTCCTCTTTTTTTGAGGCAAAAAAAGAATTTTTTTGTCAAAAGACAGACTTTTTCATATTGAGTACTATTGTGAGGATTTGAAAAGTGCTGGATTATTCAATAAAAAAACAAATGGCTCGAAAAACTATCTTTCTCTAGGATTGCTTATTTTCTGTTTGGATTGAACAGGATTTGGAAACATTAATTACATGGATATTTCTGAAAACTGTGTTAGAAGGTTGATTTTTTTCTCGACAAGAAGGTAAAGGAAGAGATTCGAATAAGTTAAGTTCCAATTTTTTTTTAATGAAAAAAGACCATTCCGAACAAAAATCTTTTAAATGAAGCCTCGATTTTTTGAGGCCTTCTCTATACTACGAGAAAATCTTTCAGACCTCGCGTCGAGTGAGTTTCAGACCATGCCGTCTGAACCACTGGCACATGATGCAGACGGCGGCAAACGAAACAAGGCCGCAGACTTGACTCGGCAACATTGAACACAAAAACACTGAAAGTGTCCGCATTTTACAGATTTCGAGGCAGGATCCGACCGATACTGGCAAAAGTGAGAAGGGCACAGAGAGACGCGTGGAAGTTGGGCGGGTCTTTGAAGCCCGAAAAATCATCCGTCACTGAAAAAATTCAATTCAATTTTGCCGTTTGAAGCATAATGCTCAAACGTTGAAGCAATTTTTGTTTTTCAATAATCTTCTTTTAAAGTTTTTCCGATTTTCAAAAGAACAATGACAAATGTCCAGGTTTTCAGTGTATGGGGCTCATTTGAGGAATCTATGATTTAAAATACCTGAGCAAGGATTTTTGACACACTATAATCAATTCCTCATCATCGATTGATATAGAAAAGAATAAACTGTTCAATGAATAATTACGCAGGCGCCTGCCTACAGTAATCCGGCGACAGTAAGAGGGAATGGCTCTGTCTGCAATCCTGACGTCATATAACATTACTGGGGAAAGTTAATCAAAATAAAAATGTTTTTCCTAGAGATTCATCAGTGTTTATAACAAAAATTATTCACAGTTAAATGAAATTTCAACTTCAAATTAAAAAAATATCTTTTTTTAGCAAACAAACTTTGGCTCAGGCTAGGAGTAAGGCGATATCGAGAAACCGAAGAGACTGAATCCGCGGAGTCCATCAAGAGTTTATCAAGAAGAAGAAGACCAGTTTATAGGAGAAATTTGATTCGAAATGAGGATTCACGCCATTATATTATCAATTTCCAATAAGAAAAATGGTTTCAGATAGTCCTATTAATTTTAACTAAGACATGAAAAAGAACAAAAAAAAAGTTTATTTCAAAAAACAGATACAATGGTACAAAATGCTAACGATATGAGTATCATTATTTGATCCACATTTCAAGAAGAGTAGTTTTGGTCTGCGAGACGAAATCATTTTCATGAAACTAAAGGTTCATATATATATATATATATATATATCGGAGAGAGGCCCATTCTTCCACTAGAAAATATTAAGACGCAAACTTCTCGTGGAAAAAACGAACCCGAGGTATAACAAACATTTATAATTAATTACATTTCGCAAGAAGGAATCAGAAGGTGTACAAATGGGAGCTGATGGAAAAAAAAGGTAAATCTTCGGATGGAAGTTGATCAGAATCGAAGGACAAGACGACGCGCAAGATGGATATCCGCAGGCATCAGCGTGACACGGTGAGCATGAGCCGTGCACAAGTTCGCGTTCTCGAAGAACTGCACCAGAAACGCCTCCGCCGCCTTAAAATTCGATTATACAGGTTTTTCTCGGAGTAACTTTATTCTCACATTGTTCTACTTTTCCCAAATGGTCTTTGATAACAGCTAGAAGAAAAAAAAAACTCGACTTTTCAATAAATTGTTCAGAAATCCGTTTGAAAACTTGTACAAAAAGATTTTTGTAAAGTTCTAAAACCATAAAAAAATTTATTCCTAGAACAGAAAAAAATCTTTTCAACTTCGATTACCTTTCCTAGAATTTTGTTTTTGAAAGAGCTTAGGGCTAAGTTTTGAACCGTTTTTTCTCTGATTTACGTTGAGCATTGCTGGAAAATTACTCTAAAAAATTTAGACAAAAGTAGAGAAAAGGCCCTATAAACGTTATTTTTCAAACTTTCATTTAAGAAAAAGAATCACTAAAAAATGATAGATCAGTAACGAATAATGAGCTCACAGAAATTATGCTAAAAAATGAATAATCTCAAAACTTTTAAGGAGGTCAGTTAACGAAAAGAAATTAACAAAAACTTTGAGGATCAGAATACTCTGCAGAACCTCATTAGCTAGCGAACAAGACATTTTCTAAAAGTAAGTGATATATCACAAATTTTTGAAAAAAACGTATTAAAATGATTGTTAACTCCAAGAAGTTATTGTTGATTGAAAAAAAAAATTACATTTAGGCACTAGTATTGAAATTATATTAGAAAAACTCGGGGAGAAGTATAGGGGTCCTTTAAAACTTTTTAGGTCATGGGAAAGAAGAAGGGAAAACTTGGGAACCTCTTGAAGAGCCGCGAGAGCATCCGCCTGCATCCGGAACTCTCCATATTCCTGGACGATTTCTTTGACGACTCTGCGGAAAGGTGCCTGCAATCGTTCATTGGAGAAATGTCCGAAAAGATTCCGACAACTCACGCGATTGATGAGAAGATCCGTGGACCGTTGGTATTTTCGGATCTCCTGCAGAGCTTTTGCGCCCGGCTGATACCTAGAAAATTGAATTTTTGAAAGAAGTTATTGAGAGAATTTTTTGTTGATAACTTGAAGCTTCTGTTCATTACAAATAGGTTGAAAATAGTCATTATATTTGTTTCCTCAAAAAAAAGTCACGAAAAAGTACTCAAAACCAAATAAAAATGGCGCAGAAAAAGTCTGCGCCTAACTGCAATTGTTAATGATATATCCAAAAACCTTTTCTTGTTTCTGGGATTGCGCGATTTTCGTTTGAAGTCACCGCGTGTGGGAGGTGCACGATTTGCTGGAACGTTAGAGCTACGGCTTCCGCTTGACGCCATCGGCCCGTAGCTGTAAAATAAATATATCCACAATTATATTATTTAAAAAAAAAATGAAACAGGAAAAACACGTTAATATGGAAGGCGAAGAAGTGAATAAAACTATCAAAACGTGAAGAAAAAAACTGTTATAAAACTTTTTTTAAACATCATATGTGAGAAAAAAACTTATACATTGCTTCTAAAAAAATATGAATGCAAGGAATTGATTCCGTTTAAATTAAAGATTAGAGTTAAAAAGTTTTCTGAAAAAACACAGTCAGGAATTGTAGCAGGGTTCACGTACTTTAAGGTACATAAAAACTTGAAAATAAGTGGAAAAATATTCCCATTCGTTTATAGTGATGAGAATCGGGGCTGAAAAAATAGCGCTTTGAATTTAATTTTTTCAAAGATGATTCCTGCTTGACGATTTTGAAAACTTCCCAAAGATATACTTCAAGCCCTTCTGATAACACAGAAAATTTTATTTTGCCTTCAATTTCACGCTTTATCTTAAAAAAATAGGTAGTTTTCCACAAGCGACAACTGCCGAAATATAAAATAAGGAGATTTCAGAGCACACCATCCAACTTTCAATCGGCAACAGGGTTCAAAAATTTTTTATACCCACCTTAACTTTTCGAGAAACACCAACTTCTAATAATTTACAACATTTTTCCTTATAAATAGCCTAAAACGTAGAGACAATCAGATAAATCAGCACGACCATCTTTTAAAAAAACACACGTACTAATCAGCATCGACGTATTCTCTTCTCTCGTTGCGATTTCCGGCGCTTTTTCTGTCCGATTCGAACTCGTAGTTCGGACTTTGCTGTCTTGAGAAACGTCTGATAGGGGCGAGAACGCGTCTTTGGGTTTTGAACTTATCCAAAGCCAGTCTGTACATCTCTTCGAACCTAAAGGTCATTTTAATAGAAAAAAAAAATAAAAAAATTTGACTGTAGAAAAAAAGATCCCATATATTCCCACTGAACAGAAAAAAAAAATCGAAAAACCATAATTTTTTAACTAACTTGGCTTTTTTCTCTGCTATTTTGTCCTTGCGTCGCCTGTCCTCAACAGGAAATTTCGTTGGATCCGACAATTCCCTCCGGCGCAAATCTTCCCATTCGCCGTTGAGCTCAGATATTCTCATTTTACACCTTTGAAGACGTTCTTTTCTGAAAATGCTGGTGTCTTTAAAGGAACATCCGATCGGAAAAATGAATTTGAAAAGTCGAATTTTCGTAGCGAAGAGTTCGCAAAACGCGCCCAAAAACCACACATGGGAATTCAACTTTTCAGTTTTATTGATTCTATGCTAGGAACTAACCTTTCAGCATCTTCGTCGCTGAAATTTTCTGAATTTTCATCTCCTGAATATCCTCTTAAATACGAATTCGTCGAATAGGTCCGCTGAGTATCATCTCTATAACTTCATTCTGATTATTAAACTCAAAAACGGAAAAAAGAACCTTTCTACTCGCGGTTGTGGACCTTCATCAAATATTTCTTCAATTATAGGGCCGCGATATGACCGAGAGCTTGTTGAAACTTTAAAAAAAAAGAAATAAACAAACAAACAAGAATCAAATGAACGTACAACGACTGCTGTCGAAGCCCGGTCGTCCCCGAGGATATTCATAGCTGCTCATTGTAAGCAGCTATCCTTCAAATTAACGAAAATTGAATGAAAGATATCAAAAAGAAAAATAAAATATATCAAAGTTGGAACATTTTGAAATTCGGCGTCTCGCGCCTCTCTCGGCGCGTTATGTGGAGTGTTGTAGCCGACTAAGAGGCCCCTAAAGTGGTCAGACTCTAGTGGGATTTACACCATTTTTGTTAATTCTTTTTTTGTTTTCCATTTTTGAATTTGAAGTTTTTATCTTTTCGGGTTAGAGAGATACCTTGATTTTAACAGTATTTTTTTTCATACACTCGATTTTTTCTGAAAATAATCTGCATGTTCTTTTTTCTTTTGGACTTTTTATCTGAAAACTACTAATCACCTTTTTTCATTTTTTTCATTCGGGTGAAGTCGCTCATGAGGACGGCCTCAATATTACGCTATCAACTTACTTCAAACGCTTTTCAGTCTGTAATTTTTCTTTTCTGTTTAAGCGAAATAATTAAATAAATATCTGATCTCATCCGGTAAAGCTCAATTTCCAAAAAAAACCAAATTTTCCGAAATTTCAAAGTTTGTGAAAATTTTCTTCTTTCTAAATTTCTACATGTCTAGCTGTATTTTTTTTCAAACCTTTCGGTTCAACTTTCCGTAGTTTGTGGCGTTTGTTTGTTACCAAGTGTGATCTATGGCCCCAGCGAAAAATGATGATTTTGCGATCCTTCAAAAAAAGCTTTCTTCTGGCAATTCGCGTCCATTTTTTTCTACTTTTGATGACATTTTTGAGATTCTCACGGGTTTCGAAACTCAACAGCTATATAAGCTTTTGGCGACCTTTCTTGTACATTTCGCAGCAGTTTTCTTCGACTCGCCCTTTTTCTGACGAAATTTTATGATCAGGGAACATCACTCTCTATAATCTCCGTATCACTTCATTTTCTTCCATTTCTGACGAATTTTCTCTCTTTTGAACGTCTTTCCAGTTGCATACAGGCTTCAAAATGTTTTTTTTTTCAGTAGCTGGAAAATGACGATTACCGGCGTCAATTCAAATGTTCTGAAAAAAGGTAAGTGAGACGAAGACGAATTCAATCGGTTTTAGTGTATTTTAGTATTACTTTCTTAAATTTCATAAAACAATGAAATTAAGGCGATCCCGAGCCGTCAGCACCTGCGGCTGGGACCTATCGTCTCTACAACATGAGATTCTGTCCTTGGGCCGAACGGGCACTCATTTATCTGTCAGCCAAAGGCGTTCCGTGCGTTGAAATGTTTTTTTTAAGCGCTTCAAAGAAATTTTTTCAGAACTGAAGTAGTGAACATCCACTTGATGGAGAAGCCAGAATGGTATTTCAAAAAGCACTACCAGGGAAAAGTCCCGGCCTTGGAGCACGACGGCCGTGTGAGTGGTTTGAAATTTGAGAGAGTAAGGATCGCAGCTATTTTTGGTCCCCGAAAAATTTGGAAAAAAAAGTAAGTGAAATTTTAAGTGCGACAAGGCTATTTTCTTAATAGGGAAAAAGAGAATGATTTTTTTTAGACTTCTAATGGTTGGGGCTGAGAAAATTTCTAAAACAGACACAATAAAGTTCCTTTGAGCAGCCATTTTTTGTCTTCTTCCTTTTTTCACGCTATTTTTCTCCCGTCTTTTTATAACCGTTACTCTAGACGTTCAACTATCAGATTTCAAAATGAAAGCTCAATTTGAACCCTTGAATTCAGATAGTGATCGAGTCAGGAGTGATTCCTGAGTACCTGGACGATCTTCTGCCCGAAAATAGGTTCCTCCTTTCGGACCCATACGAAAAGGCTCAGCAGAAACTCCTTCTGGAACGTCTCAGCGTTGTTGTACCGGCTTTCTACGGACTGTTCTCCTTGATAAAAGACGCGAGCGCCAAAGAAGAAAAACTGGGAAACTTGAAAAAGGCCTTGGATGAGGCAGAACAGCTTCTTCAACACGAATTTTTCTCAGGTTACTGTTTCATAATTTTGAATGGGGGGTTTTTTTTTTATTTCTAGAGATATCAAAATAGATGAAAGAAAGGAAAAATTATTAACTCAAATTTTCTCGATCCAATGCTACTTTCCAGGTTCCAAGGCTGGATACGTCGATTTCTTAATATTCCCATTCTTCGAGCGAATCTGGTGGGTCAGCGACATTGCCGGTTTCGCCTTCCCGAGTCCTGATCATCCAAAAGTCGCCAAGTGGTTCAAGGCCACCTCTGAGCTTCCTGAGGTCTTTTTGCTTCAAAACATGGGAAAATGTTCGCATTTTCCAGATCGCTCGTGTCATTCAGCCCCTAGAGAAAGGACACCTGTTCATCAAGTCTTATGCCGACGGAAAGCCAGACTACGATGTATAAAGATGGTATTTTACGGAAGAAACTTTCTTGGTTGTGATATTTCACTAGAAAATTGTCAAAAGTAATCATGTATAAAGTAAATATGTAAATTTATTCGTGTTATTTACATGAGGGTGATATGGTACATTTGATCAAGATTTTGAAGCTTTTTAAAGAAAGTTAGTTTAAGAAGATCGGCTTCGCATCAGAGCCGATGACGTCAATATGAAGCCAACGGTGACCAAAATGAGCAAAGAAACTCCGAGTGTTATTAACAACGCCCGTCGGCAGTTTGATTGTCTGGCGTTCTCTGAAAAAGTCATTTTCTTGCAAATATTTCAGGGTTAATCAAATTGATATTCTAATTCATCTTTTCGCTTATTACAAGGGGTTTTCCAAAATCGTTCTCAAAAAAGTAGAGAAGTAAAGTTTCTTTTTTTGATAAAGAATTCACAAAAAAATTTCTCGTTAATAAGAGCTTTTCATCATTCTCGGCAGTTTCTGAACTTCTGACAATATTTACTCGAAATGTTTAGCGAAAGTAATGACACATTATTAGCAACTTTTACTATGTTAAATTTTGTATGAAAGAATCATGAAACCGTAAAGTCAAATTGAGAAAGATCGTCGCAGGCAGATTTTCATATTCAAATAAATTATATGAGAACCTTGAAAAAATATTTCTGCTTATTCAGAGTTTAGACAACATGGAACAGACTTGAAAAGATTAAAAAAATAAGAAGAAAAGAGTTTAAAGGCATAGGGGCAGTAAAAAATGGGGTTTCGGGTGAAAGAAGTATCTTATATAGTTTTTCTTTGCGAATTGAATGGTGTACTCAAAAAAATTACAGATGTGACAACTTTAGAAGAAAAACGCGATTTTACTTTCCCGCCATTAATTTTGAAAAAAGCTTTGGATCGGTATGCAGACAACTGTTTACAGTAGTCGTGCACGCGATGTTGCGGACGTCTCATTAAACTCGCATTTTGGGAGAAATAACCGGATTTCTGCTTCAAATTAAGGGTTTCGTCTCTGAAAAATCGATTAAGAAAACAGAAAACACACATTGATAATGAAGAAAACACAAATAATCGCTATCCCAATCGAAACCTGTGTAAAATCATCAATGTTCACCAGAAAAGCATTTTTGCAATCAAAGTTTGCAAATTATACATGAATAGAAAGCTTTTGTGACGAAAAGAACTTTGGTGACAACAGAAAAAATTGAAAATTGAAAGAAACGAAGAAAAAAGCGAAAATCCGGAAGATGGCGAAGCCTGTTGTCCATAGAGCAAATTTACTGCAAAGCGCCCTTTTTGCGGGAACTCAAACTTTCCTCTCTCCGACTTTGAATTATTTTTTCTTCAAAACTAGGAACTTCTGTACGTTTCCAAGTTTACCGTTCGATTCGCAATGAAAAGCTCTACAAATTACTGCTTTGAACTAAAACACCGTTTTTTACTGCCCCTATGCCTTTAATAAGAAAAACAATTTGCAGAAAATTGTTTTGAATAGGAACCTAAATAGTGAGTTTCGAGAAAAAAGTTTGCCATAGATAAACATTTTGAAGATGATATTTGTTCGAAAAAATTTTCCGGCTTTGAAGGACTACCGAAAGAATTATTCAAGTTCTCGAGGGGAGAAACCGCTCTCAGTGATTCTTCAAGCCATTGAAGAGTTTTTCTACTTTTGAAAACATCAGCAAGGGTTTTTGAACACACTTATGAGAGTTACGTTCGAACTAACTACGGCTTTCTATCATGGATTCGTTGGAATAAACTGATCCACGTGTCCTGGAGACTTCATTGTCGACCGTGTAGACGTTGGACATCTTGTCTCTGCAAGTCTCTTTTCTTCACAGTGTGATCCTAGAAGAACTCACTGTGAGGCCGCGAAGGCGTAAGAGTTCTTGGGCGTGTTGGCGTAGAAGTTGTTGTAGTCTTCGCGGGTGTTCAGCATTTTCAGTTGCTCTTTAGAGTAATGGATAAATCCTGGAAAAGTTGAAATGTAGTAAACCCGATCAAATCTGATTGAACAGAGGGGACGAAACGGCGTGTTTGGTAGGTCTAAAAGATGAAATCGCTCGTTATCAGTCGATGTAAACCTTTTGTTTTTCCGTAACCGTTTGAGGACCTGTTTTGCTTTTTTTTTTGGTACGATTTAATTGAAGGTCACGCGCACTGTTTTGTTTATTTTCAATCACGTTTTTTTTTTGGGTTTTCGAATTTTACTGCCATGATGACAATTTCAAATCGGGTTAGTTTTTGCACCCACCTGTATACTTGCACTTTTCAGTAAAGACAAGGAGAATCTGTTTCTCAACATTAATGTAGATTTTTTTTACAGTATCAATGAGGCATGGTTTTCTGAATTTCATTATGAGAATAAAATCTACATTTTTTCTAATCGTCCATGAAGCGTAGAAGGCTCAAATATATAGCTGTTATTGGCCCGTCTTTTTTTTCAACTTTGTGAACCGTCCAATTGATATTTTCGATGTTCTAATCGTAACGCAGTTTTCTTCAACAATCTTTCTTTCCAGATTGAGCAATTTTCAAAAGGGTAATCAATTTCACGTCACCCTACAACTGTAAAAGCGTTTCTCGCGACCTGCGCTCTTTTTAAACTCAAAAAAAAGTTGGAAGTAGCCCGATTCTATTTTTAAGAACTCCAAAAAAATTTTTTTCTTGGTATTTTTTTTGAAATCAAGGTTGATTATTTAATTGAACATGTAGGAGGAACAAAAAAAGTTCCCAATCAGGGCAATTTTCTGTTTATTCACCGTTCCAGGTAAACACAATACTATCAGTTCATATATACAAACACATTGATGCGTTCCAAGGCATCGAAGTTGACAATTTGATAGATTCAGGGGAAGTTGATGTTTTAAGAATACGATTATGAGAAGAAAAATGCAGAAACGTGAAATCCAAGGAAAAAAAAACCCTTTTTTGAATCAAATAAAGATAATTTTAGAGAATGGTATTAAAAAAGACGTTGTGAAAGATGAAACTATTAAGAATTCGTGTGGAACAGCTCTTTCATAACTAGCTTTAACGAAAAAAGCTCCCGATTGGCTGGACGCTCCCTTTTCGTGTTTTTGGGGCGTGGCTAGCAAACTAGGAACTTGGAAAACTGAATACTGGAGAAACGGCAAGCTTTCTTGAAAATGAGAGAGTGTAAAATATACAAAATTATCCACTGATGAACTATAAATCCTTAGCCGCGTTATGTTTAAAAAACGGGGACAAGATTTCAGAGATTAAAAAAGTTGAAGAAAGACATAGGCAATGAAGGCAATAAAAACAATTTACACACGAGAAAGTACAGAAAAAGATCAGAAGACGTTGGCGAGAGCCATTATGATGACGAAAAGCAGAATCGGCGCGACGAAGAACACGAGGGCCGCCGTGACGAACATCCGACGCTTGATCGCCCTTTTTCGATTCCCCAGGTTCACACTATTCGCTAAATTAATTCTTATTTGAAGGTCATTATGAAAACAATAAGACCTAAACTTTCTTTGGAGAATAGAGCTGTAACTTCAGAACTCTTGCGCTCCATGGATAACCACAAAAAGAGCTATTTTTAGAGTTTTTAGAAGACTTCATTTTCGCTCTAAAAATTTCTTGTCAAATACTTTCTACTGTGATCATTGACGTTTCCATCGGAACAACGCTACCGAAACTTTTTGCAACATCGTTATCAAAAAAATCTTATCTTCGACAGATTCGCTACTCTTTTTGGTTCATAAATAGTTTCAAGACACGATAAGAAGCCATACGGAAGTTTGGCAAATGTTTTATGAGAAAAAGGCCTGAAATAATTTGATTTCGATCTAATTTATCAATGATTTTTCGATAATAGGTTACTGTGCTTTGAACCGAAATAGTCCAATATTTGAGGCACGCTGTCGATGAAACTGTTGTTCTGCATGTATCCAGTGGAAATGAATTTCCAATACTCGAAATCGTACCTCGAAGCCGTCCGAAAGCCATGGCGAAGCCGTAACGAGGCGGCGAAAGAGCGAAAAGACGAGAAGACGTGGTTTGGCGGCAATCCCTAGACGCGACCGAGTACGGCGGCGGCGGAGGGAGTTCGTAGAAGGCAGGGGCCGACAGAAGCTGGGGGGACAGTGGCTGCGGAGCCGGCGGCCTTCCATGAACTTCCGGCTTCATCACAGCCGAGTACCGTGGAGGAGGCGGCAACGGCGGAGAAGTTTGTGGCATCTGATGGAATCTGCAAGCTTTCAGCTTCGCTGTGAACGGATTCGAAACTAAATGAACGATAAGTTGAAATGGTTTGATACGTCGGACCCGAAAAGTCTTGAGAGCGAGGAAAGCATTATAGCGAGCGCAAACCTAACCGCGACGCAATGAGCCATTCCACGTGCGACCGCGGCTTTTTTGAGGATTGGAGTATGGTAGTTATGAAAGATTCTCTGCGTCTTATAATCGAATAAAGCTATGCTTATTATGCTCCATCGACTATTTTCAACGGAACTTCAAGAAAAAAAATCCTTTCTGGTAAATCTGAAGGAACATAACTTAATTTGAATAAGGTCTCGATGCGATGAGCTCTTTTCAGTGTTAATTCAGGTCGTTCAAGACGTTTACCTTCGAACTTTCTAGCAAAACGATCTTGATGAAGCTATATTTCATTTAGATCCAAGAACCATCGAATCTGCCCTTATTTTTACATTTATATTATTATTAGTTTTGAATCATTAGAAGAACCACAATGTGAGAAGATAGAAGCGGCCGTTCAAGAAAACATAATTCTAAATAGATTCAAAGACACGACTAAAAAGTACGATTTTTGATTGGCCGAGTGGACGCCGGCTGACCGGGCATATCGCCATATTTGATAGGCTCTGTCTTATCAGTTGTTTCGTACTATTAACATCTGAACTGAACCATTTCAAAGAGTAATATATAACGACAAAAAGTACAGTTCAATGATGACAGGCCTTATCGAGGTCGTCTGTCAAAGATTGCCAAAAGTGTGGATTATATCAGAGTTTTTCGAAACAAGTATTGTTTTTTTCTATGTATTAAGGAAAAATACAGTACATTTGCAGCTGTTTCAAGAAGAGAATGTCATTTAGGACCATTGCCCATTTCCCTTATATAAAACGGTATCCTGTTTATTATATCAATTTTTTAGGACTCAGTCCTTCTTTTTTGGATTTGCTTTGAAGTTATGAATGTTTTTACACGAAAAATTCATTTCTAATCCGAGTGGCTTTATTTACGCAAAAAGTTCAACAAAGTAAAGGGTGGATTGAGTACAGATCATGATTCAAAAGAAAAGAAGAAGTTGAAACGAAGTTGTAAAATGGGTGAAATCGTTCACATAGAGCCCTTTCATCCCTTCACACGAATACTGAGAGCAGTACACAATGTTAAGAATTAACAAATAAATTAGACGGTTATTTCAGTATAAATAGGTAATTTTTTTGAATTTTATTAATGAAAAGCGTAAAAAGTGGAAAATTATGCATCGAAACTAACGACGGAGCTTTTTTTCAGGCGGGAAATCGTTGAATGCGCCCGGAGGCGGACCTCCGCCTTGGTACATTCCTGGACCCCCAGCGCCAGCGCCAAAGTGAGGCGGAGCACCTGAAAAAATGACCCTTTATGTTGGAAATTCACGATAAATGTGGAAAAACAAATCAGTTAATTTGTCTGAAATTCTTACGTCCAGAGCCCTGAACTGGTTCATTCTTGAATATCTGCAGCAAACGGTTCACTCCGTCCATGATGTTCGCCGAGGATTGCTGTCTCTGTCCACCTGAAAAATTACAAAGGTAGAAAATGAAATTTTCATATCACAAGGGGTTTTCTAATTATAACGAAACCAAAATCAAGTTTCCTTTTTCATTTCTTAATTATATACCACAAGCAAGTTTTTGAAAAAAATTAATAAACCGACCTTGTTGTTGCTGCTGCTGAGATTGCGGCGGTGCTCCTCCGTGTCCGCCAGGGGGACCGCCAAGGCCTCCGGGTCCTCCAGGACCACCAGGTCCGCCGCCGCCGTACATGTTAGGCGGTGGTCCACCAGCGAAAGGATTGGCCATCGGTCCGCCTCCCATGAGCGGAGGAGCGTTCATTCCCATTCCAGATGAAGGTCCGAAGGCTGACAAATATTTGATATTGAGCAAAAAAGAGACCTAACATGAATGAATTCAAAAACTCAGAACAGATAAGTTTCAACTTTAATTCTTCATATTTTCTGAACGAGGCTCAATTAAAGTGGTCTCTTATTTTTGAAATTGATAAAGCCTCACAAGCTTGATATCCTCCAGGACCGTTCATTGGACCCCCAGATTGACCCCCGGGCGGACGCATCGCGCCCATTCTCTCGCGACGGGCCGCTTCAAGACGCTCAAGTTCTTGCTGTCGTCGTTGCAAATCTAAAAGGATTCTGTTAAATTTGATCTAGAATCAGTTGAAATCTTCAGCCACAAGTGCATGCGAATGAAAAACTTTTTCAAATAAAGAGATTCGGCAGAGGGACTTTATCAGTGAGAATGTCAAAAGAGCAGTCTTCCTTTCCGAACAAACGTCTGGTACTGGTTCAGTTCAGATAATACAACCGTAGAAGATAGAAATCCATATTGATCAAATGAGAAAGATTTCAGTGTGATACAGAAAAAGTGCATGGTTCTATAGAACCCAAAAGTTCAGTCGGAGGCGTGGAGATGCATAAAACTTACTTGATTTGAAAAATTTTCTGTGAAGAGAAATATATTTACCACAGCTATGTTTCTTTTGGAAAAAAAAACACGAAGATTCTCTCCGGCACTGAATACTATGAATTCAAAAATGAATGCATTAGTAGCTACCGAAAAAAATCTGTTTGAATGGAAATCTCGCGCCCGTTTCATGAATATTAAAAAGAAAAAAAAAAGAAAAGGGATATAAAAGGACAAAAAAAATTTAGCGCAACCAAAATTCAAGATTTTTAAGTTGACTCTTGGTAATGAAATTTTGGAGTGGGAGTCTTAAGAAAAGAGATCGAACCTGTTGCTAAAAGTTTGGTTGTGCAAAAGTCCTTGATATCATGCATAATTGAAGAAAAAAAAGAGCACAATGAATGATTCAAGATGTTCAACTTGAGTGTCAAAAAAGGCGATAAAAGTTATATGAACCTTCACGGAGCATCTGCGCCTGGTAGTCCTGGTAGGCGAGCTCCATGTCAGCCTCAAGCCGACGCCTAGCCTCGCGAAGCTCCTCTTCCAGTTGAATTTTTCTCTGGCGCTCCATCTCGTACAACTCTTTCCACTTCATTCCGTATACAAACTCGAAAGAGTTTGGCGCGGGAAACCGAGGACCCATTTCACGTTCCCTACACGCAACAAAAACGGTTAAGATAACTCAAAGATTGAATGAGAAGTCGAGACTTTTCAATCCGAAATCCAAATAATTATGAAAAGCGGAAAGCTCAGAACGAATCACTACACCTCTAAATCCATCAGCTTTAATGATAACAGAATAGAAACTGTTCGACCCTTCATCTACTATTTTTTCTGTTTTTGAAAACCAAAACCAATAAAAAAACTGCAAGATAACTAAAAAAAATTTGAATCCATTACGTTCGTAAGAACTTGGATCGCCTTTTAAAAGCCGTTTTTTTTTTTCACACTATCTTATCCATTTCAAAAGCAAGAAATAGAAATGAACATAAAATATGAGATGTATCCTAAGATGCTATCTTTCTCCGGGAAATAATTTCCGGTGCCCAAGCACATAGAAATTGCGCGTTTCAGAGCATTTTTAAACGCTTTCACACTTGTCCGTATTGTCGCTTGAAACATTTTGAAGCGCTATTCGAAAAGCCGGGGTCGTAATATAAAAGCCTGTTTTTTTATTAACGAATCTGCCACGCAGATCTGGTGAGGAAAAATCAAAATAGAGGGTTCCTTGAAGATCCTACAGGATTTCACCAAAGGATAGCTTGACGCTTTACTACCCAAATATAGTAAACCGGTACAGAAAGTTAAAATCCTCCGGAACTTACTTAATAAGAGCTTGAGTTCGCGGGATCATACGTTCAGCCAATCCATCGTCTTCATCCCGTGGTTCAAGAGCTTCCACGATAAGTGGCTTGGGACTTCTATATAAAAATTGAGATGTCATGAGGAGAAAACAATAAAGTTATTCAATTCCGTGAGCCTCGCTCAAAAAGGGATATTGAAAGCAAAAATTTCCGTGAATTTTCAACTGAAAAATGAAAAAGTACGTTCATGTTTTACATTACCAATTGTACACACTAGTCGTTCGAATATTTTTCTTGATCAATTTATAATTTAATAGAATGCTATGGGAATTCATAAATAGGATTAACGCTTGAAAAAAATCAGATAGTATACCATCAATTGCACTCGAATTGAAGATTTAGATACTAAACAAAAATAATAGTCCTTTTTTTAAAAATAAAATTTTTTTCGCAAGGATAGGAATAGGGAAAAAAACAAATTTAAAAAAAGTCTTTCCATATCTTCTTTCTAATCACGAGACGGATTACGGAATCTTTCGATTAATAAGTTAATAAGAAGATTCCTAACTATTGCAATTTTTATCTTATTATTAGACAGTTAAGAAAAGTGTCTCAGAATGGACGGCGATGGAGACAATAATACGCTTCCAGAGACTTTTCAAGCGGAAATGTATAGAAAGTTTAAAATAAAACTCAGGCTGAAACTCACGCTGTCATCAAGAAAACCTTCTCTCGGATGGCTTGAATCGCTTCATTGCAGCTGTTTTTCCTTTCAAATTCAATGATTCCTTCGCCAGTCGGGCGCCCTTTCTCATCAACAATGTGCACAGCACGTTCGACTTCTCCGAACTTGGAAAACGCGAGGAAAAGCATCTCGTTAGAAACGGTGGGCGAGAGTTCTTTGACGCGAAGAGCTGCTCCGTGAACTGCGAATCGAACGCGGACTTGGCGGTTGTGAATCGTACGGCCGTCGATGGCTTCCTTGGCGCTTTCGGCGTGGGCGCGAGTGTCCTATACGCAAAGAAAAGGCAATTAGAATCCCTAGAAAGAATACACAGCGTCTTTATTTTTTACAAAACTGAGTTGGAAACTATCAAGCTAGAAAATACTTTGTTGACAAAGTTGAACTGATATGGACGCTTGAATTCTAAAACCGCTCTGAAAGCCACCAAACTTTTCAAGGCGAAATTGATATTTCTGGTCTTGAAAGTATCTGCTGAAGTTTTCACAGGGGCAAAGACTCATTTCAGAAAATTTAAGAAGTAAAGAACCGCTTGCGTGTCATTCAAGGTCAAGCAAGACTTATATGCCTTTAAACATCCCAGCAAGGAAATTTGAGCGTACTTCAATGAAATACTAATTGAAACGTTCATGTTATCAAGTAAAAATATTTTTTTCCTTTTTTATCAAAATATAGAAAAAAATTTTTTTGGCTAAATTATGACTTAACATTCAAGTTTTAAAAAAAGCTAAGCAATAATTATTTTATTTACTTTTTGCTGACTTCATCTCTATGAACAAATTTCTCTTCAAGAGCTATTGCATTTCGCATTTTATCATTTATCGAATTGCATTTTTATGACTTTTATAAATGGCACTGGCCTTCCCTAAATTTTTTTAATTTGCGAAATTTTTCTACATTTCCGCGACACCTGAAAGTTGAAACGTATAATTTACATATTCATATCTAGGTGACTAGCTGAATTTATCTTGAATCTTTAAAAATTACGAATTGATTAAATTACTGCAAATAGAAGCTGTTTTTGCACCCTTTCCGCTTTTCTTTTATAGTCTCTGTTCAAATTTTTTTGGAAACCATGAAGGTGCTAAAACGTAGATAACTCTGTTTTCATTTTTCGAGAAATTTAAAAAGTTAGAGCTGAATGGCTGAAAATTGCATTACAACCTGAGTACCGCTGTTGGGGTCGCGAAGGAAAAGTGTTTCAATAATACGAAGGAGTCCTTCAAATAAGCATTTATTCTGTCCGAGGAGTCCAACAAAAGCAGGCTTGTAATATTTCCATAGTCCACTTCGAGTGCTTTTCAGAGTCCATGTCTTTCCCAGTGAGTTTTCATATTTCCAATAATTATATAAGTCCATGAGAAACACCAGAATTTCGATAAAATGGCTGATACACATTTGTCGGAACCGGCAAGTCCTTCAATCGCTGGTGATATTTGACGGCCTAAGCGACCCCAACGCAGTATTTACATTATGAATGGGAAATTTGAGTCTTTAAAAGAAAAACAAATCGAAAAAAACTAACCAGCCGCAGGAAAGCGAATCCTTTGCCGGATAAATAACATTCGGCGATGTCTCCATGAGGCGTGAAAAGTTCTTTGAGTTCGTTGTCTTTGACTTCATTTGGGAGGTTTCCGACGAAGAGACGGCAGCGACCGGTGAACTTTTTCTTCGGCATATCAGTCATCAGCTCTTGCTCAGTGAAAGATTGTCCAGAGAAAATCGGTCCGCCGCCGCGTCCCGAGGATCCGCCGTAGTTCTGGTGCCCGTGTCCTCCACTGGATTGCCGTTGTTCTTGACCGTTGTTTGGACGCGAGAACTCTCCGCCACTTTGACGCTGTTGATTTCCACGAGGCCGGCTAAAGTCCACTAATTTTACTCAGAAGATTGAAAAAAAAAGATAGGTTTCAGCCGGTAAAATATTTTAAGAAGCCTCAGAATAAATAAATTAACTCTAAACATAGATTACAGGAACATCTAGGAAAAACTCTCTAATTTTCATATGTGCGAAACGAAAATAAATGAAAATTCAATTTCAGAAAACTCAAAGCAAACATAAACCTTTCTTCGCGGTCACGTCCTCGACGATCGTCGTCACGACGTCTCTCATCTCTTCCGCTCCCACTTCTCCGGTCGTTAGTTCGATGCGACATGCTGCAAAAAAGCTTTTACAGAGAACAGTTGAGAATATAATTAAAATAAAGAGAAAAGAAGTGAAAAGAGAACGTGGACGAAATAAACCACACGCAAAGAAGGGGAGAAACGCCGATCGATGTGATGCGAAAAAACCTCTGCGACTTCTCTGTGCCCTCCGCGGTAGTTAACATGTCTGGTTTTACTCCGAGACTCGAGAGCTCGCCATGACCCTGCGCCTTTAATCTCTCATTTATATTTATATTTTATTCATTATTTTTTGTTTTTGCTTTAATTCTTTTTACTTTTCGAAATTTTTTGTAGCCATAATTTTTTGGAGTTCAAGCCAAGATGTTTTTCAAATGAAGTTCGAATAGTTTCTTTTCGTTCAAAACTTTTACAACTCGTTTTGCACGTTATTTTACAAGAAAATTATTGCATCACAGTTTTCTATCGCCATTCTTGACGTTTGTGATTATAATTTAAATTTTTTCTATTCAAATGTTCTAGATGATTAAACGATGTGCGGATTTGCTAAGAGTAGTGAATGTGAGAACTATTCCTCATTATTTGGTGTACGATTCTAGCTGCTCTCACTCGACATGTTCTAGCACAGTGGTTAAAGAAAATGAGGTATCAGCGAGCAGTAGAAAACGCATCCCAGACGGTAACTTTGTTCAAAATTCGAGAAATTAAACCATTCCAGATGGTCTCACTCTTCAACACTTCATTAAAAAATCCGAAAGGCGTCCTAGACAAAAGAACGTTATTCCAACTCCCGAAGAGTCCGACGACTATCTTGATCCAGAAGATTTGAAAGGCAACGGGAGAACAGGTGATTTCAGATCCAATTTTCTATGAATTAAATGTATTTCAGTCAACTACGTAACTTATGGTTGTCAAATGAACGTCAATGACATGGAAATTGTTCGTTCTATCATGACGTCATATGGTTTTAACGAGACCGACAATCGCAAAACAGTAACTGATTTACAAATATTCTGAAGATGTTGATAGGTTTCAAGGCGGACGTTGTATTATTGATGACTTGTTCGATTCGGGAAGGTGCTGAACAGAAAGTTTGGGCCGAGCTGAAGAGGCTCAAGAAAACTTCTGCGAGAAGGTCTCAAGTCGTAGGAGTTTTGGGTTAGTCGACTTTATTTGAATTGGAAATAAACTTTGAAGGCGAAAAAATACTCAGAAATATCTTTTCTTAAGGTTGTATGGCTGAAAGAGTTCGGCACGATCTTTTGTCCAATCGCAATCTTGTCAATGTGGTGGCTGGTATGTTTTTCATAAGGTTACTTTCTAAATTAATTTTTTCACAGGTCCCGACTCTTACCGAGATTTACCGAGGCTTTTGGCTGTGGCCAGAGCTGGATCTGATGCGATTAATGTACAACTGTCCTACGATGAAACCTATGCTGACGTCTCTCCCGTACGAGTTGATCTGGACTCAAGGACGGCTTTCGTGTTAGTTTATTTCTGATAAACGCCGAAGTTGCTTACCATTCTGGTACTGCTGATTAGATGCACATCGCAGAACAGATCCAACAAGTTGTTTTGGCAATTCCAAAAAAAGATAATTAAATAAATATATATATATTTCAAACGCCAGAGGGTTTTTGAGAAAGTTCAATCAAACTCAATTTGTTCAGTCTTCAGAGTAAGATGAAGAAAGTCTCTGCTGAATTATGATATAATTGAAAAGTTAGTCGTCATAGCGGGTTCACAATAGTTGTCCAATAAGTCTCTTGAAAAAAATGCAAAAAAATTTTTTTTGGATTATTCCATTTCTACTCAAACTTTTATGCAAAAGACGAAGAAATTTTCAATTACTGATCGCTTCGGCTCCGGTTTCATAAATGATCAAGATGAAAAACTCGACAAAACAAATATCTTAAAGATCAATAATGCGGGGATGTGACAATATGTGCACATATTGCGTGGTTCCTTACACGCGAGGCCGAGAACGAAGCCGTCCTTTAGAATCTATCGTCGATGAAGTTTCGCGGCTTCGCGACGAGGTTTTTCTTCCCCGAACCTCCCAAAAAAAAAGAGGAATTCAGGGCGTCAGACAAATCACTCTTCTTGGTCAAAATGTGAACAGTTATCGTGATACATCCATCCAGACGGTCGAAAATTTGCCATCAACAGCCTCTGATTCTCCTTTCAAAACGGTCTACAAGTTAGTGTTGAGCGTTACTTCTAACTTGAAATCTGAATCTAGACCAAAAATCGGAGGAAGACGGTTCGAAACCCTTCTTGATAAAGTATCTGAAGTTGCTCCAGAAGTGCGGTTCCGATTCACTTCTCCACACCCGAAAGATTTTCCTTTGGAGGTACTCCACCATTTCTCTCATCCCATTGGATGTCGAGTATTTCTTTTAGTTGATAGAACTGATAAAAGAGCGGAAGAACCTCTGCAAACAGCTGCATATGCCAGCCCAAAGTGGCGACGACGAAACTTTGGATCGGATGGGCCGTGGCTATACGAGAGACACCTATTTAAGACTAGTCGACGACATCAGAAACATTTTACCAGGTCGAATATTTTTGAAAACGTGGGAGAAAAGGTAAACCATAAATTCGCCTGCTCTCAAGGAAAACATAAAATAATGTTTCCTCAAGCTTTTTGCGAACACATTCGAAGCGGAACGTGTATTTTTTTTTAACAAAAATAAACAGCGTTTTCATTAATGGAATTAAAAATACAATGGATGCATTAAAATTGTCTTTTTCGGCATCAATCATATTTTTTCAAATTTTCAAAAATCGAGCTAAAAGAAGCTCGAGTGCCGAACCACAGGGCTGTAAGACTTGAGAATGATAACTGATGGTAAGATAGTTTCTATCTCAACCGTAACGCTACAGTTCAATAAGAAAGTATATTAAAACCTTTCATCTTCTTCAAGAAAAATACGGCGAAAGTTTAGAAGTGAGCCTGACGAGCGACTTCATCGCAGGCTTCTGCGGAGAAACTGAAGAAGCCCATCAGCGAACTGTGGATCTCATTCACGACGTCAAATACTCCTTCTGCTATGTTTTCCCATATAGCATGCGAGGGGTAATATCTCCCATTTTTCGAGGCCAAGGCGCCAGTTCAAAAGTTTAGAAAACGAAGGCGCATCATCGGTTTGAGGACGACGTCCCGCAGCAAGTGAAGGATAGAAGACATCTTGAGCTGATGAACGCTTTTCGTTCCGAAGCAGATAAAATCAATCGAAATTTGATCGGTTCAGAACAAGTCGTCCTGGTCGAAGGGGTCAGTGAATTTGAGTGAAAAACCTCAAAGTTTGTGTTCTCTATAATGAATTTGCTTTTGAAAGGAAAAAAAAGTTTTTTGCTCAACTTTAATTTTTTAAAGAATTTGTCAATTTTTCTGTTTTAGGTTTCAAAAAGGAGTGAGCATGAATTGAAAGGCCGAGTCGACGGCGGCACTATCACTATATTCCCGAACACGGGAGGCTTCCAACCTGGAGATTATGTTTTAACCAAGGTTCGTTCAGAATGAATTTTTCGAGTCAAATTTTCTTCAGATCGTCGGTGGAAACTCACAAACGCTGCGCGCTGTACCAATGCAAAAAACGTTACTCTCTTGAAAAAAAAGATAGTTCATTCTGCTAGCTATTAATTGTTTGGAAATTGTTGTTAAGTTTGGAATTATTGAATGAAGCATCGTTCTACATCAACTTGGTTAGGGCTAGTCCATGAGAAAGAAAAAATTATATGCAAAAGTGTATGTGAAAAACTACTCTGAACGTGCAATTTGTTGAAGATTAGTAAAATTATACAATTATGAAGAGGTGAACCGAATGAAAAATATGAACAGATATTGAGAATAAAACACGAAAGAAAGAAGATACGCATTATTTGGCTACCAGAGAGAGAAACTTGGAGAAAAATACCGGACAATGCGGAATGAAAAAAAAAAAAAGTTAACATTAACATTCTATCCACCCCTAAAATGGAAAAAAAGTTGCGTAGATGTCTGAGCCTCTTCTTTCCGCACACTGTTCGGCTCATCGTAAAATGTTGTCTTACGAAATTGGAGAATGAACTGTAAGTGTAGTTTGAAATTTTTGTGGAAAGGCTGAGATATACTTCATTCAAAATGTGGTGCTGACTTTTTCAGTTCATTTTGGAGGGACACATCCTTATATGCACCCACACAAGATAGTAAAAACCCTGATCTCATTGTCGAAAAGATGTAGACTTACGGTAGATGAGCAGGATGACGTCGCCTTGTTTTATCTGCAGACTTTCAAGTGTGCTGTCGTTGGGCAGCTCAGCAATGTTGACTGAAATAAATTTGTAATAAAGAAGCCGAGTAGTTTTTGCAATTCCAATTTGAAAACTTTCTAGAGTACAAAAAAGGTACGCTTCTGCACAATTATGAGCTATTTACTGATCACTCAAGTGGTTTTTGTGCCTCTTCTGTGATCACTTGAAAAAAAAAGAATCAGAAACGTCCAACAAGCTTCCGTGAATTTCTCATTCTTATTGTTCTCCCTATCCCATTATTTGATCCTTTTTTTCATTTGTTCCAATGTTTAAAAGGGCTGTGAATAAACGTTTATTATTATTATTATTATCATATTCCATTAGTTTATGGACATATATTCTTGAGAATCTAATTCTTCAAAAATGCTTTCAAATTAGAAACGATTTGTTTCTTTCAAATATGTTTGTTCAATTGAATCTATATGTCGGCTGGAACCCTCCCCGGGGATTTGTGTGGGGATTGCGGTCTGCCACCCTTCAAAAAGTGCGATCTATTTCAATTTCGAATTTTTCTTTCGCGCGCAAAAAGCTGGCGTAAGTTTTACGTATAATTATATCGTTCTTTTATTTGATTCAAAACGAAAAAAAAGAGAGCGAAGACCAACTCTCAGGTAGAAGGAGCCGCTGGCTGGGCACGGAAATCTGTTCGATCGTTGAGATGCGCTCCTTGAGCTGCAAGACGGTCTCCTTGCCCTCGCAGCGGACCGGAAACATTCGTCCCAGCATCGTCTTGACGTTGACGTACATCGTCATCATCTTGCCTGTTAGGCCCGTTGTTAGTTGGGATTATTTATGAATTCAGAGGAAAGAGAATAAAACGAACTGTAAGAGAAGGAGAACTTGTGATCATTCTCCTCGGCGGCCCTGGCCCGTTCCACCGCCTCGATGACTTCGGTATACCGCGGATTTTTGCGCAGGTTGTAGCTGGCCTCTTCGAAAGAGTCTTCCACTGAAAAATAACCATTTTAGTATTTTGGTCATTATTTATTTTTACCACGAGGTGAAATAAACAAACAGTATGCCACATCCAGTCAATTCGCGAGTTTTTTCATGTTTTTCGGACATGGTCATACTAAAACAAATCTTCCGAAATTGGAATCCCATAAAAAAAATTTTTCCCGAGCACGAATAGAGGCTACGCTATTTTTCAAAGTGAGCGGAGATTAACGGACAACTGAACATCTTAATCTTTCAATTTCAACTTTCTATTTTTATCCCTTTTATCCTTCTTTTCTATCTTATTTTATAAAAATCAAGCGCGATAGGTAACGCAAAGAAAAATCACAATTTTTTTTGTACATAAGCAAAGAGGGAAAATGCTGACGATGGGTCACCCTCTCAAGCCGTACATTTTGACGCGAATCGGCTGCGCGATATATTCATTCATTCAATCTATTCATTCGATCAATTGCTTCATCTCAATTAAATTATCTATCGTCTTCATTCACAAAATTTCCACAGATTCCTATAATTCATTCGGTTTCTTCTTGAAATCCGTGTCTACCACCTTCACTTTAATTACATGTGCATCTTCCAAATTACAGCTCAAATCGCAGACTTTGATGTCGATAAGGCATCATGGCTTTTCTAGTTCTCTTCGGTGATTATTTTGTTTGTGGTCTAATTTACGTCAAGAAAAATCGTGAAAGTACTAAATATATCTCTTTCAATAGAAACAGTGTCCAAAAACAAGATGGAAACCATGAAATGGCCCTAATTCAAAAAATTTTTGTGCTTACCCATAATAATTCACTACATTCGTTAACAAAATAGTCACCAAAGAAACTTAAACAAAATTGGAGCCTTCATTCGCATCAAAGTCCGTAATTCAAGCGTTAGTACGCAATCGGTAACTGCGTACCGTCGTTAATAATGTGCTTTGTTCGCTCAAAAAAGGAAACGTACATTCGACCGAGGCCTTGATGGTGAGGACGTCGTCGCTGGGGTTCGGTTTGACTTCGATGCGCAGGATTCCGCCGTTGTGGGTCTTCACAGCCGACCTCAGCTCGCCGTCAGACTCCTTGTCGTACTGGATCGTCAAATCGTTTGTCGGACCAAGTTCCGAATGAGACGGCTCGTCTCAAAATATAGTTATGAAAAAACCTAGTGCAAAACTGAGATTTTTAATTTGACATCACTACCACTGGCAAATTCAGGCTTCATAGCGGATTTTGAACTGGGTTGATAGCGGGTATACAATAATCACTATATGTACAAATAAGCAGTCGAATACACTAAAAAAATAACTGCCGAGATAAAAGCGAGACGCTGGCGGTACATTGACGAACTCGCAAACAAGCCGTACATTTTAAGACCCGAAACGGCCGCGCGAAAATTCAATTCACATCTTCACTTTCTATTATTGTGTTCACTCATTTCTTTTTCACAAAACCTCACAATGTCGCTTTTTTCTATGCGCGATCACGCAATTTTTTCGGCGCGACCTAGCATTTTGGAAATTTTAAATTGTGAGATAAATGCGAGCTCGCGCCTAGTTGTCCAATACCCTATCACAAATCGAAAAAAACCTCGCGTGACAGTGAGAAGCCTTTGACGGTCAGACGAGTAGCCGACAGCATGTTGTATCGCCAAACTCACGTCGGCCACGGAGTCCGAAGGCGAAAAAACTAAAGCGATCACGTCGCCATCCTCGTTTTTGGCGAACACTTGCATTTCTCTAATTTCAATTGGTTATTTATATGAACGAATAGACTCTATTACTAGAAATTATTGACTCAAATATTTATTAGGGGAATTAGGGTTCACTTAAGGATACTTGAAAACTTTTATAATTCAATTTCCAATCCGCGAAAAACCACTTTGAACACAAAACATATGAAATAAGCGAGCAACCATTTAATTGCGCTTCGCATTGATTCGGTAAAAATAAAATATCTCTTTGAAAAAGTTCCCGATATTCTTTAAACAATTACTCTCAACAATATTCGCAATCTAGAGTACTCTCCTTTAGCTTAGAAAAAAAATTTTAAGACCTAAAAAGGACGCCATGACATTGTTATATGAACTATACCAAAAAAATTAGGAAAGATATATATTTGAAGATGAAACACTAAGAGAAAATGTTCACTAATTAGATATTTTTGGTCCAAAAGGCCTCAAAAGATTGACGACAATAATTTATCGCTAATAAGTGTTCATTAAATTTTAAAAAACGCTTCTTATTTCCCGAAGCTGTATATAATCCCGCTAAGTGATTCGTCGAAGTTGAAAATCGCCATCGAGTAAAAAAGAAACTAAAATGGCGTATTCATCGGAGAAACGGAAAATGCTTCAAAACGAAAAATCGTGTTTATCGGCGCGCCAAAGTTGCTTCAAAACTGTCATAATTTTTGTTTTGGAGCAACTTTCTTGCGTTTCGAAGCAATTTTCGTTTTGTCCGATGAACACGCCAAAAATTTTGGAAACTCGAGATAATTTTGCACTTCGCGATATTACTCTGAACACCGCATAACATGACCTACTGAAAAATCTGTCCGAAGACTACGTTGTAGCATCACAATGTATTATTTATAGCAGAGCGTAGACTCTTTCATTGTAACAAAAATTAAATAAGAAAGAATAGGATTCACAATGTTTATTCACAAATATGTTAGTCATTATTTGGTGTCATGCAGGGATGAACCATGTTTCAGTTTAGCAAGAATCTCCTCCGCGAAGACGAAGAACCAAGTGAAGGGTCGATTCTTTCTGGATGTTATAGTCGGAGAGAGTGCGCCCGTCTTCGAGTTGCTTTCCTGAAAACAAAAATGAATTGAGCATTGTTCCTACTCAATCCGAAACTAACCGGCGAAGATCAATCGCTGCTGGTCTGGAGGAATTCCTTCCTTGTCTTGGATCTTCGCCTTGACATTTTCAATGGTGTCAGAGGCTTCCACTTCCAAAGTGATAGTCTTGCCAGTCAAGGTCTTGACGAAAATCTGCATGCCTCCACGAAGTCGGAGCACCAAGTGGAGCGTAGACTCTTTTTGAATGTTGTAGTCGGAAAGCGTGCGGCCATCTTCGAGCTGCTTTCCTGTAAAAAAAAAACATCGTTTTTGAACTAAATCCAACTGAAACGAACCGGCGAAGATCAATCGCTGCTGGTCTGGAGGAATTCCTTCCTTGTCTTGGATCTTGGCCTTGACGTTTTCAATGGTGTCGGAAGCCTCGACTTCAAGAGTGATGGTTTTTTTCCGGTCAAACGTCTTGACGAAAATCTGCATGCCTCCACGAAGTCGCAGAACCAAGTGCAAGCGTGGATTCTTTCTGAATGTTATAATCAGAGAGCGTACGGCCGTCCTCGAGCTGCTTTGCCTGTAGAAAAAAATTTCGTTTAGAACTTATTATAATTGAAATGTTCACTCACCGGCGAAGATCAATCGCTGCTGGTCTGGGGGAATTCCTTCCTTGTCTTGAATCTTGGCCTTGACATTTTCAATGGTGTCAGAAGCTTCGACTTCCAGAGTGATGGTTTTTCCGGTCAACGTCTTGACGAAAATCTGCATGCCTCCACGAAGTCGGAGCACCAAGTGGAGCGTAGACTCTTTTTGAATGTTGTAGTCGGAAAGCGTGCGGCCATCTTCGAGCTGCTTTCCTGTAAAAAAAAAACATCATTTTTGAACTAAATCCAACTGAAACGAACCGGCGAAGATCAATCGCTGCTGATCTGGGGGAATTCCTTCCTTGTCTTGAATCTTGGCTTTGACATTTTCAATGGTGTCAGAAGCCTCGACTTCCAGAGTGATGGTTTTTCCGGTCAACGTCTTGACGAAAATCTGCATGCCTCCACGAAGTCGGAGCACCAAGTGGAGCGTAGACTCTTTTTGAATGTTGTAATCAGAGAGCGTTCGGCCGTCCTCGAGCTGCTTGCCTGTAGAAAAATTTCGTTTAGAACTTATTATAATTGAAATGTTCACTCACCGGCGAAGATCAATCGCTGCTGGTCTGGGGGAATTCCTTCCTTGTCTTGAATCTTGGCCTTGACATTTTCAATGGTGTCAGAAGCTTCGACTTCCAGAGTGATGGTTTTTCCGGTCAGAGTCTTGACGAAGATTTGCATGCCTCCGCGAAGACGGAGAACCAAGTGCAAGGTGGATTCCTTCTGGATGTTATAGTCGGAGAGAGTGCGCCCGTCTTCGAGCTGCTTGCCTGTAGAAAACAACATCATTTTTGAGCTAAATCCAACTGGAACGAACCGGCGAAGATCAATCGCTGCTGGTCTGGGGGAATTCCCTCCTTGTCTTGGATCTTCGCCTTGACGTTTTCAATAGTGTCGGAGGCTTCCACTTCCAAAGTGATGGTCTTGCCAGTCAAGGTCTTGACGAAGATTTGCATGCCTCCGCGAAGACGGAGAACCAAGTGCAAGGTGGATTCCTTCTGGATGTTATAATCAGAAAGCGTGCGGCCGTCCTCGAGCTGCTTGCCTGTAGAAAAATTTCGTTTAGAACTTATTATAATTGAAATGTTCACTAACCGGCGAAGATCAATCGCTGCTGGTCTGGGGGAATTCCTTCCTTGTCTTGAATCTTGGCCTTGACATTTTCAATGGTGTCGGAGGCTTCCACTTCCAAAGTGATGGTCTTGCCAGTCAAGGTCTTGACGAAAATCTGCATTCCTCCGCGAAGTCGCAGAACCAAGTGCAAGGTGGACTCCTTTTGAATGTTGTAGTCGGAAAGCGTGCGGCCATCTTCGAGCTGCTTTCCTGTAAAAAAAAAACATCATTTTTGAACTAAATCCAACTGAAACGAACCGGCGAAGATCAATCGCTGCTGGTCTGGAGGAATTCCTTCCTTGTCTTGGATCTTGGCCTTGACGTTTTCAATGGTGTCGGAAGCCTCGACTTCAAGGGTGATGGTTTTTCCGGTCAAAGTCTTGACGAAGATTTGCATTCCTCCGCGAAGTCGCAGAACCAAGTGCAAGGTGGATTCCTTCTGGATGTTATAATCAGAAAGCGTACGGCCGTCCTCGAGCTGCTTTCCTGTAAATTATCTATCTTCTTATTTTTCTATCTAAAAAAAACAAACCAGCGAAGATCAATCGCTGCTGATCTGGGGGAATCCCTTCCTTGTCTTGAATCTTGGCCTTGACGTTTTCGATTGTGTCAGAAGCTTCGACTTCAAGAGTGATGGTCTTTCCGGTGAGTGTCTTCACGAAAATTTGCATTTTCTGAAAAACAAGAATTGAAAGCCAAGCACAAAAAGAAACAGTGAAAGACGAAAATATGCGAACCAAATGTTATTAGTAATTTTTTCAGATATGCTTCAAGTGAAATAAAAACGAGTGTATGAGAGAGTTGAAAGGGATTGGAGAACTTTCCAGAAAATTCTATACAAGTTTCGAAATACAAAGCATCAGTTGCCTGGCACCTCACAGGACGGCGAAAAAGGAACGAATGAGCCAGAAGGTCTCCCCCCCTCGCGCGCGGCCGCCGATCAATAACAGACCACGCCCTCTTCAGCTGACGCTGACGCGCTGGGACCGCGTCATGGTGCCTGCCGTGTGCTCCTTTAATCTTTTGAGCAAAAAAAAAAAAACAAAATTATTCTTTCTTTCGATATTCTTTTAGAAGTTCAGTCAAAAATTTTCGTTACTACAATATTGAATTTCCCGATTTCAATCAAATCTTTCTAGATAAAAAACAAGAGCGATGTTGAAATCATTAGAAAAAACTCACCAAATTCGATTGAAAAGATAAGATGGACTGATTTGAGCGACGATAAATCACGTCTTTTTGATTAAAACAACATAATGATGTCATTTGATAGTTCATATGTTCGTCACGGTGACGAAATTTAAAAAAAAAGACTCAACGGAGAAACGATTGCAAAGGATGATGAAAAATATAAGCCGTCGCTGTAGGACGCGCGCAAATGTATAAGAGAGCGGCAAGGTCAAGTTTAGTCGTAGAGTGTGACCTACACAAACTGGTTTCTCCGTTCGGAGATTACATACTAAGAAAAGGATGTTTAAAGTGTAACAAAAGAGAAAATAAGGAAAATGATGCTTCGACAACGTCGCTCGAAAACCAGTCTCGTCAACGATTCCATAGTTCAATGTTTAAAAAGAAGCGTAAAACCTGAATCGAGACGCCTTGATATATGCCCTCATGGTGGGCGTAACCATGTTTCACAATCGCAAAAGAGTCATATTGCTAGAGTGTTCCACTAGTTTCGAAAGTTTAAAAAAAATGAATAAAGATAGAAGTCTTTTTCCAACTCTCCGCAATAGAATGAACCATTATTCCTCCACCTGATCTTTTTTCCGAAATTTCCAGAATGGGAAAAACATGTGACAATATGAAAAGGTGACGCGGTTACTCGATAATTCAAATTTCGGCATCCTCGTAAACTATCTAAACCCCTTTGAGTTCATATATAGGAAACTTGTACTCTGAGTTCTTTACAAGAACAGCAAAATGAACTTTTAAAGGTCTATGTTCTTGCAGTACGCGAGCACTTGGCGTCTACTAAAAGTCCAATTTTTCAAAGCGCTCTCTGAACGCGAAATGGAGCATCTTTTGGTCATTTTGTTGTAAAATACTAACAAACACCAAGAAAGAGACCAAATTGAATACATTGATAGCCCCGTGACGGCTGGACAGGTCCGGCCTCAAGTAGTTCTCTGTTGTTTTCGAGAACGCGTTGTTTTTTGGTGCAAACCCAGCCGTCAGGCAGAAAGAAAGGGATTAAAAGCGCCGAGTTGGAGGTGACGGTCGGTGCAAAGCTGAAAAATATCGGACTAGCACGAGCAGCGGCACAAACACATCAAAACTACTTTGGGTTATTTGTGTCTACGGAATTCTTTGTTCACAACTTTGCTTCACAGTACTTCTGACCTGTCAGTTATCTCTCGATCGTCGATGCTCAGCCGCATGTTTTGCTCGTCTTGTGATAAGAGAGAGAGTTCTCTTTCAAAAAAAAAAGCCAAACAGCAAATGCCGTCATCTAATGTTTTCCCAAAGGGTTCAGAAACTTCGGAAAATTTGAAAGCCCGAAGATCAAGGTGAGCCCGGCCTCCAATAAATTTATTTTGGACTGAAGAAGCTACTCAGGCGGCCTTCCGCAGAACTTCATAAAATTCCAAGCAGAGCTGAACGAAGCTAAGAATAAGCTGCAACATGGTGGCCACGTGGAGACAGAAGTCGAAGAAGGGTGTGCTCAACTCTACGACGAACCAAGTCGTCAGTCCCAAGACCAACGGCGAGAACAACGCTGAAACGTTTTTTTATTGAATTTTTTCCATAATTGAATAGGTTTACTAAAAAACAAACATTTTTTTTTGAAAAAAATCTTTTGTTTCAACTTTACCAACTTTGAAAAATTCCTAATGATAAATTACATGAAAAAAGTGGATGAACGCTCAGCCGTTCATTACTCATTAAATTAAAAATTCGGAAATAATATTTCGATTTGAACCATTAGAACCATTTAAAAACTTATTGAATGTTTTCATACTTGTTTTGGACATTTAAAAACGCGATGATAACTTTTACGAAAAAAAGTAAAAAGCGAGTCGAACATTCTAACAAAGTAACTTTCGAGTAAAAAGAATCATAAAACGTCAGATTTGACTGAACCATCAAATTTGGCGTCATTATGTTTCTTTGCGTATTTTTCGTATCTCTATTTTTCTGAAGATCAATAAATCACGTGACAAGTTTTGCATTAGTTCAACACCTTTCCTATTTCTTTTGACGCCACATGACGAAATTTTCGCTGAATCTGAGAGCCACTATACTAATTAAATTGTTGACATCCCAAATATCACACGCATGAGTCATGAAAAATGAAAATAATGACCAACCTATACTGTACTGTAAGCGCGGAGTCGTCTCGTGCTCGCGCAACAGTTGCCGCACATCGTACCTTCCGTCGATGTAGTAGTACCTTAAATAACGAAAAGTGAAAAAGATGGTGAATCATCCACCAGCGGCGAAAAAGATGCACTGCATTCATTCCAACAATAGCCGAATATGTCAAGAACGTGTAAAAAGAGAGTGAGCCTGATTCCATATAGATGAATAAGACCTGACAAAATGCATCGTGAGGGTGAAAGAATTGTTAAAGAGGAATTCGGTATTCACCTGCAAAACTGTACACAGAAACTGAATGAGACGGCTTATGATGACAAAATTGGGGAACTCATACGAAGCCATCACTTTCCTCATAATCTGAAATACAGTCGATTTCGCAGCCCTTCAATACTGTTACTAGAAGGGAACCTTAGTGTATTCATCCATGACGAGATTTGAGAAGAGACTGAAAGGCGTACGGTGAAAAGAAAAAGAAATGAACGGACAGCACTGAAAATGAATTCTCCTTACACGAGTTTTTTTGAACTTGGGATTTGAAAAAATTTAGTATATAATGCGTGACGACAAATAACTGAGATAATTAAAGGCTTTTTGAAGAAAACTGGAATCAAATTAATGCCTCTTCGAGAAATTAAGGCAGATTAGAAATAAAGAAAAAGATATCTAAAGGTATAGTTCAGGCTTATTTCAAATTAGCAAAAAGCGGCATCAAAAAAATATTCGAAACACTTTAATTAAAAATTTTTAATTTGAGTGGAAAAATATTAGGAAAAACTATCAAACAAAGACAAGAAAAACAAGACAAAAAACTGAAGAAAAAAATGATTTTGATGAGTGGAAAAAAATTAATTTGAGGCCGCATTAAAAACGAGAGGAGATCTCTTCGTTTTGAAACTAATTTTTTTCGAACAAGAAGCTTGCCGCGTTGCGCTTGCGAAGCAGCAATCGATTTTTTTCATTTTGCGCGTGTTTCGATATAATTTTTTTGCTTTCTTCATTTTTTTCAAAAAAACCGTGCACGATTTATTTGAAGCAGATGGAAGAAAAAAACTAGGCATCTTTTTCGGGATTTTATTTTTTTATTTTTTTCATCTATCTTCTTTTGCCGAAAAACTTTTCTCGAAAAACTGAACTTGGTTTACCTTACATCTAAAAAGTTGAAAAAAAGTTTGTCTGCATACATAATTAAAAATTTAGCTGTTAAATAATTTGTGAAGAGGTTTTCGGCACCCATACCAGTGATCCGATACACAAGCGAATCGGGAACGTACCATAATGTATCCACGAATATACCTCTCAAAATAGATCGTGTATATCCCATAATAGGCCATCGGGAGACCTCCAACATACCCTTCAGCTTTATCTGAACCATATCGGAGGTCTTTGAGAGCTCTCAAAATGAGATATACTCTAGAGTATATCTCATTTTGTTCAATTCCCTCAGAAGTATACTCGTGGTACCATCGGTAGGCTTCAGACCCTGCGATATACTTCGGGCACCTCAGGGAGTATCGCGATACTCTTTCTCGATTCGCCTATGTACGTTTTTTCTCGAGTCCTTCCTCTTACCTTTCAAAATTACGTCATGATCTGGTGTATAAAAAAACCTATTTTTTTGCATTAGTGATCGTTGAAAATAATTTTTCAGCAGTGAAAAAAATGAATATGACTGCTCACGATGGATGGGTGGAATTAGACCCGGAAAGTCAGAGCGAAGAAGATGGGAGGTATTTTGTTCTTTCTTGTTCGAAAGAAGTTGAAAACCTACTGGCGAAGGAAACTCATTTAAAAAAAGTTATTCTATAATTTTTTTCAGAATTCATCAAGAGTTTTTCGCCAACAACGATGGGCAGTTGCCGATATCCTTTAGCTGTAAGTTTTTTTTTTTGAATTCTGCGCACCTTCTACCATCTTTAAAGTTATGATATGTTCGAAAATCCTTGATTTTCTGATTTAAAGAGCAGGACCTTTCTTAGAAGATTTTCCTGATGAAGACCCGTTTTCCCCTTTATTATTCATGGAAAAATGAAGGCTTGTTCAGACAACATGAATCAAATGGTTGGAGGAATGAGTTCGCTAGTAGACGAGCCTTCGGAATTCAATCCAGAGTTCACTACTTTGCACGATTTCCCGTCACAAGGTGTCTTTTTTAACTGTTTGGCAAAGATAATCTTTTTCAGACATTCAAGAATTTTCTGAGTCGATAGCAGAAATATGCTGGGATGAGGTTAATGACCAGGGCCATTCTCCGCTAAACGTAGAACTTTCTGACCCTGACACACAAAACAGCTTGTTTGATCAAACGGCGGATTATCACGACATAAACGCTACCGAGGTTGTCTGAACAGAAAAGCTCTTTAAAAAAATTTTCGAGCAGATTATTTTTTTATTTAATAAGAAAATGAAAGTATTTTAGCACTTCCAGCACGAATCCATGTGTCCGAACGAGAATGTCATCGATCAGCAGTTTCCTGACTACACCAGTGGCGATCACTTCTTGGTAAAAAAAAAATAATAGTTTCCAATGTGAATTCCTGCAAGTTTAGGTCCATTCATCAAACATTAATTCATCGGATAATCAGTTTCCGCAATTGCTGGAAGACGTTGGTGTGGCCTCAGTCAATGTTCAGCACCGGTCTTTTCTTGAACAAGGCGCCGTGCAGTTTCGAAATCGCGAAGATGTTCAGCATTATCGAATAGAAAGCCATGACCCTATTGAAAGACAGCATGATCAGGAGTGAGATTATTCGGCACATTTCAATCTCTCAAATAAAATCAAAGTGTTTCTAGAAACGAGAAGCAGGGTGAAGGCGATTGTTCACCTTCCCATAATGTTTATGAAACCGAGGGAGTGATACAAGAACGAGTTGAAAGAATAAATGTTGCGGAAAACGCCGATGGCATAGAGGAAGCTCAAAACGATTTGCAAGTGGATTATAGACCAACGGCCTGTGTAGCTTGGGCTTCTTTGGGCAGGATGATGTGTAAAAACAAAGGTGTGTTTTCAGTTGTTAGGTATTAAGAGGTGTGTCGATTTTCAGTTTACCGCTCAAAAGACTGGCTCAGATTTGCTAGGCTGAATTTTGTATTTGAGTTTCTTTGACACATATTTTTGCTTCCACGTATACAGTAAACTCAAATAAAAAAGAAAAGCTCCTAATTTGATCCATTTTTGAAGCTTTTTTAGCGGTAACCTGCGATTCAAAAATATTCTACCAAAGCTCAAAAAATCCTCTGAAAAGACTTTTTTTTCAGATGCACAAAAAAGTTGTTATGATAATATGCTGGACGATTCTCTTCTGGACAACATGGATGAATTAGAAGATTTTTTGGAAGGAGACGTAGAAGAAGAAGTGGTAATTCGGGAAGAGTGCAACGAAGTTGGCGAGTCATCAGAAATGACGGCTTCTGGTACACTAGAACAATACTCTTACTTTGATTCGGTTGAAAATGTCCCACAAAAGTCTCTCGCTTTCGAAAAAATTTTCATAATCTGGTTTTTCAGTTTTCAAGATGTTGATAATACTTACGAAAATGCCGTTCCCATGACACCTGCACCTGTTGGATTCACGCGACAACGTGTTTCGAGTTTTTGCAAGCACAGTTGGTTGATCAGATGTTCACATTGAGAAAAAAAAGCAGTAACAGTGGGTCTGAAGGACGTTTCTCCCGAAATGGAACCTCAAACTCCTGACGAGCTTCAAAGTGGAGCTGATCCTGATGTTAAAACTGCACTCGATGGCGAGATGCCAGAAAGTCTAGGTTTTATTGTAGTAAATTGCACACTCTAACATCAAGGGGCGCAGAAAATGATGAGATGGAGCTCATTGAGAAGAGCGTTACCTCTGCGGATGACTTAACGCCTCCGCCTTCCTTGGAACGTCAAGTTCCGACAAAAGAAAACGAGACAGCTCCCAGGTTGGCTCTCATCTTTTTTTTTTTTACCTAAATGTCACACTCACCTTCATAGTGTTCAAATAAACTGTTCCAGACCGATGACAAAGATGAGAAGGCACTTATTGAACAAACGCAAAACGTCCTTCCTGTTCCCACAATACAGAGCCGTCGAGTCTCCTCTTGCGCCGCGAAATGTTCAGTGCTTCCCGTACGATGATTATCACTACGACTTTGACCCCACCTACCGTCCACTTAAATATAATGTCAAGGTGTGTTTTGTAACGATTGAAAAAAAAAAGCAAGAACAAATTTGTGGAGTTTTCACCGGTGTTTGCAACTCCTGAATATAGAAAACTTTTCTAAAAAATGCCTAAAATCTACAAAGTTCCTCTTGTTGGCCTTTAATATTTGGTTTTTCGACTTCGTGAAAAGTAATTATTAAAAGTTTCAAATAATACTCCCGAAGACTGAAAAAAGTGAGAACAAAATAAATTTATGTTGAAAAAATGCTTTTAGTCATTAAAAGCAAAGAATGAACCATGTGAGCCGAAGCCGTGTCAAAACTGCCGAGAAACTGCGTCTGATAATTTTCACAAGGTGGACATGAGCGATTACAAAGCGTGTGAGCCCAGTGGAAGACAAGTTTGTCTAAAAAAAGGGAGTCGAGTACAAAAAAAAAATATTTTTTAGGTCAGAGCTCATCTGTGCGATCAGTCGCGTGTTCTGATTGCCAGAATTGCAAATTGGAACCGCGAATACTCTAACAGGTTTCCAGAAGAGTCTAAATTCAGAATTTTTCTAATGAAGAACATCATTTCTAACATTCAGACTCGGAATCCGGGCTCATGGAACGTTGTACTCGAGGCCTGATGAGCTCACAGCAATGCAAATGGGCTTTTGCTCGGCGACCGTCAAACGTTGCATAGAAATCAATGACCATCTGGCTCTAACCAAGTGCTCGGTCAAAAATGGAATCTCCGTAATTTTTGCTTTGAAAGTTTTGTTCAGAAAAGATTGAGGGGTCTTCACAATTGAACTATGAATTTTTATTGTCGTTATGATTTATAGAGAGAAGCGCTAGATGATCTGAAAAGCGCTTTCCAAGACGACATGTACTATGGAGACGTGGAACTGAAACATCCGAATGTCCTGATCTCTTCGGTCAAAACTTCAAAAACCGATAAAGTCGATAATCAACCGTCTTTCGTCAAACTCACAACGACGATGTCGGATGTCGTGGAGAACAAACCCAAAATCCACGACGAAAGGATGATTCCATCAGAAGAAGTATTGAAATCGGCAAAAAATCAGAAGGAAATTCACACTGTGAGCGACTGTGAATCAGTCGTGTCAATTCCCAGCCGCAGGTTTCATCAATTTTTCTGGATTCACCAAAGTTGAACGAGATTTTAAGATCTTCACGACGACACGTGAAGAAACCAATCTTCGACGTCGAATACATTACATCAGAATCAGAAAGCGATGTGGTTGTTGTGAAACAAACGGTGTGCTTTTTATCTCCTCAGTGGATCTTCCTTTCTGAAACCCAAACTTTCAAGGGACTAGAAGATAATTTTCATGGACTTAAAAATTTATCAGGGTGAACTAGAAAAATTATGCCGTTTCAGGTCGGTCGAAAGACGAGTTTGCGAAAACGAGAATCCAAAAACGGGCCAACTAAAAAGCGCGGTCGTTTCGCAAAACCCGTCCTGAGGATGAACCCGACGATTCTCACGACGAGAAGCGGTCCTCTGGTGGAATGCTCCACGGGAAATGGCTCAAGCGCGGAGAAGACGGTAGGAAAAACGAATTAGGATAAAATGAACAGAAAATTCTCAGGAAAAAGTGGCCGGAGAAAAATGCAGTAAAAGTGCTGTCGAGTTAGATGGGAAGACGAAAGAGAATGAAGAATTGAGTGACCGCAGAGTCTTGTAACTAGATCCCATCTTTGTACAGTTTCACCTCGATTCTTGTTTGCGCATTTTTCTTGCTTGCATGCGAACCTACATGATCTCTTTTTTTTTTTCAAATTTTATATTTTAATATAGTTTTTCGAATTATATATTGTTTTCTTCACCCCAACCAAATCACAGTATTAGGTTTTTTTTTTTTGCCTTTCGTACAGAAATTTCCTTGCTGCAATTTTTGAGGAAGCTCGAACAGACTTTAAAATTTAAAAGGGAGAAACCCTTTTTCTAATGTTATTCTGGATTAAGGGAAAACATCTGGGCTTCCATATTTTGTAGAGAGGACTTTTAATTAAAGCTCCGCTACAGTTTGTTTTTTTTTCTTGTTTCAGTTTGCAATTTTGTTTTGAATATAACGGCTGTGCACCGTCTTGTTCTTTTCTTTTGAAAAAAAAAATGCAAAAAATTTTTGTAAAATCCTTTTTTAACGCCAAACTTTTCGTTTATTGTTTTCTTGAGTTGAAATTTTTTCCGAGATGTGCCTTTATACATATTGATATGTTGTTAAATTTCTACATTTTCCTTGTTTTTCATTACATTGGGCGTAATGTTCGTTGTTTTCGCGAAAATTCTGATCGTATCATGTGAATTTATGAACCTTACAAATTTCTAATTTTGTTCGATAAGGGGAATAAATCAATGTTGAGATATTTTTTAAACTATTAACAGGTTTACATCTTGAAAACTATTTGAAAACATTTAATACGGTTGAATGCGATATTCACATTCGGCGGTTCCCCAGCCTCTGACTCCGTTTACGACGAATTCGGCCATGTTCTCGTTTACCTAAATTCGATCGGCTATCAATTATAAAATGGAAATAAAATACCTGAGCTGTGAGGTCGAGACCCATCTTGAAAGAGACAGTCTCTACTATTTTAACCTGAAAAAGTATTCTTTTGATAAGTTTTTCAGCTCGAGAGAAAAAAAAAAACATAAATTCGACTCATAGTTTTTTTGAATTCTCAGGCTTCATGGGCGAACATTTTTGTCATTTTGAAAAATTGTAATCTATCTAATATGAGTTGGTTAGTTCTGAAATGGAAGAAATGGCTTGTAGTAAAAAAGAAAGTGGAAAAAGGCCTTTTCTCAATTTTCATAGAAGTTTATGCGAACCTCTTTGAAGAAGAGGACTTGAAGAGGTTTTAGTGAATCTTCCCGCGACCCATTCAAAAAAGGCCTGGTCAGTCTAGTGTCCACTTAGTGCATAGTTTTCTTAGTATTAAGTTCAAGCTAGTTGTTAATTTAAAATCCAATTGGATCAGCTTTGGCCTAATATCGCCATAGAGCAGAGAAGCTCTTTTTGCAGCTATTTTAACTAGGCTATTTCTTGCATACATCGACGTTGTAGGTGTGAGAGGCGGCTTCGAAAGAGTAGTGGAAGGCGTCGGGGAAATGGCGGTCCTCGCCGTGATTGGCCAGTGAAAAGTGGACTCGATCGACTGGCACAACCTTCTGGTCACTGAAAATTTGATGAAGTTTGGTTCAATCACTTATATCTTTGCAAAAATATCTATTTTTTTAATCTAAATTTTAATTGGCTTTTGCATCTTATATAAGTTCGATTCTCCTATTTGAATTATCACTCCTTGCTGAAGAAATGGTTGATGATCACAAGAATATTCACATCGAAAATAATTCAAAAGTATTCAGGGCTTGGTTTACTCACGGCAACACGACGTAGCCAAATTCGAGGCTCGTAAAGACCGTTTCTGGCATGGAAACGACTGAAGTATGGATGCAGGTGCCGTCTTCCAGGTGATATACCATCATTATGTACCTGGGAAAAAGGTTAGGTTCAATTCAACAGGTTTACAGAGAGTTTGGAGCTTTTTTAATGGCGATGTTCCAAATTATTTCGAAGCTCTAAATCCGAAAATATTTAATCATTTCACGTGTTCAAATGGTAAATGATGTTCCTTCAAGGGTAGGTCTAGAGCGAAACTTTTTGGATCAACTCATCTGATTTTTTCACGTATGCGCAGTAGTTTCTAGACACTGGGGAGATTAAAAATGGGAGAATAGGATTTTTTATTGAAAAATGGTAGGAACTCTTTCAAAAAGAGGAAAACAGCTACCTTCGAAGATCGGACCAGTTACGGTAACCGGTGATAGTGTGATCACGCATGCTGGTCATCCTCAGTCCGTGATATTCTTCGTAGCCCAATTTCAAGTTTCCGGTCAGGAATCCAAACTGTAACTCGGTATGACCTCAGAAACTTTTCATTGAAGTCAACAGTTTCCACCGTTTTTAGAATAATACTCTATCTCTTTTTTTAACGTTGTGAACAGAGAATTCAAATATTGTGAGCCGAAATTCAGAACGAAGAAATGTTTCATTTTCTTTTAAAATAGGAGATTTGAATCAACGTTCACCGCCATCCTCGCTGTAGGAAAGTCATTCAAACAATTTCGAGAAGAAGTGGTAGACTTTAAGGAATCTTTTTAAAACGAAGAATTTTTTTACTAAACTGCTCGGATATCCAATAAGCACTATTTACCGAAGCAAACCTGTTCGTAGTGAGTCTGATGAGAGGCTCGCATTTTGTCGAAAAGCGGTCGGCTCCAAGGCTCGATGGCCAACGAGTGGGCGATGGCCGTCGGGGAGACTTGGCGGTCAAAATCGAAGCACTCACCTGCGACTATTCTTCCCAAATCCTATCAACCTCTCAAACCGAAGTTGGTCCACGTGAAGTCGAACTTGGCGTCGATTGGCTCGAGATCTGTCGGTTCTGGCTCCGCCCCTGTGGCCGTGAAGTTCTTCTTCCCTTTCGGAGCGTACAACGGTCCGTTGTAGGAAGCTCTCCAGCGTTTCATCGGTTCGTCACAGGCGAGCACGAAGCCGCTCTCCGTTCTCCATTCGTTGTTCCCCGGAGAGTGTACGCTCTAGGATTCATTTTCATTGATGTTGAATCAATTGAAAGAACGGTGCAAAATGTTGGCTACAGATTTTCACAAACACTCTTTTCAAAAGACCGTATTATCCTGTCGAATTTTCAATTGCGAACCTTGACATTCGTATTACTGAACATCTCCTTGTTGACAAACGTGCCGACGCCAGGCACACGCAGCACCAAGAAAAGGTTGATGATGTTGTCGTGACGTTGTGCGGTTCCCAAAATGAAGTAAAAGCCTTCTCGACTAGAGGCGTTCAGAAAAACCGCATCTGCCGCTCTTGGCTGAAGGGCAACTGTTGTAATCTCCAGTGTTCATTCTCAGACTCGCCTTGCTCAACGGCAGGTCGTGCTTCTTCTCCATTTCGTGTGGAGGTCTCTCTCCGCCGTCGCCGCCCCATTGCGACGTCATCAGATCTTCTTTTGAAGTCTGCAGATTTTCTTTCAAAGTTGTTAGTCAGGCCTAACTTACACTTTCTTTCGACTTTTTCTGCTTCCTCTGGCGGTAGGCAATGATAGCTCGCATCAGTTTGAACTTCAAGGTATACCTAGATCAAGTAAGTTAGCGAATGGGGTGGTTATACTGGGCGACATGAGTTTGTCTGAAAAATGACTACATGATCCTAAACTCATAGTTTTGAAATCCTAGGGATCTCAGCGTCCACAAACTTTCATAAAGTAAAAAGTATACCATTTTCCTGGTTGACTGTAGATTCCGACGATTTTTACTGGGTCTCGTTGGAGGAAAAACCGAATGGCGAAGAATATGAAAACGAGAAACGCTGCTAGGAAAAGCATTTTCTGTAAGTTTAATTGAATGAGAGAAAATTTGAGAGAATAAAAAGAATACGCCTACAGATAGAATATTTATTTGAATTTCCAGAAAATAAAAGATGTTTCAGTTCGCCTCTAAGAGTTACAACTTTTTGAAAAAAACACTAAAAAAACTAATTTTTTTGATTTAAAAAAAGCACTTTGACTATAATTAAAAAAAGTAAGAAAAAGAGGAGAAGAACCGAAAAAGAAAAAGGTAACCAAATGAGTTGCTTGCTCGCAAACAATGATAACTATGCGCAAAGGTGCAGATAAGACCAGAAACCACACTTTTTGCAAAAAAACAACAATTAGAAGAAAAACCTCATTTTTCAGAATAGTTCTCTTCAGATTCTGAACAACTATCGTTCATTTCGAACCACGTTTTATATCTTTAGTTAATTTTTTTAAGAGTGGTTGATTTTCAGAAACATTCATTTCATGTAAAAAAGTTTCCCTTCAGATTTTTTTGAAGATTATTTATCAAGTTTTGAATAGGAGTAGGCTTTTTTTAAACAAAAAATCTTGCTCAAGAGATCAGTTTCTTCTATCATTAACAGTCGCAGTGGTTTTCTTATCGAGACTGTCTAATAGTGCTTTCTCTGTTTTCCACTCTACAAGCTCGATATCATTCCATCACATTTGTTCGAGCATTATAGCCCAGTTCGCTTCAATTCTCAACTTTGATTTGAAAAATTTTGATATTCTTTTTCAGTTGTATTGAAAAAAATCGTAGGGGTGAAGAATATAAACATTGAATAAAAACCTTGATTTTTCAATAATTTCAATAATTTTCTTAAACAAATTATTGAAAGTTTTTTTCGCCTTTTTTTTTTTTTTAAAGGAAAGTAGAAGTGGCTTCTGATTGAGTTAGAAGTTTCCAGCTTGCTCGTTTATCAATTTTTTTTGACCTTGAGCAGAAACAGTAGTTGAAACTTAGTTCATTTTTCTCTTGAAAATCAAAGGCGAAAAAGTGTTTTTGACGAGATTTTCCGTGATATTCACTAGGCTATCGGACCCTTTCTCAAGCTTTCCCATGGAAGCTGAGAAGTTGTGAGGTAATGTTGACAAATCATTAACAAAACGCCTTATTCTGCGCGGGAAACACGATTTTCCCAGGATTTTCCCTTTTACCCGCTTTCCTTCGATCAATTACGTATCCAAACCACCGTCGGTTATTTCCCTGATATTTTAGTTTTTTTATTGGGAATTTCAATAAGTTATCTTGATACTAAGTTTTGACGTACCAGTTTCACGGCGTGAGTTAGTTTTTCTTGAATGACGGTCATTCCTGACAATGCCAATCAACGTCTTTCTTCCCGTCGAGACCATTGATACCAGCCTTTTCTTCTTTTCTTCTGAAGTCGTTTAGGCCGAAAAACCCTTTTTTATTCGCGTTTTTTCGAGAAAATTTGCAATATATAACAGTTTTGATGGATTTGTTGTTCTTTTTTTCGACTTTATGAAGTTAGATACCAAAAATTTCCTACAGGGTTCCGAAAGTTTTTCTTGGGATAGGACAAAGTTTTGCGTTCTTCTTCAGTTTTTAGACCGACTTGACATTTAGCAACTAGCTCTGACACTTTCCGAGGCCACGTTGCGCAAGTCGGTTTCAGTCGGTTGCAACATTCCATTTTTTGCCACAATTCGGTTCAAATTCAGTAGAATTTTCAAAGATTTCTCTATATCTGACTTTTGGGATTTTTCATTTTTTTTTTCTCGAGCTTCACATTGTTCTCCTGTTTTATGCTTTACAAAAATGGACTAGCCAGGAAATGAAGAAACCAAGTATCCATACGGGAGAGAAAAATTGGTTGAGACAGAGGTTGAAGAATGGTTTCCTGCCGCCGCCAGCAGATTGAGCTCATCCGGTAGATGTGGAAATGCCCATATCCCGGGAGTCTATATTACGTTGTGTTAGAAGAGAATTGCCTGGCTTTGGATTCATTCCTCTGTTCTTCTCAATCCAATTCACTTTTTTTCTCCATAAACCTCCATTATTTTAATTTTGATTTATGACTTTTTTTCTGGATTTCTTTCACTTCCAGTGGCCCTCCTCATTCGTTATCAGGCTGGAAACGAAAACGCCAATTGTTCAGTTGTTTTTTTTCAATAATGTCTGCAGAAAGGTCTCCTGCGTGTGAAAATTATTCCTTTGGTATTAGAAAACTTCCTGGAATTAATTTTCAATTACGAATAACGCTAATTTGAATCAAAATGCGCAGATTTCAACCCGAATTAGTATCTACGAACTTTCTTATTATTTTCTTGAGATATAGGAAGTTTGAAATAATTCAGATGGATCCGGAACAGTTCCGCAAACATGGTAAGGAGATGGTCGACTTTGTCGCCAACTACTGGGCTTCGTTGAAAGACCGAAACAGTGGAATGACCCCTCTTCCGGACATCCGACCTGGTGACGTCTCTAAATTAGTTCGTCTTTGATTATACTTCTAATTTGATCAACTATCTTGTGGAAACTCGCTTTTTAGCTGCTCTGACGCTTTGTATAGGAAAGCCTGAAGTTTTAGGCTCCAGACACATTTCATATATTAAGAGAATTTTCTTTTTATCCGAATATCATATTCACGGTCCGAAAGCAGAAAGGTGTTTCTAAAAAAAAAAATTGATTTTGTTTTTATTTTTACCAACGTGCCCATTTGTTAGCGGCTACTAATTTTGATGTCTCCAGTTTCTTTCAAGCGATTTTTAACTTGAAACATAAATTCACTCGGACTTTGAAAGAAAAATCCAAATATTCTTCTCAGGTTCCCTCCTCGCCACCTAAAAATCCAGAGGACTGGAAGACGATTTTTGAAGATTTGGACAAGGTCGTTGTCAATGGTTTAACAAGAGATTGATCTGCAGAAATGAGGCATTTTGAGGAGCGACTCATTGGCATCATCCGAGATTCTTCGCCTACTTCCCGACGGCTTGCAGTTACCAAGCCATCATGGCCGACATTCTCAGCGGCGGCATCGCCGGCATAGGATTTACCTGGGTCCGTCCGCCCTCCCGAAGACTTTGAATCATTCATTCTGTTCCAGAAGTCGTGTCCCTCCATGACGGAGTTGGAAATGTCGACTTTGGACTGGCTGGTAGACCTTCTCGGCCTCCCCGAACATTTTAAAAACGCGGCCGAGGGTCCGGGCTGCGGAATCATTCAAAGCACAGCCTCGGACAGCACCATGATTGCTATCATGGCCGCTAGGGCAGCTGCCGTCGAGGTTTTCACTTCTCATTAACAGTGATCGTTTGTTTTCGCGCAAAAATCATTTTCTAACTGTCGAGATTATTCCTTTTTAAATAGGAAATTCGAAATTTTCATACTTTAATTGTAAAAACACGAAAGTTAGGAGATTCCAGTTTGTTATTCCGACTCGAAGCTTCAACTTGATAACAAAGAATTTAAAAAAAAAGATTTTTTTTCCATTTTTTTCATTCATTAAGAACAACCAGGAGTTTATAATAGCTGACTTTTTTTCAAAAAAAGTATTTGCAAGAAGAATATCGGGTTATTTATTTGTGGGTTATTTTCAATTGATTTCAACATTTTATTGAAAAATTTCTCCTAAAAAAACATATTGAACATTTTCAAGTATAGCTTTTTTTAGCGAGAATAAGATTTTCTGTACTTTGTAGATTTACCTCAGGGAAAAAAATCCAGTACGAAAGTTTTTCACAAGACGGAGTTTATCTTTTTTTTTTAATTTGCAGAAAGTGAAACAGGAACCTACGTTCCTCAACTGGATGGCTGCCACAGATCTCGGAAAGACCATCAAAGGCATTTTGGGCAAAGTTCGTCAGAACACGGTAAATTTCTATCTTCAGTTGGTTTCAAATTTTGTTGAAAATTTTCAAAATTGAAAATTGAAGCCAGTTACAAAGAACCAGAGCGCCCAACCTGGGACCAAGGTCAGTTTTGAATGTTGTGAAGTTATTTTATGGTTTTTAAATTTTTAATCATCCTGCACAATTTTCGAAAAAGTAGTAATAATGTTTTTTTCGCTGAAAAAAATACTGAAGTGAAAAAAATAGAGGGGGAAAAAGGATTGAATTATTACGCTTTTTTTCTATTGAAAAAAAATTTTAGTTTGAATTTTACTCTGTACTAAAAAAATAGTTATAATAATGAAATTTTAACTTACCTCGGAAATTTGGATTTTTTTATTGTTTTCTTTCTTTGCGAAAACTTAAGGAGTTTGACTCCTCTGCTCTCTCTCTCTCTTTTTCATTCGGAAACTCTTTTTTTTCGTGCCTTTAAAAAAAATTAATCAATTTTTTAAGTGAATAAGCAGATTCCTTAAAATGCACATTTATTTCTCACAATGTTTCTGTATTTCTGAGTTGATCACATGTTTCAAAAAGAGACAATCTGCTTTTTTAGAAGTGATCATTTTACAGACGGAAGACGAAGCTTCGGGACTACCGCCGCCATATTACCACGATCCCACCGTCTTCGAGAAGTTTGTCATGTATTGCTCAGATCAGGTTGGATTCCCCTACTGATTCGAGTGCGAGACCAAGATGTTCAGGCGCACTCTTCGGTTGAGAAAGACGCCATGCTGTGCGGAGTTCGGATGAGGAAGCTGAAGTCGTCGAGAGACGCCGAGTTGGGCAATTTCTCGGTGTCGAAGGAGACCTTGGAAGCGGCTATCAAGGAAGATCGAGCCCGTGGATACGTCCCTTTCTTGCTGGTCGCCACGGTCGGAACGACTTGCTCCTGCGCCGTCGACCATCTCGACGAACTTGGTCCGATCTGCCAACAAGAAGGTCTTTGGCTGCATGTCGACGCCGCCTATGCAGGTATCAGTAGACTGAACATCTGATCTATTTCAATCTGGTCATGGCCCTCCAATTCCGATGAGTATTCTTAGCTTTCACTTATAATCAAAGACTTGCTTTAAGGCTATCAGAAAAAGTGAGATTGTAATTAATGAACTTTAACCTTTTTTAGAAGTTTCTTTTTATATCAATGTGTTAAAATCTAAAATATTTTTCTGGAATGTAGAATTTTGGCCTGTGTCAGTCTTTAAAAGTGTGTTGCGGAGGTTTGGGACCTTTCATATCTCAAAACGACGAAAAAATCTGTTTTCAAAAGATCCATAAAGTGAAGGGACTTTCTTTCCGAGTGAAGAAATCTGTATACGAGAAAATTCCAGCGAAACTAGAAGGGTAAAAATTACCTACGAAAGGTCATCTTTCTCTTCATGTAGAACAGTGAGACCCAAGCTTTCAGGAAGCTTCTTCGTATGTCCAGAGTTCGGCTACATGAAGCGGGGCATGGAATACGTCGACTCGTTCAACTACAACGCCCACAAGGGAATGTTCATCAACTTCGACTGCAGTCCTCTCTGGTTCCGCGACGGTGCCCATGCCTCCAAGTTCTTCAACGTCGACGCCGTCTATCTGAGCCACGAGCATCAGGCGACCGCCTACGATTACAGAGTCAGAAGATATCCGAGGAGTTTGGTGATCAGCCAAGTTTAGCATCTGCAAGTGGCCCTGGGACGTCGGTTCCGATCGCTGAAAATCTGGTTTGTGTTGCGCAACATGGGGATCGAGAAGATTCGTGAGGCGTTGCGCAAGGTGAGAAATGGATCTCTCATTTTTCGAATCATCAAAAATCCTCGAATAGTCGGCCGAAAAAGATTTGAAATAAATGTGGCAAAAAAAGATTATGAAGCAACTTTAAAAAAATTGACGATTGACCCAGGCCCGCGGAATCTTAAGATGATTACGAGCTAGTCTACTTTTAGCAATCATTATAATAAACTTATTTTTTTTAACATCAAAAATAATCTTCTCAATCAAGATAAGACACGGAAGTTGAAATCAAAATGTTCATATTCGTTTCAAAACGAAATAGTTTCCTGTTCTTTGAATACTCTTCAAAATAAAATCTTAGTGTTTGAGAATCCTTATGCACATTTACCCTCTATAAATTAAAAGGAGACAAATTGATTTAGCAAAACGAGTTGGCGCGTCTTTTCTCGCGTCTGATCGTCGAAAACGGCCAATTCGAGCTATTCGTCCCCCCTCACTTGGGCCTCGTTTGTTTCAAAATCAAAAACGTATGTGAATCAGGAGTGGTTGGAGTTTAGAAATCAACATAAGGAGGACCTAAAATTTGTTGATAAACTTTTCACCCCAACCAAACCAAACCTGAGAAATCTTTTTGAATCGCAGAACGTGCCTTCTTTCAACACGAGTTTTGCAACCTCTTTCAGCCTCTTTTCAGAACTTTCCTCTCTCCCACTATTGTAACACTTTTGCGTATCCCACAAGAGAAAGAAAGGCTCGGAACGACGGTTCTTGATGAATGAATATCTTCAGAACTTCTTTCTTGGTGAATTTTAAAGATTTCTCACAGGTTTTTGATCTTTAATCAAGGGAATTCTTCGTGACAGTTCTTTATGGTACGTTTGACGATGTCAAAGTCTCGGATGGTTTGAACAGCATTGAAAATCTCTTCGTCCAAGAATTTTTCCACTTTTTAGGGACGGATGATTATAAAGATTGATCATGGAGACGCATTACAATCCTGTTAACTTTCACGAATACATACGGACTAACTGAAAATTTTCAGGCGAACAACGCCCAGAACGAAGTTCTTTGTAACACTCTCAACGAAGATCGACGGATACACTTGGTACCATCCAACGTAAATGTTTCTCTTCTCTGAAAAAAGTCTGAGGAATCGGTTCAGGTCCACGGGACGTACTTCTTGAGACTGGCGGTGTGCAGCCAGTTCACCAAGGAAGAAGACATCATCTTTGCCCGTGACGTCATTTATGAAATAAACTCGAAAATTCGCTCTCAAGTCTAGGAGTTCGGAAGATTCAAAAATGATACGTATATACAAAATTATTTTTACACTTGCACTCGAAGTGAACGAAGCTTTGGCCAGTTATCCTTTTTTTTTTTTAAAGTTTATATGACTTTCGAAAGTTTCTATTCCAGTTTATTCACTAAAAGTTGTCTCTTCTTTCTACAAAAATCATTTTTATTCGCTCATTTGGAATAAACTATGCTTTGGCATGGGATCGTATGTTTTTTTATTCAATATCTTTTATAAGTTCAGTCGTCAATATTTCCAGTAATCTCCTTGAGTACTTGAAATCATCAAAAATAGTTGTTCGCAGATTTTCTTCTAAATAGCCAAAAAGTTATGTTGCTTGGAAAAGATGGTACATTCTGACGAACAAATTTTCGGTTTTATACAACATCTGAGCCTTCAAAAATCTTTAGCAGACTTTACTTTATCAAAAAACAGGAACCTCTGTGAAATCTTTGAAATTCACAATATCCAGCCCATTTTGCAAGTTTTTTAAGCAGTTTTTAGTGTTTTTATAGAGTTCCTTCAAGTTCCAGCAAGAAATTTCGAAACTATTAACGATAATTCTTTTTATTTTGAGTTTCCAGTCCTCTTTTAAAGTTCAAAAGATCACCTAGCAGAAAAACGTCACTTATGCCGTGTTCAAAGTGATTCCGCGAAATTCAAAATAGCCGTCAGAGAAAGAGAAAGATAACTAAATTTTGGAGGGTCAGAGACAATTTCGCATTTCGCGGAAATTACTTTGAACACGGCATTAAGAGCTTTTTTCTCTCGGAGAACTGTTGCTTCATTTGAACCCACTCGAGGCGAGGCCGCCATCCAAAGGGCATTCAGAAAGTTTTCGAAGTCGAGGATGACCTTTTGAAGACGTCGTGTTTGCTCTCATCCGATGCCCTTGTTTGGTCTTCTTCTCATTGGCCGCGCTCTTCGAGTAGCCAAACAACTTCTTTTTTTTTCGCATTATCGACTAGTTCATCATTCATTTTTTCTTGGGCTAAATTCCAACTGTAAATTTGATGGTACGACAAAATCTCAAGTCCGCAAATCTCGAGGACCGTAATCTTGTGTACGCAGATCTAAAGTCCCATAATCCTGGAGACCAAAATCTTGAAGACCAAAATCTTGGAAACCACAATCTTGGAAAGTAAAAATCAACGCTTTTGCGAATAGATTTTTATCAGAAATTGTATTCGGTGATCCAAACAAGAGAATATAAGTAGATAAAGTGCAATAAAGAAGACTAAAAAAAGGAAGATTTTTTTGCTTTCCAAGATTGTGGTTTCCAAGATTTTTGGTCTCCAAGATTTTGGTTTCCAAGATTATGGGACTTTAGATCTGCGTACACAAGATTACGGTCCTCGAGATTTGCGGACTTGAGATTTTGTCGTACCATCGTAAATTTCGGCCTCCGTTTTATTATAAAGACACATGGAATATAAAAGAGAGCTTTTTTGAAGAAGAAGATTCAATATCCAATTTAATGACTTAAAAGTATCAACTCGACGGATTATTCGTTCTAACTGGATTTTAGTAAAAAATACAAAATGAGGCCGTTCCGGCTGTAAGAAGCCTCATATTGAGAAAAGGCAAACCAGTCCGGTGAGCCATATTGCAAACGTGAGTAAAAGGAATTTGATGTCACATTGATTTTGCTCAAAAATTTGAGAGCTAAAAATTACATAAATATACCATCAAAGATACCATTAAAGACGATCATTTTACCTTTGCGGTGAAAAAAAATAATTTTTGCGTTTTTCTCGAGAAAATTGTGCAGGTGCAATTATTCATGAAACTTTTTGATTATACGCATTTCAAAAAGCAGATTCTCAAAAAGAGTTTATCTGCTCAAAAATAATATTACCCAACCAAATTGATAAACCCGCAAGGGAAAAAAACATAGTTTTCATGGGAATATAATCGAGAACATAGAGAAAATTATCTCCACAGAGAACTCAGATCGATTTTGAAATTTCAGTATTTTCACTTTTCTTTTTATTTATCATTATTTTTTTATCATAAGAATAATTATGAATATAAGAAAAAGTTTTTATAAAATATAGTTTTCTTTTTTTCGAAAAAAATGGATTCAAGCTCACCGGCTGCTGTGACATCTTCAACAGTTTTAAGGTTTGTTATTTTATGAAAGAAAAATAATTAATATTAATTTGGGAAATTTTCCCAGTTTTATACACGATCTCTCAGAAAATGATGATTCTTTTTATTTTTCTTTGTTAGTCTAATCTATGAAACTTTGTAGTTTGTAGTTTCGAAAAAAAAGACTTGAGTCTTCCTACATTTTTCATTTATGAAGTTTCCTGTTCAGGTTCAAATCGGTCATCTTCACGTGGCTTTTTTCCTTCAAATATGAAATACAGCAAGAAGAGGCAAGCGATATTTTTCTTCATAAGTAAAGGGTACTTTACTCCCAAATTGGGTACTTCAACGTCTCATTTCGTATAATTATGTGCAAACGAGTGATAAGCTCACATTATACGTTTGATGGAATGATTATGTTTTTTTCTGGCGAAAGCAGGTTTTTGAGCTGCTCGCAACTGGAGAAAATGGAAGAAAAAGTGGTCAAAAATCTATGAGAACTTTGTTTGAATTCTGAATATAATCGAGTTAAGCTTCCATTTTTAGTTTCCAGACTACCGTGATAAAGAAAATATAAGCTTCAATAGTCGATTAAAGATGAACAGGGAAGGTTTTGGTAAAAAAAATTCTTCCTTTGTCCTTCTCTGTGATTTTCTGTGGAATGGTTCCCGTAGTGAGCCCTCATTAAAATCAAAAATTCAAACTTTTTTTTTTCTCAACAACAGTAAGTTTTTTTTTAAAAAAATAAATTAAATTAGATTCAATTTTCATTTTTCAAATCTAAATCTCTTTCAGTTTTTTTATACACTTCCTGTTTGAAACTAAGTTCGACGCTTTCTTTTTTTCACCGTTGTCTTCGTCAAAAATTCTTATTGCCAATTATGTTGAATCTCATTGAATAATGTCTCAGGTCATGGATAAATGGAATCCGAAAGAAACTTCTAAACTAATATTCGAGAAAATTCTCAAATTCATAAATTTCTGTCATGCAAGGAAGGTTTATGAAGGTGAGCTTCATAACATATGATTTCCATGAAAAGTGTTTTGAACTATTCACATAGTCTTTCAAAACATAGGGAAACTTGGAAAGTTTTCGCCGAAACGGTCAAAACGGGCGTGGGACCGGGGACAGGTACCACCACTGAGCTTGACTGGAACTACCTGGAAGTGGCGAGTTGGCGGTGAGCCAGTGGGACCGGCTCTCCGTCGGCCGTCCTCCTCCTCGTGCACACTCTCTCGCTGCCTCCGCGACCCGCACCCATTCCACGTCTCTTTTGCGCCTTTGCCGCCGTCCTTTGGGTTGTCGGAAGCCCTCGACCAAGTGTTTCAATCAGAACTTCCCAATTCGTCATCGCCTTTCTTTGGTCTCACTCTCATTGGCTGGTTAAAGAACAGAAAAAAGACGAGTTTGGCTTCCCAACTTTCAAGCTTTTTTTTCAACGTTTGAACTTTTTTTCGAAGCTTAAGTCGTCCGTATTGTGTATCCGTTGGATTCTAGCAAAATTCAGAAGAATTTTTTTTGGCTTCAAGTCTATTTCGAATAGTTCGTTTCCTTTTTATCAATTTTGTACATTCATCGTTTTCTCGCCAATTTGTGATACGTATCCGAATAAGTAGAAAAAGAGTAAAATACAGGGTATTGCGTATCTGTTGGATTTCAGCTTTCAAATCAATTTTCTTCTGCTAGAAACGAGCTCGAGTATCAGTTATGTTATGTTATAATTAATAGTGAAGAATTCGATTTTCAAACTACCAGATCTTTTTAATAAAAATCTCAAGTTTTTCAATCTCAAGGTTTAAAAAAAGTGCATCGCATTAAACGTTTTTGATTGATTTAATTATCTTCCAGTCTATTTCTTGCTTCAATTCAGCGCAAATATAATACTTTTTTGATTGTTTGATTGATTGTTTTTGATTATCTAAATTTAGTTTCCATTTGTAAATTTCCATGAGTTAAGAATTGAAAGATCATTTTCTAATCAGAAAAAGATTTTGGTGTGTTTTGTGAATTGGTGTACAACAAGGAGGTTTCTTTTTCTACAGTCAACTTCAAGTTTTTTGGGAAAAGCCAGCGAAAAAGGAGTAAAATGGCTATTAATGAAGGTCCAATGAAGGAAATTTTTGAGTTTTATCTTTCCCTTCGATCTAGGGATTTTAAAAATGCACATTTTCAGTTGTCCTTTTTTATTTAAATCCTAGAAAGGCCTCAGTAAACTATTTAACCAAATTCGATGCTCAAAATCTCCTGCTATCATAGAAAAAGTCACGAGAAGTCGTTTGTCTTGTTTTCACAGCTTATAGTTCATTAAAAATTCTCTAGGAGGAAGTTTCGCAACGGCGCCCTTCATTCTTCTCTTTTTTTTCATGAATTGGAGATTAAAAAATTCCGTTAGCACGCGATCCGACCAGGTGCTTTTCGTATAAATGCCGTGTTGTGTGTAAAAAAAATGTGGTAACGTGATATTCTTCCCTCTTTTGTCGTCCCAATCCTTTCCCGGAACTAATGACTGGAGAAATCTTATATCAAGCATCTTTCAAATGAAGAAAAGAGCTTTTCGCAATTCTCAAAAACTTCGGTAGTTACTCTTTCTTTCCTCAACGGAAGCAATCGGAGGGATTCACCAGAAAAAAAAAATTGCGGCGTCACTGGGCAAATAACTGAACCAAAACGATTTTTGCTGAAAATAACTCGTCTGTTTGTCCTGTTCCCTCCGCTTCCTACTCTTTCATTCCTTCATCATTCTGCTCTATGGACAACTTCCTCTTGTTTGATCTTTGTGTTCACAGACCCGAAATTTCCACATCGAACAAGTCATTTTATAATATCAATCATGTTTAAATCTCGAAATACTTTTGATATGCTTGCGCGCAAGTAGTTCTGAGTCGGACGCCTCTCAAGGTAGCCGCGTTACACCCAGCCAGAAGCTCAGATGTCAGTGCGAATTTGAGCTTCAACTTTACTTCAAAATCCATGTTTACTGCAAAACATTAATTTTGAATCAACTCGCGGTGTCTAGTGCTAGCTTAAATACATACGATTCATAGTTTCGTGTTTTGGACTTTCCTCGTTTTTTCTTCTTCCGAACTTTCTCTCGACTGTATCTAATTTGAACTCGTACCTAAAAGGCAGTCGCATTCGAAGTTTGTGTTTTAATCTCCGCAACCAAATTATTTTCCCAACCCCTTAGGTTTTTACGCTTTTGTTTGATCAGAGCGGAGCTGAATTAAAAAAACTTCGAAAAATCAAGAGCCGGCTGTGTTTCGCACTCTTTCCCGTAACCTACACTTTTCTTTATCAGCACGTGCTTTTTCTCCCACTCAGGGAAATGTTGTTCCAATGATCTTATATGGTTCTTATGAATGAACTGGACGTCAAAAATGAGTGTGTGAACTATGAATCGGTAAGCTATGCAAAAATAATGCAAAAATGAGGCCGAGCCCTCAAAAATTCTTTGGTTTTTCTGGCTTTCAGATTGAGCTCGAATTTGAACACTGATCCAGAATAGTTGTTCGAAATGGCTTTGAAGCCTCATTATTCAGATGAAAACCCAAAAAAAGCCGTATATAAATAAATATCAAAAAAATATTAAAGAAAAAAATATTTAAATAATTCAGAATTAGTGCGAAAAAAATGTTTTTTTCAAAAATTTACGTTCCCAATCAAAAAAATCATTTTTTTAGTCTCAACACAAGTTTCGATATTATTTGACAATTGTTGAAAAACTTTCTTCATTAAAAATTTTTATAATACTCTTTTTTTATCTTTTAAAAAAATAGCTCTATTAACTTTCATTCCACCCTATCGATAAAAATAATCTTCAACTTTAAAAAGGTAACCGTGATTTTCATATCCAGAATAAAGGACAAATGTTCCAAAATCTCGATACGGCCGTACAATATGACCTTGTCCTTTCGAAGAAAAAAAATGATTTTATCTCTTGACTCCGCCCATTTTCTCTCACATGTTCGGTCATTCAACGATTCCGTCGCGTGTTCCATCTGATTAATAGGAAAGTTAGATGAAATGATAACGATTTCGCGGTTTTTTTTTCAATTGATCCATTTGAATTGTTTTTTTTACTCGGTTATAAACTTTTTTTACTGCCTTACTTTTGAAAATACGTAATTAACAAATATGACTATTGATATTTCCATTTTGTTTCAAAATCACCATCTTGCTCGGGTTTTTAAAGGAGTGCAGACCGATTTCATAGAGGTTTCACAACGAATAGCCTTTTCCAGTTCGAACTTTGAAAAAAGACAGTTTTACTTTAAATCCATGTGAAGTATCTGAATTAGTCGCATTTTTGACGATTCGTCCTTCCGATTTTCCATTGTTTTCTCACCTTCTTCTGTTCTCTCAACTGGTTCCTGAACGCATATGTTATTTTGAAACCGTCAGGAAGGTCAGATCTCGAATTTCAGTGGTTCGATTTCCGTTCCTTCAGCTCTCCAGCATTTTCTATCCTGTTCCATCAATTATTTCGTTGTAAGAATTTTATACTTTGGTCTTTATTTTGACATAAAGCTTAGAGCTTTATTTGACCCTTGAAGCTTCCATTGGCGTTTTATATTCCCATAGATGTACCAGATAGTCAAACGATTACTGTAAAAAAAAAAGCTAAAGTCGCGATTTTTTTTTCTCAAAGTCGCACCAGATGCGCTAAATATTTTTCCGAATCGGAACTTTTCTTTCGATTCGTAGAGAAGTTCAAAAAAAAAAAGATGACCTACAAAAAGACGCGAACAGATGCAGAAAATTATCTTTTGCAGAAATAATTTTTTGGAGTTCCCAAAAGAGAATTTCCAACTAGAATTGAAACAGTTTAAAATAAAATAAACTAATAATTTAAAAGATCTCAGAATATTTCATGCTTTCTCCATCTCTCTATTAATTGAAACCTGCGATATTGTTTGTTACTTTTCTTTCCACGAGAGTTCATTGCGACAAACCTTTTCTAAGTATAAATTCCACAAAAAAATAAAAAGAATTAGTAAAATTAAGCGAGACTCTAGCCTCTCTTCATCTTTTCGGAATAGATTGAAGACCACCGACTTTCTCAGAATAATTTTTGATCCTCCTAATCCCATATTCATTCGCTCAATTAAATGAAACCCCGAAATATTGTTTGTTACTCCCTTTTTCTTCGCGTGGGTTTACCGTTTCCCAGAGCCGAGTTCCTTCCTCGTTTGCCTCCATATTTTGGATGACGTCCCCTTCTGGAAAGGAAAAAAACGATTTCTTGTCTCGGGATCTCCAATTTCCTGCCACCGTTGCTATGCGCATAATAGCTACTTTTTATGCTCTTTCATGAAAAAAAAGAAGTTATAAATCGTAGTCTTATGGCTAGTGTAACCGAGACAGAAAGAATGCGGAACGTACTCTGGAAAGCCCCGTGCGGAAGTCTTAATTTAATTACTTTTTCTTCGTAACTCATTAGTATAATGTCTCTGTGTGATAATTGTCAGGTCTCATAAGGATATCCAATTAATTTTTATTTCTTTTTGAGTCATCATTATCATACTTTATGCACTTTGCGCATTGCTTTCAATGAAAAAATGCTTGAAAATGAAAGAATAAACAGGTGAAATTGCAAATCATACGACTTTCTTTTTCTCAACCAAACATTTCTCCGCTCAGAGGAAATCAAAGAACTGGCTCGAATTTTCCATGAAGCATATAAAACTTGGCATGTTTGCTCCAACGAGAAATGGCTCAGATTGGCTGGCCACGCCTTTTTTGGTTTTCAAGGCGAGCTATAGAATATCAAAACTCGAAAAACCTCTGTACCTTTCTTTTCAAACGTTTTATCAATAAACCCTTCCGCAAAGAATTTTTGAAATAATACCATGTAAGAAGAAATGAATTTATATTGAGCCAAGTTTCAACCTTTACATGTTCTCCAGGCTTTCTCCAGAACATCTCTTGTTAAAAAAAAAATCCGCTCAAAAATAAATAAAAGTCTGCGACGTTTTTTTTTCTATTCTTTGGATCGATCAAAAAATTCCCTTCTGAATGGTCGTTCAGATATTGCCATAAAAGAACGAACACATCGAGATCGTAAATTGTGGCGCCAAAAATTGGTCTGCCCATTCCAGAAAGTTCGATGTTCGACAAACAACATTGGAAAAAGTAGTAACGACCTCTTATCAGCTTATCTTACGATTCTTGCCTTCCCGAGTCATTTTTTCTCTGCCACTGAAGATCTTCGATGCTGTCAGGGTTCTCATAGTATTATGAAATTGAGAAAAAATTGGATATTTTGAAAGAAAAATGTTAAAATTTCAGAAAAATAATATTTTTTTGAAAAATGGTTGTGTTTCCTTCTTTTTTTGGTTTTTATAAGAAACAATTTTTTTAATAACACATTCAGCGAAATCAGTTTATTCCTATAGTTGAGATGAAATTTCTAAATGGGGTAAAAAAGATTAGGAAGGAATTTTTGTTTCCTTTTTTTTTTGAGATGTCCCATGCTCCGCCCAAATGAGCTATTTTCGGAAAGTCTCATTTTCTAGATTTGTTCTGTGAACAAGTGTACAAAGTTCTCTTTTTGGAGATTTCGATTCCTGCCCAACACAGGACACAAATGAGGGTTGTAAAAGTCAATGAATAGTAAAGATAACAAAAAATCTCTTGTTGTTTCTGGCAACTTTCGAATTTGCCAGCACAATTTCTAGTTTGCCCTTTCTCTATCTTCTTTTCCCTCTTTCTCTATCTCTCAACTCAGTCGACTATAAAAAAAAGGCCAACGGTCACGTCGAAAGGCCTGCTCTTGTCGTGTTCATCAGGAAATCTGCGCGTTGCGGCTTTTTCCCTTCAATGATACAATATATCTTCTTCTCAATCTGAGAGAATAACTGTTTTGAGTTGATCGTCAACTGAGTCTGATCCTTACCTGGTTGAATGTTGAATTGTCATCGGATTTATAAATGACTATCACTAAACACCTTTTGTGTACTAAATAGAGATTCTTAAAGTCATAAGAAGCAGAAATTGCAAATTTCCAACCGTGGATGCTTTAAAACCCCAGTTCCTTGCACAGGGTCTTCAAAAGTTACTTTCGAGCCGTTCTTTATCAAAAATTAGCAGAATTTTTAGATTGAGACTTTCACGTTTTCACCTGGTACATTCAAGAACGCTCTAGCCAACTTCCAGAAAAAGTCGACTAGAATCTGAATCCTTGTTAAAAGATTCTGAGTTAGTATTAGACGAGAAATCGGACTTTTTTGTTTTTTTTTTCTCCGCTCGAAAAAATTCCGTCGCGTTTCAACTTTTTTTTTGCAGCAGGTGGTCTCTACACGTCTCTCGGCTCTTCTAATTTTTTTTTTGAAACGTTGAGCATTCGCTTTTTTTTCTCTGCGTCATTTCCTTCCCTCTCTCTCTGTCCTTTTCCGTCCTTTTAAAGCTGCGACTTCTGTTCTTATAAACCTCTACGCGGAAGTGTTCCCTTTTCTCATTCTCACATTTCTTAGTATTCCTTTATGTGTTTCTTTTCTCTTTCTTTCCTGAACACATTTTCTTTACTTTGTACTTGGAGACGTCTTTCAGAACAATCCCAAGGAGAAAACGAGGGTGAAACTGGCGAAGAACCGAGTACGACGCCGGCGGGATCCATGAGACGCCGATGGCTTCTCGAGCTGATTCTCCTGAGTCTCGTCTCCGTCGTCCAGTTCCAGAAGATATCCACAAATTCTAGCGATGTCCTCGCCGACGCGTTAGAGGTTAATAAAGAATAAAGTGGCGTAAGAATAAATCTAATTATTTCGGAGAAAAGCGAAAAACACCATTTCTTTGTGAATCTACTTTTTTCAGCATACAGTGTTCGTTACCGGAGTTAAAATTATTTTCAATGTTGAGGAAACAAAAATACCAAACACATTTCTCAAAGGTTCACTTTTAAAAACCACCTAGTGACGTCCAAAAAAATGGGCCACCATTTGAGTTTCTCTGAAAATTAATGAAATTTTTGGGAATTTCAGAAGCGCTAAAAAAACGAATTTTGTTAAATTTTGTTTCTATGATTTCTATTGATAAAAAATGCACGAAAGTGATGAATATCTTGCAGTATATCCAAAGCCTGGCGCACGATGACACGGGAAAAAACGAAGAATCAGCTGCCGCCAAAAAATACCACTACCATTTGCTCGGAATCAGAGGGATCAACTACGAACTGAACGGCACCGTCCCATTCTTGACCTGTCAGGTTGATAACCCGATGGGAAACTGTTCCAACAGAAGCGTTTACAGTACCTGAATAGGACGGAATGCGATCCGGAGGTACGGTCAGACTGCCCAAGAACCATCAATTGTTACCTGGAGAGGATGCAAAAGGTGCTCGCTTGCCTCGGCGTCTACTCCTACGTCCCTGAACCAGCTCATGTCAGTCAATCAATATCGATCTATAATCGTTCTGTGGCTCTAGTCGTAGATTTATTCTACAGGAGGTGAACAAGGACTTTTAAAGCAATACCGAACCTGTAGCGAAGTCCAAATGTGTAGTTGACCCAGTTTAAAGCATGATCTTACGGCCATTCGCCTCAAGAAAAAAGGAACCGTTTCAGGTCGACAACAACTCGCTGATCGTCTCTGTGCCCTACAAGGACATCAGCTACCTCGGCTGCTTCAGCTTCCAAGGCGACACCAAAAGCAGCTATTGTGATCAGGACGAGGTTTTCAAATCGCTACATTTACCTACTATTATCCAAGTCGGCTCTTTGGTTGGTAGGCGGCAATTTGATCAATTCTGAAGGGAATTCCCAAATTAAAAAATGACCTTTCATCTAAGTTAAAAACGTTAGCAAATTGACATCTGTGATTAAGACGAAAGATTAATATTGATTGACGAAAACTTGTGGATACTCCGATTCATACTTTTGCGAATCAAGAGTATTTCTCGGAAAGCTTCCAAACAACTGTTCTGACCCGGGGATTGCAGTGCGCGAGCAAGCGAGCCCAGATGATCAAGCCGACGATGGTCCCGGGCAACCGGTCGCAGGGCTACGGCTTCTGTTGCTGCCACACGCGCGAGTGCAACCGCGGCGACGGCGTCACCATGCCCAACCCCTACCACATCAACGTCACCGGTCAGTTGTTCGCCGCCCCGTCCGAACCTTGACCCTCTCTGACTGTAGGTTGGCGGCGCAACGCCAGTCGCGCAGAACTTGAAGAAATCGAAGAAGTTAGGCGCGAATTGTTCGGCTTCCCGTAGAACTCGTTTCCGTTTCCGAATAATTCAATAATTGATAATGTTGAACCGAGTGAGACTTGCTGTGCGACTTTTCCTTGTGAAACGCTTAAATTAACCGAGTGAAGTTTCCGCTTAAATTATCATTCTTTTTGGTTAATCTAATATAATTTATTCTTGTTAAGTTTTTATTTTTTCGCAGTCGTCGGACATTTCCTGGAAGTCATAAATTTAATTAAGACCACGCTTTGTCTGCATGTCTAGGCGTTTGTTAATTATTAACTATCGTTTTGCCCTTTTCTAGCCAAGTTTTCTCTCTTTTTTCTCGTTTTGCACTTTACTTGATTAGGTAATAATGATTGGAATAAAATTGTTAAACAAGGGGAGAAAAAGAAACACCGGAAGAGGGAGTTTTTAGAAGTCTTTTTAACCGAGTATTTTATAGAAGAATATAGTTTTCTTTATTCGTTTTCGGAATTTTTTTCTAATAAAGACAAGCCTTTTCATACTTTAGAAAAATTGGAAATAAAAAAAAGTAAATTTGATTAGCTTGATGTCGTGAGGAGAAGTAAGTAAGAAAGGAAACCTTTGAATATTTTTCAAATTTTCAGAAGTTTAAAATCAAGGTTTCCCTCCTCAAACCGTTCATTCGGCAATTATTTAATAAGACTCGTTAAAGGATTCGGGAAAGAGTGTTCGAGATTAATAGGTATAGGAATTTCACTAGAATTTATGTCCCGAAATGGTCAAGAATGAAGTTTAAGTTTTTGAACTTTCAACTGGGAAAATCTTTCTTAGTTGAAATCTAAGTAGAATGAGAACTTACCGACAGTGTAAATAAGTATTATATTCGTTGAAACAGCCGAAAAGAATCATTTCGGAAGAAAAATAAAATAGAATGAAGTTTGCAATTATCCATGAGGACAAAGCTACTCAAGTTCATGAACTGAAACCATTACTCTCTTACAGAATGGCCAGCAAAGACGGAGCCGAAGGTGATCCCGGCGGCGCCACTGAACAGCGCCTACAACAAGCTGGTCTACCTGTCGATCGCCCTCCTCTGTGTGACGGTCACCGTCGCCGCGCTTCTCATCGGCTTCCACTTCAGACGTCGTTTCTCGCAGAAAGCCAAAGCCGTAGGAGCCATCAACGCCTTCTCCCACTCAAAATTTTCGCCTCAGAACCAGCGAAACAACGGCTCGAACTCCATGGGCGGCACCGGATCCATGCAGGAGAGTCTTTTGATGGAGGAACGACCCATGAACGGCTACATCGTTCCGAAGGAGAGGAAGAAGCTCAGCGACTTCCCCGTCAGACCTGTTCTCAACATCGATTCAAACTCGTTGGTGGTGAGTTTTTGAATGGTGGAATGGAAAAGCTCAAGAGTATTCGGGGGTTACAAATAATTTCAATTTTCAATTTCAATTTCTTAAGTCTTTTTTTTTTGTTACAAATAACATTTTTTATTTTGACACAAAAAGCCGCTTTCATTATTTTTTAAATTAAAAAAAAGACTTTTCTGACTTTAAACAGTTTCTGATCGCTCAGAAGAAGGAGGAGCCTGAAAAAAGCTTTGAAAAGGCCATTACCTTTTTACAGCAGTCAAGAGTAACAAATGTAGGTTTTCCAAATTACTGCTACAGCATATATCGATGGGGAGGTTCGGACACGTCTACCGTGGCATCTGGAAGAAGGACGACGGCACCGAGCAGTTCGTGGCGGTCAAGAAGCACAACGCCTGCGAACTTCAGAGTTTCCTTGCCGAGAGGGTCCGCCTTATCCTCCTCTTCCAGAAAAAACAGCTACTTTCTCCAGATCGTATATGAGGAGCTGGAATCTCTTCCCTCTTGGTATCCGTCCGTTCTACGCTATCTCGGAGCTCAGCAGGTCGACGGCAGCTATTGGATCATCACCGAATTCCATGAAAGACTCAGTCTTTATGACTTGATTAAGGTTGAATTGTGAATCGTTTGATAAATACAATAATTCGGGTTGCAGAACCACGTGATCAGCTTGTCGTCGGCGCTTCGGATAATTGTGACGATGGTGGACGGTCTTCAGTTCCTTCATGACGAACGTCCTTTCTACCTGGGTGTCTGCAAATCTGTCTTCATTCATCGGTTAGAATTCGGAAAATCTAGAAAAAAAGGGATAGGAAAAATGAGTAAATTTCTAGGTAAAGTCTGTTTCAAAATTGTGGCAAAAGCGTAGAAAGTTTCATAAACACGGACCTTTGTAGTGCGAACCGGACGTTTTGGAGAATTTCTAGTGACCACTTTAGTAGTGTCCGCACGCCTAAGGGAGTCGATCAGAAACGTCCGGAACGGGTCTGGTTTCCGTTACCGAGGTTCCAGAAGTTATATTATTCTTCGATTTGAATTATTTTCCGCGGAGCGCCCGCGTGTTTTAAGAAGAATGCTCGAATTTCGGAGTTTAGAAATATATAAAAAAAGGCGTTGAGATAAAAGATAGCGCAGACGATCAGATGACTAAGAATCGTGGAGGATGATATCAATAATTACAGCGACCTCAAGTCGAAGAACATACTGATCCGACGCGACATGACGGCCTGCATTGCGGATTTCGGCCTGGCACGCCGCTTCGACTTCTACCAACTCCGACGCAACAACGACATCCTCGGCCAAGTCGGCACGCGTCGGTACATGTCGCCGGAGGTCCTCGAAGGCGCCACGGAGTTCACTCCAGCCGCATTCAAGCAGATGGACGTCTACGCGATGGCTCTCGTGCGTTGAACACACTTTTAATATAATAATTCCTTCACAGGCAACAAAGACAATGATTTATTTAATTGAAGTAAGAAATATTTTTTGACGGGGCCTTAGAGACCTCACGTACAAGGGAGGGTGCAATTTAGAATTGAAATAATAATTAAAGAAAGTCAGTTGGTTGCCGATTTTAGGCCGCGACGAAATCCAAGATAGTAAGAGGGTAGTTACGTAGAGCAACATAGACGTAGTTTAAAAAGTATGGATATTTCGGATACAGCAACATCTGCCGTGGAATTGAATTGGATAAGTCCTGACGAGTACCGAAGACCATTTTAGAAGAAAACATGAACAATTAGATATTCTTTATGAGATCAAAAAGATTGTTGATACTTCTATGACTTACTCTGTTCAGTGCATGTGGGAAGTGCTTTCGAGGACGCGGATCGATCCTCACGAACACGTCGGAGAGTACATGATGCCCTATGAAGACGTCGTCGGCGGGAACCCGCAGATCGGGGCCATGAGGGCCGTCGTCGTCAGCCGGAAGTTGCGGCCAATGTTCCGGCAGCAAGTCTTCCAGAATAAGGTACTAGGAAGAAGTTGGAAGAGTATTGGGCGATACTCAGGAAGTCCTAAAAAGCTTATTTTTTCTCGGAAGTACTTACAAGGGCCTGTTTAATGAGGTTTGAAATGTTCTGAAAATTGCTCAAACAATCTCAGGCCGAGAATCCGTGTTGTTTTTCATTCTAAGATGAAAATCGGAGATTCTCAAGAAATAGCTCTATTTTACAGCTCTCCAACGAGGTGCGCAAGTCGATCGAAGAAATGTGGGATCCTGAAGCGGACGGCCGAATCACAGCAGGATGCGCCTTCCAGAGGATGTGGCGACTCAGCTTCGACGACCTTCCCGAAGAGGGATCCGCCCAGTCTTCCGTCCCGGATCCCATGATGTCCTACCACACGGCAGTCTCATTAAGCGACGAGGCTGCTTTCATCCACATCGAAGGTTCGTTTCAGAGGAATCCGTAGTTCAATTAGGACTGGAAAGATTACACTACTTACGGTACCATTATGGCAAAGAAAGTTTAATCGATAAAATTCTGGTATAAGCTGGAAGTTTTGATTTTGAAAAAAAACCGTGTAATTTTTTCAGGGGAAAGGCCGCAGGCGACGAACACGCGACCGCATCCGTCCCGAGACCCCTTCCTCGACGTGCCTCTGCCGCCAGCCGTCCCACGACTCGGAGGCGTCGGTGCGGAGGCCTTCGCCAACTGGGACAACACCCGACCCAGCAACACCGTGGACGGCAAGAAGGAACTCGTCTATGACACCGTAACCCGACGTCTTCTATCCGACGACAACCGACCGCGTCCACGCCGCGAATCCAGCCACAGTACTACCACCCCGGAAACATCTTCCTCCTTCTAGACTCTTCATCTTTCTTTCGATGTACCCTGTTGAAATAGTGTATTACACGCTAGACTGTCACGTCTTCTGAAAAGCTAAAAAAAAAGCTACCGTAATTCAAGATTTTTTGCGCCTTCGCGTCGAGAAGCCTCAAAAAACTGCAAGAAACGAAGGTCTCGAGGCAAATTCGAAACCAAAAATAAACTGTTTTAGGCAGAAAAGAAACGTGGCAAGCTGGCGTGAAATGTCCTGTAGATTGATGAGAATTATTGGCCCAGAAATTCGATTTAATGATCTCTCTTTCGCTACCTCTGCTCTTTCCCTGCTATTTTTCGTATCATTTCGAAAAGACAACTCAACCAATTTCTCATACGAGGTTATGTACAATTAATTTATCCGCTTTGACTTGTTCAGAATCTCTTGAAAGGGGCCAAACATTGAAATCATTATACAAGTGAAAACGGGGTGGTCCTTGTGATACCAGCTTTGATGACGATGAAACATTCTTTTTGAGATCTTTTTCTTAAAAATACTCACGAACATCAAATAAATATTAATTTATATCTCTCAATATCACTATATTCGCCTCTACGGGTTTCCTCTTCTATAGCCACATTTTTGTAACTGTTCTGTACATTTTTTGAACATTGATACATATTCATTACTTGTTTATATGAACCATCTGTTAAAATATTCTTATGGACAGTTTGTGAAGGACTTTGTTTTTGAAATAAATGACAAGTTGCTTGTGACGGTTATTATCGAATTCAAAATTCAATTCAATCGAAAGAATGAACAAAGATTCTTATAATCAAAGACGACCACCTGAAGTACAAACAGTGAACTTTTCAGGAGATGATCTTTCAGAAAATCAGTTTTATTATCTTCACTAATTTATTGAAACAGATAGTGGAAGCCGAGACAACAAATGCCATGAGCATCTACAAATCTGAAGTTGGTGATTCTCGAATGAGAAAAAAAGTTTTTTTTTTAAAGGTTCCAATAGAGGAATTCGAGAACGATGAAAGAGCTGTGAAAATAGGAGAAAAGGGGTACATATTACTGCAAAATTGGAACGATCAAGGCGTTTCCGGTGTTTTATGGGAATCGGTGAGTTCGAATTCGAATAAGAAAGGGTTTGGTTCAAAAGTAAAAGAGACGACTGTGTTTAGGCTGTCGTGTTGGCGCAATACTTACACCAAAGCAGGGGATTGGTAAAAGGAAAGAGAATATTGGAACTCGGCGCCGGTCTGGGACTTCCGTCGATGGTCGTCTTGGACGGCGGCGCCTTCCACGTCTTCGCTACGGACCAAATGTTCGCATTGCCAAGACTCCGCCAGAACGTTCAGACCAACCTTTCCCCTGAAATTCAAAGACATTGCGATATAACTTGTTTGGACTGGTTTCATCCGGAAAACTCGACGGGTTTCTTTTTCTTCGTTTCTTTCATTTCAATGTCTTTTTTGACCAGAAAAAAAACACTGTAAACGGCTCCTTGTCTCGAAATTTCCATTTTCTCTTTTGAAAACAATGATTTTCAGTCTCATTTTTATTGATTTGACTTTTGAATTTCCGAAGTAAATTTAAATTTTCTTGATTATAGCTGCAAATTGTTAAAAACCCAAAATATTGAAACTACTCATTTAAATATTTTTCTTCTCTTCCTCATTTTACCTTTGAGTTCAGATCGAATACAAGACGTCGAGGTCATCATTGGAGCAGACTTGGTCTACAACCGCGAGCTTTTCGATCCATTGCGACGAACTCTTCTCGCATTTTCTACAAAGAAAACTGTCATTTTCTTCGCCAGCAAACTTCGTTACCCCAAGGACCGTCGTTTCTATTCCAAGTTATCGGGCGATTTCCAAGTCGAGCAAGTATTTTCTGAGAAAGATATCGTTATATTCAAAATGCTCAGGAATTAGAAATAATGTGTTTATTCCTTAAAACCTGGTATTTTGATATAAAAATATTTGAAGATGATAACGAACCATCCAACAGTATCGAAGCGACGGAAAGTTCAAAAGAATCCATAAAAGACGAGCATTTTTCACAAGTGGAAGTGCTGCATTCGCAAATTGAACGAATGAATTTATGGCAGTCTTCATCCGAGAAACAACACGTTCTGAAATTTGAAAAACCGAGTTCGATAGCAGAATATGTTTTGAGACTCACAGATTTGGTCCATGTTTGGAGCAGGCGTATCTGGATTCTACTAAACTTTCTCTGGATTTTTTGACAGACGACAAAAGTTTCTCAAGACGTTCAAAATTTAGCCGAGCATCAGCAAACAAGATCAACTGCAAAAAAAGAGAATATATTTTAAACTGTGTCTATTCAAAAATATTTTCTAGTTTTTTTAAAGGCGCAGATGTCAAACCTCGATTTTTTTCCTCCATTTCTACCTCCGTAAACATATCAGAACAATCAGCAATCTCATTCTTCACATCGATTTTCCTTTGCTTCAAAAATTCCACTACCATTGAAATATTCGTGGAGTTGATCCAATTGTGATTGATTGAAATTGTATCGCTCTAAAGAAATTATTGCAGAATTTGCGTTGTAAATCATTATTACGATGTTGTGAACTTGGTGATACCAGTTTGAGGGAACGAAAACTATCTCTCCCGGCTCTTGAATGAAAGATATGACTTTAGCCTGTAAAACTACTACTATTAAAGATATTGATTGTATATCAAGAAAATACACTATTTAGTATTGCTTGAAGAAATTTTAAAAGAAGGGGGCACAAAAATATCGACACTCTTATAGGTTATTTCAAACTTCCGAAAAGTGCCAGGCTTTTTTTAACGGATTTCAAACAAACCTCACTCCATAAGTGGCTTCTGGCTCTCATATCTTCAACAAAGTCGTCTCTAGTTGCCCGGAAGAGTCCCTCTTTCCCTGGAGGAACCATGAGCCATTGTTTTCGGCCACAAATATTAGCCGACCAACTGTGGGAAACGACGACATCAGAGTGGAGCTTTGTCCTGAAAAGAGGCATTTTTTAAATTTTTGGAAGACTGAAAATCTCTCATACCAAGATCCTTGTACCCCATGATAGACGAAGCGATAATCGTCCCCAAATGGACTACCAATTCCTGACCATTCCTCGCAATTTACCCAATCTCGCTGCATGAAAGGATGGAGAAAATAGAAAGCTGTACCGAAACTGGAAGAATGACTTGATTCAAAATCACAACTGAACGAACCTGTTCTGGAAGTGCCAATCTTTCAAGTAGCTACTAGGTTTCACTTCGCCAGATAAAATTCGATCAATGTACTGAGAATATTTCATTACACTATAGTCACACCCATCAAATATAGGTACTTCGGCATCTCCTGTAAACTATTTTTTTGAACCTTTTTTTATAAGATATAAATAAAACCGTAGTTTTCACGAAGATATACCAAGTTTGGAGTGCCATCCTCGTTCACCCAGTACTTTCGAGCCAGCCACTGTTCGGTGCTCCAAGATTCCATTATAAACGGCTCATTCTTCATACCACAGTCGGTGAACAACGACAACCAGCTTGTGGAAGAAGATATTCTCTTTATTTTTTCTTCCATCGATAACTGTAAGTATATGTAAGAATATATATTTTATCATCAAAAAAAGAACACTTCAAGTATTTTATAAACTTATGAAATGAACAAAAGTTTAAAAAAAACAAAGAAAAGAGCAATTCAGAACATCAAAATTAATTACATAAAAAAATATAAATAAATAAAGGTACACGCAAACACGTCACATACTGACGCATTTTCGGTTGACCCATTGGCGTTCGTTTTGTGTCTTTTTGCAGTAAACCGAGAAAGCGCGGTCCTTTTTTCATTTCTTATTTTTAAACTGTTTCTATCTACATAGGTAAAACTGAAAAGTTCCTCTGAGGATCCTTAAAAGATCCTGAGAGGGAGATAAAAAGCTTCCTCTAAAAGCTCCTAAAAAGATGTAAAAAAGCTTTTGAGCACCTTTTTCATAGCCTCAGAGGATCCTTTTTGGAACCTCTCGGATCTTTTTAGTTGCTTTCCAGCATCCCTTTTCTCAGAGGATATGAAAAAGATGCAAAAAAGAATTGAAATGATGTAAAAAAGATCTGCTGGGGACCCTTTCAAGGTCTTTTTTTGAGAAAAGCTTTTGGGGAGCTTTTCAGTTTTGCCCGAGAAAGCTTTTGGGGAGCTTTTCAGTTTTGCCCGAGTAAAAATAAATGGATTTTTGATATGACCCTTAAAAAGCTGTGTCTATCAAGCTAGGTTATACAAAAAGAAATTCCTAATCAATTCTCTTCGCTTTTGAATTTAGTAAAGTTTGAGGCGGGATATTTTGTGCTGTTTTTATGACCTTTTCTTTTGCTTTTTTTTACTGTTTAGATTAGCCAAATTACTGTTTTTCTATTCCTGATCATAATTTTCTCAAAATATCGCTTCTTCCATACACGTTCTTTCTTGTTTTTGTGTCGTTATTACAATTTTTTTCGTTCTTTAAACGTTAGTCGTGGGAAATAGAGAGAAACATGAGATATTTGAGGTATTTTAAAATTTCCAGTGAAAATCGTTGTCGCTTTGTAATCCGCGATGAATTTTTTTTTTTTTGATCGCTTTTAGTTCGACAAAAATTTTCCTTTTTTTCATAGTCTGTTCAAAGTCCTTGATCAAGTTTTAAAAAAGTAGGTGGAAATTTATAACTTTATTAAGATATTGAAGACGAATAGTTTTTTTTTCATGTTTATTTTTAATATTACAAGATTTCTGCGTCTGTGATCACCTCAGAACAATTTTTTCGAATTCATTCAAGGATAAGGTATTTTATTTCACTAATTCATCAATGATAACGTTTGCTGTATTTACTTTCCTATTTATTTTGTTGATCTCGCGAAACTTATTTTTTTTAGTTTGTATGTTGTCAAAATTTGTGTAAAATTTTAAAATTAAGAATGCTGGCTATTCCGCATTCGGTTGCGATGAGGTTGGCCTGCCGGCCATCCGCTATTTCGAGAGCTTTCAGCACAACATCATTCAAATCGGTTAGATTTTCTTAATTTTTCAAAGATCATTTCAGAAAATTGCCAAAAAATGAGGCTTCAAGGCTTTTTCTTCTCAGGATGAAGCCAAAACGCCAATTCAAAAGTTCGGTTGGGAATATCTGTTGAAGCAACGCGAGCGCGCACGTCCAATCTCTCCTCATTTGTCCATCTATCAGCCACAACTCACGTGGATGGTTGATATTTCTATTATTTTTTCTTAAATGATTAATTTTGAAGGTCTCCGGAGCTCATCGAATCACTGGCTGCATTATGGCGGGTACTTTGATCTTTGGAGGTACAAAACTTCAGTTTTCCATTATAAAAGCTATATTCGTTTATTAAGGAATCGGTTTCGCTGTTCTTCCCGTTGATTTCACGACCTTCGTTGAAACAATCCGCGGCTGGGATCTCCCATGTGCAGTAACGGCCGTTTTCAAGGTTTTTGAATGGGAAAATCAAAAAATAACGATTCTTTCCAGTACATAATTGCTTTCCCCATCGTCTTCCACACATTGAACGGCCTCCGATTCCTCGGATTCGATACCGCCCGAGGAGTTGACAACATTTCACAGGTTTATTTTAAATTTTCTTTCTCTTGTGGTTTTTTCTTATATCTATGCTATTTCGAAATGCGTGCTTCCCGTCAAGTATTATTTTCCAAGGATCAAATCTGAAGGATTTTTTCTCTTTCCTTCTTGTTTTCTAAGAGTTTTTCTATAGCTTTTCGGGAAGATTATTAAACAAGGCCATGTGAGAAAGCAATTGAAGTGACTGAAAACCAAAAAAAAAGTCCTTATATTAGAACATGTAAGAAAAATGAGCTTGGAGAAAGCTTTTGACAAATTTTTATAAAGCATTTAAATGAGCTACAGTTCAATTCTTCTCAAAAATCTTCGATTCTGTCATTGTTATATGTTCTTCAGATCTACAAAAGCGGTTGGTTGGTGCTTGGACTTTCGGCCGTCATCTCTTTGGCCATCGTCATCGTTTCGTACTCCAATAAGAACAAAAAAGCAATCAAACAATAAAGTTCAACTTTTTCCCCGATTATCCAGTGATGAAAGCGACATTTTCTGTTTCCCAACCATTTTTGGGCCGCCCGTGCCCCGCCTACTCGATGTCGATCCCAATCCCACGCCCATTCGTGTGCTCTTGTTTGTAGCCTTTGTGTATCGCCAGATTATAGAATATTATTTAGAAGCTCATTGGGAAACGTTATATTGTGAGATTCATAAATGGTTTTTCCAAATTTTCGTTTTTATTCGTCTTGTCGTTACAGATCGACCAGCTATTGACTTTTTAACCTGCTTTTTGTTTTTTACGATTTTGCGGTTTTTCCGGTGAGGTAATTTGTTTGAACTTGGTTTCATTTGAACTGAGTTGTTATGATTGCAAATGGGTAATTTGGGAAAGTAAAAAAATCTAGGACTTGACTTTGAATCCTGGACTTTACTCAAAAACTTTAGAGAGATTTTTGGAAATTTTGTTTATAAAACTAAAAAAATACTAGGAGGGAACGTCAACTAGGTTTTTGTGCAGGCCCATTTCCAAGTTAAAAAAAAAGAATAACTCCTTGAAAAGTTTCCATTGGTAACGGTTGTGGTTTTCTGTTCAGAGTCGTTTCAAAAGCGGACAGTGCGAAATTTACTCTATTTCAGACGTGACTTGCTCCCGTTTAAAAGCTGAGGTGAATGACCCGAACAATGACGACTTTGACGTGCGACTCGCCGTCGTCGATCGCCGGCGCCTTCCGTCGACGAACGATGGCCGCTGGCGACGCCTTGCTCCGCGATCGCAGCAAGTCCGGCGACACGGGCGATGGCGATTCGCGGCGGCGGCAGTCGTACGCCGCTGGCGATTTTGAGCTCAACGACTGGGAGGAGGAGCGACTCGACATTGAAGGCTTTGTGGTACGTTTCATTTTTCTTCTTCTGATTAAAAAAAAAATTATCTTCCAATTACAACGCTTAACTCTTTTTATTTCCGTAAAGCTTGAAGCTGTTTCTTTTTGTAGGCGAGAATAAAGCTCCTGCTCACAGATAATTATTACTATAACTTGTCAAGTTTGCTCAAAACTATCGATTTCTCAATTGTACTCACTATTGCGTAAGAGACATGCATCCGGGCTGTGTTGGGCCAACATACGATTGCGCGTCAAATATGTTGCGCTGTTCTTTATTTGTTCAATACCGACCTCTGGTTGATCGAAAACTCAGGTCATTCGGTGTAATTTGGTATTATACAATCCCTTAAAGGTTTTGAGAGAGAAAAATCTCTAGAAATAATTTCAAAACGGCTTTTCAAGCTCAAATGAACAGGTTTACTACATGTAAAGAATTTTTGACAAACTCTTCAAAAGTTGTCGACGGAATTAATGTTTTTCTTATCTTCAAAGAAAGCTTTTTGAGTCGAATATCTCTTTCAGTCAGACTATTTTGCGCACCGAGCCTTACAAGACGGCCTGGAATGGTACGACGCTCCCGAACTTCCTTTTGGAGTTCAACCGGAACACCTCATGATGAGGTTTTTCTTTAATTCATGGTTCGAACCATAGTTTTTTTTTAAATTTCTAGGGATATATGCGCTATTTTCGAACGACGCAATCGACACGAGTTCGAATCTTTCGCCGAGCAACTTTTTTCGATTCCCAAATTGACGTTTTCTTTGTATTCAGAGGTATTTCGTGAGAAACACGCTTCATTAAGTTTTAATGATTTTTTCAGGTCGTTCAAATGATTGGATGGACCGGCGATGAGTCCTGCGCCATGAGTTACGGCCGTCTGGTGAGCAAGATTTTTTTAATAATGAACATCTTGCCTTGAAAAACCTTCAAGACAAAAAGCTATCTGGCCATTTTAAATGAAAACATTTTTAAAAAAAAGGAGTAATTACCTGAGATTTTAGAAAACTTTATTTATAGATTGGACTCGATCGAACTAAATATTTTTGCCCTACCGTCCATATTTGATTCCTTCTTCAGATCGGTTTGATATCTTTCGGCGGTTTGATGGCGTCACGAATGTTGGCTGCGAATCACTCGGAACAAGTGCGAAATATGTCGCTTTACACGGCTCTTTTCATCAAATCGAGGATCAAGACCTCCTGGAAAAATGATGAGCGGAGCTGGGTAAGGCATTTTTTTCAATAACAAAGTCGATTAAAAAGGGCATTTTTGTCTTGAATCGTATAAATTCTAAGTCTTCGTAGAGACTAAATATTATAATGTAAAAAAATGAGTAGAGATTCGATTTCCTTGTAACTGAGATTGAGTTGCTTTTTAATTTAAGTTTTCTCATTTTTACGTGGCATTGAAGTGACGTTTCCTTTTTTTCAATTTTTTTGAAATATTCTTTTGAAATAAAAAAACGTTCTTTTTTTGGATGAGTTGAAAAAAAGAGAATAAAAAAAGGAAAGTTTTTTTGTATAGTGTTCATTATTGATTCATCTCCTCATGAATTCAAACTTTCTCAGATATAAAATAAAAATAAGCAATATCATTCTCTGAAAGAAGTACTGTAATTAGACGGAATGCAAATTAGAAAGATAAGTGGCTTGACGCCTTCTATTGTCTCAGCCGCCGCCCGTGTATCCGATAATTATAGGGTTTGGCTGTGGTGCAAGCCTCTAGTTGATCCTCTCTTCTACACTTCCTCTCAATCAGACGGATTTCTTTTCATGGCTGTTGTTATCCTTGTTTTTATAAATTGGAGCGTGATGTTCGGCAAGTGCGTTCTGAATGAGTGGATAGATATGAATATGTCGGAAAAAAAAAAAAATCTTAAAAGAGGTTTTGATCGATCGCAAAAACTTTTGGGATAACTTTGAAAGTCTAGTTTGGATCCATCTTACGTTATATGAAATCTAGCAAAGTTTATCATTTTTTTATAAACACGTTGTAAAAATTTTTCGACGCCAGAAGGTTTTTTTGTTTTTTTGACTGATACCATCAGAATTAAAAATTTCAGCGTAATTCCAAGATTTGGATTTTTTTGAAAAAAATTACAAATGTTGACGTCATTCTTTTCACCTCGAATTTGAAATATTTATATCATAAAAAAAGCGCTATTTTCATCATACTCAAGACCTCATAAAAAAAGCTTAAAAACGTATTTTTTGTTTGAAACGAGATACGCGTCTGTCTGATTCTCTACGGGCGTGGCTATTTTATAAAATTTACCTGATGCCATTTTGAAAAATCATTGTTTTTTGACCACACCGTGGGTGAAATCTCAACTTCCCTCTCTGCAGGCTGGTTTTATGGCGCTGTCGGAGACGATGAAAGCGCGGGACGACGTGTCGCGCCAGAAGAAACTGGACGAAGAGCAGCGCCGTGCCAGAAACAGGAGATGGTCGATGATCGGTCTGGGGACCGTAGCGGCTGCCCTCGGCGTCGGTGTCGCCGTCGTTGGCGGACGCATCCTTCTGAACCACAAATGACGGGTTCCCTAGCAAAGTCTGAGTTTCTCCGAAAACCCAGCCTCCACTACCTTTTCGATTGTATCATATTTGTTCGTTTAATTGTGTATATCTGCCTTATTTATTCTTTTTTGTTCCGATTAACTCTGACCATTTGTATCATGATTATTGTTTTCTTTTTTCCTTTTATCATTCTTTGTTTTTACTACGTTTTTCTTCTTTTTTTTTCGTTGGTTTTTAGTGCATCCTTTATTTTAAACTCGCGAACCTTAATTTTCCTGCCACAATTTCGCATCTCATTTCATGATCCTCATTCGTTTTTTTTTTTCATTCTTCGCTACTATTTATTTATACTTTTTTTGTTGTTGAATTCTCTTGGTGAAATACAACATTTTAGACGAAAATTCATTTCTCAACCAAAACACCATAAAAGTCTGAGTTATTTACATTATCTTTACGAATAACTTATTTATTTGTTCATGCGGTTCAAGATTCGAGTTTGATCAACCGATTACTGTAATCGGCGAGTTCGTGGATCGAGACGCGGCCACGCTGATTGATGAACTTGGCGACTAGAAAGTTGAAATTATACAGAATAAACGGGTAGAGAAGTTACCTGCGGCCAATTCGTCATCAGAAATGTAGATGAATTTGCCGCGGTCGTCCATGACGCCCTGGACAAGGCCTTCGTTGAGGAAGTGCTCCAGTCGTTTCACGGCCTCGTCGGATTTCAGGCCAAAGTGAGCCGAGAGTTCATCGATGTTCACGACCTGAAAGCAATTCGTCTTCCAACATTAGAAAAAATAAAATGAGATTCAAAATGAATTTCATTTGATAAAATCTGAAACTTGCGCTACCTTGTTCTCCTTGATGTAGCTGATGAAGTCGCGAATCAGATTCTCGGCTTCTTCTCCTTCGAGTTCATCGTATCCTTCTTCTTCCACGGCGAACGACTCTTTCATCTAAATAGTTCCTTTTCAATAACATGAGAAATTTCCAAACTTCTATGATAACTCTTTAAAAAGCTAAATAATTGTTGAAAAACTGAATTTCGATCGATTTTCGAAATGAATTTTTGTCTCTCTTTTTTTTTCTACGAACCGAAAAAATTGAAAAAAGTTTCAAAGAACTGATCCTAAAACTTTTCAAAAAATTTCCATCAAACGGAAAGGAAACAAATAATTTGAAAAAAATAGAACTCATTTCTTGGATTAAGAAAAATAAATTCATTCAATCCAGCTCAGAATAACTTCACATTCTTTTTAATAGTAAATGAAATATTCTCAAATTTTAAGATTCCTCTGAAACAGTAAAACGAACAGCGAGGTACTCCTCGTGCTGCCGACGTTCTTCCTCTTCTTTTTCCTGTCTCTTTCGTTCTTCTTCCTCCAGTTCGGCCTGTCGTTCTTTCTCCCGTTCTTCTTCACGTTTCTTCTCGATTTTCGCCTCTCGCTTCTTTTTCTCTTCTCGTTCTTGTGCTTCCTAGAAAAAGAGGATTATCAGAGAGAAAAAATACAATTTTGCTTAGGAAGAATGCTGAAAAATCGTACCAAAATATTGATCGAAAAGATTTTGTTTTCTGTCCAACGTTAGTTAGGTCGTTCACGAAATTATTTCATATTGAAAAAATAGGAATACATTTTTCGAAGATATCCCTTCAAGTTTACTGCAAAAACCGCATCTTAACTGAGCTATTCACTTTTTTAAATCAAATCATCTCTTGGAGCAAAAATAATGAATCGAGGCTATAATTTCATGCCAAATGAAAGCGAAACGATTTCCTCAAATCAAATATTTGCCCTGAAAAGTCTTTCACGAACCATTTCTCTTTGATGACGTTTCTCCTCCTTGGCCGCGAGCTTCATCGCCTTCCTTTTGCCGATTTTCCCTGAAGCCAGGGCGGCATCGATGTCGTCCATGTAGTCGCCTCCTGAAAATTCAGCTTTTCGAGAATTCGGGATACGTTAATAATCATATTTTGCTCATAAAGCATATGGATGAAAAAGGAGAAAATACAATTCAAAGAATAAAAAATTAGAAACCTTCGAAGTCCTCGTCATCGTCGTGAGGCTCGCCCTGTCTGACGTCGTCATCGTCCTCATCTAAGTCGCGGACGACGCGTCGTCGAACATTTCTCCGCATTCCGCCGGCCACTTAACTTCGTAGCATAAATATCTTACACACATGAACTAATTGATCGTAATTGAATATAATTGGATATTGTAAAAAAATAATAATATTAGAAATCGAGAAAAAAATTATTTTCTATATAAACCAGGGTGCTTCAAAGTACGTCTTAGCTAAACTTCTAAAATTTCTCCAAACTTGTGTATTCTCCCTTTCCTGAAAAATGAAAAAGAACTTCTGAAATAGAATATCTTTCGGAGTTCCTCTCTGTAATTATTGTGTAATGTAGTGTATAAAATTTTTAATCGTCAAAATGTTTCTCCCAACATGAAATCAACGATTTTTGAGCCTACCTGGAGCCTGTCTTCTATTTTCCCGCTCGTCTTGCTCGTTCATGGCGAGAAGAGCTTCAATATTGCTCTGGGAAGATTTTTCATCTCTTTGGAACTTCAGCAGTCGCCAAATGATGAACCCGACGCTAAAACTTGTTTCTATGTTTGAGAATAATCCCGATTTTGAGAGAAACAGTGGGAAATGTTGCATTTCCCAATATTTAATAACTGAACGTCAAAAAAGTATTGAAGTTGAATCACCAGAATACGTCATAGAAAGCTTGAAAAAGAAATCTAATGAGAGCAGGAAAAACCACGTCGTTCCACTTTACTTATTAGAAAGGTCGAGTTTTCAGCTGGTTAGTATGAACTTTTAGAAGAGAGCTATATTTAGATTTTCGAAAATAAAAAATATATGAAAATATAAATATTAATAAAGTCCTAAACTCTTTCTCCCTTTCTATATAGAAAAATCTGATTTTCTTAATTAAGTTATATAATCGAAAAAATTATTCTGTTTAAAATTGAATGAAAAACTCACGCAAGGACCAAAACGGTAAGAGAACCGACGAGCATCGGATCGACGCCATCTTTCGCGAAATGAAACGGCGCATCTTTCGAAGGGCCCGGCTTTTCCGTCATTCTTCAACAAAATAATCAACTTCACTATCTAATTAAATCAGAGAGAAGGAGCGAAAAAGAGCAGAGCGACAAGAAAAAAAAAACAATGGTGCCTCAAAATGGGAAAATTGAGCTTGAAACTGCACGAAATCGTAATTTTTTTTTTCAAACTTCTAAGCATTTTTTTCTTGAATTCCCTACATCAACAAACATCATTAGAAAAAAAACATAGGTACGTCTAAAAGACGAATTCAGAAGAGAAATAGGTTGACGGCGTATTTCACCCCGGAATTTCGCAAAGAGGGCACGTTCGGTTTGCAATAGGCATTCGCAAAATGAAACGTCCCATGGCCTCATTCAAGCTCTTTCGGAAAATTTTTCCTTTTTTTTAAAATTAAACATAAAGTTTCGAGATGGGAAAAATAGTAAAGTGAAAAATATAATAAAACTAGTTTTGAAAAGTTTACTACTAAAAAAGGGCAGAGATTCCAAATTTTGTTTCTAGACTTGCTGGCGGTGGCAAAAAGGCCGATCTTTTTTGCACTTTGTACCCTTTTTGTCGTGAGGTTGGAAAATGAAGAATGCAGCGTATTTCGAAACGTCTAAAATATCACATTGCCGCTTTTTCGAAAAAATTTGAACAATGAAAAAAAGACTAGCATCCTACGGATTTTAGTACCGCAACTTTTATAATGAATTGTTTAGGAAAATTAAAATTCGAAATAAGGTTTCTAAAAGCTGGCAACATTCGAGTTCGCTATTTTCTATCAAAAACTCGACGATAAAATGGTTAATGATAAGCATATATTGATCGTTATTATTGCCGACTCAAAAACCACGGAAAGAAAAAAGAATGATCGACAGATTTATTAAAACTTCTCTAATGAGAATGCTTTTTTTGAGAAAAAATATGTTTACCGGTGGGTGCGAGTTTACTAAAACGTAACAGGAGACTAAAACGATAAATATAATAAATTAAATTGAATCAAAACACATGGAAAAAAGAGGAAGCAGAAATAAAAATAATTATGAACTGAAAATAACAACCATTTGCATCTCATCAAAGAAAAAGTGTCTGTCGCCATCAAAAATGGGAGGGAGCTAGAAAAAAAACCGAAAGCTAAGAATATAACAACACTGTTTGAGTTGGGAATTATGAACCGGAGGCGAGTAAAAGATTATGAGAAATCAAAGAGGAGAGGATGAATATTTGAATTACAATCAAAAGAAAAAAAAAATTTAAAAACGCCCTCTGCAATGTTTAGAAGGAGATCCGAGTTCTTGGTGACCAAAAAATCGCATATAAATTAATCGACGTCCATTTCGGATTGCGAGGCGTCGCCGGCCTGTTGCTGCTGCTGCGGCGCCTCCTTCTTGGGAGCTTCCTGCTTGGGCGGCGCCGGCTTCTTCTTGTTCAGGATCGGGTTGATGATGTTCTCGAAAGCCTCAAACCGCAAGAATCATCCATTTCTGTCCCACATATTCAAGTTGAAGGCTCAATAGGTATAGGGGGTGGTTTTGACTTTCAAAAATTTCAGGAAAAAGGTATAAAGAAATAGTTTGAAGATTAGGGAGGCAAAGTTAACAATAAGTGTAAGTCTTAACTTCAAGTGAAATAACTGATTTTGGGTCGGCGGCCTTGTAAGTTATGATTTGCCCATGTTCGATTTCTAGGAAATATGAACGAACCGAGCGTTGTTGGTTGATCTCCTCGACAAAGATCACTGGAGCCTCTGTCTTGGCAAGGCGTTCCTGACGATGACGGGCGTCGTCCAGCCACTTCTTCTTGTCCTCGATCGCGTTGATAACCTGATTTTTTTATTACAAGAGATAGAAAAAAATTTTTTCTTTTGGCTAACTCATTTCTCTATGAAAAATTCACTTATATTTTTATTCATTGTATTCTATTTTTCTCTAACTTATGGCTGCTCAATTTTTTCTCCATTTTCATATTTTTAAACCTCTAGTTTTATCATAACTGAAGCCTATGACAAAATTGACGAATTTAAATGAAGAGCTTCCAAACTAACCTTTTCCATATCCTTGCTGTCGAGGTGGGCGTACAATTCGCCGCCAGCAACGTAGTCTTCGTAGGCCTTGCGTCCGCGAGCAATCACTTGGTCAAAGTCATCAAATGCCGGCTGGAACCCACAAATTTGCCTTTTTAAGCTTGTGAAAAAAAAAACCTGTCGGTGCTGAGCTTCACGGTATCGTTCAACAATAGGATCTCCGTGGCGCTTCAGAGCCTCGAGCCGTTTTTCGTAGACCTGTTGCTCAACGTCTTCACCCTCATCATAGAGCCAGTCCTCCGTCACAGTCAGCTCTTGGCGGAACTCCTCGGCAGCCTAAAAATTTAGTTTTTTTAAGTTTTTATAGATTTTTGACATATCTAAAGCGCTTGAAAAATGAATTTTTTTTGCAACTTGCGAAAAATGAAAAACACTGTTGTCCATAACATAATTAGATTCAATTTTCAGCGCAAAAAATAGATCATGAAATTTGAAACCATAAACATTCCGAAAAACCATCATCTTCGCGCAACTTTTTCCACTTTTTTTTTCTTTAACGATTCACAAATTTTCTTAAACAAACCTGAGGAGAAACAAAGTCGGCGAATTGATCAGAGATCTTGTCGCGCATTTCGTAGACGTATGCTTCGACACTGTTTCTGGCGTCAGCCTTGCGTTTCTGCTTCTCATCAACTTGTTGCATTTGGAGCTGAAAATCGCAAGTTTTCATGATTAAAGTGAAAATATGCGCTCACTTCGATTCCAGCATATTTCTGGACGTCATAGTTGACGGGGACGACCTCACGAATGGGCAGATCGATGGAGATGGTCTTGGTTTTCGGCTTGGCAGGTTCAGCCGCTGGATCGGCGGCCGGCTCGGCCCCTTCGGCAGCTGGTGGCGCCGCAGCGTCCACCTCCATCGGCTCCTAAAATACATTTATGAAGTAAATATACTTTTCGAAAAAGAGCTTACTTCAGGAACGACCTGAGTTTCGTACATGGTAGCGCTGCATACGGAGAAAACACCGTTCGGGTTGACGCGGACCTGAAAAAGTTTTTTTAGTTAAATTGTTTTGCTTCGAAGTTTTCCTACCTTGACCTTGACCTTGCGAGCTTCGCCTTCGGCAGTAGGTTTCACACCCGACACGTGCCAAGTGCCTCAAATCATGTGTAAAATTACTTTGAAACTCTGGAAATTCGCTCTTGTTTGTTCCATCTGAACTGCGAAAGCTACCATTTTACTTTTTTCATTTTTGACCCATAGGAATAAAATACAATTTCGAAAGTTACCGAGATGAGACTGGGTATGCGGGACAGTGTTCGGAGAGATGTAGCGAGCGTCGATTTGGAACGCGTCGCTGCGGAAAAGAGTGACCATCTTCGAGAATGGGAACTCGTCGCTCTCAGTGAAAGCAACGGATTCTCTGAAAGTGAATACAAAATAAGCCTAAAACCAAATGGCACAGAACAAGTTGCGCCTAATGCATTCTACAGATAAATTAGATAATTTTATAAGAGATGGCTTGTCAAATTCTTTCGCAAAACCGGAGAAGTGAAACTCGTAATGCAAAGAAAAGATTTTTCACTTTGAAAAATACAGTAATTGAGGCCATTTTTTTTGTCTTCTTCGAAATTAAACCTCAAGGTTTGAAAGAAACAGAAAAACCAAAATTTTCGAAGTTTGGAGGAGGTTTTAGGTTCCTAATGGAACTGAGAAACATTGAACTTGAAAACACTCACCAAATTTTTCTTTACATTTCAAGAATGGTGAAACAATATGATGAGTTTTTCTCAACTCCACTTTAACTTCAGTGACCTCTTTTTTCAAGAAAAGGCCTGGTTATTTAAAATCTCAACATATTTCTCTTTTTTTTCTTTCAAAATCTATCATTCCTCACCCTCCTTCGGCAGCTCCGCCGTTCCACGTGATTCCAATACGGAAAGGCTGTGAATCCTTGATCGAAAACTCGCGGACGCGATAAGTCGGCGAAAGAATTGCACACTGCATGGCAGCACCTGAAAAATTTAGATTCAGGAAATTTTCAGATTTTTTTTTTGGAAAACCGCGTGCGACAGCTTCATCCTGGTTCATGGTGGTCTTAGCTTCCTTCGCGAAAAGATCATGGATGATCTTCCGAATCATGGGGATTCGAGAAGATCCTCCCACAATTTCGACTTCATCTACCTCTTCGGGCTGAAAAATATTCTTGAAATTTGAAATAAGAAAAAAAAACCTTGATTGGTCCTTCGATGAAGAGTTCTTCCAAGACACGGCGGATGACGGCAAAAAGTGGAGTAGCGATATCTTCGAACTCGGCTCTGAAAATTGAAACAGTGTACACGCAAAGAAAATTTTTCTTTTCCAGTTTTTTGGACCAAAAACAAAATTACCTTTGCATCTTCGCGCTGACGTCCTTATCGTCCATGAAGCACTCGATGTTAAGAGGGATCGGCGTCTGATTGGCCGACATTTGTTTCTTCACCTTCTCAGATTCGTCGAGGAGACGGAGCCAGGCGCGAGGGGAGCTCTTCGCGTCGATACCTATTAAGAATATCTTTATTTTTTTTATACTTATTTTTTTCTAGCCTGATAGTTTGTGGCATTTATCGAAGAAACTGACAAAGGATCAATCAAGTTGAAAAATTTTTCCTATTTTCTTTTGAGCTACTTTTGAAAAACAACGAAGAAATGATTTATTTCGCACTTTTTAATTATTTTTTTCAGCTTTGATGATAATGAAAAGTGAGTGTGACAATCAAAAAAAGAATGTCGCAAATAAAAAAATTTTTTTCTGTTGTTTATATTTTGATTATTGAAAAATTTACCTATATTGCCTGAGAACGCATGAAACGAATGAAAGACTGCTAAAAAAATTGAAAAAGATTTAACATTCAGTTATTCCTGTATTTTTACATTTTCGACTTTTAAATTTAAAAGCTAAATTCTTTTTCATGAGCTATAGGAAAAATCTAATAACTAGAATCTTTCAAAGAAATGAGAGGACAAACCGTATTTGTTCCTGAATTCGAGGCGGAAATGCTCCCGAATCATGTTATCGAACCACAATCCACCAGCATCCATAGTATGAGCGGTGCGAAGCATCTGCAATTTTCAAACGATTAAATTTGTTTTTTTTTTTGTTCTTTCAAGCCACAAATTTTAAGTTCTTACCGTCAGTTTTCCTTTGTTGAATGCGACCAAAGAAGCCTGAGTCGACGAGTGGCCGATATCAAGGAAAACGACGTGTTTCGCCTTGGCATTTTCCTCCGGTAGATCTTGCTTGTATATACCTTAAACTAAAATTTATCGTTTCATTATCGAAGGAAAAAACCGTAGGTCAGAGCGACAGCCGTAGTTTCGTTGATGATTCTCAGAGCGTTCAAATTGGCGAACTGAATGGAAGCCTGAACAGCTCGACGCTGCACATCGGTGAAGTACGACGGGACCTAATATATGAAAATAAAAATTTCCAAATCATGTACTTACCGCAACGACACAGTCCGAGACTTTTTTAACATCCGGTAGCTGTGCTTCGACAATTTTGCGAAGTTTAGTCAGCAACGCCGAAAAAACTTGTTCAGGAGAAAAAACCTCGGTATTCTCGAGGTATGATACCTGGAATTTTCGATTCAGTTATTTTCCATTTGAAAATATGAAACCTTCAACCCAATGTCATCGTTTGGCAGAGCAACGACTTCGCAAGGAATGAAGGGAATGAACTTTTGGGTGACAGGATCGCTGTATTTCCTTCCAAGAAGCTGTTTGAAGTAGATGATGGTGTTCTTGAAGTTGGTGTTGACCGCCTGACGAGCCGCGTCTCCCATCGAACGGTCTTTCGATGTGAACGCGACACATGCTCTGAAAAGTTCACCCAATATTTCCCGACATAGAGGGCTGAAAAGACTAACGGCGTGGCGTGGAGAGAGTAATCATTGGTGATTACTTCGATACCACCCTGACGAGCAACGCTGATGTAACAGTTCAGGTTACCGATGTCAAATCCGAGAACCGACATCTTTAAACGCCTTTAAGTCTGAAGTTCTCAATTTCAATTTTTTTTTTATTTACATAAAAGTGACAAACAGAAGTGCAGAAAATCACTGACTTCTCATTACGAGTCATGGTAAAAAAAAAAGAGAGTATTATTTCTAAAAGCTCTTTCTAAGAAGACTCAAGACAAAAGAATTTTACATGCTTTGAAAGAGTAATCGAAATAATTTCTCATCTCAATACTTCTATGGATTAGAAGACCTCAAGAATGAAAAAAAAAACTATCAATTAATAAAAAGACAGCTATAATATGTTTGAACCGTTAGAAAATCCATTCTTCCTGAGATTGCAAAAAAAAACTCCACCGAAAAAGAAAATTTTTTGACGGAACGGAAAATGTTTGCCAAGAGATTTGGGAGCAGAATAGGTACTTTAAAAGCCCTTGTGCCACACCCATAACCTCTTTCAAACATTCTCTGGTCCGCTTATCAAGATAGAAGCCGAAAAATTAATATATAACAATAGTATGAGCAACCAAACAAAAAAGAAGACTCTACGATGAAAAAGAAGAAAAGATTTTTGAAAATTCTCGAACGTTCGCGATGAAGTTTTCCGTTTTTTGGCCCCTTATTGCGGCGGTCCACGCTTTCTGTCCTTGAATTCCCTTAAGGGGTCAGAAGGAAAATGGCCGGTGATGATTTTTAAAAAAACTTTTAAAAAGTTCATTTTTTTCTGAAGATATTTTTGCTTTTTATTGTTTTTTTCTAGAATATTTAATTACAAAGGGATTAGAAGATCTTATAAAACAGTGAGCTTCCAAACTAATAAAGCTGTAAAATTTTGATGCTTATACAAACGACTTTTTACTAGATTTCAATTTTTTTATTTGCTTAATAAATATTCTTTAAAAACGTTCTTGTTTGTAAAAAAAAATCTGGTTTTGAACATAAATTCAAAAGTTAATTAATAAAAAAAAAAGAAAACAGGGCTGAAGACTAAGTGGTTTTTTTGAATCAAATGTATTTTTAAAAATTCTTCCACTTGAACTCCTTGCAGTCGTGATTGAGAATTGGCCGAAAATTTTCGTAAATTTTCATTCTGTCGTTTTCTATTTCTATTTTATATAGCTTCTTGTTTAGCACAGTAATGCCGCCAATGGCCAACGCTACCGTGGAAAAAATGGAAGTCGACGAGCCAAAAAATGCCGAAGTCAAGCCGGCACCTGAAGTTGTTAAAGATCCGACAACGGTTGCTCTTGAAAGTAATCTTACCATTGAATTCACTGTGAAGATTTCTTTTTAGCTCTCAAAGAACATTGCGCTTTGCTGGATAAAGGTGAAACCCATTTGATCAGCCGTGTGATTCAAGTATTGGGTAAAACTCGCAAGATGTTGAATAATGAGGTTTATTTTTGGGCTTATTATTCTGGTATCTTGTTTGATTCAGGTCCTGCACCGTACTATCTCTCAACAACCCAGTGCCAATCCTCATTTTGCCGAGAATTTGAATAAACATGTCCCTTTCAACGCCCCACCGGCTCCCGCACAGCTCATTCCTGTGCCGATGGAAACTAATCAGTCAAAACCTTCCAAGTTTGTTAGGATTTTGACAGATTTATCAGAAAATGGGTTAAGGTCGCCTAGAAAGTCGTTGAAGCCAACGAACAGCTCTCCAGAATCGGATAATTATTTGCAACTGCTGGTTTTGATGTACCTCGTTGACAAGAAGAACTACAAGGAGTCGATCGACGTTGCCAGTTCCATTATCAAATCGGGTCAGTTCTTGCTACGATGCTTGAAACAAGTGAGAATGTTTATAAAGGACAAACAACGGTATTGAAGTTAGATTTTGAAAATCGAAAATTGATTTTTGTCATTTTTTATGAAGTTTTTGAAGATCGTAAAGCTGTATATTTGAAAAGAATACCGTGTTTAAAGTGATTTGCAAAATAAAAAAATAACCGCCAGGGAAAAATTAAATGATTTTAAAACGGACTTGAACAAGGTGTGATAACCGCGGTATATAAAAGTTTCCACCTTTTTCGAGATTTTCGAATGCTCGGATTTCAGTTGAACAACACGATCGTCGTTCTTTGGATCCCATCGCCGCCAAAGCGTTCTTCTATCTTTGCCTGGTCCACGAACGTCTTGATTCTTTCAAATCTTTGCAAAAGTCGTTCTGATTTCCGTTTTTAGTTATTTTATGATTTTCAGTTACTTGAACGCCAAACTTCGCTCAGCGACTCTCCGCAGATTCCCAGAATCCCAGGCCGTTTTGATTTATTCGCTCCTCCGTTGTTACCTCATCAACAGGCAATATCATTCAGCTGCCGGTCTTGTTTCGAAGGTTTTTTTTATTTATTTTTGAAGTTTCAGCAATTATTCAGAAATTATCAATTGTTCCAGTTCAAGTATCTCGTTTTTTATCGCCATTATATTGTGTGATTCTTTCCTAATTCTGCGAAAAACTACTGAATGTTTGAGAAAAATTTGAAATCTGAGAAAAAAGCAACCTCTAAATGGGATCTCACCTGAACTATGAGTTTGTAGTTCGAGTGGTCAGAGAATTGATTTCCTATTCTTTTTTAAAAATATATGTATTGTCCAGGACGTAAAACTTACACTCGCACTCATTATTTCAAGAAGTATTCATAAATAAAATTTATCATTTTGAGCTTCTCAAAGCCTTCTTTTAGGTCTCTTTCCCTGAAGGCGCCAACAACAATGATCTTGCTCGATACATGTACTACCAGGGCCGCATAAAGGCTCTCCAATTGGACTACACTGAGGCTTCTGGATATTTCTTGCAGGTCCTTCAACTCCCTTTCAAAATATAATTTGAAAAGAAAAATGTTTAGGCTCAGCGAAAAGCTCCCCAAGAAGGCGCGATCGGCTTCAAGCAAACCGTTCAGAAGTGGATCATTGTCATTAATTTGCTTCAGGTTCGTTTTTTTTTCTGCGTTTAAGGTTTTTATTAGAATACGTATTCGTTTGATGGAAAGCCTAAATTAAATCAATTCAACAGGGGCTTGTTATAAAGAAACATTTTTTTGGCTTGAGAAATGAGTTTTAATAGACAAGGAGAAGAACCAGTGACTTGAAAGATAATAATAGCGGAGAATAACTTGAAAAAAAAAATCAACTCCTCTTCGAAGTTTTTGGCTGTTCTTCCATTGAAGAAGTTTTCTCTGGCTCAAATTTTCCAGTGAGGCTTTTTCGTCTCGAATTTCACTTTCCTTAAATACGAATGCAACTTTTCTTCTAATTCTTTTTTTAGGGAGAAATTCCTGATCGACACGTTTTCCGTCAACCAATCTTCCGCAAATGTTTGGCTCCTTATCTTGAACTGACCCACGGTATTTTGAACCAGAATTCTCGAATTCGAATCTTTTTCCAGCTGTTCGTTTGGGCGATATTGCCAAGTTCAACAGTGTTCTGCAACAGTTTAGCAATAATGTGAGCCATTTTTTTCAATATAGTTCCAAAACTCTCATTTTTCAGTTTGAATCGGACGACACTCTGACGTTGATCGTTCGTCTGCGACAAAATGTCATCAAGACGGCCATCAAGCAGATTTCCGTGGCGTATTCGAGGATTTACATCAAGGACATCGCCAAGAAGCTTCTCATGGACAATGAGATCGAGACCGAGTATATTGTCAGTTTTGCAGAAGTTATAAAAAGCTATTTACTTGAAAAATATTTGATTCCTAATGTTTTTCAGTTCTTCAATAAAGTTTTACGTTGTTTGATGGAAAATGCTAAAGATTTTTAAAGCGAGTTCAAAAGCTCCTTAATAGCTTCGAGCGAGTTTTTTGCAAATCTGAGTGAATTTTCCTATTTTTCAAGATATTTTCGTAGCAGATAATTCTTTATGTATTAAAAGATTAAAAATCGCGTGAATAGATTGATGGGGAAGATGAGGAAGAAATGTAGAAAAAAAAATGAAATACGTTTAATGACCAAAATTGTCGAATGCGTTTCGAGACTTCACAAATTTCACGGGTTTAAGAGCGCAAAAAAAAAACACAAGATGAAGATTTAAATGTTTTAAGGTGGCCAAAGCGATCGCCGACGGAGCCATCGACGCCGTGATCACTTGCGACACGAAAGACGGAGTCCGGTACATGCAGAGCAGTGAGACGGCCGACGTCTACCGTACCACCGAGCCACAGACACATTTCGACTCGAGAATCAAGTTGAATAGGCTTCAATATCTATCCAAAGACTAGTTTTTCAGGTATTGCTTGGAGCTGCACAATCAGGCTGTGAAAGCGCTGAGATATCCGCCCAAGAACAAGGTTGAAGTCGAGAGCATCGAGCAGCAGCGTGAGCGCGAGCAACAGGAGCTCGAGTTCGCCAAGGTTTCAAAGAAGGAGAAATTCCCGGGTTTCTAATCTTCATCTTTCAGGAGCTGGCTGAAGAAGACGAAGATGACTTCTAAATTATCCTCTTTCTCTGTAACTATGAGCCTTACAAAAAAATAAATGTTTCGCCGGTTGTTTTGCATGAAACATCTCCAATTTCCACTGTAACTGATTTGATTCGAAATTTAATTTATTTGGCCTGTTCTTTCGTAAACGATTGTCGGTTTTTTGCGTGTTCATCGTATGTTTTATCCACCGAAATAAAGAGAAAATTTAAAGTTGATTATTGTTTTTCATTTTCAGGTCATAAGTTTGAATCTTGTTTTACATTGGCATGCATTTTTTTTTTTGGATGGAATTAAAAAAAGCTTTGAACCGTAAAAATCAAAACGAAATTTAACGATCTAAGCGAGAATGATTGTTTTAAAAAGTTAGGGGTTTTTAAGTCTTCTTTAAACTTTCAGAAGTTTTTTTCATAATATTGTTTTTAATTTTTTTCGAAAAAAATGTTCGATGTCTTACAAAAATTTTTTTTCAAAGATGCGCACCTAGAAAGCATTATGTTTATTTATAATCCTAAACTTCTTCGTGTTCAGTTCTTCAACAGGTTCATCTTTCAGATGCGAAGTTTGTTCTGGACTCGAGTCCAGAGTTCTCTGGACGCCTTGCTTGGCAGAAGACCTCCTCCGTCCCTTGGCTTCGCTTTCGACGTTGGAACGACGTTGCCTCAGTCTTCATCGTCTTCTGGATACGGCATTCGCGAGATGATCAACGACATGAGAATCGTCTTCGGCGTTCCCAAGTACCGAACCAGTAAACGTCCGTTTTTAGTGTTTCCTGAATTTCGAAAAATGATTGAGAACGCGTAGAGAAGCCTGGAAGTTTTTTTTCTAATTTCGGAGGATTATTTCAGAAAGATTTTGAGGTCCTCTGGTTCAGTTCATTACAAAAACTCTGATAATTTTGATTTCTTTTTTTTCAGCCAAGAAAGTGACTCGTAAATTCTCGTATACGCGACTTCTTCAGCCGGTCGAAAATCTCGTTTCTTGTCCTTCTTGCTCTAATATCCATCCCTCGGACACGATCTGCGAGAAGTGCTATGAAAAGGTCAGTTTTTCCTATTAAAAGAAGTTGTAAAATATTGAAAACGGTTCGATTTGGATCATTAGCCTTCAAAATTGAAATCTGCGGTCAAAACTTAAAAGAAAAAATAACGTTTTCTCTTTTGATCACATGAGAAAAAAGTTTGAGAAGGGTTTTAGTAATAAGAAAATAGGCTTTGATTGAATATAAGCTGTGAAAGTTTAGAACGGAAGAAAGCTTTTTTTGGCTAGCTGTTTTGAAAGATGTGTGATTGAATGAATATTCGAACTTTTCCGAATTATAGTAATTTAATTTGAAGATCAAAAAAAACTTTTCGAACGTGCTCATTCGAAGGATTTAGGTCCGGTTGCTGACAAACGATATAAAGAGAAAAATGATGGATTACAATCCGTACGTCGGCGAAAAACAGGATAAAGAGGTTGGTCGAAACGCATTTGAGAAAGGAACATTTGAAAAGAGTTTATTATACATACAGTCGTATATAAATGGCTCCTACGTGGGAGCCAATAGTCGTCTCTAGAATAGATGAAAGCGGGCTCTTCAGTTTTCAAAGCTTCATTTAACCCAATTTTTTCCGGTCCAAGGATCCCTCGTAGTTCAGAGACCTCAGTCTTTGGAGATCAATCGATTTTTTCTGGAAAAATTCCGTTTTTCTGTACATTGTCTCTCGCTCCGTTCATAGTTTCTCACGATTCGATCTTACAGATCTATGTGAAGTTTGGCAACGAGACTTTGCCGGAAGACGGCGTCGTGGACGGGAAAAGAGTCGTGGAACTGGAGCAGGACCGGCCGAGCTGGTTCCGAAAAATTTTGACGAAGAAAAATTAGGATTTCGTTCGTCTTTTCCAAATATTATTTGTTAAGTTTGTTTTTGAAAATCCGTCAAAAATTTTTAACTGTAGTTTTTTTGTTTAGGATATAAAAATTGTTTGCTGTTTACATTTTTAGGAAAAATCGTCTAATAAAAAAAGATTTTTTTAAAAATATATTTCGGCAATGAAAAATTGAAAAAGAATTTCGAAGTCGGCTCATGAGAAGAAATGTCACACAGTTCGGGTAATTTTTTTGAAAGTTTAGGTTAAGATCAAATTTTTCTACTCACAGGTAATGTGAAAAAAATAATTTATGAATATTATTTGAAGTTTTTTTCGTGGATTTGTTTAAAAAGAGTTGAGGAGCTTTATAAAAGGAGATATAACTTCGAAAAAACCGAAAAAAAAATTTACCAGCGTATAAAGTTGAGATATGAGAGCACCTGTACAGTATTTTCAGTTTTTCAAATGTTTCAAATGTGTAGTGAGAAGTTTTTCATCACCAATTTGCATCAGTTTTCCGAGACCGGACTTTTTTTAGAGACTTTTTTTGAAATTAAGAGACGTCTCCTTTTTTCAAATGTCTCAGACTAATGTTAAATTAAGTTTTCGGAAATGCCAAGTTTGCTTTCTACCAAATTCCATCATTTTTTCGTTACTGGATCGCTGACATTCACCACTTTTCATGTCGTGCGCCAATTCAACACCAATTTTTGCCCCTAAGCCGCAGGTGTTGAACCGAAGGCTAGGAAAGGTGTGTCATTTCAACCATTAATGGAGATGCACACGCGAGCAACAACTACCGTACACCTGGGTTGTTTGCTCACAGAGCCGCGGGAGTCTAATGAAGGCGAGTCACGTCAGGATTCCTCTGTATCAACTTGCGCGGAGGCGATACGTATGCATGGACATGGGGTTAATGGCCGGTCGCGTGACTTGTCGCCTTCTGTCTTGGTCGCCTGTACCCGGCCGTCGCCAAGAGGAAGCCCCGGCCCGGGTGTCGGTAAAGAAGAATTCTCGGGCGAAAATCCTCGAAAGCTTCATTCAAATAAAGATCTTCTAAGAGTCTCACATCTTTTTTATTTTTCTGTTGCGTCTTTTTCACATTCCTTAGTAAGATGGTAGAAAGCAACTAAAAGATTACAGTAGATTCAAAAATGACCTTTTGGACTACGTTAAAAGACGCCAAAGCGTTTTCCTATCATTTTAGGGACTTTGACCGAAACCTTTTCCCCTCAAAACAGGTCACATTTCTTGAAATTTCTTGAAAAAAGATCGTAGAAGATTGAACTCACCAGTTTTCGAGAAACTAGGCCAATTTTCATCTCCTTTGTGAGAGATTGATCTCGAAAAGGCTCTTTTTTGATATTTCGGCTTCAAAAGAAAGTTTTTTTTATATGATTATCCTTACTTTTGACTATTTCGTTGTTTCTTACTATAAATCTACACTGTTTTGTACCAGAAAAATGCAAAAGTCGGAAGCCATTTCAAGAGAACCCAGAGGCATTTTGAAGAAAGCCGAGTTGCGTAACGGATCTTCAGCGCAGGATATTTGTAACCTAACACCCGGGTATAAAGCGGACGGATGAGCCCTGGAAAGGAGGCGACTTCCAGACGAAAGTAGTCGTCGAAACCCAACACCGCAACGGTTTATCTCCATTTATGGGAATGATCCTGAGTTTCTTTCGTTTTTCAATTCGATTGAAGTTGGGGAAGAGAGGAAAAAATAGATGGGAACTAGAAAAGTAATAATGAGTGCTGGAGTCCCAGCTGTCTTGTCTAGTACACAGATGCACAAGACGAGGTTTTTTGATCTCGAGATAAACTAATTTTCAAAAAATATCTCGGAGACCAGATCGAGGCAAGAAAATTTCTTGAAAGAAATGCCGAGACGAGTTCGAGACATTTCGAAATGAAAAAAACACAATTTTAAAGCTATAATAATACTTGGAAAAAAAGCAAAATTGTGAGAAAAATCTTTATTAAGATATATTACACAAAATTAAAAACTACGCGTAGATTTAATCGCTCTCGGTATGTTCCGCCACAAAAGGAAATTCATAACTTATGCCATATTTCTATTTTTTCTGTGTACGAATATATTTTTTCATCTCGAGACAAGATCATATTTATTTCTGCATCTCGCAAGGAGACGATATTGTCAAATTTTGAACGAGACGAGATTTCGTCTCGAAATATTTCGAAAAATCTCGAGACGAGATCGTGTCTCGGGCATCCCTGGTCTAGTAGTACCACCTTGACTTCGAAAAAGGCTACTAATTTTTGGCCACTTTAATGGCCATTAATGGGACTACTAGAGAGTCAACTAGAGCGTCGAAACCCTCAAGTGGCGGCTAATTTTATTTTCCAAGACCTTTTTTGTTTCAAAGAAGAAAAATGAAATTTCTCTCTCTTCTTTCTACTACTTTTCTTGTGGATTTCATCACCAACTCCCCTGTTTGGACTCAAAAAAAAAACTATAGTGGAAGAATATCGAATGTTCATCTGATCGACAGCTGCGATTTTATAAGGCTCAAAAACGGCGTCGACTTTTTTCGAACCTCGTGCCATTGGAAAATGTTTGCGGCGGTTTTTTCGTTCCTAATTTGCATCTGTGGCGTAGTCAAATGTAGTTGAATATTATTCGTGAGTATAGAAACACATTTTGAACGGTATTTTGATTGGAAGTTGAAAATTAGCCGTGAGGGAGACCAAGAAAAGAATACCTTTGCAGTAGAGCGCAAATGTTTGTCAAAATGCGGCTCTTTTTCATTCTTTTAAAGCTTCCCCTTTCCTTGAAGTATTTATAAAACTCCCTTCATCAAGATAATCATTGGGGCGAATTTATTCAACAAAATCGCAATTATCATTTCACAGCAGGTTTCCCCTAACATCTATTTTTGGTCTTCATATATCTGTTCTATCACTGCATCTATTCTAGTCTTTCCTGTTCGTGGAGTCACGTTTCATCGAAATAGACGAGGTTGGCTCAAGCTGGAGCCACAAAAAGAGGACTGGAGGAGCTCAAGCTCCGCCCTCTGGAGCTCGAACCTATCACGCAACCGAGCGAGTAACTGCCGTCACGCCCATCATTTCGCCTTTTTTGGAGTTGCTTCTTCACCTAACCTTTCCATTCCCGAAGCCTTTTTCTATATAGGATTCCTTTTTTCACTGTAAGTCTGAAATATAAATTTGTTTTAAAAATAGGGTATTTTTAGGTCGAATTTTCAGGTAATAATCCGAACAGGTCCGTTCCATCGAACGTCGACGACCTGAAGTTGTTTACTTTAACCACCTTGAACAAAATTTCTTTACAAGAATAGAAAAAATTGATCATTTTTCTTCCGAATCTACTCTAAAGCCGCAGAAATTATTGAAATTATTCAAAGCTTTGCTATCCCGTTGAAATTTTCGAAAGTCGGAAAACGCCTCATAATTTCTTGTTTCCTAATTTGACCAGTCTGGAAAAGTTTTGCTACTGACGCTAGAGTAAAACTACGAAATTTCGATAAAGATCCCATGAAAAAAAAATGCAAATAGGAAGGAACAAACGGATAAGATAGTTTCGATGGTGCACGTCGGTTTTTGAAAGTTTCAATACAAGTAGAAACTAAAGTCGTTTTGAGACCTTTGGCTGCAATTAGCTTTCAAGTTAGACGTTCTTCAAATCACTGAATTGAAATATTTATGCTTGAAAGATATTCAATGAGATTCCTTCTTGTTACCTTCTTTTTTGAAGTTGAAAAAAGAACAAAAAAGCCTCAAGTTCATACGTTTCTCTTGTTCTTCTCGAAATGAAACGAAACAAAAGGGAAGCTTTTTTTGGAGGGTTCGGAAAAGGAAAACGGGAAGAGCAGCTGTCAAGAAGCGTTACCCGGTTATGTCTGGTATCCACGGACTACGTGGGTTACCCGGAGTTTCTCCTTTTATGCAGCCAAAATGTCACATTTCTCTCTTTTATGCTCTCATTTCTCCATTCAAACGCTTATTTTTTAAAACTTTAGATTTATTTTTATTTTGCGAGTTTTGGAAGTTACATTTTGAACGGTAGACGCCAGGCGAGATTTGCTAAAAGTTGAAGATGAATGGCTTGAAGAGGGCGTCGCGGCTGCGTTGTCGTTCAAACGATAAATTGCAAACTTATTTTCTTTCTTCAGTATAACTTCTTGAGTTTGGGACTTCTTTTAGAGAAAAAAACGATAGAAAGGCTAAAAAAGAAATTTTAGTTGATAGATAAATATTTTCACTTTCTGGAAAAATGTCTCTTGGATAAAAACAGTAAATCATCAAAAAAAAAAGACGGAAAAGTTCAAAAGCAGTGCCGGGATTACACTCGACACGAGAAATGACCAGTGGCTCTTGTTTTTTTCTTCCCGAGAGATTTCTGTTCGGTCACCACATGTTTAGCTGTGTGGTTAGATTAATTATTTTTTTATCTGGATTGAAAAACATGTTCTTATTTACAAATTAAAAAAATAATTTTAATTTTTTTAGATTGATGATTTTATATGAAAAATCAGCAAAAAAACATGAATTTTTAAATTTAGAAAAAGTAGAAATCAAAAGAAAAATTTTTGAAAAAGAATAGATTTGAAAAAAATTGAATATTCATTTTTTTGGTTTTTTTCAAATTATATTATTTTTCAAGCCCATACTCTACCTATACTATTGATTTTCAACCTAGACATCCTACTCGAATTTTCCACCACACAAAAGCCCAAAAAATGAGCATCAAGTCTTCGTGAAAAAAGATTCGGACAAAATCGCCCAAACAGCGCAAGCAAATGCGCTCCCCTGAACATTTTCAATAATTTTTCAGAAAGATCACCCAGCTAGTTCTTTACGGTAAAAAATGAGCCGAGTCGAACTCCATTAGTCGCAGATGGGTTCATTTGTCATGTCGCTTTTTTCCTGTGGCCAAGCGTCTGGCACCGGCTCAACAACTCGCTCCGCCCACCCATTCATCGCCTCGGGAACCTTTTTACCTGTCTTCTCAGGTCTTCAACGTTTCATTGTCTTTTCTAAAAGCTCAGTTCTCATTTTATTGTTGCTTCGAGGTCATAAATAGCAGAGTCGGCTTTTATTTTCATTTCCTGGAAGAAAAACAGAAACGAAAGTTTTCAGAAGTTTCAGCTGAGTCAAATAAAAGAAAGAAGCGTGTTAATTTTTACCCTAATTTGTGGATTTTTTAAAATTTCTGCTATTTTCTAGGGTGCTTAAAGGAACATATATAAGTTTCCTTTAGGTTTCGAAACATTTCAGTCGAAGAAAGTGAAGATTTGAAATTGAAACTTGCAAAATTGCAAACTAACTACTGTTTTTAGTTTTTCTCAAAATCGTGTCGGTACTGTCCTTAACTGGCTCAACTCATTTTCCTCATTTTCCAGTATCTGCCCTATCACCTATCAGTACATCTTACTACTGCCCCCCGTGGTTCCCGTCGTGATATATGGGTTGAGTAGGAGCAGTTGTGGGCTCGCGGAGCCAACTACAGCTCTTTTTTGCTAGATAACCCACCGAGCCAGTCCAGATGTCAAGGATCCCCATACTTTTCCAATTACCTTCTCATTTGCGAGAAGCATCCAAGGGTTCTTTCGGTCCCGATTTTTTTCGTGCTTTCGAAAGTTCTACAACTTTTTTTGTTGGAATTTGATCTCCAGGGCATCCTTAAAAACCGTTTTTTGGTTCCAAAATTAGGGACCGCAAGCCATTTCTTCAGAACGATTCAAAAAATATGTTTTTTACATTGTTCGATAGAGGAGACTGTCCATTTTCATAATCCGTTTAGTTTTTGAAAAAAGCTCCACTAAGAAAAAAGTTATGGCCAAAAAACGAGCGCGCTCGGCGTTCAACTGGAGGCGAAATCTCACGGTTTACCCGCTGCCGCACACTTTCTTTTTAAATGTTTTTGCGCGTTTCTGGACCGTTTTAAATCGGTTTTCTGTTCTGTGAGGTTGGCAGAACTGAGCTTAGCGTTTTTGGTATAAATCTTTTTGTACAATCCTCATAAGAATTTTTTTGATAAAAATATCAAAAAAACTACCTAGAAAAAAAGGTCAAAGG